CCCCCCCCCCCCCCCCCCCCCCCCCCCCCCCCGCCCCCCCGCCGCGCGTGTTTGTATACATCCATAGACAAGAAACATAACGCTATCATTGACTCTATTTTACATGACATGACTTGTGTATAAGAAAAAAAGGGGGGGACGAATTAAAAGGCAGACGAAGCGAAAGCTAGATAGAAAAAAAAAGGCGGCTTGTTGTGTTGTTTCTCCTGATGCGGCTCTGCGATGGGGGAGGAGGCAAACGCGCATTGGTCAGTTGAGCATGAGCCGCATTTTTTTGGGGGGCTTTGAGCTAAATTAACGGGAGGCTAGGTTTTTTTTTTTTTTTGCACGTATGAGATTGGGATAAGCACCCGTGCCGTGTTTTTTTGCTGCAGCAGTTGTTTGGATTGGGGCGGCGTGAAGTTATTCGTCATGGACCATTTGCGGGTTTAATTTAAATTGACGATTGCGGTTGGTATATCATATTACACACACACCCACATCCCATGAAAGAAATACAGATGATGGACGAATAAAGGGTGTGCAGATGTATACAAACAAGGACTTGTGCGAAAACGAAAGAAGCAAATCAAAGTACCTTTGTACATGAGGCAAACAAGAAGCAGAAGCAGAAGGAAAAAAAAGGCAACGAGAATTAAAAAAAAAAAAAAGGCAGCCCGCCTTTACCATCCCCCCCCCCCCCCCCCTTTTCTCAAGCCTTCATCATCATCCCGCTCCCCAACAAGAAAGCCAACGCAGCAAGAAGGAAAACGAAAAGAAAATACCTAGATCCGTTCACCGAGCAGTTCGTAAGTTGTACGCACTAATAATCATCTCTGTGCAACCAACCGACAAAATAAAATATATGGATTCTCAACAACATGCCCACCAAAAGATGCATGTATACATGGGTTACATGCAGTACAATACATGTAGACACACGCACACGCATGCCCATACGCATACATAAAAAAAATCCAACCATTAAACCCCCCCCCAAGCATAATATCCTCAAGCATATATAAAAAACAAAAAAACGCCTCGCCGTCACACAGCATGAAACTAAAATAGTCCAAATATCAACAACAACAAAAAGCCCCCCCCCCCACGAAAAAAAAAAAAAAGTTACATACACACACGATCAAAGAAAAGGAGAGAAACAAAAAAAGAAAGAGGGAAAAATAGTCTAGTAAGCGCCTCTTCGTGTTACCCATAATCCTGTCTTAGACATGCATTTTTTTTTTGTCTTTTCCCCCTGTCACTCCGTTTGCTTGGCTCTGCCCCATCATCCCCATCTTTGATTTCAATGCAGTTCAGTTTACTCCGTATCCTTAGTTATATCGGCGTCCTTTGATCCTCCCTACATTCGTATATGCGGCAAACGTTTCATCGCCATCGTCACCAGAGACAATATGCGTAATCCTGCCGAGCCCCTCCTCCTCCTCCTCCTATTCCTATTCCCCCTATTCCTCCTCCCCAGTCAACGAGTCTCACTTGATAGTCTCACTTGGCCAGCAATTCCAAATACTCGGAGCGTGTTTCGGACAGTTTCTACTCATGTTTGACATCATCATCAACGCTGTATACAGGAGAAGCGGCCAAGAGTAAACAGATAACCATGCATATGTTATACCACAAAGACTAGCTAATTCTCATCATCTTGTACCAGATACTGTAACACAAACCGTCTCCACACTCTTCCAGTCATAGTAACGTAGCGATCAATCCATCTTCAGCCCAATTAGCTCTCGTAATCATACCAATCACCATCAGCCCCCTCCGCTAAATCCACCACGGCCGGCCAGCGAGTCCCTCAGGGGTAGCCCCGGGGACTGGCAGCTCGCAGGACGTAATCGAAACACATTCTGCAAAACAACTTTATCCCACATACTGCGGCTGACTCCGAACATTTGCATAATGTTGCAGAACAACAACGAAAAAAAGAAAAACAAAACTTTTGTTGTAAAAAAAAGAAAGAATAGGGGTGGCGTAGACCTGTCACCACATCCCCGCCACGGGACATCGCTACCTTATACGACATCAGGAGCATCATACCGAGGTCTGTGCCAGGAGACATCGTCACCGATCGCCCTGCCCTCCTGTACATAATCCTGTACGCCTCACGCCTCGGTGGAGGCGTCGTCCTTCTTGACTTGCTGCGTCTTGGGCGGTACCTTGTCCGTCATGCTCCGCTGGGCTCGTCGCTGTTGTCTCAAACGGCACTCCAACGCATAGCCTGGCTCGTTTGCCTTGCGCCACTCGATATACGCCTCGTATGCCTGTTGATCTCCTGGGTCTGGGCGTCGAGGCTTTGGCACCGGCTGCGGTGCGCAGCGAGCACCCGTCATGAGCGGCATTTGGCACGATGGCATATTGAAACAAGGGTTGGAGATGGGTGCCAAGGGAAACGCCGTATTCGCCATAGAAGGGACCGTCGGGATCCCCGACATGTGATTGCTCATCATAGACACGGACTGCAGTACCGTCGGCGGCCGAAACATGGGTGGTAGGTGCGAAGGTAGCGGCGTTACTGATGGCATCGGCAAAGCAGATGTCGGGAAATGGCCTCCAAGCTGAAGCTGATCCGTTCCCACCTGCACCGGAATCAATCTTCCCGCCATCAAGTTATTGAGCGCCAGGGCGTCGGCGGCCGTATCAGGAGTAGGTGCAAGCGGCGCAAGCCCATAAGGCGGCGGCGGCTGCTGAAGCGAGGAAACGTTTGGCAGACCAAGTCCTGCCAAGGACATGGCATTGGCATGGCCGCTCTTGCTGGCAAAGGGCTCCGGGGCAAAGGCTGCAAGGGGCTCCATGCTGTCGTCTTCCGAGTTGGAGCTTCGGTTGGAGACAAATGAGAGAAACTCTCGTGCTTTGGGATTCAGGCTCTTGAATCTGGTAGACTGCTCTGCTGCGAGGCTTGCGTTCTCCTTGTGCGCAATCTCAGGCCCTCGTGTGCGGCGGCCTGCAAAAGCCTCTAGAGGTATTTGCTGTCGTTCGTAGGGCTCGTGTGTCCGGAATCTCAAAATGCAAGTTTCCGTTGAGCCTCCGCTCTGCTCTTCCTTTGAGCCATCTTCGTAGCCGCTGTCCACCCTGTCTCGCCCCTGCAATTTGACATTTGGCAAGTCTCTGGTTTTCTGTCCTAGCTTCTTTAGAAACCTTTGAAAAGCCTGGTCCTTGTCAGTCTCGGACGCCTCCTTGGGCCTCTCCTCGTTCACCAAACGTGCTGTCTGGTTGGGGGACAATCGATTCGCGTCGGAGCAATCGTGAGCTCTGTTTCTCTGCGCAGTGACAATGCCTGGCAGTTCGAATACACCCTTTTGTGCTCGCCATTCGTCTGGTGCGACATGCTTCATCTTCGCCTCATCGTGGCGACTTCGCTGGCTCATGTGCATTCGAACTTTGTGAGGCGTGGCCTCGGCAGCTTTGAGCGCTGCGGTGAGTTGCTCGTCCTGGCCGTTGCCTGGCTTCCTTTGCATCAAGTTTCCCTTCAGAGGCCGAATGTCCACAACGGATGGAGACAAAAAGCTAGGGATGCTTCCCAATGGCGCAACTTCCAAGAGGCTCAGGGGATGTTCTTTCGAAGACGACAGGCACACCTGCTTCAAAATCCCATATGGAACGGGCTGTTCTTCCTCCATAGTCTGCATAATCTTGGGTTCCATTTCAGAAGACAATGCAAAAATATTCCGTCGATGGTATCTCAGGTCGCTGCTTACCGTCGCGCGATCTTGTGACGAGTCGTTTGCCTTTTCAAGATGGGCCTCGTGGTTCCTTTCCCCGGCGGATGGAGTAGTCGGGAATGCATCCATTCCAATCCACTGCTTCCCAGCACCTATCAGATTCCTCCAAACCTGCTCATCATCCATGGTTGGTGAGCTGCTACTGCCAGAGGGCCGAGTTCGCCAATCAGGGTTATCCAACGCTTGTTGAGAATTGCATTTCTTCAGTCGCTGGTAGTCGTAGGGAGGACCCAAGGCCTTGGTACGTGATTCGCTCTTCGAAGCCGTCTCTTTGGCCATGGGAGGAGGGTGAAGCCGTTTACTTCGGCTGGCAGCGCTGAGCATAGCCATTTGCAGCCTTCAAGAGTCAGGTCAGTCGATGCTTCATTGCACCAGAACAGTACGTTGCATCTCTGTACTTACCCGTTTGCTGATTGAGATTGATTCAAGCGCCCAAGTCGGTATCGATGGATATAGCAGATCTCCGTGACTGTTTTGGCTAGAAGCGAGAGCTTTTGAACGTCGATGCCCGGAGAAAAGCTTTGATCAGCTCCTTTTCTTCGTTTGTTTTCTTTTCGCGCGAGCAAGTTCTCCAATTGCGATAACTTCAAAACAGCCCAACTTCAGGTCAAAGTTGGCTTCAAGAAAAGGCTAAGCGCTGTCTCACGAATTTTCTCAGCACAAGTAGGTCAAGACAAAGATGTCGGAGGAGAACAGATATGTCGAGGTCGAAAGGTGCGTGTTGAGTTGGGCTGCTGAGATGGCTTCCAGCTGGCGGACGGCTGATATATATCCGCGCCTGGGATACTCCGCAATAAAGTCGCTTGCTCTTAAACAAAAGGAAAAGACACGCTCAAGTGCCAAAGGCTGGCAAACAACCCGCACCTGTTGGCTGGGATACGAAAGTCCAAAAAGAGGCGGATGGTGAGTTGCGTAGGATGCAACGATAGCTTCGCATATGGCTGAACGATGGGCGAGATTTAAGATTTAAAATTCGCTCCAGGCCAGCCTCTGGAGTCTTCGTCTGGGCAACCGTATTGTTGACTTTCCCATCAACGCCTGCCTTGAAAGGCCTCTATGGACGTCGCTGAGCTGCTTCTTCCCTTTTGGCGTGCCATTTGATCTTGACGCAGGTGCATCTGACAAGATCGCAACTCACGAGTGATTTGGCGTGGCTTTATGGGGAGTCTTCTTTGCTCTCTCCGTCAACTACCTCCTAGCTTCGTTCCATCATCAAGGAGGAGAAAAAAAAAGGTCCCAAGGAAAAATAAAGAAACAAGTGCAGCTGAATAACGAGAGTCATAGTGAGAGAACAACAAAAGCGTAAGTGTTACATAGGCATATAATGTAATGGTAGTCAAACTAAGAGGCCTTCCATCGCTGAACTCAAACTCCAAGAAGTACAAAAATTTCCAAACAGAGATAATACAAAAATTTCCAAACAGAGATAATACAAAAAGGGGCCGGCCATCTTTTTTCCAAAAAAATACGTTCTCATCAGACTTTCACGTACAGCGTTGCCATAAGGCGAGTACACCTCTCTAATCCCCTGCTCTGGCCATCATTCTTTGTTGCCCTTAGGCGTTCTGAGGGGCGATGCCGCCAATAAAGGCGGCAAACTCCTTCGGGTTTCTGGTCTGCAGGAACACGGTGCCAGGACCAGTAAACTTGCAGACAAGGCCTTCTCCGGAAGAAAGGCCAGAAATAATGCCGCCAGAGGCTACCCGCTCCAGGACGTAGCTCGTATTCCACGCCACAAGGTGACCGTTGTCTACAATGTACTTTTCGCCTTGTTGAAGCTATTCCAGCGGGTTAGTGTCTCTAGCCAGGACGGGGGAACTCATATCCTGGACTCACATCTTTCCTGATAATGGCGCCAAAACTCGAAACCCAGAGCAGACCGGTTCCAGACATCTTGTAGACAAACAGACCCTCGCCGCTGAAGATGGCCTTTCCCAGACCTTGCCGCTTGTAGTCTTTGACGACAGCCTGGGTAGAGGCCAAATAGGCGTCGTGTCCCACCGACCACTGCTCCTTGCCGCTCAATCTTATGCTCGTAATGTCTCCCAAAGAGGCGGGCGCGAGAATGAGTTCTCCCGGCCCTGTGTAAGTAGAGCTGGCGATCTCTCCGCCCGCAATGATCTTCTTGACGCTAAACTTGACATTACCCTTGAGGGTGATTGTGGGAGACATGGCGACCATGGCACCTATCATGCGATTAGACTTGATCAAACCACGACACCGTAACCCCTTCTCGCTGCTCATCCAACGTACCTGGCTTCGCATGCAACGGGGCGCCCATGGCCAACTGAATAGTCAAAATCGTATTAGTATCGCGATGGCTGATGCGATAGCTTCCCCCATTAAAGGTGCCAACATCATCGGTTGTCGCGACAGCCCCAACAAAGTTGGTCGGCGGCGGAGCTCCACCGGCTTGGGGTGGTGTCGTCTGGACAGGCGGCTTCTCCTGGGGATATGGAGCATTCTGCTGCTGCTGAGGGAAGGGAGGAGGAGAAAACTGAGGCGGTGCTTGTTGCTGCTGCGGTTGAGGCTGATACTGATGCTGCTGCTGCTGTTGTATTTGCTGCGGCGGTGGCGGCGATTGCACCTGCTGCTGGTAGTGGCCAGAGTCGGGAGTCGCCGCTGGACGCACGGCCAAGTTCAGCTGCTGCGATTGCGAATGCTGGTGCTGGTGCTGCGGAGGCTGGCTCCCGGGAGGAGGGGGGTAATGGCCCGGCGAGGGCTGCTGGATCTGGGGAGACGGCGTATGCTGGGGCGGAGGAGCATAGCTGGGCGCCTGTCCCGGCGTTCCCTGAGGAGGCGGGTAGAACTGTGTCTGGTTCGCGGGAGGTGAAGTCGGAGGCGGCGCATATTGATGCTGGTGCTGGGGCGGCGACTGATACTGCTGCGGAGGCGGAGCGTATTGCTGCTGCTGGGGCGGCGGCGGCGCTGTTGGTTGTTCACGTTAGCATTGGGAACTTGTCGTGTGTCGTCGCAATGGCTTCTCGAACAGAACGGAACGGAACGGACCTTGTCCTGCGCCTGCGCCGGGAGGAGCTGCGATGTCGCGAGTCAGTATTTGGAGATTGGCGGGGTGAAGGTGAAGCTGGTGACATACGCGGGTAGAAGTGCTGCTGCTGGCCAGACATGGCGATGGAGGAGTGTCTGCTGATTGAACAGTTGAGGCGTAGAATAAAGGGGAGAGTGAAGAAGCAAAGAGGAAGAAGAGGAAGAGGAAGAGGAAGAGGAAGAAGAAGAAGAAGAAGAAGAAGAAGAAATAGTTGGCTTGGCAAAGGCGCAGTTGGAGCTGGTCGAGTCGAGCTCGATGTAAGACGGCCAAAGAAGCCCCGCTTCCGAGCTATCAAATATACATACAATGGACTGGACTGGACTGGAGCTTGACAATCCCACACAGGCCACGTATATTCGCTCGGGCGAGGCGTGTGTTGCACGTGTGTTGCCGCACTGGAATGGATCAATTCAATGGGTTTGACTCCAGCCTGGAAGATGCGGATGTGCACGCAAGTTATAACCTGAAGGGCACCAGAATTCGTTCGCACCAACAGAATTGAATCTACAGCGATTTTACGCGCTGCACTGCAACCATGGCGCCAAGCTCGACCCCGCTCGTGGCCCAATGAGCACCCGCACGCTGTTTGGAATCGCCCTCCAGCGCCCCCGCCGCAGCGTCTCCATTGGCCAGCAGCCCGGTTTAGGCGCCTCTCTCAGCGTCTCTCCGAGGCCTCACAGGGCTCAACTGTCAATATACATCCACTGTACGGAGTAACATCAATTGAACCTGAACCTATACGAGTCCGGCCAGGGGTTGTCAATGATTCCAGCATTGGACGTCTATTCGCGTCCATACTGTGCATGCATGAACCGTTGATCCGTGGACGTGTACATACATATACTGATCCATGCATTCAAAAACAATTCCTCATCAATTATAACCTTGTACATCTGGGCCCCCGCGACCGCCTCTTCAATTTCTCCTTGCTCCCGTCAGCCGTTGATATTGCCAGTATATGCCTGGCCATTGTTACCTACTAGAATCTGCGGATAGACGCTGAGCTCATCCTGCTCCATAATTGTTCCTTCTTTAACACGTTTCCAATTAATTAACGGGAGTCCTAGGATTAACGATTTATCCACGGCCGTCATGAAAAGTCCTTTGGAATCTGACTTTTGTGGACAAGGGCTTCTTTGCTATCAAACTGAGGTGAAATTAACTTTGGCTGAGAACCTTGGTCAAGCCGCTCCATATCTTTCAGTTCTATGGCTAGAGTCAGAGATGTTCATTGTTGCTATGTGAAATACCAGGTATTCACACCAGGATCTGGACATGGAAATTGCCAATGCAAATCCTATGGTTTATAGTCTCGATAGAGCTTGTCACTCCGTATAGCAGCATCAACGGCATAAATAATGTGTGGCCATGCCCTATACATAATCTTTTTAAAAACGGACGCCGGATACTTCCATACAAGTAGATTTCATATGATGCAAAGACGGTTGAGCATGAAATCTAGCGTTCAGTAATACCCACCTAGTATACATATACACCCTCACTCTTCACATATAATCGTGACTCGTTCGGCACATATACATGTACCTCAGCCATACCTCGTCAAACCCCACTCATATATTTGGTATCTAGCAGTACATAGACAGTAAATAAAGTCAAATGTTCGAAACCACATTAACTCTATCAAACCCCATAACTCTCCCACTTAACAAAGCCATGGGCTTAAAGTTATCTTTTGTTGAAAAGCCCAGCGACAACAGATGTAAACAATAACAAAAGAAGTAAATGGCAACGGGGCTACCGGTCATTTATATATCAATAATCCCCATCTCCCTCGCCATTCACTCACTCATCCATCTTCACTCCATACAATTTACAGGTCAACGTCACAAACTCGCCAATATAAACAACGTTCAGCAACTTCCCACTGCCACCAATTTACCCAGCTACTCTTTGCCAACATTGCCAATATCTGCCCTCATTACTCCTTTCGCTTCTATTTTTTCCCCAGTTTCAGCTATATCCAGTAACAATGCCTTCTCTTCGCTGCCTCTTCGCCTTCTTCGTCTTGGGCCTCGCCTCTCTAGCCTCAGGCCTCCCCATCCTCGGCAACAAGCCATTAAACCCCCTCGGACTCGAGACGCTTATCCTCGAGGAACAAAGAGATGGCACACGCAACGTCTCCTTGGGAGATAACATCGAGAAGAGACAATGGCGTGACTTGCCAAATCCCCATTTTACCCTCATCAATGCCACCCCCTATAGGTGGCAAAGGGGCTACATCCACCAGTACCAGATGCCAGACTGGGAAACCGACTTCCCCCAACTCATCTATCCAGGAGAGTTGGCTGCTATCCTGATTCAGCCATCGAAAGGATACAAGAACTGGGCAGACTCCGCAGCCGAAGTGGTATATCACCTCGTGGGAACGTCAGAGCCCATGTCGTTCATGGTCAAGTTCAACTATCGGCACGAGGCCCTCCAAGTCGAGTTCCTTGAATCCCTGTCTTCCATGAACAACGCCAAGGCAAGCGTTCACGACTTTGACATCAAAACGTTCCCCTACGGCGCGTCAGCCTTCACCATCGCCGGCGAAGAGGGCGACTTCATCACAAACGATCCGCCCATCGGCTGGATGCAGGCCATGCTTCCCGAACTGGCAGACAAGCCCCTGCGGGAGATTGTTCTCGGGAGGTCACATCACTCCGGCCTATGGTACCCTCACATATGCATTGGCCTCGCGATGCCAGGAAACACCGTGACGCAGAGCATCAACCTTCGCGAACAGCTCGGCAACGGCGGCATCCGCGTCCTCGACTTCCGGCCCCTCAAGACTGAAGACGGGTTTCGCGAGATCCATGGCGTACGAAACAATGACCCCTTGGGTGGCAAAATGTTCCAAGGCACCGAGGGGGCCACCTTGAGCGAGCTGATACAAACCGTCAACGAGTTCAATCGAAAGTACCCCGGCGAGCTCATCATCTGGGATGTGCACGGCCATGACGCCTGGAACAAGGAAGAACAATTCCGCCCACTCAATGACAGCCAAGAAGACCGTGTAGCGCTATACAACGAGTTCCTGGCGCTGGAGAACCGCGTCGTCATCCCCGACGACGTCAAAGACCTCAGTACATATCCCCTATACCGCTTCATCGGCAACAAGACATCCGCCGTCCTCGTCAACTTTGACGATGTCTGGCGCGACAAGGATATCGACGTGTTCCCCGGTAACCGCGAGGGCTTCGTCACGGGCAAAATCTTGCCGCTCAGCCACCCCTGGAGCAATACCAACAACGTCAACACGATGACCAAGGGCCAGGTGGCCTACTTTCACGCGATTCGACCCGTGCCGCAGAGGCGTATCAACATTGCCGAGTGGATCTTGACGCTCAAAGGCATCCAATTGTTACGGGACAGCATCTTGGAACAGTCCGGTGCTGCGTGGCGGTCATTGTTTGCTAATCTCTGGCCGGCGACGACAAGCGACTCTTATCCTAACTGGATATCGGTGGACAATGTGCGCGGAAACGATCTCAAGACTCTCGTCATGGCAATGAACCGTTGCCTGGTGGCAAAGAAATGCGGTGTTCTCGGTGGTAAGGTCATCATGGCATAAGCTTAGCCGCAAGCAAACGAATAGATTCATACGGGTATTCTCCATCAACGGTGTTTACATTTACAGGGTAGGTGATTTCAGTCTCCTGTCAGTATTCTCACCCCTGATGATTACATGCTGACCTTTCCAGGAACCAGACTCGCAGAGGACTTGTACGGACCGCATCACGCGGCAGCAATATTGGTCGTTATGGCGGAATTCAGCCATTGAATCCCGCGGCCATCGTTGATTGCTGGTATTCAGGAGACGTCCACGATCACATGTGAAAAAAAAAAAAAAAAAAAAAAAAAAGAGGCCATTCACAAGCGAGTTTCAGACCTCAGCTACGCTCCACGCAGTACGAAGCTTGGCAAAGCCTCCAAGATGACAATAATCAAGGGCATAGCAAGATGCTGTTCACGTGCTGGGACCTGAGATTGCCCCCCCCCCCCGGAGTCCATATTATAAGGATAAGATCAAAGGTGTTTGATGCGTGTGCACCGGCAGTAGACTTTGGGCGCGAGAACGCGCCGAGCCAGCAGCGCGGTGTCGCCCAGGGAGGAATGGGAATGGGAAGATGCATGAGGCGATGATCCCTCGCTTGCGGCTAGTGCGATCTGACGGCTGTCACAAGCTGAGTTGATTGATTTGACTGGATGCCGGTACGATGCCGCCAGTGGTCGTGCTGGGCGTGGTATTGCTCTCTTAATTCATCAATACCCTCAACGCCGGCGCTTGGGCTTTGCTTCGCTGCCTCTGCCTCTGCCTCTGCAGAAGAAGCTGGAACGGCCTTGCAGCGGGCTCGTACGAGTTACCACGGTCAAACGACAACCGCCGGCATCTCACGAAGCGCCGGCGCGAGATGAAATCCGCAAGCTCGGACACTCACACGGACCTACAGCAAAGGCCCTGCTGACGGCAAGTGGCGGAGCACCAGGCGTCGATGCCCTCGTACCGGGTGTAACAAGAGGTTGACCAAGGCGCCTGGCTGTAATTCTTCTTTTCGCCGACGGTGAACGGAGCATATATTCAAGTTACTCGCAATCCACAGCAGCAACATCAAGTGCCTTGTCCCATGGATCAATCAATTCTCCGTCCACGCAAGGGAGGTCCCGGAAGAGATGCCTAAAATGCCCTCCTCCACGGGCTTCTTCTGGAAGCCATCAGTCAAACTCGTTCACTTGCATGCAGAGGCGCTAGCAAGGCCCGGCCGCATGCTGCGCGACTTTTGCAAGTGAGTTCGAAGCAAAGCGGCCGGCCACGTTTTGAGCATGGGGAGGGAGAGAGAGAGGAGGATGGATGGATGACATGCTAGTTAGTTGCCAGATTGAGCGTCGGTATCCAATGTATTTCATGTTTCGGAAAGATTTTTGTTCTTCTTCCATAGCTACTGCAACGGTATTATCCGGAAGCGATCCCCGTGAATCCTACTTTGGCCTTTTTGTTTCTTTGGAGCCGCTCGAGTGACAGATAGTGCCCGATAGTATGTATAGTAGTTGCTGAATATGACTTCGATTCCATTTCGGCCAATTAGAGCAACATGGAATTAATAGGTAGCTCCCCAAAAGAGTCCAGGGAAGAGGTTTCATGTTCGTAGCCGTGCCCGGTTATGTCTGCTAAGCTTGGGGTCTTGCCATACAAATCCTCGGTCCGTCCCAGGCGCGTGCTCCAAGATTGTGGCTTGCTACTGTCAGAGATGCTCGGCCGAAACATACCATCAACAAAAGGCATGTCTCCGCTAGACGGATTGCCTGTAACGTTGGCTGCGAGCCGTCCCCATCTGCTATTATGGAGCAACTGGATCTCTCCAGGGGGTTGCCGGTATTGCTGTTTGCATGCAAGCTTACTCGTCCCTAGCAATGGAGAAGACTTCCTCTTTCGGTCCGTTCCGGGTGCCACTCGCTCACGAGGCGGCAGCGACAGCAGGCATCGCCCCTATCGTTAGCAAGTCTGGTTTGTGGATAAACTCGACCGACAAGGGATGGGAAATTTTCGAGCGGACCATCTCAGTGAGGTTAGAGTCGTGTTTGCCCGTTCGACTCGACGACGGAGCTTCTGCTTTGATCCGGAACCAAAGTCTCGGGAGAAGCAGCGGCTGGAGAGCTCTGGCGGTTGGACCAAGACGAACCTCATAGCTGGAAGCGAGCCGTCTGGCACGAGTTGGATCCAACGAAGGGGGTTGCATTTCCCCAGAAAAGCGTGTAACACGACCTGCTCTATACATGTATCACGGAGGCTCTTTGTTCGAGGCACGTACAAGTCAGCACTTGTACGCATGCCCTGGAAGTACATGATTCTGTCAGAGAGAGACTGATCCAGAATGCCGCCCAGAACAGTACCTACATAATTGCACAAGACCATGGGTTTGAAATCACAACCACAATGCTGGGAACTGGCTTTCGGCATCCAAGTTCCCTTAAGCCCGCTGGTCCAGGGTGAAGTAGTAGATGCTGCTAGGTACTACTAATACTTGTAAGCGACGCCACATATCGGCCCTGAGATCCCCTGACCACGGAAACGCGGACCGTGGCGGGAAGCTCCTGGTAAGGGAGGCAACGAGGATACGGCAACAACCCAGCATACCCTAGAACAGGGCAGCTTATTCTTGACAGAACGGATCGCAGTCTTATTAAAACTGCCGGATTTGGAGACTGCGTAATACTGCGTTGCAACGATTGCTGATGGCTGGCCCGGGCAAATGGAGAAATATAGAAAGCAAGGGACAAGGCCAAAGAAAGCAAAACAAGATGCTATGAAATGAGATGAAAAGGAAAGAAATCTCCGCCGGCACTTGTCAGATGATGGATCCGATGTTGTCAGCAGCAATGCCGGCATGAATATAAAGATTTTCAAATAAGGACTAGAAAGAAAAAAGGGACAAGTTTTGGTAAGCACAAGCTTACAAGAGACACTGAGTAGCATTAGTGGTGTAGTATAATAGGTTTTTTTTTTCCTGAGAGCCGGTAGGTTCTCGATGCAACACCAGCACGGCGTATTGCCAGATCCTTGAGCAATGCACGAAGTAGGTAGGCACGCGCTGCACCCTCAGTAACACCACGGCAAATGCTGGGATTCGTGGAAGCTCCATGCCGAAACCATAGCTGGCGTGGGGGAAGATGAAGCGTATGCTCTTCTCCTCTCCTCTCTTTGCTTTTCTTTTCCGGATCGAAATTGCCGTCGGAAACCCCCAGAGCTGCTTCGTCGTGTTAGGACACCGGTGTTCGCGAAACATAGGGCATGAAGCAGGTGTTATTTCGTCTGTACCGTGCGCAAAGATTGTAGCTAGCCGGATCGGCAGCATTGACGTTGCAGAGTCAACCTTGCTCGTACGAGTGTCTGTCCTGGTCTTTGAAGGCCACACCCCCATGGAGAAGCCGGTGTCCTCAACCCAAACACTCGGTCCACGGGAAAGGAATCCGACATGAAGGAGTACGCTATTACCTGCTTGGCAGGAAAGTAAACGCACGACCGCTAAGAAGCATGATAAAACCACGGGGGCCAGGTTAAGAGCACGTGTTATGCAACACGCTTGCGGTCATGCAGCAGAGTCCTACCTCGTAAATCGTATTTGAACCCTGCGTCTGTGCCATACCCTCGTGGTTTTTCCCACAGGCGAACATTGTGTCGCCCAATTTCGGACAACTCGAATAGCCCATGGGAATCTCCTCGGGGAAAGCCTGGAATACTAGGAGTTGTACTGGTAGCTGGTGAAAGAGAAGCAACGCTCAATCATCCGAGGTGGCTCGTAGCTGGTAAGAAAGAGGCAAACAATGCTCAATCGTCCGTGACTACTGTAGACACATGGAGGCGGCCTTTCCCACTATTCGTACTCGGTACATCCATGCTAGATGCTTCCAGTTCCAACGTTGTCTTTGGACATCCGGTGTGCCAATCAACAAGCAAAGGATGGACAGCGGAACGAATCCGCGCAAGCTTCCGTCCATGTGGCCATCCACGCTCCGCGCTGCATGCTCTTTACGCTGAACGTCATTAGCTGGTAGGGGGCTCTGCGTCTCAAGCTCGATCTGAGCGCAGGCATCTAGTACCGTCTAGGCATGGGCGAGATGAGCTTCTCGCGCTTCGGCAACAAGCAAAAATAACGTGGCATTGCCCCCCCGAACTTGTAGCATTTGTTTGATCATCGATGAAATCGAGGGTGAGAAGGGACAAGTCTGCTATTGGGGGTTAGTAGCTGGCTCGAGCGTCTGTTGATACTACAGCACTTGCCCATGTACGGAGTATTATAAGTCCAGGACGGTTTTACGAGCAAGCCTATGATTTCAAGGCGCTCGTCGAGAGTAAGCCATGATGGGAAACGGGTGCCGAGCCAGATCCTGGCAACCTCGTAACTTGACCAATCAAAGGTCCAGTTCGCAATGAGGCCGAGCCAGTCCGCTGGGATAGAATCCTTGTAGGGATTATTACCAGCCAGCGTCACAAGGTGAAGAACAGAGGAGAGGGCGCGGCAGCCTGGCACACCGGGCTATCCCAGCAAGCTCCAATCTTTTGTGACCGATCCTAGCTGTAGCGTAGGCTCTGGGGAGAGAAAAAGGAAAGATATGGAGCATGGGCGGACAGACTAGCGGATAGATTTCGACATCTTGGCGGCTTGTTGGAATTGACAGATGGTGCAGAAGCTTTAAGGGATCCAAGCCGTCGGGATGAGTGGCGAATGCGAGCACGGGAGCACTGGAGAGGCCGTCGATGTCAGTACGAGTATACTGGTAATGCCATGGGGTCCGTCTAGTGCATTACTAGGAGCACGATGGAGATGAAGATGCCGTATGTGACGATGCAGTCCGTCTTTGGCAGGGTCGCCATGTGTACTCGTACTGCAGAGGAGAAGAAGGGAAACGTACGTAGGCAGACAGGGTGACGGGAGAGGCACCCACTTGGCGGAGAGGCGATGAATCGAGGGAAAATGGAAGTGCGACCGAACAAGCCTGGATGCGCTAATCAGTTGGACGTCAACTGTCTGCGGCAGTACTCGTACTACAGTAGTAGTCATAGTAGTAGTTAGTACGACGGTAGGAGGATTGCGGACATTGATGATGGAAGCGCTGCTGAAGATGGGCTGGATCGGAGTTTGTGCGTGTCGGGTCCGTATCCTTCCAGAGCTGGACTGGACTGGAGGCTATCGAGGCACACCAAGGTGAGGCGCTGTTTTTAGTGCAGAGATTGCACCAGCCGTTCACTAGCACCTGTGCACATGGCTTGACGTGCATCAAGCTCCATGCATTCAACACGCACTAAAAGAATGAGAAGAGAAGAAAAGGCAGACACGATGGGTACAGACATGCCATGGATATTCAAATATTACATGGATCGATGAAATGGCATTGAGGTCATCACTCCAAGATTTGCGCTCGCAAGTGACTCGAGGTCGCTCCCGGACAAAGGGATGAGAATGAGAGGCGGTACGAGTACTCGTAAGGATTGAGCTTTTTTCGGTGATGCATGGAGGCGCAAAGCAGCAGCTGATGTTCCAGGTACGGGCACAGCCTGCTCCATACATACAGCGCTCGCAGGCATTTGGAACCCGGGCCCGTACAGGTACATGTTCTCATCAATTGCTTGGACGTGCACCTCCATGCTGTGGGCTCGCATGCTCGGCCTCTTTAGGGGGCCTGGCACACCGTCTGGCGGGTCCGAGGCCTTGCCCGGATGTGCACGAAGCGTCCGCGGCCGGATTCCATGTCCTTGCACGTCGCTCGCTGCAGGAATTAAGGGTCAGTCAGGTTGGATTGATACCTAGGTAGCTCCAGCGTTCTGGGTGTGACTCTACGGATCAATTACAGCACTCCGTAGTGATGGATGTTCAGTTCCATGTTCTCTTTTTGGACTTGCAGCTTACTTGCAGCCCACAGTGCCGTGCCGTGCCGTGCTGTGCTGTACATTTGATGTCCATACTGTACGAGTGAACAAGCCCCGAGGCATGTGGCTTTCTCTCCAATGTCATCAAATGTTCAATGTCTTCAAAAGTTCCACTTGACATGTTCAGTTCAGGTTCCAGTCTTCCCGTTGATGGCTTGGGGGCGTGCGGGGCTCGTTTCCCTTGGGACGGTAATGATCTCTCCATCAATGTTAGGCCCAAGTGCTACGGAAGCCCAGGCCCACTTGCTTCGTTTCCATCGTCGACCGGCTGAAGAGTTAAAGCAGGCAACCCGACGCCATCGCTGGGCGGCGTTACTCAACTCGTCCAGCCGGAACTGCCCTATTAGCGGATCGCTGGCACCATCTGAGGCCGAAGCCCAGGAGCGTAGGCTAAGGCGCTTGTGGTCTAGCGATCAATCAATGTCTGGCTACCATCATGTTCCCAGCGCTACGGACGGCCGCCTCGGTTCATCACCTGGGCTGGGCTGGGCTCCAGTAATACTGTATGGATGCCATGATCCCACCAGACACATGCCTGTATACTGTACTGTGCTCCGTACTCCGTAGTGTGGTCATCAATTGCTGCTCCCATCTTTCGGGACCGTCTCCCTCCCTCCCATGCCTCCCATGCCTCCCATGCCTGCCTCCCCCCTCTCTGGCTGGTCTGGCCGGGGGGTCGGGACTGGAGCCCATTGAACTGGTCCCGCCACGCATCCCAGCTTCAGCCATCCCTGGCCTTGTCGCTACCAGCGCCGTGATGAATTGCATCCATGGCGCACCGTGTCTCGGCAAGTGGGTGCTTCGACGGGCGCCCCTACTGTACAGTCCAGGCCAGGGCCTGTATGTACGAGTCCTCGTACAGTAGAGTTCCAGGTGTCTTTGCTGCTGACTGTGCCCCGGCCCGGTACCAGACCAAAGACCTGGAGTTTTTAGCCTTTCGCCGGGCCACCATTAGCTCGGGGCTCACACTTTCAATTTGCTACTGGTCATCAAATGTCAGTGCAGTGCAATGTTCCCTCCAGCCCGCAACATACATCAAGCTTAGCCGCCCCCAATCTCTGGCCCTTTCCTGCTTCCACCCTAAACCATCCCGTCCCATACATATACATTACATGTGCTCGTAGTCAGTCTTCAAGTCTTGTTTGTATTGATACTCACTGCCGCCTCCTCGACATCGCCACTGCCAGTAGTAATCTCTTGGACGAATACATACACCACACTCTATCGCAACAAGGGAGGGAAATCGCCTTCTGCACCGTACCACCACTACCACCACATCTTACCTGGACGACATCTCAACCGGCGGGGACAAAGGGATAAATCATTCACCCAACAGCCATCGACAGCTATTGCGAACCAGTAATCCTGGACTAAACATCTCGCCTGCGAATGCTCTGTTATGAGGTGACCCCTCACCAAGACGGGACGACGACGACGACGACGACACCACCATGGAGCCTGAGCGTACCTCACCAAACAGCGCCTCCAACACCAACGAGGTGATGCCGCCCCAGACACCAGCCATGTCCGGCGCTTTGCCCATTGTCGCTGCCGATCCAGCCTCGGATCTTGCCTCGATGCCTAGACCCAGGGTCCGGGAGCGCCAACAAAGCCAAAACAGCCTTCTCATGGAGCTGCTTTCTCGCCGCATGAGCCGACAGACCCTCTTGCAGCAAAACCAATCCCGCACCCATCAGCCACCTCTCGTTCCACAATCACAGCCGCTCCTGGTTGACAGCATGGATCTTGACCATGACGAAACCCTTGGCACCGACTCTTCGCTGCCCGCGCTGCCGTGTACTCAGAAGATGCGTCCGTCAAGACGATACTCGGCTCTTCCTTATATTGCCCCCGTTGCACCCGAGACCAAGATTGACCCGGACGTTGCCGCCAGAGTCCTTGCCAGGATGCAAGCCAATACGCAAACCGAGTCCATTCCTTCTCCTCCGTCCACAGGCTCATCTTCGGTCCAGGCCATTGAAATCGACCCTACCGAGCTGGCGGAAGACGACATAGAGGCCGACGAGGGCTACGATGAAGGACCTGAAGAATTCCCCTGGTTGGGCGAGAAGCCCTCGAGCGGGCTTACGGGAGCCCTGAGAAACCAAGGCGTCCTCAGCTTCGCCACGTCTGCCGAGGCGGCCATGCGCTGTCCAAAGCTTGTACGAAATGTCCCTCGCATGCGGAAGCGGACGCACAAGAAGAAGGAGCACAGACTCCGGACGTCGAGGGACACGACCCGTGAGCTGAGTCAATCACGGGCGCCCGCAGCGGATGCATCTTGATAACGAGGCAAGGCACGCGCACCCACAAGCAGCTCGTCTGTTATTTCTCCACCTTATCTTATCCTCTTGCCTCTCTCCATCACAGACAACGACTTAGACACGAACATTATGCGGCGTTTTTGGGCATCACATATTGCATTTACTACACGGGATTTCTGGCACAAGCCAGCTCTTCGCTTCTCAAATTGTTGTTTTTACTCTACATTTTAGCGGGTTACAAAAAAAGAAAGATGTCAACGTTTTGACACGTGCTATATACAACGGCGTTTTATTTACATCTCTTTTGTTTTTGATTTTCTTATTTCTCTTGTCTGATTCTTCTTCCAAGCATGCAGAGCATCGGCGCCCTCTTTGCGGTACGCCTCCAGCAACAACAGGAGGGGGGGCACTCACGAGCGACTGTCGACCAGGGTATCGAACAAGTACTCGGGACTGACTCGTCTCGTGCAGGCGGGGATGAAGATGGCGTAACATGGGAGGATCCATCCAGGTGCATCTTGGTAAAGGGACTGGGCACGGCGTTTTTCCGGATATGCAGGCTGGGATGCTTTTTGGGACTGGGAACAATGTGTTGGATGGGACGTGGCCTGACTGGCCGGCGCGTGTGCCATGAATCCCCCACGCGGGACAGGATTGATGCTTGCGTTTGGGTTACAGCACCTGCTCGTACGAGTAGTACAGGTAGTAGTCAATCTCGAATGCGGAGTTGAGGTAGTTGAATGTATATAATAGGTACTGGCTGCTACTGCGGAATACACGCTCGTACAAAGCACATGCTCGTTCACATGGTGTCAACCATTCGTATTGCTCCCTCCACATGTGGTTCTGATTCTGATGGCTGCTTTCTAATGCCATCCGCCTGTATTGTGATTTCCGGTCTCTCTGCTCTGCTCTCTCTCTCTCTGCTCTGCTCTCTCTCTCTCTCTCTCTCTCTCTCTCTCTCTCTCTCTCTCTCTGCGTCTCCCCTCTCTCCCCCTCCCCCCCCCCCCCCCGCTCTGCCCGCCTCCGTCCTCGTACATACATGGACAGGTTATTCCTCGGTCCACGTGGTGCCAGCGTCTATTTGCCCACCTGCGTTTCCACCAAGGTGCAGCCAGGCCAGAATACAGGCCAGAAATCATGCCTCCCCCATTCCCCCCCCCCGGCGCTGAAATCGGCCGCCCCGACGCGGTTGGATCGCAAGTGTCTCCGTCCATCTGACCGGCTGATGCGATACCGCCAGCTTGGACTCGGGACAGGTACCTGCTCCATCCCTCTCCAGCTAGCACTGGTTGTTGGCGCCTCTGTTGTTCTGGTACAGCCGCTGATTGGGCGCCGGACGGACACCGCTGGGCGCCTCTGCTGTAAGTTCTGACAGCTCAGCGGCACCGTTTGGCACCCTGTCCTTGTTAACCTCAAGTGCAAGGCGGTGAGCGCGTACGCTTTGCCGTTGATTTGCCACAAACTCCCTTAGCCGAAGCCAACTTGATTACATCAACGTCCAACTAACTTTGAGCGTCTTCACCTCTTGTTTCCCTTTTATGACAGCGCAGTTTGCTTGCTGCTGCTCAACCCACCCGGTCACTTTTGTCCAATCAGAGGCACCAAGGAGAACGGACCCAACAACCCTGTGGCCGCTGTCACTTGGCCCTTTTGGCGGGCACTCAATTGGGGGTAGGACAACAACGGCCGTTGGATTCGAGATGGCGGCCGGTTCACGGATCGTGTAACTCTAGAGCACAGACATGAGATGGTTGTTTCTTTCGCTTGAGAAACTACCTTGTTTTCTCCTCCACCACGTGCCGATGACGTTTCTTCGCCGCGGGCTTCTTTCTTCCTCTTCTTTTCCCTTTCCCCCTCCCTTCCCATCTCTTTGATGGTCCGTCTGCCCTACTTTGCGAGGATTGAGTGATCCTTGCGAGGCGGGCTACCAATACCGGAGGGTACTGGTATCTATCAAATGGACCGGCAAGCTTCCGGGCTTTGAAAGGGGGGTTCTGAATGACTGCTCCGCACTCGTACATGCCGAGAGATCGACGCCGCGGAACGAAGGAAGAATGACTTCTCTTGTCTTGAGAGACATTCCCCCTGCCTGTCTAAGGGTCCATCGCCCTTTGTGCGCAAACTCGGAAGCAGCTGCCTGGCCCCGCTCAGCCTCATGGTTGCAGGATGGGTTTCTCCCTGTAGGGCGGCTGTTGACTTGGCAATGACATTCGTTGCTGAAACATTACGCACCAGAGTCGCGGGCGTGGCCTTGCTATATTTGCCGGAGCTGGAGCCTACAGCTGCGTCGAGGCGGCAGGGAGAAAGGATTCAGGTTGGCTCTCCATTGCAAAGACCATTCAACAGAAGCTGGCTGGCTGCAAGTGCGCCAGACTGCAGAGCCAAGTCGGCACAGAGCGGCGGGCAAGGGAAACTTGGATGCTGTGCCTCACAGCGGCCGCCATGCAGGGTGGCCAGTGCCATCATCTTATCCGCGCGGTGCCTTGCCTTCGTTTCATCTTGTGTACGACTTTCATTTCTCGATATGCATGTTCGAGGTTCTGGTGCACTGGCCGATCCGAGCGAGCCCGTTGCTACTACCATGTGGTCATATGTCCAGGCACATCTCATGCAAGGTACACCCCACACATGGTGCATGGTGGTTTCGACCGCCAGATCGCGGCGACATATGTCTCTCTCTTTGTCTCGATGCTTTCCTCGCTCCATACTAGTAAGTCTTTGCCAGCTTAGCATCGATCTCGGCGGTGGACCATCAGCTACTCCTACTAGCGAGATGAGCACATGATGAGGCTGGGCTCGTCCGTCTTAATTGTGGCAACAGAGCTGGGGCAAGGCAATGGAATGCGTCGCCACGGCCCCGTGCATTCCTCTTCCGTATGGGGAAAACTCGGCGAGGAACGAAGAGCTATGGTTGCTGTGGTATCTTTCCGGAGAGTTGCTTGGGTTTGGGTTTGGTTTGCGGCATCGCTGTTGAATGTAGATGGGCTGTTTAGTTAATGAATCTGATTGCGCTCCGTGCTTGAGAATGCGATGCACCGACACACACCTCCTCTTTTCCCTCTCTCCTCTCTCTCTCTCTCTCACCAATCCTCTCTCTTCCAACGTCTGCTTCTCTCTACCATCGAGACGCAAACTCCACTCATTCACTTCTCTTGCTCACTCACTCACTCACTCACTCACTCACTCACTCTTGCAGTTAAGCTTTTCGCCCTCTTGTGTGATCGAATCCGGCCAAACACCAAACGGCTCCCCCCCCATACAAACGTTTTGGTTTCACTCCGCCTATATCAAGCCTCCCATCATTGTGATGAACGAATCTGGATACTAGCCGCATCCGTCCACTGATACTGATAATCAACCCGCCACTCCCGAATCCGAGACTGTTGCCACCACGATCACCATTCAATGGCTTTTTGGACGGCGCAGTTCCGGGTCGAGCCCACCGTCGATAGGGAAGCCAGCATGTACTGGCAGGGGACAGACGGGCTGCCGTCTGATGCATCGAGCGATCTATTCGGGCAGTTTGTAGACTTTGACGGGGAGAGTGTTGCCAGGACGCCCGTCGACGATGGCAGGGGCGGCAACTCGACGATAGGGGCCGTACCGGATTCGTTCTTCATGAATCAGGCGGCGACAGGCACTGCCTCTTCGGTCGTCTCGTCGGCAGACGAATTCGACTTCTTTTCCACCACCACCTCTCGCCTTGGGCCGTCTACGTCCGCGGCGAGCCATGGCCTCGACTCCCAAGAGCTTGCTTTCGGAGTAGGAGTAGCTGCCGATCCGGCTACCGGCGGATCTCGTCCCATCAACCATCTCAGTCGCAAGTCCATGTCGGAGACTGAGCTCCAGCGCCTTGAAAACATCTCCCTCTACTCCCCGCAGAAGAACCATTCCTCCGTCTCGCACCCGCCGTCTCCCACGCCGCCCAACACTTCTCTCAGGAGACCAAAGAAGCTGGTTGATGCCCTGTCTTCTACCTTCCGCAAGGCAACCACCACTCTTGGGAGACGGAGCAGAAAGCAGCTGCAACAACAGCAACAGCAACAACAGCACCAACAGCCTCCGATAGAGAGGTCAGCCTCTCCTACACTAGACCATCCTCCCATGGCCATCAAGTCTCGAGCCGCGCGGATGCATAGCATAGCGGCGCAGAGCAGCGTGAGCAGCGTCTCTCACGAGAGCCCCTCGCCCACGTCCTATGACCACGGCGCCTCGAGCTTCATACACGGCTTCTGCGATGACCCTTTCGCTGAGCCGTCGCGGGCATACCACTCTCCCAGCATGCAGTACTACAACCACGGCGGCATGGACCCTGCACCCATTCACTCTTCCAACCGCCGCATCAAGAGCGAGCAGCATCTGTATCAGGCGGCCTCAAACATGATAGGTTCCGCCGCCACCATCGATACCGCCTCGCAAGCCTCGCAACACGGCTGGCAGCAGCAAATGATGGCGGCCTCGGCACCGGAGCCGTGGGGCAGCGCCGACTACGCAGCCGGTCAGGACCCTACCTGGTGGGATCTCAACATCAACGCCAGCATGAACCAGGCGATGCACTCGCAGCACGGGGAGCTGCCGTACGAATACGCCCCGATACCGGACACGGGGGGCGCCGGCCTCATGATTCACATGCCCCAGCCTCGGGGCCCGCAGCCTGCCGCCGTCAACGACATTGGGCTCACCACGCAGACGTATCTGCCGCCGCCGCCGCCCATCCCGACCGACCGCTGCAGCCGGCCTCCGCGAGCCCCGTCGTCTGGAGCCCGGCATCGCAACCTGTCGTCGTCGCCCATGCGCAAGGTCCGCGGGCCCTCGGCCTCGCCCACGCCGGCGCACGCCCAGATGCGCAACCAGTCCCGCCACAGCTCCACGGGGTCCATCTCCTCCGTCCGCAGCGCCTCCGGCCGAGGCCCCGGGTCTGCGCCCAACACGCCGGGGGGCGTCCGCAAGCGCAGGTCGCGAGACGCCGGCGCGGGAGGGGGCGGCATCAGCCTCTCGGGCGACGGCATCGGCTTCGTCAACTTCACGCCCAACGACGGCAGCATCCTGATGACGGGCGTGGCGCCCAGCGGGAGCTCCAAGACCAAGGCCCGGAGGGAGAAGGAGGCCCAGGAGAAGAGGCGGAGGCTGAGCGAGGCGGCGATGAAGGCCGTGGCCGCGGCGGGAGGGGACGTGGATAAGTTGATACAAGAGGGCTTTGTGTTTTAATACATGTACCATATTTCCTCGTCTTTTTCTTTTCTTCATCTCTTCTTTCTTTTCTGCTCTGCTTTTACTGGTTTCATAAGTTTGCTTTATTCCTTCATTCTTTTGTGTGGTTTCCAACGTTTTTTTTTTTTTTTTGGGTAACTTGTACGGGCTGTTTCTATCTGTCCGGTTCTAAAAGAAGGGGATCTCCTGGGATGAGGCGGGTCAAGTTCATCTCATACACAAACACACGATACCACCACTCCTCTCTCAAACACTCTTTTTCTTCACCATCATTTCCTTTATTTCTCTTCATTCTATTCCATCTTATTTACTCCACTAATACTTTTTTTTTTTAATTAAAAGTGCTGCCTATAAAGTGTAGACAACACATTCTTTTTTTTTTTTTTTGCAGGGCCATACATTTCCCTTTGTTTTTTTTTCTCGTCTCCACACCCTCTTTATTCTCATATGTTTTGAAAAAAAAAAGAAATCCTTTGTTATTAGCGATAGCTGGAATAAACAAGGCCGGAAAAAGGATCCTTTGTTTGACGTCTCCCCCCTCTCTTTCGCTTGACTTTGACCAACACCCGATCGACAGTGAGATTCATGCGTCGCAACAGGATGCAAACGGAAGCTCACTTTCTTTGTCTCACTCAACTGTGTACTGGGTAGTGGATAGGTAGTAGATGCCCAAACTTTGAGATATCTGCTACTGTCTACTGCTTTCTGCTATTATCGATGCTTTGTTCTGGTGTCTACTACTATCGCTACTTTTTCTAGCTAGGCAGTTATTGCAACTATGGAGATTCAAGCGATTCTAAAAAAATAGCTTTACATGGGATTAAACGGAGACTAGAAAAAGAAAAGAGAGGGTGGCGGAGAAATGGCAAAGGAATCGTGATACCACAAGTACAACGTCGGATCTAGAGTATTCCCTCCTTGTCGAAGGAATTGTCGCTTTAGCCCTGTCTATTATTTCTTAAGAATAAAAATGCCATATGAAAACGTAATTCCGACTGTTTGTGGACGTGTGGAACCATTTCTTCTCATGGCATCATATCGAATTTGACCTTTATTCTTGTAACATTATCCTACAGCACGAGGAATGAGTCTTCCCAAATGCCCATTAGACCATTGGCCTACTCTGTGTTCACGTAAATGATGAAATGATAAACCCCTAACCTCTGCGTCCTAGCCCCTTATAAATGATCGGCGTATATACAAAGGAGCAGGACCAAAGCGGATCGAACGTAAGATGAAAAAAAAAGCAGTCATTGTACCTCAACGCCAAATACATCCCTACAAACGCCATCATGTCTCCCGGGTTCTTGGTGGCATCAGTTGCCTCCTGCTCGTAACATGGAGTTACCACTGAATCAAGAACCTGCGGGTACCACATAGGACCCCCTGCTACGTCGAAGAGCACATCTAGTGGTCATAACCTGCACCACGTTGCCAGGGGCTGGAGAGAAGAATTGTTCGTTAGCCAAGTCGGGGGGTTTCTGCGTGAAAAAAAATTGCAACGTTGCTTACCTAGCGTTGTGTTGCGACCGATGTCCGCTTGCTGGACTGGCCGTGTTTACCGTCCTTTGCTGTGACAGGGAGACGGCGGAGGCGATCGGATTCGGCGTGCTCTCTCGCAGAGGGCTCGGGCCTCGCTGAGCAGGGTAAAGAGGAATGGCAGCGGCCTGGCCCTGACCGTTAGGATAGAACGAGTTTTGGGAGTTTGTAGCAGAGACGCTGTAAGAGCCAGAAGCCTCGTTGTGCTTTCGAACGTCGCCAGAGGACATGGACTCGTTGTCATCCAGATCAAAACCGCCCTTGTAGCCAGCCTTGTCACCTCGAGCTGTGGCAGCCAGAGCGTCAAGCTCGGTGGTTGCGTTGAGCTGCGACTGCGACTTCATGAAGGAAGCGCGGTCGTCAGACATGAACTGGTATCGCGCATCCGGGTTCTTGCGGATCAGAGAGAATGCGGTGGAGAAAATGACCATGAAGAGCAAGATCAAGGAGAAGGCGGCGTTCAAGATGAAGAGGACGACGCCGACGACGCCGATGACGATCAAGGGGGTATCCAACACATTGGTGAAGATGAAGAGGAAGATGGCGTTGAGGAAATTAATAACACCGATGGCAATGTTGAAGGAATTAGTGCTCTTATCCATCCAAGGACGAAGAACGGAGGCTGCGATAAGGAAGCCGACCTCGATGATGATGAGGGCGATGGCTTGGGTGACACCGCTGCGCTGAGCCAGCGCAATAAACATGGACTTGATGAGCGTGTAAAAGAGAATCGGGATGATGAAGTAGTAAGCTGAGGCGCGGAACTGGACGTAAAGAAATCCCCACTTGTTGAGAGCCTGCGGGTCCGAGAACAAAATGTACGCGGGATTGCGGTGCATGGAGATTGAGCGGCGGGCAATGCGGATAACCTTGCTGGCGCCCCAGGCGAGGGTGAAGAGCGGGCCGAAGAAGAAGAAGACGGCGAGGATAACTTCGGCGGCCGAGTCACGCTGAGTGAACTCCCACAGACAAAGGATAGTCATCTGGGGGAAGCCAATCAGACAGACGCGGAAGAGGACACCCTTGAGGACAGTGATCCATCCGTTTCGGAAGTCAATGAACCGGTCGTTCTTCATGATGCCTCGCTGAGCGAGAATCTCGAGGAAGCCCTTGAAAACAGCAACAGCGCCAGCGATGATGAGGGCGAAGATCCAGAAGAAGACGAGGCCAGTCATGAACAGGTTGGTGCTCTCGATACCGGCCTTGAAAGCGACACGCTGGATGCCAAAGACGACATAGCTTCCGGAACCAGTCATGACGTTGCCGCGCTTCAGAAGCTGGACGGCAGGCTTGGGCATGATGGCGGCGCCGCGCTTGAGGACGCCGAGACCGGCCTGTGCGACCTGAAGGCCTCGCTTTTCCAGCTGAACAGAGACGGTAGTGAGAGAGTCGAAGATGGTGGAAGGCGTACCGCCAGTGGCGCGCTGGTACCAGGTGAAGATGGTCTGCATAAAGCCCACACGGATGATGCCCATGGACCATTGGAAATCTTGGGTCCAGGCTTGCACGATAGGCGGGAGGCGGATACCAGTGAGACCAATGATGGCCTGGGCCTGGAAGTATCCGAATAGCGAGAGAGAATTGGCAGCAACGTGGGCGGCGGTGTTGGAATGACCCAGACCGTTGATGATGGCGGATGAGACGAGGGCCAGGCCGGCGATAACAGCAGTGGCCCACTTAACACCAACGAGGTTGACGGTTTTTCCATTGGAAATGTCGGCCTCGACACACGCAACACTCTCGCCAGTGGTTGTCAGGTTGACGCGAACCTTGACGGTGGCATCCAAGTCGGGAATCTGGTAGGCGATGCCGGGGATTTGAGAAGAGGCGGATGCGCTGACGGGCAAATTAAAGCCAAAGGCGATTTTGCCAGACACCATGGGGCAGAGACCTCGCAGGCCAATGTCGCAAGGGTCAACAGTCTGCCTGAGAAAAGTGTAGCCGTACGCAGACGCCTCAATGTCGAACGAAACTTTGCCCTGGACCGAAGAGGTGGCCACCATGTTGATGCTAGCCGAGTTGTTGGCGGGCGTGTAGACGACATTGAACAGACTGGCCTGTAGAGTCGAATCCTGCTGGCAGAGGTTGAGCGAGTTGGACAAGAGCATCTTTTCCGCGTCGGCCGGCGCCAGCAGTGAAGCCGTCATGGCCAGCAAGGCCAGCGGCGCTCTAAAGAACGACCGCATAGTTGATAATGATTGATGCCGCCTTCTTTTTTCGTTCCTTCTGTCTACCCGAAATGCAAGCGACGATGATATCCGCGGGTCGCTGATGAATCAAGGGCTATTCGGGTTCGTCCTGCAAAGTTGATGACGAGGGGAAAACTGGATGGAGCGGACGGAATACGAGGTCAGCCGTAAGAATGCCGGTGAGCGTGTTTTCCTGCTCTGTCGCTTCCGTCGGCAAATATGAGCTTGAGCGCGACGACACTTGAGCGCCCCGGAAGCAGCGCTTTCGGCGAGTCGGCGATTTCTTGCGACCACGAGAAACGAGATGCTGAAGGGCGCGGTTTCGTGATGCGTGCACGGGTCGATGACGAAATGGGCAGATCTGCGGAGCGAGAGAGATTTCCTGCCCTGGTCGCTTCCGAGACGAGGGCCAGGAACGAGAACAAAGAAGAAGAAGAAAGAAGAAACGTAGCGAACAGTCGCCGACTACCACCGGAATGGCCAACGGACAGCGGGCGATTGAGGGAAACCAAAGCGAATGGATGGTCCTGGGGCAGCGAGCGAGTTGTTGCAGGAGAGAAGAGGGAACATGCAAAGAGGCTTTTGGCTCGCTTGATCTTGTGCCGTTTCCCGCTTTTCCTGGAGACAGATCGCAGCGTTTACAGTGGACGGCTCCAGGGAGCGGGGCGCCAATCAGGGCCTGTGGGCATTACGAGCTTCGGGCTTTACAGGGCTCGAGTTGGGGATGGTACGAGTAGAACCAGCCACCGTGAGCAGCCCTCCAGCCTTTTTTTGCAGAGCTTCAAGGGAGCTGGAGACAAAGAGAGAGAGCTCGACTGCTGGAATTTTGCCTATAATACTTGACAGTTGAGAGACTGCTACTGCTGCTGCTACAGGTTCTGAACTACTGCATCCTGCACGGAGCATCCGCGCGCGCGGGATGGGTCGAGTCGAGCCCAGAATAGAATCACTCACTCCCTTACGAGTATTAGCCAGGCCCCAAACGGGCAAATCGAAGCCATTGAAAGGACCCATACCAGTTGGATGGAGCTTCGCGGCGTTACTCGTGTCGGGCATGCGGGGTACATGCCCTTGGCCCAGCCTCTCCACGCCATCCAAGGTACCGACCCGGCGCATCTCGGGTTCCCCCTCCCCACTGATCACTGGTCGATGGACCCCGTGGAATCCGCCCGGGTAGGGCAAAGAACGAATCCGTTGGTTGCTCGCGAGTCGCTTGCATTTTTTTTTTTTTTTTTACGAGAAAACTTGGATCCGGGATGCTGTAGAACAAACGTCATCGGCGGTGGGCAGATCCCTTGAATGCTTCTGCGCTGTGATGTATGTACCCTTTTTCGTGGTGTTGCCTATCCGGGTAAGATGGATGCTGTTCCAAATTCCCTGTTTGGCTGTCCATCACCACATTGCCTTGGTTGCTTTCCATCGTATTAACTCGTATCAACCGGCCAGGATCCCCCAAAAGATTCAAGTCAAGCCCATCTGATGCTCCTCTGGCACTACCGATAAAGCTAGTCACGTCCCGTCCCTTCACAACAGCCATCTGACACACGCAATCCCGTAGCGCAACCACCTCGATGCATGCGCTCTCCCCCAGGCGGGCTCTTCATTCCAGTCAAAAAGCGCCGGAATGCGTGGCCCCTGTTGTACCTCAAACCCGGAACGATGAAAAACACATTATAGCACGCAAATGAATCCCCTTTCTCCAGCTGCCCAGCCCATCTATTTTCGCTCGCGTTCAAATGTCCATCACATGCTGCTGCTCCCTTCGAATTCATTGCCTTGGCAGCCTCATCGCTCGCCGTGGCGCAGCAAAAAAAGTCAATAATGAAACTACCTAGGCGCCCCCAAATCTCCATTGTGTAAGTACTAATGTACGAGTATACGGAATGAGAACCGAACTTGTCATCTCTGCTGTCTTTCTTTCCAGCTGCTCAGCCTCGTTCGGTTTCCCATCTCGCCCACTGAAGCACGTTCCCCCCCTTGCGAGCAAACAATGATCCCTTCTCCGCAAATCGCTGATCATGGCGTCACATGCACCTGAAATGGGGCGACGTAGGTGGAAATGATTGGGAGCAATTCCAATGCCCGTGAAGCAAACAATAGGCAAGCGGGCAAGCGGAGGGCAGACAAAGTGAGGCCGCAGATGAATAAGTCTGTACGTTGAGTAATATGAGAACCCACCAGCTCATCAAGTGGTCCTTTTATAGGCAAATGCCTAATATTCGGCCAGCACCTAAATTGTGCTATATGACTATAATAGCAGTGAGAAATACAAATGTTATAGCAGTTACTAGAGAAACATAGATATAATAGCAGTCAATGGAGAAATGTAGATATGGTCGGGTAGTAAATATTAGCGAAAATATAGGTTAGTAGCTTGCCATTGATTGCTTCCATCTCAGTATGATGCCATATTCATCAACTGTCTACATGTACCCTACACCAACATCAAAATGATAACCAGGGACTTACCTAAGAACAAATATATCCCATATGATTTGGAAGTTAGACACTGGTAATATACCGAGAGAGAAAAAAAAAACAATGCTCAATTCTTAAAACAGACGCTCGATTGCTTCGTATTTGCCATACACAGTGCCCTGCCTGATCCCACGTAAATGCATCCAAATCTATCTACACAAAAGGCCAAGCCGCCCAAAAACGATTCAACAGAAAAAAGAAACCAAAAAAATCCAAATGTAGCTTAAAGGACATCCCACTGCATATTCCACGGCTGAGTCCCCTGCTTAAGGCTGATGCCGTGCTTGTAATTGCTAATCAGCTCCTCCTGATCCACGCCGCAGTGCTTCTGCCCATCCCGCCCGGCGAACCACCCCAGGCCGTACGTCTTGTACTCGCCAAGCTTCTGCCGCACCTGCGTCGCGGTGAACTTTTCCGTGCCGACAAAGTCGTAGAGCATCTTGCTCTGGTGGATGTACGCCAGCACCGAGGCGATGGTGTTGGGCTGCCGCGGTAAAAAGGCGTGGCGCCGGCGGAAGAAGACGACAAAGGCCACGGCAATCATGTAGAGCAGGATAAAGAGCGACGCGGCGACGGATACGTAAAAGGACTTGACCGTCTCCGTCCCAGAGTTGATTTCCCACGTCTTGTTCCCGTCATTGTAGACTAGCAAAAAGTCGTGTCCGTCAACCGTTGCCAGGCCAGCCACGAGAACGGTCAGGAACTCGGCCATGACACTGCCAAAGCCGACGAAAAACACGAGCAAGTGGCCGTTTACGAGCGCGCGCATCGGCATGTAGCCAAACGGGAGCGCCGTGTAATCCAGGAGCAGCGCCTTGGCCGGCGCGTGCCGCTTGGAGAGGATATAGTAGGGCTCCATCATGCGAACTGCCGTCTCCATGCCGCCCCACGCCATCTTCAAGAGAACAACGAGCACGGTAATGACCCAGGGCGCCTTGTCCGAGACGATGGTGGCGGGCGTGAACAGGAAGACGGGGATAAAGCCCGTAAAGAGGCAGAGCCCGACAATCATGGAGATGATGCCCACCGAGCGAAGCATGACGGGATGAGGGTTTGTAGGGAGGTCGTGGTCATTGGACTGTTCCTTCTCCTTGGAAGTCACGTACGAATCATCGGGCGCGAGGGACGAGTTGCGGAGCACGTAGCGGTTGTACTTGAGGCGGTTGTGGATGTCGCCGTGAGAAGCCGTGTCCATGTCCTTGAAGTCCATGAGAATGTGGCTCACCACGGCCATGGATGCGAGACCAGCAATTCCTCGGACATCGGATATGAGACCGGACCTGCGCGACTGCAAGAGATAGAGCAGGACGCAGCCCAGCACGGCAATCACGCCGAGGGTAGACGTCAAGAGCCGTGACCAAACAGAGGTGAAGCTGAGCGTCTTGTATCCATCGGGGTTGGCCATTCGGTCGGATCGGGATGGGCTGAGCACGACGGCAGCGGCAGCAAACGTCGGCACCAGCGACACGGCCAAGATGGTCGCGATGGACGACACGGCCACGGCAAAGTGGCCCTTCCTCAGAGCCCGAAACGGACGGAAAAAGTTGAAGCTGGTCGCGTAGTCAATGTTGATGGAGTCCGAGGCCACGGCGCCGTCCTCCTTGGAAAGCTGATAGAAGGCTTCCAGGCGCCGCACCTCAAAGTCGGTAAACTGCCACAGGACTCCGAAGATGACGGCCAGCAGCGTGGGCATAAACTTGATGACGAAGAAGATACCCGGCTTCACCTGATCAGGGGATGTGAACTTGACCATGCCACCATTCTTATACATTTGGAACAAGACCTCCTGCATGGCGGCCAGGCCCGCCGAGATGAGGACCAAGGAGATGAGATATGGCCATCGCATGGAGAAGGGCTTCCAGTTGGGCTGTGGATAGAAAGTCTGTGTCGCCTTCTCCTTGATTGAGCCTGCGTACGTCGACTGTCGCATGGTGATGTTGTGCCCCTCAATGTTGCTCAAATCGGCCCCCACCGGCTCTTCCATGATGACCTCGATGACCTCGCCGCGGCGGTTGGCCTCGTCCTGGCCCATATGACGCAGCGTCTCGGCACGATTCAACGGCTTGCCCTGGTTCCGCCGTGAGAATGATCGCGAAAGGCTGCGCTGGACCGCCGGCGCCGCGGAGAAGAGTTGGCCGCTGTGTACCCGAGAGTCGGCGTGGAAACCCTGGCCCAAGCCTCCGGTCAGATTCCCCCTCGCCTCCTCCTCTTGCAGTTTCTTGATGAAGGCGTGGTCGTGCGAGCCAAGCGGCCCGAGTGTTGCCGTGAAATCGAATGCCGGTATGGCGTCGTACTCCTCGTCTTGCTCGTGTATGGCCTCATAACCACCCCGCGATTTCGACATACCGATGGGCGCCGCAGACTTGAGCAGAGACAAATCATACGGTTCCTCCTCTCTGATGCTCTCGGGAACGGTCTGCTGCACCGAAGAGTAGCTGGGTTGCCGGTTCCCCCTGGACAGGCCCCGTGTCGGAGCGTATCCCCCACCACCACCACCGCCGGCACCAGAGTAGGAAAACGAACCAGACCACGAAGACGCTGGCGAATAGCTCCGAGGCAAGTCTCCGTACATGGTCGACGGCACGGAGCTTCGACGGTCATATTCCGACTCCAGCGACACTATGGATTCACGGCCCCGCAGCGGATGAGAGGCATCGTCGTGGCCGTACGGGCTGTTTTCGCCGGCGTCTGAGAGGCCGGACACTTTATGCGCAAGATGCTGGTCTGGAGAAGGCCCCGCCCACGGGTCTCTGAAGGGCTCTCGGCCTTGACGGTTATTATAAGCCATGGCGTTGCGATAGAGTCATGGTCAACGGGGTTGATGGGAGGTGACAAGTGAGAGCTGGAGAAGGTCACCGAAGAGAGCTGTGGCGTTTGCTTTTTTGTGTGTTTGTTTGGCCAAGACGGTGAACGACGGCAATTGGTGTTGCTGTGGTGCTTGTGCTTGCAGCTACGGAAGAAAACCTGGAAAGGAGGCTGCAGCTGCTGGCTGGGGCTGTTGGCTGGGGGGTGGGTTGCAGCGATAAACGATTGGAAGCGTCGGAAGGAGATTGGGGACTCTATCAATATTGCAACGGAGAGCGAAAGGGAAGAAAGAAGAGGAACGAGAGAAGAGAAGAGAAAAAAAGAAAGTGTGGAAGAGAAGAGTACAGAGGTACGAATGGGCAGCTTAGTAGGTCGGCGTATGGAGGATCATCAAAGTCCGCCATCGCCAAACAAAGTCACGGAAGTTGTCAACTGGGCAAGGGTGGGGAATCGAGCTGGGATCGAACAAACACAGCCAAAAGGATGAATAAAACTCACAGAAACCACTAACTAATCAATACTAGCAGAAACCCCCCTGTAATAGGGCTGCGTGGTTGCGTTGCGTTGCGTTTGCCGTTTGCTGGTCATCTGTTCCCGGACTACTCGTAACCCGGTTAGCAGCAGGACGGCAACGAGCTCAGCTCTCCTGCACGATCCCACTTGGCCCGCCCCCAAGAAAAACGACTTCGCCTCGGGAGAGCGTCTATTGCGCCTGATGGCTCCAAAACCTCTCCAAACTAGTACTCGTAATAGCCTGCTGCAGGCCCCCCCCTGGCGCGGTGCGGCGTGTGTGTGGCCTGTGATTGGCCTTGCTTAAGCGGTGGTCGGCATTCTCTGATGGCCACTACAGGATGCAGCGAGCACCCGACAGACCACACACACACACTCTCTCTCTCTCTCTCTCTGCACTGTGATTTGATTTGAGCCTCACGGCGGCCTCCTTGTCCCCTTGGGGCGGAGGCATTCCAAGGGGGGGCGGCAAACCGGCTTCCCGTTCTGCATACATGTACTTTGTTTGCCTTTGCATGTACGCGCGGATCGCAAAACGGTGAGATTATAGTGCCTGCTGCGACAATGGGGGATGATTGTCCAGTCAGTATGAGTAAAGTACGTGCAAGAGGCAAAAAAACGCCAGCGTTCTTTATATATAACTCGGTTCACGTAAGCGCTTTTCAAATAGAATCGCTGATTCAGCCATCTGTCGGAGAGGAGACGGATGTCAACGATCCGCAACTCCCGTCTTATTCTATTAATGTGCGGCAAAAAAACACAAACCCTTTGCTGAGCTAAAATGTGTTCTAGGATTCGAGTTTCCATAACAAGTGACAAGTCCGTGGTCCGTAATCTTCTTTCTTCCCATTGCCGAGAACTCCCAATTCAAATGCCGCGCCAATGTCCCTCCCCCCGAACCAAATGTCGGCGCGATTCCGAGATATATAAACAAAACATATAAAAGGAAATGAAGCTGTTTCATGCAACATGCCAAAAAAAAAAAAAAAAAAAAATAGAAAATAGATGAGATAAAAAAACGGAGGCGAAAAAAAGGGTAGGTTGATTGATGAATTTACAACATCAACAATGCTGACGCAACCAAAGACACGACGCCGGCCCAGCTCAAAACCACACCTCTTGAGCCGCCAACAAGAGCCGAAGCACCGCTCGCCTGCACCTTGCCGCAGCACGTGTTGTTGTACGTGACGTTGTTGAGTCTCGCGGCCGCCTCGAACACGGACCCTGCCGGCGTGCCGTAGTTGTAATAGTCGACGTTGAGGACGTTGGGCGCGCGGCCCCAGGCGGCGCGGCAGTTGTTGGCGGCCAGGCCCACGCTGCCGTAACCCTCGGCCGCGTTGGTCTCGTTGAGCAGCGAGACGGCCGGCACCAGCAGCTCGAGGCTGAAGACGTTGAACTCGGCGTTGAGGTTGTGGTTCATCAGGTAGAGCCGGTCCTCGGCCGCCTCGGTGGACAGGTCCGGGGGGCGCTGGACGGTGCAGGGAAAGGTGCGGTCCACGGGGTCAAAGGGCGTCTCCCACATCTGCGAGAACTCGTCCATCAGCCACGGGTAGGCCGTCTGGTTGGCCTTGTAGTCGAGGAACATGACGACGCGGTTGCCGTGGATGATCATGTTCTCCAGCGTGGGCCAGTCGTCCAGGCTCATGGGGAAGACGGTGGGCACAAAGGTGTACTTGAGGATGCCCGTCTGCTCGATGTAGGGCACGTAGATGGACGGGTCCGAGTAGTTGCCGTTCTCCAGCAGCACGGTGACGACGTCGTACGGGTGGGCGTCGACCCATTCCGCCACCTCGCTCAGCCAGTCGGTGATGGGCCCGGCGTCGAGGAGATCGCACGTCGTGTGGCAAAAGTGCGGCACCGAGCTGTTGGCCGGGAACTGCATCTGGGCCTGCAGGAAACGCACGCCGTCGTCCAGCTGCGTCTTGACGTCCAGCTCCTGGTTCGACCCGGAGTTGCCCGGCCGCACAAAGGGCGAGTTGTGGCAGCCGACCTGCGTGACGTTGCTGAACTTGCGCGTGCACAGCTCGACGTGGTTGTTGCAGGGCTGCGTGTTTGTCGGCTCCGGAGGCCCCGAGGCCGTCGCCGTGAGATTGCCCGCCGTGGTGAGCGAGCCGGTCGGGAAGCTGACGGTGACGGACCCGGAGCTGGACCCGGAGCTGGACCCGGAGTGGGTGGTTCTGGAGCTGGCCGCGCCGGTGAGGGTGATCTTGGAGCGATATGTCGTGTAGGCGCCCGTGGGGACGGGGTCGCCGCCCACACGCTGCGTCTTGGTGCCCTGGTAAAAGGAAAGCCCTGACGTGTCCGAGTACGACACCTTTTGCGCACCGGCGGTCTGCAACAGCAGCGCCAGTGCGCCGAGGGCGGCGTAGGGGACTCTCATCCTGTGACAATGAGTTTGGTGTTGAAAGTCGAGCCTGCGTAAGTCCTCAAGCCTGCCCTTATCCGACCTCTCCCAAGCTGCACAGCCCAAACTCGACACGTTATCTTATCAACAAGATCAAAAGATTCAGTCTCGAACAATGATGTCGACGAATAAGCAAAGAAAAGGGATATTTCCGATGTCCGACAACGGATGCGCGGCGGTATGGAATCACCGGCTGCGAGGACCGGAAGCCGTGCCGAGGGGGCGCTTCCGCCACGGGGGCAATGACAGCTTCGGGCTCGTACTCGCGTGCAGAGTGAAGGAGAAAAAAAAAAGCGGCGATCGGCGGACAGCTCAGAAGCTCATCCACTTTTGGAGCTCGTCGTCGTCATCAAATTGAAGGTGAGCAAGATAAGTCGAGTCGATACAGCCCCCAAATGTGCGTGTCACAGCCACTCTCCACTCGGACGCGGAATAGCACAACCTAGCCAACCAAGTCGGGGATGTTGCTTCGTATTCGAGAGACAGGCCGCAAGACAAGTTTAGAAAGTCGAGGTCAGAATAGCCCGGGATAATCGAGGGGAATGGGAAGAAGAAGAAGAAGAAGAAGAGAAGAGAGAGAGAGGAGGAGATGGGGAGAGAGAAGAGAAGAAAAAAAAGAAAGAAAACGAAACAAAAGGTGGTGGAGTTGATGGGCCGTGAAACCAAGATATGAACTCCCCCAGCGTTTCCACCTTTTCGCTTCTTGTTTCGATCTCCACGCTTCTTTTGGCGAGCTCCTTTTTCGTCCTGTCCTGTAAAAAAAAGAGCCAGAAAGGGACACCACGCACGGCAAGTTTTTTTTTTTTTTTTTACAAGCTGAAGCTTTTGCCGGAGATCTGCGTATGGATCCTGGGTTGATCGCCTGGAAACAAATCATGTCGCCCAGGCGGCGCGCATCTGATACAAGTAATGTCACCCAACCGCCAATGGCAACCCATCGAGCTCTGGATGCAAAGCGCTCTCGGCCTCTGATTCCAGAGGCTGTCATTACCAATTACAATGCGGGCGGCTTGTTTTCCCTGGCGCTTCCTGTAACAATTGGACGGGGGGGTTGAGGTCAGGCACTGCCCGTTCGGTCCCTCCTTGGGCCCCCCGGACCCTTGTTCACATGTCTCAGCCCCAAGACACCCAAGAGGGTTTTTATCCCGGGCCAAGGAAAAAGCGAAGCGAAGGAGGCGACAAAACCTCAGATTGGGCCAAGCCCGCAGCTCCGTATCTCGCAGCATAATCTTTTCTTTTTTTTTTGTCCATGTATCTTGCTCTTCCTTGCCCGTGCGTCAAAGTTCTAAATGCCGATCCGCATGTTGTGTCCCCAGGGAGAGGCAGAAGCGCCAAAGCCTCTTCATTTCGCGGGCTAACCCGTGGGTCAGGCGTCTATCGATTTGTGGGCATGGGCTCGCCGTATGATCTCATCACACGGATGTTTGAATTCACAATGTTTTTTTTTCTCTCAAGTGAGGGTTGAGCACAAAATGCAACATCTTGATGTTTCTTCTGGGCACGCTGCCAAAAGAGAGTTTCTGACGGCATGTCGGGTGCATGATGCATGATTCTGGCTGCATTGGACGTGCATGTTCCTCGTCATGAGGCGAAGCAGAGACAGAGACTTGGCGGGGACTCTGCACCCTTCTTTCGGCACTCTCGCTCCGATCTGCCGGGTGGTGTCCATAACACGGCCTGGATATGGCTCGCCGTATCTGTACGAGTGCAGTTGAGGTTATACTCGTACAAACACCAAGGCACTGGTGTTAGTGAGTCTCCATGTAATACAGGTAGCACCCCAACCTCCGTGAAATCAATGGACAACCGTGGGCCCCTCGTACAGATACACGTATCCGCATGCTTCACAACTCATCCGCCAACTCATCTCCAAGACAACTCTCAAGGGGGTCTCCATCCCTGTCCCCTCTTTCATGTCTGTCAATCTCTCGCCCAGTCGTCCGCACCGCTCCAGGGCCTCGTGGGGGCAGCTAGCCGCTAGGAACAGCGCCTCGTGGGTGGATCGGGTGAGCTGCAGCCCCCTGTAAAAGTGCCATTGGAAGTGCCAGCGGAACCGATGCGCCAGGGGGGACGAGGGTCCGGTTGCACAAACCAGCGGCCACAGGTTTGCGTCGCCTCGGCCCTGGTACCGGTACCCGCAGTGCCCCTCGCATTCCGGTGTGGTCCCTGGTACTCCATACCTCTGGATCCGATGCCATGCATGACTTTTGCACGGCATTGAATGTTTTGGGCGCCGTTCCCAATTCTGAGCCATCTGATCTTTTTTCTTTTTTTCTTTTTCCCTTTTTGTCTCTCTTTCGTTTCTTTGGTTTGTCATTTTCATTTCGTTTCTTGTTTTTTCTTTCTTATTATTCATTTGTTTCTTTCTGTCGTTTCCTTTTCACTCTCTCTGTTTCTGTTTCCGTTTCCGGCTTCTTTCCTAAACCCTCTTCCGCCATCTTTCTCCCCCCTGCCCTAGAGGCAGCCTCTCTCCATCCTCCTCATCCATTCCATTCTCCCTTCAAAACAATCCCGCTGTTTGGATTCAGAATTCGCATTCACAACCATGGCTGCCAATGTACGGACATACACGGCTATCCTTGCTGGCATCTGCTACTTCGTCACGATTCCCTTTCTCATCCTCGTCCTCATTGGCAACACCTACAAGAACGACATCCTCGACGACATCTACTTCTTCAAGCTCGACGTCTCCCACATCATCCCCATTTCCGTCGAAAACTCAAACCTGCTCAATTCCGTGGCCCGGAGCCTCGGTCTCCATGACTTTTACCAGGTCGGCGTGTGGAGTTACTGCGAGGGCTACAACGATGAGTAAGTGCCGTCTCCAACGCCAATTTCATCATCATGATCCATGGAGAAATCATACTGACCTTGATGCTCCCAGAGGCGTAACCTTCTGCTCCCCGCCCAAATCCTTCTTCTGGTTCGATCCCGTCTCGGTCCTCGTGGGCGAACTCCTCGCCGGCGCCCGAATCGCTCTGCCGTCCGAAGTCACCACCATCCTCACCCTCCTCCGCATCGGATCCCAGGTCATGTACGCCTTCTTCATGTCCGGCATCGTCCTCAACTTCGTCCTTCTCCTCCTCACGCCATTGGTCCTCAAGTCCCGCTGGTTCAGCCTCTGCACCTCCCTCATTGGTGCCGTGGCCGGCATTGTCCTCACCGTGGCGGCCGTCATAGCCACCGTCATTAGCGTGGCCGCCAAGATTGCTCTGACGGCCCAGGACCAGCTGAACATCCAGTGTGATATCGGCGGCAAGATGTTTGCCTTCATGTGGATAGCGGCGTTGCTGGCGGATTTCGCCTTCTTGCTGCACGCGGCCATGGGATGCTGCTGCGCGCCGAACAAGAACAAGGGGTTCAACTCAGGACCGGCCTCGCCAACCGGGTCGGGCATGAAGGAAGAGAGCGGCGCCAGGTATTCACTACCCAACTTTGTCCGTCGCAGAAGTCGCATGTCATGAAGAATTAGTACAGGCCAGAAAAGTCATGTCGAGTTATGAGCTGTGGTTGTTTTGCTTTCGTTTTGCTTTTCAAACAGTCGGAATGGGATCACGGCAGGAAATGGTTAATCACTCCAGGGATTTCACGGTTGGTTTTGCAGCGCGCAACTGGTTTTGCATCGTGAATGCACCGCGCGATACGGGTTTAGGGACGCATCTTGTTTTATAAATGTACCGCGCACCACATGTTATCGATGGATATTATGCAGGAGTGGAACGGTCTCAAGGGATAGAGGTAAACGGACTTACCAAGATACAGATCAATCAGAGAAGTGATCGCCGGTCGAAGAAACAAGACTGGGAGAAATAATGTCATATATTACCCTCTATCGTACACGGGTGCATGTAGCATTTGTAATATGCGTGATGACTGAGATGGAATGCCTTGAAATGTTCTATTCATGTTGTAGCTTCTTGTTTCCACCGCGGGTCTCTGATTTTGGTCGTCATCTCGCATTCTCCTATAAAAAGAAAAGTTCGCATGTCCATGGAAGCGCCCATCTACTCCCTTCTCACGTTTGTGACGATGGCTCAAAGGCAAAATAAAGATAAATCTACACACCCCCCAACACGCCCGTCATCAGATCTTCGTCCTCTATATGGGTATCGAAGCCGACACCCGCGTCTGCAATGTCCTTCTCCATTCGCTTCTGTTCGCGAACCAGGTGTCGCGCGTAGTCCTTCGTGGAGCTCAGCCGCTCGTTCGTCACTCGGTACTGTTTCGTCAGGGTCTCAATGCTGCTATGGCTGCGGGCCACCTCGGATGCAAAGTCCGCCTCGGTCATCAAGTCATGCTCCTCATGAAAGGTCACATAGCTCTCGCCAGCCGTAGGCCCGACTTGTAGCTGGCCCTTGAGCATGCCAGATTCGATCATATCGCTGACTAGCAGTAGAACCTCGTCGTCATCCTTGAGAGTCTCGGCTGTCTGAGCGCTCAAGGTGGTCTGTCGAATTTGGGACATGGAGATTTGGTGGTATATCCGGCGGAGGTTGATAACCTGCCACTTTTGATACGAGACAATCGCCTCTTCAAGGAGGGTCAGGTTTGAATCCTCTTCCCAAGTCGATCGCCCCTTCTCAAATTCTTCCTTGAGAGCTGACGCGCCATCCGTCGTGAATAGCGTCGCGATATTGTTATAGGCCTCGCTTAGCCCGTTGTATGTCCCCTTTGTTGCGTTGGTGATGTAGGATGGGAAACTGGGGGGCCTCCCCTCTCGAAGCAGCCCGACCAGTAGCCACTTCTTGTACCCATCCAACATAATTTTGCTCACCCCCTTATCCTTGACCGGATGCCCAATCACTCGCTCTAATGCTACCTGTGCTTTGAGCCAGTCCTTTCTCGATATGTACGCCATGGCTTGGAGGAGGTGATATTCGAGGATGGAAGTGCTCTTGATGGCATCCGTAAGACTGGCCGAGGCTATGTATACATAAGGCTCGACTTCGGGATCGTACAAGTTCTTTGCATTCTCGGGGCGCGCAGGATGTGTATTTCGCGGGTAGAAGAGGATGTCCGCATCAAGAACCTTGAGAGCGGGCTCGATACAGTTGGTGTCGTAGGCTAGCTTCACCATGGTCAAGTGTGTTGATGTAAATACCGATCCGCTAGGGTCGATTCGAAGAATTGCATTTGCAAGGAGGTCTACTGCAACCAGTGGCTGTTTCTGTTAGCAACTGCTGGGGAGAGAGCTAGATGCTCCAGCGCTGGAGGTGCACTCTTACTGAAAAGAAGCTGCCGAGATCTTCCAGCAATGAACGAAACAGTGATCCAACATATCGTATCTGTATCGGATCAAACTCTAATAAGAATCGGACGGCCTCATCTAGTAGCAGCGAGCGAGGCGTAGACTCTGGAACGGAGCCGCGGAGGAGGGTATCGATTATCGAGAGGAATCCAATAGAGTTGGTAGAGGGATCGAGCAGCTGGGTAAAGTATCAGCATCGTAGGCTAAGACAAATGCCTTCAAGAGTGCTGCCTACCTGGAGAGCCTCGATCGGATTGAATTGGATCGCAGTCTGTACGTCGCTGGAGAGCTTTGTCACGGACGCCGCATAGCTCTTGGCGGCGGCGTCGTAAGCCTTGGTTGACGGGTATGATGTGGGAGATGGAGAAAAGTCTAGAAAGAGGTGCTTGTATCCGTCCATGGTTGATGAGCTTCACGGACTCGGTGAAGCCGAATCGAGGTAGAGGGAGCTGGGAGGAATAGCAGAGCTGGGCTGCTGTGAACTTGGGGCGTCCTAGGTTCTGACTGTCGCTCGTTTGGTGCTCGTCATGCTCGGAGGAAGCCCGGAGATTAAACAGACAAGACGTCGAACTCTGAGGTGTCTGGGCCTGATGTGCAATGAACGGAGTTTTGAGATTGAAGAGAATGTTGGATGCAGCTCTGGAGGTGGGCAAACGAGGTCGCTGTATGTCACGAAGCTGCGGCGCGATAGTGGGGGAGGCATCGAGGTGATAACGTCAAGTCCGGGATTTAGCCGTGGGTATGTAACCGGTCCTCCAGCACCCAAACTTGGACTATATCATGTTGATTGCTAGAGACATTTACATTTCACTACGTGATCTATAAGAAGATGATGCATCTTATGGGCAGATCTGGAAAGAGAAAATGTATCAAAAGTGCGCATTTTTTATTCACATCGCTACCTACCTCCATTTCTCCTCCGTTAATGACTTAGTGGTAGCCCCAAATACAGGCTGTTAAGAGCGAAGCAATATAGTAGCCATTAGTACCTTGAAGTTTTTCCGTGTGGCACGAGCAGCGGGATTCACAACCAACTCTCAACAGCTCACTCAACTGTATTTGCACGTCAGTCCAGCGCTGAGAGAATTGTTGTTCAAGCCTCATCCGTCCATGACCAAGAACGAATATCTAGAGCACCTGAGAGAGAAGCAGCAAGCACGTCAGGCCAGCATGGCGGGACCAACGTCGGTTCGAGTACCATGGAACACGCAGATGCTCAGACGGGACAGACCGTTGGCCCTCCCGGCGGTGTCGTTCGCGACGGAGGACCAAGAGACAGAGGGCTACTATGGCAACGGTCAGTCACGAAACTTCCTGCCAGGGCGAGGAAACCAGACGTACAACGGGGGCCAGGATGACCGACAGGCGCGTTTTCGGAACGGACGAGGCCAGAATGGACGACAGCCGCGTTTCCGTGATGAACCAGGCCGGGAAGTTACATGTAGCTTGACGCAGACCGGACACCATAAAAAGACCACCTACCAAAAGACAAATCATCATTGAAGATTCGGTAAAGGCGAGAGGCCCGGCTCATTTCACTGCGATATCGGGACATAGATTCGAGACCTGACAGATCTCTCAAGACTCGTTTCCATTGAAATAAATTAGAAAGGCCTCTCGCTAGGCCGAAGACGTCGAGGGGAACATATGTAGTTAGGAGTAAACTCGTTATTCATCTTCATCTCTTTCAGAGATTCGGGTCAGAAGACGCCCAGGGCTGGCGACAGCATCCGCAAAGGCATTGCCAAGGCCACTGCGGAAATATTGCCAGCGTTCTCCATTCGGGCGTCGCAAAGCCATCACCACAAGGTGGACAAAGGGTTCGAACCAAAGTCCGACGATATACAACGCCAAGGCAACCACAGCCATATATGCGAAGACCTCTAGTCCATCTGGAACAAAATCTCTAGAGCAATTTTAGCGAGGGTCAATATGTATGTGACGCCGAAGTAGAAGAAAGACATGCACACTTACGACACCACACTCATTGTTATTGAGGTCTCTGGCAGTGAGATATAGTATTTTCGGATTCCAGAAGAAAATGGCGATGACTGGTAGACAATTGTAGCGACAGTAGAAGAGAGTAGCGGTAGTAGAAGAGAGTAGCGACGGTAGAAGAGAATAGTGACAGTAGAAGAGAGTAGCGACAGTAGAAGAGAGTAGAAGAGAGTAGAGAGAGTAGAAGAAATAAGAAATAGTAGAAGAGAGTAGAGATACCTGCAAGAGTAAGTATAAAAGCCACACTGGGGCGCTGGATAACCGCACACACACTCTCTCTATATAAAGTCAACCAGGCGAGGGGAATAAACAATTTTACTGTGAGGCACGTATCCTACCAGCTCTTTTTAACCTCCAGTATATACAGGAGATAGTCACAGCCAACGTCCTCATACCACAATCAGAGCTTCGATGAAAGTATCATCGTCTCTTATAACGCAAGGGACAGTCTCGCATGTAAGTGATTGCTGTGGAAACCTGCATCCGGTGGCTTCATAAGGCGAATGAGCTGAAAAAGACATGTTCAAGGAAAGCATGTACTTACTCCATATTTAGGGGCGCTGCGGATAGAGAGGAAGAGAAGAAGGGAAGAAGTAAAAGAATCATCATGACATTGCGTGTATATGAGGCTGTCATACTCGCAGCTAGCCGAGCATGATGTAAACAGAAGGCAGGGAGTGAACAAGGAGGAAACCATGACGCTTCTTGCCATGATACGACGACCAGTTATTTCTTGGTTGGGAAACCAGACTTTCCATTTGGATTGAATTCATGTCTATGTGGCATTGGCGGCAATAACATCTTGTGGCATTTTAAAACCAACGTGTCAATGATTGATAGAGCCATATTTACCTACGTCTAATTGGAAGACACTGGGTACATTAGGTACCGAGTTGCACCGGTGAAATGAAGAATGTTGAGGAGCTTCTTTCTGTAGCTGCTTCATCAGTTGGTTAGAATGTGTCTGCCAGCTTGGTTTGAAGCACTGTCCTGATCAATGGCACTTTCCTCTTCTTCCGAGGCGGCCATCGTGTACAAAGTTCAAATACAGGGCATATCTACCAGGAGACTCGGTGTAGACCAAATTATAACCTAATCTTGAGTAGCCGATGGTTTAAGGAATTATCAATTAGAGGATAGGGAGTACTTGAAGCGATAAGTGATTGCCATGGAAGCTTATATCTGATGGCTTCACAAGACAAATGCATTTTGACCCAGGAGAGTTTTGGGGAGGGCCAAGTACATACTTTAGTACCTTATGTATCCCGTATGAGTTCCAAGCTGGGTCCGCCCGGTCCATGGCTGGGCCACGAGTTCCAGGTTCCCTCATCATCTAGTCAACTGCAGCAATGTCCATGTTGCATACTGGTCCCGCATAGATGAATGGGGCAGTAATCAGCAGAGTCTCGTCTTCCCCGGAAAAGAGCAAAGCAGGCTTCAGCAGTGGACCGTGCCGCTGGAATACTTGGTGGAATATATCCTCGCGTGGCCCCATTATCTCAGGTTGAACGAGGAGATGGGGTTCTTTGAGTGCAACCCCCCCCCCCCCCCCCCCCTTTTTTTTTTGATAGGTGGACCATATATTTCGAGCTGATCGGGAGAGACCGGTTCTCTCAACCAACGGTGTCACCGCGGACGTCAAGCTGCTGAACCGATGGATGATGGAGGTGACGGCTAAGGTCCCCGGATTGACCCCCCTTTCCCATAATTGATCATATCTTGAAATATCGGCTACTCTGTTTCGATTTGGTGTATAATCAGTCTCATCGTCAATATACTTTGGATCAGAAGTTTATACGCGATAACGGATGATTTCGAAATGGTGGCTTTCAATATAGTTTGAGAGATGCAATACTCACTCTAAACTTTACACAGACATCTCCAGGCTATAGCTTTTTATAGTAAACTATAAGAAGACGCGGAGTATTAGAGTGGGTAATGGCGTCTGTTTGTTTACTGGAGTTAATTTTATCTTTCAAGAAATACCTATATATTGCGCCTTTCTCGCATTCTCCTTCTCTCAACTTTATCTTTATTACATCTCACTCCTCATCAACTCAATCGAATTGTTACGATATTACCTACCTACTATTATATCTACACGGCAAGGCCTACTGGTAGCACATATACACACTACGATACAGAGGAACGCTTATTCTGGAGATAATCAACATGTATATCAACAATACCTTCTTCAACAATGCTAGTACCACGAGCATTTGGTCAGCAACGGAGCTCTTAAGCTACAACGACTTCTTTGAGCAGGGTATCGCGGCCATGACGACAGCTCTACAATCCCGTTTGAGCAGCCTTTTATTCTTCATCGTCTGCCTAATATGGACTCGAATTCAGCGCAAGTTCATTTTAATTCTGACGGAAATAAGAAACCAGATCATATACTTTTGGATCCAGCGAAATCGTGGCCAAGGCACCCAATCTAAGAGCCGAGATGGAGATACGGCCCAGGACGAACGTAAGCTTGGGGGTGATGCTTTCATCGTAGTCTATATCGTTGGGCTCCTACATATGGCCATGTATCCTGTCTACTTGGAGTATGGATTCCCGAATGCTGGGCAAATACTCATCTGCTTGGTTCCGCTTTTGCTTCCCCGTTCGTTCTACTTGGAATGGCCTACTCTATCCAAGTTCTTCATCATGCTCTGGGGGAAGCTCTGGGTTCCAGATGTCGACATGGCGGCCGTGCTCATAGGTATGTATTCCATACTCTTCACGTCCCCGTGATGCAACTTCACTACAACTTCAGCACACGCTAATCTCTCCCTTCCCCTTAGCTATGTTTCATGCCTTTTTATATCTTTGTGTCATCTTGGCGCCCTTTTGGGCTTTCATCAAGTGCAACATGGACCTTAAAGAAGCGGAAGAAGCGCTTCCAATGGCCCAAAGAGAGCATTATATTCATGACAACTTCTGTACGCATATCAAATCAACATATCTCCCGACCTTGAAGGAAACTATATGCCTGTGGGCTAGTTGGACGCTCAGAACTCTTCAGGATCTTTTGTCACTTTGAGCGTATTCATACACGGCGTATGTTTACAGGATAAAGGGGCATCATGCGCGATCATGGGCGAATGGATGGATTTTGGCAACTGGATGGATTTTGGCGACTGGAAGGATTTTGGTGACATGGGTAGAAGGATAGGATTACCTAGTGAGCTTCTAAAGTAGCAGTAGTTCTAATAGACGAATACACACACATTAGATAAAGGTGCTTCTTTTGCATCTTGCTATGATACTTGAATTAAAGTCCCTGGAGCGCTGGCTAATCACCCCTTTACAACATCACTAAATCTATCGATCTGCGCTCGGCTCATCTTCCTCATCGCCCTCGAGCCAAATTTCATGGCCATCACCTTCTTTCACGAACAAGCTTGTCAAGCACGCACAGATGGCAATGCTGCTGAGTGCCCACCAGACAATGCCAATGATGCCCTTGTTCAAACCAAAACCGTACACCACACCTCCCACCATGGGTCCTATGGTGCGGGCAGCACTACTAACGCTCTGGCCTATCCCGTGGACTGTTCCCAGTACGCTGGGGTGAGGCGAGCAGTTGTTGACGAGAATCACTTGGCTAGGAAGCGCAAACGTCCGCCCAGTTACTTGGAAGAACAAAACACCGCAGATTGCAAGCCAAATCAGAATACCAGTCTTTGCTTCAGGCGGCGGCGTGGTACTAGGCACGGCAGAGAGGAACGGCACGAGGAAGTAGGCCACTGGGAAGAAGAGCAGGAAGAGTCGCCATGATCTAATGGTGCCGAGACGTGCGGATATGTTCGGATAGAGAAATAGCTGCATGCTGATACCGATAAACCCCAAGATGGCCATGGCCATACCAACGGAGCGAGGCTGCAGGCCGAGGCCACCGGTGAACCAAAAGGGTAGTCGAATCTCTCGTTCGGAGGTTGGCGTTGAGAGAAAGACGAACCAGAGCGAGTTGAACGTCCCGACATGGAATGTGAGGAAGAATTGCGCAACCAACGTGACGAGTACGTTGCGTGTGAAGATGCGGCGGAAAGGCAGTCGCTGGGTATACCTCTTTGTTGACTTCCTTGTGGAGGGAGCTTCCTCTCCAAGCAGCTCAACATCAGATGTCGGCACCGATGAATATCCCTCAGCCTCAGGCGTTGTCCCGAACCTCTTTCGATATTTCACCATCAGCTTCTTCCCCAGCCTGGTGCCCAAATCCGGAGGTCCATCTCTTAGGATGTCATGTGTTTCCTCAAGACCCAGCCAGACAGCGATAGCGGCAAGCAGGAGGAAGAGAAAGCTGACAATGTTGGGGGCTGCATAGGGGAACTTGACGAAGAATTTGACGTTGCCAAAGAGGCTAGGATAACTACCGGCCGGGTCGGAGAGGATACCGCCGAGAATGGGGCCAATAATGACGCCGATGTTGAAGGTCATTGGCAGTAGTAGGAAGGCTCGAGGTTGAAATTTCTTTTCGCGAATAATCTCGCTGATCCTATATCGAAACCATTTAGTATGCACCCGCTTATACATGATGTAATAGTATAATCCATAGTAAATCACGCCGATGTTGAGATGGAAGAAGAAAGGAGAAGCCCTTACATTGTCCTCATAACACCGATGTTACCATTTGTAGCACCGCCGATGGTCCGAAACAGCAGCGCCTGCCAAAACGTAGTTGAGAATCCGAATCCCAGACAAGACACACTCGTTCCCAATAAACCGATCAGCAAAACTGTTTTCCGTCCCACGCGTTTCGAGTCGGCAATTCGACCCCACATCATGGCCGTGAGAAACTGGGCTGCTGTGAAACTGGCATGTAGAACGCCGGCCTGGCTGGAGATTGTTGAGTCGGGGAGCGACGGGTTGAACCATTTGAGCTGGTAAAACATGTAGGCCTTTTATGAGAAATAGACACCCAGTGTCTTAGTGTGAGTTTGTGAATTCTTTAAATCATGTCTCAATGAGGGGGATTTCATTCATGGCCCCGTCAGGCAAGCGCTCGACGTCGCGCCACCACCGAGCCTGTGTAAGTCTCACCTGTAATGATGTCTGAACAAGCGGTTCGCTCATCCGCGCCATTGTTATGATCAAAAGCTGGTCTTTTCTGGGAAGCTCGCTCCAGGCAACCGGTCTCCTGCTATCACTCTGGGCCTCAGAGGAAGCGATAGTTGATGGGAGCACGTCATCCTCCTCATGGCTGTTCACAGAATCACCGTCTATCGAGCTCCGAAGTTGAGTATTGATGGTGATCTCGTCGCCAGACTCATCGTCGTCGCTATCAAATTTGCCGTGCCTCATCTATCGCAATTTTCCTGAGGTCACGCGGCCTCGAGAGGTTGAGAGAAAAAAAAAGTGGGCGGTCAAATCGTGCTTGTAAATGCAACTTTCGGCGTCGATCAATCGTGGTGTTGTAAACGAGGCAATATGACGAGATTTTCAGGTCAGATAATCTCAAAAGGACCAGATCTTAATGCAGGAACAGAGAAAGAGAATCAGACGGTGGAAAAAGAAAAAGAAAAGAAACAAATTCTGCGAGATCCTAGTCGATGATGCTACCCAAATCATCTTTTTCGCCATCCTCGTCGCTCGGCACGGGGGAGCCGTCACTCCCGCCAAAGCAGCGCTCGCAGCCGCCCTCCACCAACCATCATGCGCTGCAGGTACTTTTTGGGAGCATAACCTGGGCACATCGAGCCAATCTCTGCTCTTCTCACGCACAAGGGCTAGCGACAAGAGGGTTGGGTCGTGGGGCCGCGGGGTTAGAATGGGAACAAGCAGATGGTCGCGATAACGGAGCGGCTGGGCGATTTAGCCAGGCCGATCGTTGGCTGGATTTTGCAGAGATAAGAATCGGAGCATCTCTTGCAAGTCTTCGTTTGATGACGGGATAGAGAGACTGAAGAAGATGAACAAAGGAGAGAAAATATCTTCATATATCGGGCATGAAAAATAGATAGTAGCTCGACAGCGACGTTGGGCATGTGCAGACTTGAAATCGAATCCTCCTCTCCTTCCCAAGGAAAAGGCGCCGCCACCCGCTCAGCCGCTGAGTTTCTCCGGGCGGGTCCGGCACCGGAGCTCACCGCCCGGCCTCCGTGATGGCCTCACGCTCCATAAGCTCATCTTCACTGATGCAGCTTCGTCTTCGATATATAGTCACCTCTAACAAGCGCTCTCTAATTCGCTCCTTTTTCTAATCAACTTTCCAAAGTGACACTCATCTACTATACATACTCGTATGCCTGAATAACCTCGTCCATATTGATCGCGGCCCAATCTTGATCCCAAGTCCTGTGATCCCATCTTCATCTCATCCCATCTCATCTCATCTCATCTCAACACCATGGCGGCGATCCAAGTTCCCATCGGCGACCTCGATATACAAATCACCGCCGAGCGTCTGACGCAAGAAGCATTCTCACCTTTCGGAGACGTCATCTCCAATCCACGGCCCGACGTCCACCCCTCGTCATTCGACGCTCACGCCTCATCCTTGCCACCCAACGCCTTTTCCGCCAACCAAGGCTCTGCAATCCAGTATCGAAATGTCAGCCGCCTCAAGAATCTCTATAATCAAGCGCCCAGCGGCAAGGGAGAACCCATTATGAGCATCTTTGTCTGTGCTGCCAGAGGTGGCGCTGAAACCATTGGGGAAAACACATGTACCGTGCGACATCTCGAGCGGCACCCGTTCACCGCGCAAACATTCACACCCATCAAATCTACTGCCTCAACATATCTAGTCATCGTCGCTCCGAGTCTCCCTCCCAGTCCTCAGGATCAAGATTTACCTGTGCCGGCTGGCGATGGGCTACCCGGGAGGGGATTTCCGGATCTCGGGCGTCTCCGTGCTTTCATCGCTACGGAGAGCCAGGCCGTCACTTATGGTCCAGGAACATGGCATTCCCCTATGGTAGTATTGGGGCAGACGGGAGCCAGGATGGATTTTGTGGTGTCGCAATTTGCGAGTGGCGTTGCTGTCGAGGATTGCCAACTCTTGGAGTTTGTTTCAGGTAGCAGGGCTGAGCCGTTGATCCGGGTTAAGATACCCCATAGAGATTGGTCGATCAAACTATGAACCTTTGATATTAGCCTTCCACGAGAAAAACCAACTTCACTGCCTCTTTCCGCGGCCGGAGATTTGATTAACACCCGCCCGTATCGTATTCTTAATTTCGCAACCCCAGACTAATACAACATATTGATGAGAATATGTTCGTCGCGACACCTCATTGGCCGCTTAGTCATCCCAGTTACGCTTCACATGGGAGCTGAGGCGGGGAGATAATGTCGCTTTTGAGAGCCCAAGGGCGCAGCACAACTAGATAAAGAGGCCCATGCCGTGATATACTGAATACCGAGACAACAATTGACTTAGAGGCGCAAACGAGTTCCGGTCTACTATCGAATCATCATGGGGAGCGCAATGTATTCCACCGACACCAAAAACAAGCTCGAGGACCTGTCTGGCATCGTCTTGAAGCCGGGGGAGAATCCCTACGAGGCCTTCATCCAAGCTTGCAATAACAAGCCTGTAAGTTGGCATTTCTAAAGTTCTACAAACCTCCATTAGCCACTATGTGGCGGGCCAAGCTTGAATGTTAACTGTCTTCCCTTGTAGGAAGAAATCCAAGCCCTCTATCACGCTCACCGCACCAAACGCAATGGTCTTCAAAAGGAAAAGTTCCTTTCCCCGGATTACAAGGAGCTCGTGATTGACCAGTGCCTTCTCCGCCTTGAGAATCCCGAAATCGAGCCCGGTTTCCGCGATGAGCGAAACTGCCTCGTGATTTGGGCACGCCCTCCTGTTCACATCCTCGAGTTGGCCGCAAAGATTCAGGCACGCCTTCAAGAAGCTTCGCCGAGTGCGTATTCGATCATCTTTATCCCATGGTGTTACAAGCATCTCAACTCACATTAATTCTTAGAAATCTGGCTCATGCCTACCTACAGGATGCATATGACGACCCTTGAGATCACCTTCTCCAAGACTCCCCAGGAGATTGGCTCTCTCGTGTCCGCCATTCGCCCTGCTGCGCCCTCCATCGCTTCATACACTCACGCTCACCGCTCTCGTCTCGTGAAGCCCATGATCTCATACGATCTCTCCGCTTTTGCTCTTTCTTTTCTCCCTGCTTCCGGTGAAGTTCCTCACTCCCCTGCCCCAGTTGCTCCTGACACTCCCGCCAATGGACCCGTCACCCAGGGAGACGACTACACATATCACCACCTCCGACGAGACATCTTTGACAAGGTCAAGGAGGCGGGAGTTGAAGTTGGCTCGCGATATCAGGTTCCCAGTGCTCACATCACACTGGGACGGTATTTGACTGATGACGAGCATGACACGCCTGAAAAGAGAGAGAAGTGGGTCAAGACTGTTGATGACATCAATGCTTGGCTGGAGAAGGAGGTGTGGGATCAACAGGATGCTCAGTTCATTGGCGAATGGGTTGTTGGGCAGGAGAGAGGGCTGGATGTTCGAAATGGCGCTCTGTGGTACGGAGGTGGCCGAACCATTGTGCTCGGCGAGGGCTTTTAGATGGAAGTCGGGCCAATATCCAGCATCTAGAACAACAACAAGACATAGAGGACAATAGAGACACGGTAACAAATTCGCAGAAACGATAAGCTCTCTGAAAAGGTTGAAATTCGGCTTCTTTTCATGTTAGCTAGTCTGAGCCTCCTCCATGAACTAAAAGTTGCCTAGCATCGAGACACCAGGCCATCGTGAATTGGAATATTGTCCCAGGCTGGCTTTTCCACCATAACACTGCAAAGCATATCCCAGTAAAATCGCGTGAATGCGGTCCATGAAGAAATCTTTTTATTCGTTTCCTATGAGCCGCTGTCCTCTAAACAAGGACCAGTACCCCCTTCGCCAAGTTCCATGATGCCCGTATGCCGCCAGGAGAAGCATAAGAATTGGTAAGACCGGAAAACAATGCATTTAGAACACCAGAGCAGCACCCTTCGTCTTCTTGTCACCACTGTAGTCATCGTCAGCACTGTCTCACGCGAGAACCCGCCAGGTCCCTTGGATCACATACCCCAGCTCGAAGTGCTTGCATCGCTTCAGGGCCAGCTGCAACTTGGTCTTGCACTTGACGCACTCCAACCGCAGGACGACCTTCTTGGTGGTCTTGGCCTTCTTGTGGAAGACGGGCTTGGTCTGACCACCATAACCGCTCTGCTTCCGGTCATAACGTCTCTTACCCTGGGCGAACAGGGAGGCCTTGCCGGCCTTGTACTGGGTGACCTTGTGCTGGGTGTGCTTGCGGCACTCCTTGCCCTTGCAGTAGGTGTTACGGGTCTTGGGAATGTTGACCTAATCCGAAGAAGAGAAAAATGTCAGCCATCTGATGGTCGCGCGGGTGGTTCAAAGTTGACGGGCGCGAGTCGAAGCGGTCGTTTGTCCGGCACAAGGCAGTCTTTGTCGAAATATCAATTTCCCAGCCCCAAGCAGCTAAAGAATTCCAACTTTTGCGATGGCATGATTGATGTTTCGAGATTTTTGATGTAGTGATAGCGCCACCCTCGTCAGCCCTCTTCCCCTCCACAGAGACTCGGTGCAGAAGAAATTTGTCGTTTTCCATCGCGAAGACTGCCATCGTGCGGACGAAACATTCGAAGGATCGCTTTTTGTAAATCGGGTATGGAAGGGATTGACTGAGGATCAGTGGTAGCAGCAGCCCATTAACGTACCATTTTGACGACGGTGTGCGGTGTCGTTACTTGAGTGTTTGGTGATGCAAAGTTCCGAAAGTAAAGCGAAATTTGGGAGAGTTTGGTGATTTCTCGCTTTGTGGGCGATAGGGTCAACGCTATTCCTGATTGGGGCTGCGATAGCCAATGTGGCTTGCCCAGCTGAGTCAGGCTTTCTGCCTCGTTTATTGGGCCGAAAGAAACAAATCCCACCAGCCACCTGGTTACTCGGAGGTGTGGCTGGTGCCGTCCCTGTCAGGGGACCCCACCACGATTGAGCTGGAAGGCCAGTTATTGCTACGGTAGGCTGGTGATGCTATTCTCTCTAGAAGTACAAGCCAGCAAGACGCAACATCGCCAACATGGATCCGTACTCTGCAGAGGGCGAATTGATTAACATCCACACCCACTTCTACCAGTCACAGTATCAGGAGGTCATCGACTTCGACACATCATCCTTCTCGCCCGAGAACGCCCTGCCCGCGCGAGTGCTGCAGCTCCGAGCCCGTCTCGCCCTTGGCCAAGCCGAAGATGTCCTTGCAGATGTCCAGGGCGAGGCCGTTCCCGATCTAGAGGCCGTCGGTGCGCTCGCCGAGTACAACCTTGGAAAGACCGATTCAGCGCTGAAGACAATTGAGAAGCTGGCCGCATCTGCGGCTGACAATGTCACTGTTCAGATCATTGGCGGCACAGTCCTCCAGGCGGCTGGAAAGTCCGAGGAGGCGCTTGCGCTGCTGTCCCAGCACCAAGGAAGCCGTAAGATCTGTCAACATATCGCCGTGTCGATCATGAAGCTGACAGTTTCCAATAGTGGACGCTGTCGCCTTAATAGTCCAGATCCACCTGCAGCAGAACCGAACCGATCTCGCTTTGAAAGAGGTTACTGCTGCGCGAAGATGGGCGCAAGACAGCCTTTTGGTGAACCTGGCTGAGGCATGGGTTGGAGCTCGAGTGGTAAGGGAGACTGCAAAGTTCAACGAGGGATACATGCTAAGTCTGTGATAGGGCGGCGAGAAGTACCAGCAAGCGTTTTACGTCTACGAAGAGCTTGCTCAGGGCTCCTCAACTTTCTCAGTACAGAGTCTCATCGCACAGGCAGTTTGCGAAATACACCTTGGTCGACTCGAGGAAGCCCAGTCTGCCTTGGAGCAGGCTATCCAAAAAGACCCGACAAACGCAGATGGAATCGCCAACCGTTTGGTCCTGAACTCTATTTCAGGAAACGGCACCGAAGAACTCCTTGAGTATGTGTTTCTGTTTGTTGCTAAAGGACATACAGCTAACAGTGTTCAGATCACTAAAGAAGGCGAACCCCAGCCATCAACTTCTGCTGGATCTGGAAGAGAAGAGCAGTCTGTTTGACAAGGCTGCGGAGAAATACAGTGCCAAGGCCTAAATTATAGACGATTCAATACCAATTTATGCAGCGAATGATCATTAGACTGGGCAATATGGTAAGCTATCAGTAGTAATATAGCGAACTTGAAGCTCAGAAGATCTCCATCTCCGCAGTCCCACTGCATCACGGTGCTAGTTCAGTTGCCGCCTCTACCCTGTATATCAACTCAAAAACTCGCTACGCATCAGCATCCAATGCCAAGCTGGGTAAAATGCATGAAGACTTCTTTATTTCAAAGATAGACTTTATTCTTATTCAAGGTGTAATGTATGCAAATGCACCAGATGATAGAAGAGGTGCATATCTGCAATCCTAACCTCGTTATCCAATTACTCCTCCAATTCTTCATCCGAGATGTAGAGCTGCAGTCGAACATTTGCCTAAAATGACAGCACCTCTTCAGGATCTCGATGAAAAAGATGCATCTCTAAATCATAACCCTCTTTCTTCGCAGAGCTTGACTGTTCATTGTCCATCAGCGCCGAGTCTCCCCCATGGCTTGATTTCAAACACTCGGAATGCTGTTCTTGATCCGAAGCTGAACACATGCCGTATCCGGAACTATAATCACAAAATTGCTGCTGTAGACTAACCTCGGCGGATGCAGTTCCAATTGGCGTATCATCTTGTCCATGATCGTCCAGGCACCTCCCCAACGGCACTTCGGTATAGTATTTTTTGTATTTCAGCAATGTCAAGGAATACTCCTCTACATCTGTAGCCCCAGGTATTGTATGCCGACTCAGCAGCGATGAATTCGAACCAGCTGACGAGATTGTGCCGACAGAGTGAACGGATTTGATGTCATCTCCAGAATGCTTTGATGCATCGGAGTTGGCTGATGCTGATTCGAGCCAAGCTACGATGGACTTGACGGAGCGGCCGTCATTCTTTGACTTGTTGGGGATGCTTGGGAGATGGGTGGGTGAGATCCGTTGGCCGATGTTGGATGAGAAGCAGCTGGATACGCCCTTCAATTCCCTTTTCCGATTTATGATGCTTTCGTCCGTGTGATGAGATCTTTGATCGCCGTCGACGTCGTCTGCCGCCATGCCGTACTTTGTGTACTCGAAATAGATGCACTCGAATCGAAATAGAAGTAGGGGATGCGTAAATTGATGGGGAGAAATGGTTTGAATTGCGCATTGCACGGCCGAGTTGAACACACATTCACTGGAGCACACGCCAAGAAATGTTTACGGTTCAGTGTCAAGTGACGGGAAGCAAAAGTGAAGCAAAAGTGAGCAAGCAGGCAAACTGGCGTTTGTCCACATTCTGAATTCTATTTCTTGTTCATACCACGTAAAACGCCATAAACCCTGCGTAAACCGGACCGAAACAATCCCGTTTCTCTGCTATACGTGCAGGAATACCGCCATACCCCCATCTATCGAAACGGCTTTGTACTCCCTTTTTCATCGCCAGAAGCGCATCCCTTGCGCAACCACGACGATCATCATCAGGCGAGAGCCACGCAGTTCGTCGCCCTTGTCCAATTGCAAATTACTTGTTTCCTGCCTCTTTCTTTATGCTCCAAAACCCAATGACCAATTTTGCTTCGTTATTTATTTCTTCTTGGGGCCCAAGCGGGGAGCACCAATGTTGGCACCCCTCAGCTTGATGTTGAGCACTCGCTCCATCTTGGAGAGAATTGTCTGGTCGGGTGTAGCAGTGCCACGCTCGTAAGCGGCGACAGTTGCGGCCGTCTCTCCGATCTGCTTACCCAGAGCAGCCTGGGTCATGGTAGGCTCGAACTTCTGTCGGCCCTGCTCAATGGCCTTTCCGACTTCCTTTCCAACAGTCTTGGGCTTGATGATGTCGTCAGAGCGGTCGACCTTGGTGAGACGCTGACCCTCAGTACCGCTGGCCTAAACGAATTCGCTGTCAGGTTTCCACTCATTGGTGATTGGCATGGGATTTTGATGGTGTTTGACATACCGTATTGGCGCCAGCGTACTTCTTCTCTGTGCTAATGGCAGCACCAGCTCTCTGAGCAGCGTTCAACGCACTCTTTCCTCGGATGACGGTTTCGCGGTCCGAAGCACCGGGACCGCGAACGCGGCTTCCAATCTTGGTGGCAGAATCCCAGTCCTGGTTAGACATGATGTATGTGATGTGATGTGGCGAAGCGGTCAGAAGGGTCGTGATGCTCGAGATTGTCGCGTGGAAATGAGTTGAAGCGGTTTTTGTAGCGTCGGGCGCTGAAAGATTCGGTTGAAACGGTGGAGAGAATTGAGGGAAGAGTTTGAAAGATGGAAGTTGGTCCTGCGCAGCTGCTGGCTATATACTGATACGTCCTTTGAGCAAAGGGTGTGAATAAGTAAGAATTGGACAAAAGCTGGCAATCTGACTCAATCGGCAAGCCAGATTTAGTGCACGGCGCTTCCGTGGGGCGCTGCATCGCCGCCCTTGCCATGGAATGTGCTAGAGTTCCCCAGCTTAGATAAGGCAATTGATTGGCTCAGCGCGCCTGGATGACGGCATGCCGCAATATCTCCGCCGCTCGGATGACTAAGAATGGCTATTCGTCGGTTTACAGGCATTGAGGTACTGAGGTACCGATAGAAGGAACCTGTGAGATTGAGGAGATGAAGCACCTTGATGGTCCATTAATTGCCTGGATTCTGAGGGGAATTTCTGTCGTGGCCTCGAGCAAATCTCTCATGTCATCGTAGCTTTTTCTTCATCTTTTTCTTCTTCTTTTCCTTTTCCACTGTGCACCATGACGTGAACTTGTGCGACCGCAGTCGTTTCCGTCTCAGCGCAGAGCATTCATACCGAGTGCCTGCGTGTAACCCACGAGTCTCATGGACGGATTGTCCGATGACTCGCCATTCAGCTCCGTGGTCTTGGTCGCAGACTGGATCGACAGGGGCGGTTTCTCGTTGCTTGTGCTACTCTTTGCCTTCTTTTGGTACCGTGTGACACATCGTCAGTCCGATGTTGTCATCATCGTGATATGTCTTGCTTGGAACCTGCGCTGCTCACTCATACCTATCTTCTACGAGCTGGCACGCTCTAGGCTGAATCTTGGCAGCGTGGTATTGACTGCGATTGTCTCAATTGGCCTTCAGCTCTTTAGATACGCTATTTGGAAATGGAGACGTGTTGACGAGACTCAGCGCAACACCCCCTCCACCTATTTGATACCATGTCGCGTAACGCATAGTCGAGAGCACCCCAAGGAGCATGCCTTTTCTTATCCCTACCTGACTGTGGGGATACCGATCGGCTACAGAGGAAATGTTAATGGAATGATATCTGTGGATGATCACGATGCCTCTACATCCTGGCTGTCTAAGATTTGGCGGGCGAGAGGCTGGTTTCGCGTTGATGCAGCTGATTATCTAGAAAGAGGCAATAACAAGCTTGGACTTCGCGCCAAACTTGATACTTACCTCAGATCTCAGGTCTGACTGCGCCATGAAACCTCATGAGCGAACATATGCTGATTGTCACAGGATGCGAATCCGGCAGACTATCCACACGCTTTCCTTGTTACCGCACCAAAGTTTCTCGGATATCAATTCAACCCAGTCTCTTTTTGGTATCTGTACTCTTTTGACAGGATCCTGTCTGCTGTTGTTGTCGAGATGAATAACATCTTTGGCGAGAGACGGCCATACCTGGTGATGCGTGATACCATGGACGATGCCACGCGGATTACTTCACATAACATTTCTCAACCAACACCCGCCTGGATAAATGCTTCGTGGAAAAAAGATTTCCACATGTCTCCCTTCAATTCTCGCAAAGGGTCTTATTCCTTGCTGACCAGAGATCCTTTTGCAGGTAACATGGAGGGCTTCAGCGGCATCGACATAGCTCTTGATCTCGTCTCGTCCAAGGGCCAGCCTAAACTGGCTGTTCGATTATGCTCTAAAGGCAGGGCCCTTGACATTTCACAAATGGGGCCATTGGAACAGGCAAAATTTGTTTTGACGTGGTTTTGGGTGGGATTTTTGACATTTCCCAAAATGGTCAGACAAGCGGCATTATTGTTCTTTTACCACCAGCTACATATCTGGTACCGGCCGGAGCCATTAAAAGATACTCTTGGGAGGCGCGCAAATGATACTGAAACGAAGGTGGAACTTATCTTCCGCCAATATCTACGATTTCTTGTCGAGCAGTCAACAAATCCACTGAATGTGACCTACGTTCCAAGTGGCCTTCAAGAGAGCAGCGAGGAAACGTTCATCTCTCCAGGAGCAGCCGTTCATCCGGAGCAAACAGAGTGTTTGAAGATCAAAATCCTTACACCAGTCTTTTACTCTCGGTTTGTTCATTATGCGCACGACTTTGAGGCTATATTCTGCGAACTTGCGGAAAGCTGCACCATCTGGGTTGACCAGCCTGAAACGCTGCCCAAAATCTTTCTAAAGAAACAGTTGCCGCCGTTGCATGTGCCAAGCTTTACGGATTATCTGTATTTCAAGACAATTCAGCGGCTGCGACGTCGGCCGGCAAGGATTAAGCGCCCGATGACTTGGGCAGGTTCAGTCGGACCCACGACGACTCCAGAGGACGTTCGAGGCTTTCGCATATCCCCCATGGATGCATTCGTGCTGCAATATTCTAGCCAAGAAACAAGAGCCTCATATCGATCACTGCTTGCTCGAATGTTTGTGGCCGACCGGGTTTTCTTTGGGATACCCGCGATTATCGACGCTTTACTGCTATCGGGCGTCTTTGGCGTCGCCTGGTGGTTGCTATCCTTTGGGTCAGCAACACCATACTGATGCCAATGGATGCCGTTGATTACTTTGGGTGCGCTTAGCGTTGCATACAAAGGATTTAGATGCAGGGACTATGCAAAAGATCAACTGTGCCGAACGCTTACATGCCGCCTTTATAAGGACTCTTTAACCGCCATCGTGGAACGGGCTAGCTGTGCGCCATTTCCAAATGCTGATGCCTACCTACCTAGTAGGTACACAAACAGCACCTCCCTTTTTGATGACGGACATATCTCTATAGATAAGTACGATGTGGTATTTTTCTCCCAAGCAGAAAGTTCCTCATGCAACAGGGAGACTGGCGAGACTGACGTTTATCAACAAGGATCAAGGCCCAGTCCCGCAAAATGATTTGAGTTTCTGGATTTCCGAAACGCCGTGGGTGTCACCATGCTGAACCACGAGTTGCCGAAACTCCAGCGACACGGTAGCATTCACTTCTCAACACGGGCAACGGAGCCTCCATCTTATCGGACCAAGGTCCCGTCCTGCAGCTCATTCCAAATTCTGCTATTTGAGATGTTTGCCGGTCCGTTAGCACAGAGCCACTTTTATCACCCTAAACAGCTCATTCCAAATAGCCAGAGCCAATCGTTTGGCGAGACCAGCGGCTCCGATTACTTGCAGCCAGGGTCAACAGGGAATAGCGTCTCTTACAGAGCAACGCAGGCAGCTCCATATGGATTGCCGTGATGCTCTAGTAGCATTGCACGCAAACTCCCATCGAAGCCCGTGACTTTTGAACGACAGCGGAATGGATCTGGCCGGCCCGTCTGGCGTCTTCCCGAGGATGAGGTCATCAAGTATCTTCGTCCGATCGTCCGAGAGCCATATCCCACGATAACAGCGTTTGAATCGAAGATATAAAGGCCGGCGATTCTCTCTTCGAAAGTGCATCTCCAATCCTATCAACCAACTAAGCTTCAACCGGCTCAACAACCAGCTCCAGCTCCACCACTTGCATCCCACGTCATCGCCGCCGCCGCGCCTCATTTGACCCCGCCAAAAGCTGAAATCCTATCCGGTACGTTCGCTCCAACCGCCGGGTGTCGCTGTTTGCTACCCCGCCAGCCCATGCATGAAGTCCAGCAGACAGAGAGCTGTCTTTACTATAAGGAGCTGTCTTCATCCTGGCGAATTTACCTGCATCTTCTCGTCCTGAATCAACAACTCTCTAACAATCTCTTCTCTTGTGCTTCTATAGAAACCGAGACTACACAGCTCCCGGTTCACCATGCCTCTCACCGGACACTGCCTCTGCAAGGCCGTCACCTACACGGCCGACGTCGACGCCCCCATCATCACCGGCTACGACCACTGTGACGACTGCCAGCGCCAATCCGGCTCTACCTACTGTATGCACATGCTCCAGCACCGCACAATTGCTCAATTCATCATGTGGAATGCTAATTCACTTTGACAGCTCTCGTCGTCGTCGTCCCCAAGGCCTCTCTCACCATCAACGGTCCCATCAAGAAGTGGACTGGCACCGCCGCCTCTGGAAACGCCGTCCACCGACTCTTCTGCTCCGAGTGCGGCTCTCCCATCGCCCACGACCCCGATGGTGCTCCCGAGATCATTGCCCTCAAGGGCGGCTCCCTCGATACCGAGATCAAGAAGACCCTGAAGCCTGTTAGTTGATTCACCCTTCGACCCGAAATGTCCCTAGAATACGTGCGTCTAACACTGTACAAACCAATAGGAACACGAGATCTGGACCGCTGGCAAGCTGCCCTTCTGCCAGGAGAAGCTCGCCCACCCCCATGAGTTCATGCCATAAACGACCCTCACAGAGAGGAGGAGGAGGATGATGATGTAAAATTACAACTAGGCCATAGGCCACGAAGAATAAAGCCAAAATGATTTCCCCCCAAGAGATCCCTTTTGTTTGTGCTCATCACGTCACCAAAAATTTCAACGGCATGCTGTGATCAGGTACGATTCACCCTGTTACTGATACTATGTGACTGTAACGAAACCGTAGGTATATTAATTATACTCTGCGTACTATCCTACGGTGCTGAGCATCATGGCGCTCTCGAAACCCATCCCATCACCATCCCTATACCCTATTCCACCATCTCAACACACCGTGTGCCCCATCTCATCACAGCATTGCAAGAACAAGACTGCCAACAATCACCAAAGCCAGCGCAGGTTTTCCGAGTGAGGAGGCTCCATTGGTCGTTTCGATGGTGTTGAACCCAGGGGGCACCATTGCGATAGTCGGAGTTGCCAAGGTTGTAGCTGCAAAAGATTGATTGGTGGGAGAAGCTGTGGGTGTGATATCGGTGACGGTGGTGATGCTGATGTCTTGTTGTTTGCTGAACTCTTCACCACAAGACATTTGAGTTACAGCCTGATTGGCGTCCAAGGGGGCATCCGTGATGGGGGGAAAGTTGGGAAAATCCGTGGGGCGAATGGGAGAGAAGATGGGCGCGGGAGTCGTTGGAGCCGGTCGAAAGTCGTCATCAGGCTCGTCCGAGCCGCACAGAAGCGACTTTGCCCCCGTCAAGATCCGGAGCCAAATCTGGTTGACGTCGTCCTCAGCAAGGCCTGATTCGAGGATGCAGCTCTGGCAGTTGAGCCAATGGGCGAACGAGGTCCCGGTGCAGTTGCATTCATCAGCTGCCTCGAGGTAAGCATCCGAAACGTCTGAAAGGCTCGGGCCAGTTATGACGGGCGAAAAGCGGCATTCATTGTCCCTGATGATAACTTCAACACAAGGGGGCAGGTCCTCAGGATCTTGGTCCTCGGGCTCCTGCAGTGGAGTGACTGGGCGCATGGGGCAAATGCCGGGCTCTCCAGACTCTCCAGCCATGAAGTGATCGCACTCAGCCGAGGCGGATGTAGATGCAGAGGTGATGGACACCAGGACTGCAGCAGCAGCGAAAAGGGTGGCAGTGTTGTACTTCATAGTGAATATGTCTGACGGTAGAAGCTGTGAGTCTATGATGGATATGTATGATGCTGTGGCTCCAAGAAAAAGAGAAACTGTATCAAAACAAGAGAGCAGAGCGAGCAATACTGGGATGGATGAAGAAGCCGAGAGATGGAGGAGAGTAAGTTGGAACCTGGGGAGAGGAGAAGATATAGGCAAGATTGGTTCTCTCTTTCCAGCTCTGAGAATATCGCTTAGTGGCCGTTCTTCCCTCTTGGAGTGAGGCAGTTTGGCGACTACATCCTTCCAAAGTTTGGTCATACGATGGAGAGTAGATTGTGATCAAGGGAGTTGCCAGTCGAGGTAGGAAGCAGCCGTCAATGGCTCATGCTTGGCCCATGTAAGCTCCTACCTACTCAGGGAAGAATTTAGCCTCTATGCCCGTATTGGCATTGGCATTGATTGATATGAATCTTTTGTGCATCTATAAAGTAGGAAGGTATATAAACAGTCATGCATCCATTATGCCATCAAATACTGGGTTCGTAAATCCTGATGAAAAGACAAAGCAAAGAAGAAATCCCGTGTATGCAACACATGTCCCCATCATTCGTCATTATAAGATACTACCAAAGATAAGAAAGAGGCTTCCCGCAATGCCACCCAGAGCAAGCCAATTGTTGCGAGGGATCGATCCGGCAGCTGCGTTCTTGTTTGGCGCCTCCGGTTCTGGTTGTTGCTTCTGTAGAGAATTGGTCTCCGAGGCCGAGGAAGTAAAGCAGCTCGCGGTGCCGCATTTGTATCCGCTGGGACAGCATCCAGCCACCGATCCCGCGTCCTTTCCGCAGAGAAACCAGCCGCTCGCGCACTCGTCCGATGCAGTTGAGGTCGGCACGTCGTTTGCCGGGACAACGACGGTGACGCCATGAGAGATGATGGTTGAAGATGGCGCCGGGCAGGAGAGCGTCTGGCAATCGCGGTCGGTGCGGCAGCAACCGCCTCCGTGAGTGGCGAGGCAGCCGTAGAAGCCGGTTGGGCAGCCAGTCTGGGTCTCGCCCGGTGGAGATGTAGTCAAGCGAGAAGCTGAAGTGGTTGAGGAGGAAGACGAGCTGGATGTGGCATCCGTGGGCCTCCATGGCGCTGCTCCCGTTGCGGTCCCAGAGCCCGAGCCTATGGCAGTTATTGTCAGTCTCTGTGTGGTTGAAGAAGGGATTGAGGTCTCAGTGGCAATGAGGATCACTCTCACGGCTGATGCTTACCTGAAGCGGCAGTTGTGTGTGTCTGGCTGGTGGTGCTTTGAGGCGGCGGAGTTGTCGAGGACGGAAGTCCAGTGGCTGAAGCACTCAGAACGCCTGTACGTGCCATCGTCAGCCTTGCACTCTCAATGGATCAACGCTGATTAGGTATTCTTCACTCACATCCAATCCCCTCGCAGACATATCCTGCGATACAACAGCCGCCGCCAAGATCCGCTGGGCAGCTCACGGCATCTCCTGGACAGTTGCCGACTCCTCCTCCGCATGTGGCCCCGGTAGGGCAGCAGGCAACCTGCCCAGCAGCCGAATCCGACACATCGGTGCAGTATGTTCCGTCTGGGCAGCACTTGTTAGGCGCGCCAATGTCTGAACAGCTCTCCATCCCGGAGGGGCACCCTGCTCGGTTCTGGAGAATGGCTAGCACATCTGCAGCGCGACGCAGCAGATTCTCTTCTGAATCGTGCAAGTGATTCGAGAATGCAGGGCGGTAGCGTTTCGTGGAGTTGCTGGGGGCGTCTTCATCGTCGTAGCCGTCGAGCCAGAAGTTCGTCGCCTCGATGGGGGTCAATCGTTGGAGGGGTTCGAAAGCGAGGTGGTCGGGAAACAGCTTTTCGTTTGGATTTGGCAGCTGCTTCTTGATCGCCGTGGCCAGCGGTTGGTCTGCCGCCACTTCAGATACCAGAGCGAGGAGAGCCGCAGGTAGGAGAAGCATTTTGTCCAAGGTCATTGCGGTGGCGGTCAGCGCCGTTGAGGATCTCGACAGCTCGCAGCGCCAATTGTATGAGCAAACAACGTCGATGAGTCGCGGCTGAAAAACAAAGCCAAAAAGAATATGTACGAAGAGCTGAGACTCCCCCCCTAGCTGCCTCCCAAAACAAGCTAGCAATGCATGCAAGTCACCTCACCCGTGGATTGGCGATGCTAGCAGAAGCACATGAGTTTTAATTAATACAAACAAGCTGGTGGCCATCCAATCCATAATAATCCATCCTTTAGATTAAAACATTAACGCATTACTCATCGGGGCCCTCTTGTGCTTGTACATACACACCTCCCGCCTTTTTGCAACCCCCCCAACTGGCAACCCCCAGCTCTGCTTCAGACGGATTACATATATCCAGCAATTAACCTTAAATTATCTAGTCCTTAAGCTATTAAATATAAGTAAATTTACCCCCTTTCCCTCTTATTTTACTATATAAAATATATAGTTCTTTATAAAGCTTTGCTGGGGAGATTTTAGGTTAGTATTTATGCACTATAGTGTCTAGCGATTTAACTCTGCGTCACTGATAGGTGATCTCCCAAACTCTTTCCTCTTCTTTAAACTTTTACCATTTTTAAACTTTTTATCATCGTCCATATGTTTTTCTCGCCTACGCTTTTTTTTTCTCTTTATTTCTTTTTCTTTCACGCTCAGTCCTTTCATGGAAAGTTGTTTACATCTTGAAACCCCAGAACCTTTTGACTTCAGTTCAGTTCTTATTCAAGATGGTGAACCACATTAACGGCAACGCACGTTCTCCTGGGCATACTCCAGATGATATTCCGCGGATTACAACTGTTCTAATGGGCATGAGTGCGCAACTGCGCGATATTGCCATGCGTTTAGACGCAGCTGAAGCTCGAGCTACTGCGAATAACAATCGAGTAGCCGCAAATGATGCTCGGGTATCGCATCTGCAAATCTCCGGCAACAAGACTTCTCAGTTTAGTCGATACAAGAACTGGCTATGAGATCATTAATTTTCCACAAACTGTGGCAGACATCTCTCAAATTGATGGCAAGTATTCATTCTGTGTTCTTTTAAATTACAAAAAACTAATTCTAAACAGAAGTAACCGCCAGAAACATCCTCGACGCTCTTCAAATTTCTCACCACGGTCATGATATGGATAGTGTGCGGGAGCTTGTACGATATTATGCATACTACGCATAATGGTGATGGGACATGCATCGTTCACCGATAGAGTAACGTTGAGAAGTGAATCAAACATCAAAAATCATCCATGTCTGCGTGTAACCCCTGTGTCCAGTTCCACCTGTTTTTGACTTCACTTCAAATTCAGGCCCTCGGCCTAGCTTGGGTGGGCGATCGCAGCTAAACCGCATACGAGGTTCACAAGTCAGCCCTATCAATAGCTACAACTTGACATTGACTGTAATAATATGAGGATTAACTACGAGAATGAAATAAAATTCACAAAATAGATGAGTGAATGAAATGCACATGCCCTTGCTGGGAGCGGTGCTTTTCTTTACCGTCATGATGATTGGCTGTGGGGATGCATGGCTCCCATCCATTCCTAGGTATTCGTACATAATCTTACACCTCGACCGAATGCTATATACAACTACATACATACATATCTGTCATAAACCATCATTATGCTTGCCAGAATGTTTTGTTAAAAAAGAGCATCTTTCTCGTCTTGATTTTCATTCTTCTCGGTACCCGATGCGGTTTCCGCTAAAGTCTCTTCCTTCTCGCTTTTTGCTGCCGTCGACTTTACAATAGCTGGGGCTCTCACAAAGGCATGACACAGCAAGCCAGCAGCAACACTGACGTTCAAGCTGTCCACGCAGCTGTTTTGAACAAAGTACGGCACTGATAGCTCGTAATCGGCCGCTACCTTGATCGGCTTGGATAGGCCATGACCTTCATTTCCCAGAACTAATATCGTGGGATGACTCGCCAGCGGCTGTTCCGACTCCACAGTAGCGGTTGAGATGAACTTGTCTCCGTGCCTCTGAGCAAGTTTGGGGTCTGGCGGGGCAACGGCGGCATATGTCTTCCATCCAGCTTTTCGAGATTCTTCTATGAAGCTGACGGGCGAATCAACGCTGAAGATTGTGATTTCCTCCACAGCACCAGCCGCGGATTTGAGCACAACCGGAGTGAGGGTCGATGAGCTGCGATTTGTGATGCCCACTGCATCGACACCGAGATAACTCGCCGTTCGAAGGATGCCTCCCAGGTTGCCTGGATCCAGGATCTCATTGAGCAGTAGAACAAAGGGCTTTGGTGCGTTGTTGTTTTTCCGCGGGATAAATGCATCTTGCCCGTTGATATCTTCTTCCTCTTTTGACTGATGATCCAACTCGACATGAAAGCCTAGCTTTCCCAACGTTTCCTCGAGCCTCCCTAGGGATTTCACAGGCAGTCGAGGTAGGGGGGATGTTTCTAGAACGAATCCATTGTGTGGCCGGCCCATACTCATCTTGTCCATTAATCTCTGGTCCTCATTTGGAATAATGGTAATCGGAACCCCTCGTCTCTCCGCCAATCTCGTGATGACAGCGTTATCCTTGGAGTCCTTTCGATTCTCGCCTCCGTAGATGAAGAGTTTGTATAGCTTCCGTCTTCCTTGCTCCAGGGCTGCTTTTACAACAGACTTGCCATAGAGAAACTGCGACGCGGCGGTTGTGTATTTGATATTCATGGCCATCATCTGATTCCTCCTCTCGCGAGGCTGCGGCGTTTCCACGTCCATATCGAAGTCATCTCTGCGATCAAAGGGGCGAGGGCGATCAGATGGACGCCCTGTTGAACGCCCAACTGAGCGTCTATCAGAACGCCTATCAGAATATGGGAGCCTTTCCGAGCGCTCTGACGCATACCGAGAAGGTTCCGTTCTGCGCCGAGGGCTGGTTTCTAGTCTTTGATATGGTAGTGGACGTACGGGCTCCTGTACGAGGGCGGCGGCCTGGTCTTTGAATGCTCCATGTTTAAGCTGGTACACTAGACTCTTCTTCCCATAGTCGGACTCTGGGTTGAGGAAGCGCTTGCGTCTGGTCTCTTTTCCAGACTCCTCGTCCTCTTCCTCAGCCGCCTTCCGACCAAGTTTCTTGCGTAGCTTTTGCTGTTGCCGAGGAGATGCAGCGCCGTCGAGCGCCCTTCTAGTCAGCCCATCGCTTCTGCCCCTATCTGAGGAGCCCCGATCTCTGTATTGATCTCCGAACTGGACTCTCTCAGATCGTCGCACTCCTCTGTGGATGGCAGAGAGCGTCGCAGGCCGACTTATCTGCAATGGATAAACGCCATTCTCATGCACGCTGTTGAAAAGTTGGCGGGATAAGCCGTTAGCTCTCAGCTTTCCGAGAGATATCATTCTTGGTGATGAAGAGCAATTGGGTAATGCTCATTCTGGATTCTCTCTTATACCAGCTCTGCAAGTCGGGCTTTGACTTTGATGCACCTTTATGTCCTAATTTATTTTTTCTGCCATGCGCTGCGGGCGGTTACAGGGGCTTCTCAAAGGCGGTGAGCCTGATTGTCCTTGTTGTATATTAGACTAAACTAAGCCTAGTAGTATTTCATTAGTATAACTCAATTTGATTAAAACTAGTTTGAAAATCAATATAATTATTATTAAATTCCCAACTATAGGCTTCAGTTAATGTATTTCTTAATAAAATCATAATACTTATTTTTCATTTTTAAATTTCATAAAACTGGTTTTTTTTTTTAAAAAAGACTATAATTAGATTCAAAGCTGTATTATTTTCCATTTACGCCATAGTTTAATGATCGAGGCACATTTGTAGCACTCTTGGAACTAAGAATAACCCTCTGAAATTATAAAATTAAATAAACAATAATGTAGATATAGTAGGTGGTTTAAGTTTAATAAAAAGTAAAATAAAACTTTATTTTCAACTAATTGTTTTAACTCTACTAAGTCTTTTAATTATGGAAATAATTTTTTTAAATCTTCCTAGCTCAAAATAGTAAGTCTGCTTAGTAATCAATTGCTAGTGCCACTTAACTGCCGATTCCCTCACTTTCTATTCCTACAACTAGCAACTCACATATTTTCAACGCGTTCCCAGACGACTGTTGAGGTCAGGCATGTGCGGCGTCGCGTCCAAATGTCTGCAGGTGAATTCAATTCAGAATGACGCCTGAGATGGATACCGACATCGATTTGCTGGAGGACGACATGGTGGAGGACGGCATGCTAGAGGACGGCATGCTAGAGGACGGCATGGTTGAGGACGACATGATTGAGGACGGCATGGTTGAGGATGGCATGCTGGAGGACGGCATACTGGAGGACGGCATACTGGAGGACGACATGCTGGAAGACGACGTGCTGGAAGACGACGTGCTGGAGGTCGACATGCTGCAGCTTCCAGCAGCGATGCAATTCGAAGTGGCGATCCCAGAGCTCTCTGTTGAGAAACAGAGCGAATACTCGAGGATATATAGCAATGTTGTCGAACACGTGACGGATCTTTCTGATTCAACCCCGCCCCAGTCCGACGTCGAATTCACTGGGGAAGATGAAGACGAGTTGACGGACACCGATCAGCCAAGGCGGAACCTCCGAAAGCGAACATCCACACAACTGAGGCTCACCAGCATGTCGTTCAATACCAGCTATAAGGATCAAGATATGGACGAACTTGCGCTGGATTCTCGCCAATCCTCAGAAGACGAAGACACATTTATGCCTGTTGTGTCCGACCTCGCATTGAAGAAGGGCCGCCCTAGCAGAGCTGTGCAACGGTCTCGCCGATTGAGAAAGCAAAAAGAAAACAAAGCCAGATTGACTCTCAATGGTTCGGGAGGTTCTGATATTGAGTTTGAACAACCTCGACGGTCCACAAGAGCCACCAGAAACCAGATGAGTATGGAAGACGATGCCTTCATGGACGACGATTCGTTCTACGTGGTAGAGGAGAAGGCATCTACACCAAAGATCATTTCCGTCAGGGAAGTTTTCCAACCGATCTCTGCCGACTCCGACTTTGGATCCGTACATATGCAGTCATGCCATACTTGTGGCGGCTCAAAGCAGCGCGGCCAGCTGCTTCATTGCCAAGGGTGTTGCTTAACTTATCACAAGAACTGCATTGGGTATCGAAGCAATCGAGAGCATATGGTTACCAAAATTGGAGAAGAAAATTTTGTGCTGCAATGTAGATTCTGCCTCAATACCTACTCAAAGAAAGATAGCAGCGCACCAAGACACAGCGCCTGCCAGGAGTGCAAGAGAGACGGCCGATCCTGCGCTGCCTTCTCTCGAAAGAAGACTGCCCGACAGGAAGAAAAAATGCGCGAGGAGAATGGCGGTGTCGATCCCATCACCCCAGTGTTACCTGAACTCATCAACAACGCCGACAATGTTCTTTTCCGTTGTACCACTTGTCACCGTGGATGGCATCAGGAGCACCTACCATCCATGGGCAATGACGCTATTGGAACGGACGTCAAGTCCGAGCGCCTCAAGGATTACTCAGTCGACTGGCGGTGTAATGATTGCAGTTCTACTAGAAGCAAGATTCATCGGCTGGTGGCATGGCGACCCGTGGTCCCGCAGAATCCCCTTCCAGCTTACGGAGATATCAACGAAGATGAAAGAGAATACCTCATCAAATGGCAAGACACTTCATTTGCTCACTGCTCTTGGGCGCCCGGAGCTTGGGTGTTTGGTGTCAGTGCTGGCAATATGCGATCCTCTTTTGCAAAACGAGTACTCGAGCAGGATCTTCTAAAACTCACCAGTGAAGAGGCGATTCCAGACGAATTCATCACCCCCGACATTATTTTTAACGTTAAACTAGATGGCTTCGACAGTTTGGGAAAAACAAAAGCAGAGGATCTTGCCAATATCTCTCGGGTCAAGAAAATATTGGTCAAATTTCACGGCCTCGGGTACGATGACGTTGTATGGGACTCTCCTCCTACTGCCGATAAACCTCGACTCTACAAGGCCTTTGTAGAAGCATACCGCGAATACATCGAAGGCAAGCACTTCCAAAACGACTCTCAGAACAAGATGCGAGAACGCATCAAGCTGTACAAGTCTACTCGATTTGCAGAAGTAGACACGCAGCCTGCTGGCCTTACGCGAGGGAAGCTCATGGGCTACCAAATAGAGGGTCTCAACTGGCTCTTACAAAATTATCACCAAAGTCGAAGTGTCGTTCTAGCAGACGAAATGGGGTTGGGCAAAACAGTTCAGGTCGTCGGTGTTGTAACCTCCCTAGTGCAAGACATGCCCAAGGTAAGTCAATTTCTGTGCAACTTTTTGCTATCATCCAAACCATTTCTAACTGTCCAAAAGTGCTGGCCTTTCCTCATCGTGGTGCCAAATGCTACTTGCGCCAACTGGCGTCGAGAATTCAAACAGTGGGCACCGGGTATCAGAGTTGTTGCTTATCATGGAGGCAAAGAGCCCCAGGATTTCGCCTACAGATATGAGCTATTTCCGGATGGGGCCGCAGACCTTAAAGCTCAAGTCGTCATCATGTCGTATGACTCGGCACAAGATCCGCGGACATCTTCTCTTTTCAAGTCCGTCAATTGGAAGGGATTGGTTGTTGACGAGGGTCAGCGGCTGAAGAATGACCAAAACATTCTCTACAATGCCCTGAGGTCCATGAAGATACCCTTTCGACTATTGCTAACTGGTACGCCACTGCAAAACAACAAGAGAGAACTTTTCAACCTCTTGCAGTTCATAGATGAGAAGCAAAACGCAGAGAAGTTGGACGAAGAATATGCCGTTTTGGACAAAGACAATCTTCCCAAGCTACACGAGAAAATTCGGCCGTATTTTTTACGAAGAACAAAGCTCGGCGTCCTTAAATTTCTTCCTCCCATGGCGCAGATTATTCTCCCCGTTACCATGACCGTTATTCAGGAGAAGCTAGCAAAGAGCATCATGGCAAAGAATCCGCAGCTTATTCGGGCCGTGTTTGCAAATAGTAAAATGAACGCAAAAGACCGTGGCAGCTTGAACAATATCCTCATGCAGCTGCGCAAATGCTTATGCCACCCCTTTATGTATTCTGAAGCAATTGAAGAGCGCCACCATGATCCCGTGGTTCTCCATCGCAACTTAGTAGAGGCATCTGCTAAGCTTCTATTATTGGAAATTATGCTGCCCAAGTTGAAGGAGCGAGGTCACCGTGTGCTCATATTCAGCCAGTTTCTGCAACAGCTTGACATTATCGAAGACTTTCTCAATGGAGTCGGTTATGGATACCGTCGTCTGGATGGATCGATATCTAGTTTGGAGAAGCAACGACGCATCGACGCCTTCAACGAGCCCGGTTCCGAGCTTTTTGCCTTTCTCTTGTCAACGAGAGCCGGTGGTGTTGGCATCAATCTTGCGACCGCAGACACTGTCATAATCATGGACCCCGATTTCAATCCTCACCAGGATATTCAGGCGCTGTCTCGCGCCCACCGCATTGGCCAAAAGAATAAAGTCTTATGCTTTCAGCTCATGACCAAGGACTCGGTAGAGGAACGAATCATGGAAATTGGCCGCAAGAAAATGGCCCTGGATCACGCACTCATCGAAAGCATGGACGACGAGGAGCTTGAAGGTGCCGACTTGGAATCGATCTTGAAACACGGTGCCCAAGCCTTGTTTGACGAAGATTACGAAAAGACAGCAATTCACTATGATTCTGCGTCTGTCGACAAGCTCTTGGATCGCTCTCAGATGGAGCAGACCGCGGCAAATGAAGACAACTCTGCCGAAAGCCAGTTTACCTATGCCCGAGTATGGGCGAATGATAAGCTTGGGTTTGAGGAAAATAAGGAACTTGAAGAAGATCAGGCTCCAGAGCCCATAAACTCTAGTGTATGGGACCAGATCCTTGCCCAAAGAGAGGAGGAAGCCCGGCGAGAAGAAGAGGCCAACAAAGAAGTTCTTGGACGTGGTGCGAGACGTCGCATGGTATGTTGAGCTGCCCTTGATATGAGAGTTTGGTCGATGGGAACCAAACACTAACAATTTCGCTCTTAGGCTGTCAACTACGGAGCAAAGGGCACAGAGAATCTTGCAGTAGTTGGTGATGTCGCTGGCGAGTCTTCGGATTCCTCTGACGACTTTGACGGGACAAACATGCCTGAATCTGACGACGACAAAACCGACGACGACATGAACCCCTCGACAAATGGTAAGATATCATGATATCTGTTCACACGGAAACAAACCTCTCTCTAGCGAACCCTCTCAGAAAACCGATGAAAAACTGTAAAACTGACAAAGAGCTTTAGCCGTGACCGAAGCCGAGATTTTATCGATGCGAGACGGCGGAGCTAAACAGCGACAAGGCCTTGCCTTCCCCAGAGAGCAACAATCTGACTCAAGGCGACGACAAACTCTTCCGCCTCCGATTGCATCACAACCGGCATGGACCGCAGACGCCCCCCGTAAGAGGGGCAGACCTCGAAAATCAATAACCACCCCCGACGCCAAAGCTGTATACACTAATGACAGCTCTCAAACAAAACCACGAGCAGCACAAAACCCAACCACCCCTGCACTGGTGTATAAGAAGGGCTTTGATACCGTTAGACGCCAGCAAACTTTCCAACATTACCAGCAATATCTCCAGTATGGCGGCCGACAACCGCCTACAGCCACTCCCCAACCGCAACCGCAACCGCAACCTCAGCCCGGCCTACCCGCCCAAGCACCACCAACCGGGTTCGAGTATCTCGCTCTTCTTAACACCGAAGCACAGGTCCGCGTAGCGCTGGACGTGGTTCACCGTTCTGAAAAGCCAGCATCAATCAAGCAGCGACACATGGTCGCTCTGTACCACAAGTTAGGCCAAGTGCGCATGCAAAACGGGACTCGGCAGAGTTGAGTTTTTTTTTTCTCTTCCTTTTTTCATCGCCCCCCCTTTTGAATCTATCGATCAACAGTGGGCCAAGGGAACATGATATGACTTGATGACTTTTTTTGGGCTCTTGAAAACAACAATGAGGAGGCTTTTACAATAAATTCATGGCTTTTTAGCTTTTTAACATACAGATAGAAAGAGACAATTGCTCAGCTTTGTCACAGGATGGGCGGCCACGCAATAGTTAGAGACAAGAAAAGAAAATAGGAAAAAATCATGATAAAATCCATCAAACGGCCGATACTTTGATTCTGCACGGCAAGCGTGGCAAATGCCAGCAGATGCGGTGAATTCCCTGCAACTAGCCGAGCGACGACTCGAGGTTTAACAGGGGTAAGAGACAAACGGGCTATGCGCGATGATATATGTCTTGGGCCGGTAAGGCAGCAACTTGATGTGAGACAGTTTTATCCGACTATTGACATTGAACCCGATTTGTTTCCTCTTTGCAAACATCCACCTTCTCCTTTACAAACAGCACTGCTCTTTTACTTTATACCTGCTTGACCTTTGTTTATTATATCCTGATTTGTCTATACTCGTTACCTTTGCGGTTGATCCAATTTGCCACCATTTGCAGTCCATTTCCCATGAGATGGATCGTCCTCTTGGGTTGAACTCGAGGCCAGGAGGTTTATCTTGCGTGCCATGGTCTCCGGAGACGCCAGCAATCACGCCTCGCCTTCGGGATTGCTCTGCTGAAGCTGCCATGGAAAGGCAGATGGGGCTGAATCACCGCCAACACCATTCTCTCAGTGGCTATTTCATCCATGGCTTTGGGCAAAGCGGTAGAGACGAAGTTGGACAGCAGCTGGTGGCCTATCCCATCCCACATCAGCAACACCAGGTGAGCTTCGGCACGGCCGGAGCAGCGGCAGTTCCATCACGGGGGCTTTCTTCAAACAATTGGCGGGTTCTTTGTCCGGACGGAAACGTGTTTCCACGGTCGCCTCCGTCAATGAAGATGAATGCAGCTCATGTCCCTGTGGGAATGGGCCAAGCCGAGAGAAGAGGGATCGCACAAGCACAAGCACCTGCGGCCGGGGCCGGGCCTGGCGCTGTGAACGACGGGTATGCGTACTACTTGAATCGGGGCAACGGCGAGTTGACGAGGCTTGTGCCGGCCGATATGCTGCCGGCGTTGAACGAGATCCCGCCGAGGGAGCCTGAGCGGCGAGGGATGGTGGTTTTGCCGCCGTTGAGAGGCGTTCCGCCGAAGGGGATGGCGGATATGAGCCAGACTGTCACAGTCAAAGTAAGCAAGCTTTTCTTCTTCTTCTTTTTTTGGGTTGTAAGAGAAAGACAGGAGAGCGAGACACTGCCAGCAGGTGAAAGGAGAGAGAGGAGAGAAAGCTGAAGCTCCCAGGCGTGCCAAATCCATGGGCCTCGACATCCCTCGGATCTCGTCCAGGTGAGTTGCAGATCATTCTCTCCTGTTTTCTTCAACGTCGATCATGGCCCCCCCATCCCGACTATACCTATGCTTGTAAGCTGTTTGGGAAGCTCATGTGGAACTATTCTAGAACCAAATCGACCGTATCGTCGCCACTAGCCCGTCGACTGCGAAGAAGAACAAAGTATACTGCGATATGTGGATCCACGAGGGAAGATGTGCCTTTACCCAGACGGGATGCAAGTTTAAACACGAAATGCCCCTGGACGAGGCCTCGCAGAAGGCACTAGGCCTCTTCCAAGGTCTCCCTGCTTGGTATAGGAAGCAGCAAGAGGAGTTGAACTTGTGGAAGTCTCGCGACACTTCTGACGCGGAGACTTCGCCTACGGATTCTTCTTCTCGCAATGAGTTTGCGTGGCAGAATCCTAAATCTTTGGGTAAAACCGTGCCGGACAAGAGCAAGCTTGGTACGTTATGAGGATATCTCGTATAATGCTGGTATTGCTTTGGTATGATGAATGCTAACTTTGGATATTCTATAGACACATGCAACCCATCTCAAGCAACAAAGAGCCGCGTCGCTCAATTTGTTTGGGGTCCGATTGGGCCGCCTAACAAGCAAGTGGCGGACAAGGACCCTTGGGGCAAGGAGTTTGGAAACAGGATGTATGATGGCGAGACTGTATCGAGCTTTTCCTCTGAGGGCCGCAGAGGTAGATGAGCAGATGTGTGCGGCTCTGTCAGTCATTGAGCCTAGTGGTGTTGGTTCATATAATACCACAAGAAGGTGATAGTATCGGTACCAGGTATATGTTGGAAATGTGTCAATGGTATTTCAATTTTAGTAGAATTAGAGTTAGTGCACAATTAGAAGGCACATGAATGGAATAATGCTGGGGATGCCGCCGTGTAAGTGGTCACAGAAGAATGATGCTGTAACAGTGACTCATTGTTCGTGCCACAGAGGACAAAAGACCTTGTCAACTGTAAGGTGGGCAGAATAGTAGACAGTGAACATGGTATGTACAGCAAAAGATGGTAGGTAGGTATATTAGATGGAGTTGATAAGTAGGCATAATAGATAATGTATATGTAATATGAAAATAATTAAACGCCAGCAGAGATATAGTCATCTCAAGGCGCTGAAGAAAATACTACCTGACGTCTTGTCCTTCCATCCTTGCAACACTTGGAAATAATTTCGTCAACGGCCACAGACTATATTGTCAACAACGGGCGGAGTGGTCCAGCTTATGGTGAGATTGTCAATGTGTTGATCAAATAAATCTTCTGCCAGTTCTTGGGCAAACCGTCTTACTGGAGAGATGGGTGGCTCTGATCGAACCGCTTGCTGCTTATATGTGGTGAGCTATCGATCGATCTCCTGAGCTCGATCTTGCCTGCAGCACACAACCTGGTATGGAGATGTCATTCTCGAGGTGCTACGGGAATAAGGCAAACTTATGAAACATATTTAAATCCACTCCGAACTCCCTCGGGCGAAATCTTTCTTCTTCGACTTTGGAGCCTGTTCAATCTGTCCTAGCGTATCATAAAGGGATATTCTGATGGGCGACGGGTTCCATTCTTTAGTCTTTGCGTCAAGCTGGACTCAGTCTCCTCTGTTTACCTATAAGTCTTTGCTAGGCCTATCATTGAGCTGGTAAGAACTCTATGGTGTTGATCTTACATGCTCGCTTCGCTCGCATAAGGTGAATTATTTAGCGAGGGGATATGTTGTGAGATCAATATCACGGCTAGCTGCTAGCTAGCATCAACCTTGAATACGCACGAGATTACTCTATCAGTCTAACCCATATGAGGTACCATGATGACTACATTTATTGACTTCTTATAGGGACTCTGTGACGAGAAGTAAGCTGTATAAATACACCACTTACCCCAGAGGATAAAGATGCTGGACTTTTGCAATTCACCGCGTGTGTTCAAGGACAACTCTCCTAATTCCTCTACAATGAGTTCTACATATGAATCGGCTTCTGCACCCGCTCAGACCGGCTTACCGCCTATACGGCGTGTTATAACTACACACGACAACGATGGCAACGCCGTCATCAGCGAAGAGATACCCCAGACACTCCAGGGAGTCGAGGTTCCCGGCACGGTCATCTACCTAGGCTACGCTCTGAACCAATCTCCAGATGTACTGAACAATGACCAGGATCTGAAAGAGTACGAGGATCGACTTCCACACGACGTGGGCATTAGCATTCCTCGCGGAACTGTGCTCCGTGTCAGTGATTTCTTACCCGGACAGTCACACAGTTGAGGGAAGAAGTACCATGAGAGGAGCTGACAACTGAGTAACTGAGGTGCTTGGATGTTTTAATTGATGCTTGCTGAGTTCGACATTGTGGTGCCTTCATGAGAAGAGTTCATCTGGCGTTGCGTATTGGCTACACGTACCGCTTTCTATACAATGCAGACCAGGCATCGAATCGCATTCTTATCTCTTTAGCAAATGTCTATAATTTTGAATATTGGATAAATTTTCTTTATTATGTATTATAGATCTGTCACTTTCACTAAGAAGCACCGTTGAGCGACTTGGTAACCCAACAACTCCCTCATTAGCATTATTAAAAGCAATGTCATATCCTATTTCATTAATATTCCATTGCACAGTTCCATGTTCCCCCAACGCCATAATTGCAGTCCAAAAATTGCATACTCAGGTAAATTCTCTTGGTTTCTGGCTTGAGCCCAGGTTCAGAGGCTCGTCTTCATAGCTGTCCCTTCCACCAACAGTGTTGCGCTTCCATGATGTGGTACTTTGGAGGCCAATCTGCGCTGATGGGGCTTCGTATCCCGGAGGAGGATCGTGGGGATACGCTGGCGCAGCTGTAACGGTTGCCGAGTAGCTGGTATTTCGCCATGGCTCGGGGTGCTGCTGCTGGTAGCTGTGGTTGAGGCCCTCAAAGCCAGAGGGGCCCTGCTGACGGCGAGGTATCTGACGCTTGGCTCCCCAGATGAGGTATCCCAAGGTGCACAACACCAAGAAGAAGACGATTCCGAGGACGATGAGAGCGTATTTGCGATCCAGAGCAAAACCGAACCCGCTAAAAAGATGAGAGGTAAGCAAACGGCGAGGTATAGGGAGAAGGCTGGAGCTTACATGTAGCCGTTGGCTGCACCAAGAATCATGACGATTCTTCCATTCCACAGATGAACCTTGCCAAACGTAGTGGGTTGCTTTGTCTTTCGCCATTTGAGATGATGTAGAATGCCGGCGGCCAATTGAACGAACAAGAGGAGGATGACGATGAAACCAAGGACTTGGTGTAGGGAATGGAATCCGCGGGACTAGAAACCCGGGCCACCGTTAGTCATGCTTGATGCATCTCGAGGGGATGGCGTATACATACCCGTTGATAGTTGAAGCTCGTCAGGATTCCAAAGGCAAAGCCCGCAAGGACAAGACAGAGGGCAAACGTCTGGTTGAACTTGTGAAACTTGGCCAACTTCTCGATTCTAATGAGGATTGTGCCAATGGGAATCAGGAGCATGAAGCTAAAGACCATGAAGGCGGCGTGCGCAGCAGCCTTCCAGTCGAAATTGCCCGTAGAACTGCTGTTTAGCGTCGTGCCTTCAGCCACGGAGTCCTTGGTGAGGACGGGCAAATCGGCTCGGCCCTGCGTTCTCTTCATATCGATGGTAAATGTGCCGTGTTCGCTGTGCATCTTGAGGTTCGCATCCACCTCGTCGTCGCTGAAGCTCTCTTTGCCTCCCAGGGCGTAAATGGCCTGTTGGTTGGGAGACGACACATCGATGTAGCCCTTGGAAGTGCCGCCGGCTGGCCAGCTTCGGCAGTGCTCGTGGCAGACGGCATTGAAGGTCATGAAGTCATCCTGAACGCCGGTGCCGTCGAGGACGTCAAACTTGAGGTCGGGATAGTACTTAGGCTCGTAGTTGCCGTACGCCAGACGAGGGGAGAAGGTGACGTTGTCGTGATTATTCTTGCTGCGATAGAGGATGAGGAACAGGGCGCCAGGCATGTCGTCGCTGCCGAGGCCGATGGCGCCCCAGGAGCGCTTCGTAGAGACGCGGAGGCTGAAGTAGATGTCCGTGTTGCCGTTGTCGGGAACGGTGAAGGCGAAGGCGAGGGAGCCATCGGGAGAGATGAAGGTCGACTGGCCGGTGGGGTTGTTGGCATCATCAGCGAGGGCGGACGCTGCAAAGGCTGCTTGTGCGACGAGAGACGAGATGCCTGTCAGTAATTTGACCGGGATAAATCTGAGTTGAATCAAAGGGATAATGGCGATGTAGAATGTAGAACCAAGCAGGGGAAACACTCACCAGCTGTCGCCAGCGCGGCGCGCCAGAGGTTTCTGAAGAGCATTTTGATGTTGATGCCAGGGAGATTTGGTCTCTGCCCGCAGCGTAACAGAGCTCTCGAGGAACTGCTATCAATGTGGATAGAGAAAGAATTCAGGCAGCAGGTAACGAATGGTTTGCAGCTCTACAGCGCTCCAGCCTCTGGCAACTTCAATGTTATGCAAGTATCGCCACCAGTGCGATTGGGGAGGGAAAGTTGAGGATGTTGTTTTGGGGGAGTTTTTGGTGGTGCTGGTACTATCAAGCAGCAGCAGTAGAGCAGCTGCATGCAGATACCTGTAGCCTGGCCTAGCATGTACCTCGATTCAGCTGCGTCGCGCCACTGGGCTGAGGCTCAAGTACCTGCGCTGTACACGCGGATTGGTGCCGTGGCTGCATGAGCTGCAGGTACGTGACTCGTACTGTATCCCATTGAGTGCGAAGAGGCACTACCTATGTATTTTACCAGGGTTCTAGCTAATTAGACAGCCGCAAATTAAAGGTATATTACTAACTAGCCAAAATTGGCTTATAGTATAAGTCCCAGTAATATTAATTAGTATAAATAGTTATATTATATATATTATAACCCAGCTGTATTATAAGTGCGTTAGGCTTAAGGCTATTTCTACTTATTTTTATAAAAAGTTTTTATTACTTTTTTAACTTTAGCTAACTAACTTAGTAGCCTTAGTAAGCTATATAGTATACCTGTTTTCCTTAGCAGATGTAATTATATTATAAAATAAGTATAAATTTATTACTAGCCTAAAATAGCTTTTGGCTTAACCCTTACTTACTATATACTTTATAAATCTTATTAATAAAGCACTACTACTACTTAATTTAACTAATATAATACTTTTAACTTAGCTACCTATATAGCTAAAGAAGATAGTTATTAATAAAAGTAATATTTAGTAAAAAGAATTATATAATTAATTATTAACTACTTTATTAAAAGTAATAGTTATAGCTTAAATAACTTTAAAGCTAATTACTTATATTTATAATACTTATATAGTTATTATAATTAATTATAATAAATAGCTAAGTTATTATTTTTTTATTTTCTTTACTAAAGGCTTTTTTTATTAATTAAGCCTGCGGCTATATTATATTAAGTCTTTATTATATATATTATTAAAATTTATTACTAAAATAAATAGTTAATAATAGTAAAATTAGTATATTATTCTTTTAGGCTATTTAATTAACCTAAGATAAATTAATAAGGGGTTTTTTAGTAAAAGTATTAAATATAAATTATTTTATTTAGTATTAAAATAGCCTTAAGCTTATTATATAGTTAATAATACCCCTTTATATTATTTAGCTTTATAATAATAAAGGGCTAATATAAACTATAATTTATATAATAGGTATTTATAGCCTTAATCCCTTATTAATAAAGAATTTAGAAAAGGGAAGGCAATAAAAATAAGTTATTTAAAAAAATATAGTAACTAGCCTTAGGCAGTAGATTAATTAAGGCTATAACTATTAATTATATTAAATTAAGGCTATTTACAGTGTTTTTTTTCCTAGGCTTTAGAAGGTTAATAATCTATAGTATATACTAAATCTACCTTAGAAAAAAACTACGTTATATTATAACCTAGTTTTTATAACCTATAGGCATTAGTTTAATTAAAATTATTACCTTTTTATAAGCCTAGCCTTAAAAAGCTAAGATATATTTATTAATAGCTATTTTAGTACTTAGGTAGTAGAGATCTTATAAAATAGTTTATAAATAAGTAAACTACATATAGATTTACTTATAGATTATTAAGTAATCTTCTATAGCTGCGTTAAATAGTCTAATATATTAAAATAAAATCTTAAATTAGTCTTTTATTATAAACTTAGTTATAAAATATATTAAAAGCTAATAACCCAGCTACTATAAGGTTTTTTAATAATCTACTACCTTAGCTTCTTTATAAATACTTATATAGATTATAAAGCCTAGCTAAAGGTAGATTTCTTTAGCTATAGCCTTAGTTTAATAGTTTTTTTATAACGCCTTCGTTAGCAGGCCTTCTAGGCCTAAAATATTATTATTTATAAAGGCAGCCTAGTTAGCCGCGGTCTTAATAGGTAAAAATAGCTAGAATAGTAATAGTAGTGTTATTAATAATACGTTAATAACGGGATTATATTATTAAATTTACAAAAGTTTAAAATAATACCCTTATAAGGGCTCTAGCTAAAAGTTTAGCTAAACTATATTACTATTAGCTAGTTATTTAATTTAGCAGTTATTTAGACATATGTTAAGTTTATTATTAAATTTATTTTAAATTATAATATCTTTAATATTTATTAAAAGGTATTATTAATAACAGCTGTTAGTAGTTTTAGTGTGTTTTTTCTTACTAGTACACGAAGTCCTATAATATAGCTATCTAGCGTTAAAAAAAAGTGGATACGGGTATATAGGTAGTGCCTCTTCGCACTCAATGGGATACGCTGTATGCCGCTCTTCTGTTTTTTTCAGCCCAGGATCCCCAGTTTCGTTGGCCCGCGCCGCGTCGCATCGATTAATTTCACATGCATTGGCGTCACAGAACCGATACATGATGAGCGATACAGGTATGCACTATCATTACCCATGTATCTTATATATATTTTTCCTTGACCTTGTTCCTATTGTATTTTCCAAGTCTTGTTGAATCTGGATTTCCGTCTTCTTTTCCCTTGTACATAACACCAGACTGACATCCGCACATACTCGTTGCAAACAGTTGATTCGATCCCTGGCAACCTGGAGATGCTTCGCAAACTCCCCGCTTAGCTTCAGCACAGACTTGCGGAGGTGGTTTTTGACTTACGAGGGTTCTCGGCCCACGATTGGCTCCTTCGCTGCTGCGCGATTCCTCAAAGGGCAACAGTCGTGGGTTTCGTTTATTTCTCCTGGCGTCACATGCAAGGAGGCGATGTGAGTTGGTGGAGTCGCGAAAAAGGCAGCCCAGCCAATGCCGAACGGCGGGTTCACAGCTTACGCGGGATTACAAACAGGCACAGAATTGTGCAGTGACGTCTTGGATCTACATGTTGAATTACGAGTAGAGAGATAATCGACAGAGGTGATGCTGTAGATACCTGTGCCCGTATATGCCAAATTGTATTCATGTAGACTAGACTACCTATATAACACAAGCCTTAAGATGAAACAAGTCCACCAAAACGCCAACCAACTCCTCCAACAACGCAACCAAACCACGGCTGAAAGCTTCAATGCCGTGCAAGAGTGAAATCAACGATTATCATACAGTATACCCAGAAATCCCGAACCAAATCCCCAAAGGCCATGGCGATTCACATCTTCTCGTTGCACCACCGTTCAAACCGCTCCAGTCCATACGATACAATCATCGTAGTGTGGCAAAACTCATCCACATCCGTTGCTTTGACATGGGAAAACAAGTGTTCTCCCTCGACACAACGGATAGAGTTGACCACGTTGGACTGATAATGCTTCAACCAAGTGAAAGGCGTCGGTGCGTCCCAAAGACCTGCGCCGCAGGAGAATATGATGCCGCCGGGGCAGGGAGCGAACCCTTGCTTCAGCGTCAAGTATACGGCCTCTGTGAGAGTCGCAGTCAAATAAGTACGCCGAATAGACTCGGAAAATATCCACGCCTGCCATGTACACGTGGGAGAGCCGTCTGTCCGTAGCTGCGTGTCGACCGGGTTGGGATGCGGCTTGCTGATCAAGTCCTTGTGGTTGGAAGCCACGCCAAGTCCGGCGCTCTGCCACAGCTGTCGAGCCCACAGAGAAAGCGTATCAATGTCCTTCTCGGCTTGGGCACGGGCGCGGATGTCGCCGTCGAAGAGGCGGATGATTTTGTAGATCAAAAGGGCCTGTGTCCTCGCGAGATGGCACGCGGGGTCGAGCATAACAACGCCAAAGTCGCCCACGTCGGCGGGATTCTGCCCATTGACAAGGTTGTTGGCGCGGGTCTCGATGATGCGAAGCACCATTTTCTCGGTCGCGGGCGTCTTGGAGTGATATGCGGTAAGGGAGGTGAACGCATCCTGAACGCTCTCCGGAAGATGGATCCTCCACAGCTGAGGATGGATAAAGGGACAGTGGCCTTCGGTGATCCACTGCTTCAGCCACGCCTGCAGCTGGTTGATGAAGTACGTGAGAGCCTCATCGCTGAAGTAGATTTGTGACGGGATGGGGCCCGTCTTGTGGTCGATGGTCCATGACAGAGGAGACAGAAACCACGGATTCTGCAGAGCATCTGCCGGCACCGGGGCAACGGAGCGTGTGAGCTCAGTGTTGGCCGCCTGGATCTGCTGCTGTTGCTGCTCTAGTTCCCGACTCTCCCCAACCTGAGACGGCGGGGTGAGCAGCGGATTCCTGTCCGAGGGCGCCGGAACCACCGAAACGGCGCCGTCCTGCGAAAAGACGAGATCGTACGGCGGCGCAATGCGAGGGGCGGGATAGCGACAGACAATCTGCCTGTCGTTGCAGCGGTGACAGGCGGGCGTCTGCTTGCTGCACTTGCGCTTTGCCTTTGTGCACGGGATGCAGGCCAATCGCTTCGGCGGGGCGGAATCCGTCATGACGGGCTTTTTTTCTGCTCCCTGGCGGCGGATAGAGGAGATGCGAGGGCCCCAAGAACGGGTTATTGGAAGTCCCAGAAGCTTCTTAATCTATGATTCCCGGAGGCGGCAATTTGTCCTCCATTCTGGCGGGTTTCCTTCCGCCGGGTGGAGCCGGGCTCCGGGCTGAGACGGGCTTTGATAGGTGAGGCCGGCGGCGAATTTTCCACCGCGGCACGGAGGGGGTTTATAAGATGGATGGCCACAGCTCCCGATTAGTCCGATTCGGTGTGAAAAGAACGAAAAGGGCAATTGTGGATGACTGCCGCATGGAACTGGCTGATTAATGAACTGCCTGCTTTCCAATACTCCGCTGCTCTGGTGGCGGACTTGGGAGAGAGGATGGAGATGATGGTGAAGAGAAGGGAGAAATGCCGCTCGCGGTGTGAGGTAGCAGCGTGAATCGCGAAGATGCAACTCCGACGCTGGAATTAGTATAAGAGGAGAATGGAGGACCGGATAATGATGCTACTCCTGCTCCATATCATCATCGCAACCACCACATCTCATCAGTCTCGGACACTTTACAACTAAATCAACCGCAACCAAAACCTCTACTTTCGCCAGCAGCCATGTCTCTCCCATCCCTCAAAGAGTACCGCCGAAAGCCCTACGAGGCCACCTCCCCCTCGCGACCAGAACTCAGCCAGGTCGGTAAAACCGTCGTCGTCACCGGAGGCAACAGTGGCATCGGATATGCCATCGCCCGCAACTTCGCCAAGGCTTCCGCCAAGCGAGTCATCATCTTGGGCCGCCGCCCCGACGTCGTTAAGGCTGCCGCCGATAGGCTTGTCCAAGAGGCAAAGGAATTCGGCTCCCCTTCCTTGGTGGAGGGCAGGGTCTGCGATGTTGCAAGCCTCGAGGCCACCGAAGCTCTCTGGTCTGGTCTCGAGAAAGAGGGCATCGTTGTCGATGTCTTGGTCCTTAGCGCTGCGGCCCATGGGAAAGTGTCTCCTATTCTCAAGAGCGATCTTGCTAGCGTTTGGGGCGATTTCGAGGCAAATGTGCGCTCTTCGCTGGATTTCACGCAGAGATTCTACAACCAGAAGGGCAAGGGCGTGGATTCGCGCAAGGTTAGTTTGGGCTCCCCGCCCCTTGGTAATTTGAACAGGATCAAGACGAGATACTAATCACTGCTGCAGTTCTTGGTGAACATATCTACCATTGCCGCTTACATGTGGGGTTCGATGGCACCAGAGCGGCCAACTTACGGCTTGACCAAGAACGCTGGTACCACTTTGATTCAGCAGATCGCCAAGGATACCGATGTGAACGATATGCAAATCGTGAGCTTCCACCCTGGCGGTGTTCTCACGGACATGGCTCGCGCCGCGGGTGCCAGCGAAGAAATGGGTATTCCCTTCGATGATGGTACGATTCCAACACTTCCTTTCTTCTTAATAACCCTATACGACACGTACTGACTCTGCATACACAGAGAATCTTCCAGGTCAAATGGCTGTCTGGGCAGCTAGCCGAGAGGCCGAGCATCTGCACGGCCGATTTGTCTGGGCCAACTGGGATGTTGATGAGGTCAAGACTGTGCTGGGCAAGCAGATTGCAAAAGAGCCCAACTTCTTGAAGGTTGGAATCGAGGGACTGTCTGAGAATCTCCCCAACCCCATGATCCCTCCCGAAATGCTCGAGAAGATTATGCAGTTTCAGCAGGATCTTCAGGCAAAGCTTGAGGCGCAGAAGTAGAAGGGATATCAAGGAAGAGAGGGAATTACCCTATACAGGGGATTTTGTACAACATGCATTTCACTATAGCTATTACTTTGGATAAACTACATTACAACAGTTTCATCATTGTTATGAAATCATCTCCTTATCACTCGACTGTAGGGTAATCCGCCACTCACGTCTCTTCTGATGGCCATATGTATATCACCCATCACACCCAAAAATATTACTCTTGACCATCATAAATTTGTGTATATTGAAACGGTTGTGAGGGAACGCTGTTTGTTTACCTCTACAGGCATTGTGATTAATGATCGTCTTCATGAGATGGTGTAATACAATATCTCCGCCGACTCACCGAACGTCGGGTGATCCATGTAGCAAAAACAACTGGACAATAGGCATACATTATCTCCTCTGCTGTCTATAAAGGGCATGGAATTGCATTGCACATAGCGCTAAGGAATAGATATTACCAAGCTTGATAGATGCGCTATGCTGATAGTGTAGTTTTAGTAACTATTGGAACGACATCACCAAGCACTATGGCTTGATACGCCTCCTGTCGGAACTTTTTCTACATGTTGGACTTGTATTTGCCTGTTGGTCGGCAAATTAGCATATTGACTAGGGAGTGATCAGGAACGCTGCCCCCTTTGACTAAAGTTGATCCGACGTCTTGGTTTAGGTTGTGTTGGTTGGACTAGCTTGGGCGATCATCGCTTGTTGGTTCGATCACAGGGAGAACGGAGACCATGCCATGGAATAACTCCCTTACTACGATATATGTGCTATTTTACAATCTTATTAGATAATTTTGAAGTATAACAGTACCATGGAACAAGATAATTTCGCTCTTTGATCGTTAGGCTACATATGGAGTCAATAAGGAGCGGATATTGGAAATAGGGTTGCGGCATATATATCTGGGGATACTAGCTGACAAACACGAAAGAAAGCACTACTTTTTACTAGAAACAAAAGACCTTTAGAGCAAATAAATCTTAAGCTAATCATACGCTATCTTGTGAAGAATGCGTCGATCGCATGTGTTGTACCTGAAGTTCTGGACAAGTGTTGGCACCAACATTCCGCGTATACACCAACCATTGGCAAAATTATTATGGTTCTGGTATGAAAATAGTGATTTTCGACGCGGAGAGCATGAAGAAGCTCAATGAAAGACGCCAATAACAATTCAACGCGGCTTGAAGGTGTTTGGTATTTCAGTTGGGACTTGTGCAGATATAAATCTGATGTTGATTGCCGCTCATGTTTCCTCTCCAGCAAGCGTCACGCTCTCTTAAATTGAGGTATTCTTTGGTACACTCATCTGTCGCTATCATCGCTTTCGAGAATGAAGAGCTGCCCCAGTATTCGGTCTGCGGCCACCTTGGGCGCGGCCTTCCTACTGCAACTGACCAGTGCGGGAAAGGTGGAATGCCCGGATCCCGCAGAAATTATCATCCATGAGCCAGCAAAGCTCATTTGCTGCGGGTCTACTACTTCGACGACTTATACGAGGTAAGCTTCTGCTCATACCATGATTGGATGCCCTGGCATAAAGAAGATGGGACTGACAAGCTGCATAGGATTACAACCGAGTGCTCAGGCGTTCCTGTTTACGTTACACCTGGAGTCCCCATCCCTGATGCAGAATGCGTGACTACCACTCAGCCATGGACTGGAACTGTGACCGAGACTGTTACGATTCACGCTACTGGAAGAGCTCCAGGAACTAAGATTGTGAAAATCCCGGGAGGAAGTGCAGATTGCGTTACAAATACTGTTGGCTGGTCTGGCACCGTGGCCGAGACTATTACAATTCCTCCTTACGGCAAGGGTCCAAGCACCATAATCGTCAAGACTCCATGGGAGCATCCTGATTACATTACAAAGACTGTTTCTTGGACAGGAGCAGTCACCACCACTGCGACGGTCCACCCTTACCATGACAAGCCTGGTGAGATCATTATCAAGACTCCCTGCGAACATCCTGATTACATTACAAAGACGGTTCCTTGGACTGGGTATGTCACCACCACTGCTACAGTTCATCCTCACAACAATAAATCTGGCGAGATTATCATCAAGACTCCCTATGGACACCCCGATTACATTACAAAAACGGTTCCTTGGACTGGACATGTCACCACAACTGCTATAGTTCATCCCAGTCACGGTAAGCCCGGCGAAGTCATTATCAAGACCCCTCATGGCGAACGCCCCGTCTATACTACTAGAACTATTGCTTGGACTGGAAGCACGACAGTCACCTCTACAGAGTATCCTAGTGAAACCGGCCCCGGAATCGTCATTATCAAGACGCCGCGGAAGTATGTGACAGAGACAATCCCATATAGTGGAAGCGTTACGCACACCCGTACCATATTGCCCAGTGGAACTCACCCTGGTACCATCATCATTGAGACGCCTACCATATTCGGCCAAGGATCGAGACCAACGACGTTGTCAAGATCCGTTTCGATATCTGCGATTTCAACCCACTCTCATGGCACTACTACCTCACATGAGAATAGTTTGTCCCATACAGTGACAGTGCTGCATGGTACTTCATCATCTCATGCAACAACCACGTCCCATCCTGCGTCATCTCATGGTTCAACCACATCTCATGCAGGCTCATCTCAAGGGAGCGCATCAGCTCAGGGGAATTCGCGCAGCTCTACAGGCTCGCGCAGCTCTACAGGCTCGCGCAGCTCTACAGGCTCGCGCAGCTCTACAGGCTCGCGCAGCTCTACAGGCTCGCACAGCTCTACAGGCTCGCACAGCTCAACTTCAACTCATGGGACTTCAACTCAAGAAACTGGATCAGCTCATGGAGCGTCCTTTTCACACAGCTCCACGAGTTCCCACAGTTCCACATCATCTCATGGGTCAGTTTCAACTCATGGCACTGCATCATCACACGGGTCGACGAGTTCCCACAGCTCTGCAAATTCCCACGGCTCTACATCAACCCACGGGTCAACTTCAACTCATGGAACTTCAAGTCAAGAAACTGGATCAGCTCATGGAGCATCGTTATCACATAGCTCTACGGGCTCCCACAGCTCAACATCATCCCATGGATCAACTTCAACTCATGGATCGGCTTCAACTCATGGGACTTCATCTCAGGCAACTGGATCAGCTCATGGAGCGTCGTTATCACGCAGCTCTACATCGTCCCATGGATCAGCTTCAACTCATGGATCAGCTTCCACTCATGGATCAACTTCAACTCATGGATCAACTTCAACTCACGAATCGGCTTCAACTCATGGATCGGCTTTAACTCACGGGACTTCATCTCAGGCAACTGGATCAGCTCATGGAGCGTCGTTGTCACACAGCTCAGCCTCAACCCATGGGTCAACTTCAACCCATGAGACTGCATCTCATGGGACCACATCGTCGCATGGTACTTCATCATCACACGGATCTGCAAGCTCTCACAGCTCTACATCATCCCACGGGTCAGCCTCAACACATGGGTCAACTTCAACCCACGGTTCAGCCTCAAGCCACAGCTCTACCCACAGCTCTACATCCTCCCACGGGTCAACTTCAACCCATGTAACTGCCTCTCAAGAGACTGGATCAGTTCATGGAGCATCGATATCACATAGCTCTACAAGTTCTCACGGCTCCACATCGTCTCATGGGTCAGCCTCAACTCACGGGTCAACTTCATCTCATGGCTCTACTACCTCACATGGAACAGCTACATCCCATGGTTCCACCTCAACTCATGCAACTGCATCTCACGAGACGACATCATCTCATGGCACTTCATCGTCTCACTCCACTATATCGTCTCATGCGTCAACCGTAGCTCATAGTAGTACATCGTCGCATGGATCTGCTTCTCACAGCACTGGTACTTCATCCCATGCAACAGCATCTCACGGCTCCACAAGCTCTCACGCAACTACATCGCATGGTACTACGTCCTCACATGTAACGGCCTCATCACATGGATCTACTTCAACCCATGAGGCGAATACATCGCATAGCACGTCCCATGGATCCACCTCATCGCATGGAACTGCCACTTCATCGCATGAAGGCACTTCTCATGGAACTAGCACATCACATGTATCCGGATCAGCCACAACCTCTCACGGAACCAGCTCTCATGGAACCTCTACCTCTCATGGAACTTCATCGCATAGCACTGCCACATCACACGCGTCGGCTCAGGGGACGAACAGCGCCCATGAAACCGCCACAACGCACTCGACCACTTCGTCTCATACAGCGGCGAGCTCTCACGGCTCAACTTCGTCCCATGGAACTACGTCCCACGAAGCTACCTCATCCCATGGCACTGGTTCATCAAATCCAACTTCGTCTCATCCCACAAACACATCTCATACAACCGCTTCGTCTCATGGCACATCTTCCTCGCACGCAACAACAACTTCTCACAGTGCCACTTCACATGCAACGACCACGTCTCATGGAGCGTCTTCCTCGCATGAAGCAACCGTGTCTCATGGAACGACTTCTTCACATGGAACTACATCTTCACATGGAACAGCTTCCTCCCATGAAACTACATCGCACAGCAATACTTCATCTCATGGGGCGTCTTCATCGCCTGCATCAACCACGTCTCATGGAACGTCTTCTTCACATGGAACTACATCGCACAGCACTACTTCGTCGCACGCAGCAGCTACATCTCATGGGGGCGTCGTCGTCGGAGCTACGTCTCGTGGAGGCGTCGTTGTCGGAGCTACAACTCGTGGGGGTGTCATCTTCTCATGAAGCTTCCTCGCGTAGAACAACTATTACACACTCCACTGCTTCTTCCTATTCTACCACATTGTCTCACTCAAAAACCTCGTCTCATAACACAACCATGTCAAAGCCAACAACTACGCCATAATCACCTTATTACTGCTCGATACCTATTTGTGTCCCTGTGAGCGATCCCATATGCTGGCTTGGACTGACAATGTATTGTCATGGGAAGATTCTTACAATCTAGAATCTTTTCTCAAAGTCAATCACAATAGGGGAAGGTTTGTCAAGATACGGACTTCGTTGAAGATCGGCACTATCTCTAGCGTGCTGTTTAGAACCATCTTCGCTGTTTCTCGACAAAGCTGGGATTCATCATAACGCCAACGGGCGACCCGGGTCGATGCTGTATAAGACGCTAAAAGTTCAGAATGCTGACCTGCAAGTTGTTTCATAGGCCTCCTTTTAGATGTGGTGGAATGGTTTCTATTGTTTATCTGACTCTTTGCCATTTCGTATTTGCACTTTTATACTACATTACGCAGCTAATAAAAAAAGATGCCCTTTCTTCAATGTTAATGACTTCTTCTTGAAATCAAGGCCCCGAATAATTGTAACGTCACAATTTGTTAAACATCATACTGCTTTTATCTATGTAGTCTGTATTGAGTATCACCCTTAATGGCATTTACCCACAAAGCCAATTATTCTGAGTCCGAGTCCGTGGATCCTGAAGATTCTGACGACGCATCATCATCTGGAGAATCATCTGGTGTATCTTCAAATTCTGGACCTTCTTCTTCATACGTGTGATCAGCAGGATGAATCAGCTCCTTATGAGAATGACATTTCCAACATAGATCAAAGTCGGTACACTTGTTGCAGTGATAGGCGAAGCCGTAAATACTCTATATGATAAGGTTAGTAACATTCAAGCTTGTCACTCATAGAGCAGAGGGATGGCATAATGATATAATGCCGAGAGTGACGAGAAAATGGTACTTACACATCGACAATTGTCGCACGTTGCTGTCCGAAGGTTCCCCTTTTTGGACTTGTCTTCATCAGACTCTTCCTGTGACTTGGACTTGTTTTCGTCTTGGTCTTTTTCATCAGCGGAAACAAGGCCATTCTTCAACAGCTCAATTACTTCCTCATCAGCACTGGAGAACCTAGCCAGCTTCAAGGGTGTCCACTTTTGCCCTCCAACAGCGACTCGCACAGAACGATTGGCACCGTTCTCAAGCAAAAGCTTCATCACCTTGATCTGCTCTTGAGGCTCTCCCGCGTGTTCCTGATCTAGCCAATTGCTAGGACCACGAGCTGCCCAGCATAGCGGCGTCCAGCCGTCGATATCTGGCTCGTCGATTGCTTTTTTGTCGGGCAAGAGAGATATTATCTTTTCAACAACCTGGAGTCTTCCGGGCTGTGCGGCCCAGTGCAGTGCGGTTCGCCCAATGCCGTCTCGTACGGTGATGTCGCCCCCTGCCGCAAGGATTGCGTCAAAGTTATCGATGCCATGGAAAGCGGCAGCATGAATAGGGAAGCGGCCCATGGGATCTATAGCACTGACAATTGCTCCCTTGTCTAAGAGGGTCTTGATTGTGATTGGAGTTGCAGCATATGCCGCCGCATGCAGAGCAGTACCAGCGTAACCACCTTCCAACGTCACGTCCGCTCCATGGTCAAGGAGATAGTCGACCATTTTGTCGATAATCCGATCTTCACCACTTGCGTATGGTAGACACGCTGCCTGTAGTGGAGTTCCGGCGATTCCAAACTCGGTGACTTGATTCACGTTGGCGCCGTTCTCGACAAAGAACTTCACAAGGTCCCATTTTGAGTATCGGCAAGCTTGATGGACAGGAGGGCCATCACAAGGCGATGCGAGGTGAATGTCGGCGCCGTGTTTGACGAGGTATTGGGCGCGGTCTAGAAGGCCGTTGTAGGCCGCTATTGTGAGGGGAGTATCGCCCCTTTTTTTGTCCTGAATATTCATATTTGCTCCGGCATTAATTAAGAGCTTGAAGTTATCCAGGGATATGTCGACTTTATGGAGAGCCGAGTATCCGTCCTTGTCAAGTTGGTTGACATCAATCCTGGATGGAAACTCCAAAAGAACCGAGAGCGTGTCTGCCCCAGCAGCCAGGTGCAGAGCAGGCACACCCTGGTCCGATAAACGCTTAAGGTCAGCTCCACGGTCCGCTAGTATTCGAACAGTCTCTTTGGAGGCTTGAGATACGGCACATGAAAGAGCTGTCCACCCCATCTGATTCTCGTCGTCTCCATCATAAGCCAATTCCAGATTGGCATTGTGGTCCAGGAGTAGCTCTAAACTTTCGGTGTAGCTGAACCAAGCAGCATGCATGAGACTGGTAAATCCTGCGTTCTTACTGCTGTCTGGATCAGCGCCGTTTTCGAGTAGTAGCCGAACAATATCAGGCTCCGGAATAGCAAAGTACAGAGGAGTTAGATTGCTCGTCGTCATCTCATTAACTTTGGCGCCCTTCTCCACCAGTAATTTGACGAGTGCTTCTTCCCTATCCAGTGCAGCAGTGTAGAGGGCTGACTGGTTATCTGAATTCAAAATGTTGACGTCGGCACCGTGATCAAGGAGCCGTTGGACGAAATCCATTCTCGAGCCGCTTTTGCTGGCGTGGATCAAGACGGGCGTCCCGGCAGAGTCCTTTGCGTTCACATCGGCATTGTGTGAAATGAGGAAATCAAATATCTCCATTTGATTCTCAGTGGATTCATAATCAGTAATCATCTGAATGAGGATTGGAGGCTGGATCAATGGGCTGTTGGGATCTGCGCCGCTGTCAACCAGCATTTGACATATTTTGAGATGACCCTTGACTGCTGCATATCGCAGGGCGGTACCCCATAGAGAAGGGCCAGGAAGATTAGGGTTGGCCTTCTTATCAAGGAGGAGTTTGACGCATTTCTCGTAGCCGTCATCAACAGCTACTACTAGAGGCGACCACTTTTCCGGCGCATCATCAGATTTGATGCCCATGTTGGGGTCGGCACCTAGTTCCAGCAACACCTCAACGACATGATGATGGCCCCATAGGCATCCGAAGTAGAGAGTCGTAAAGCCATCTTCATCTGTGATTTCCATATCGATTTTCCCCTCTTCGACTAAAATCTTGGCAATCTCAGCATGGCCTTGCCCAGCCACATGATGGATGGCAGTTCTATCGTAGAGATGGCGAGATGTTATGTCCGCATTGTGCTTAATAAGGGTACGAACAATGCCTGCATGGAAATTGCGAGCGGCTTGGGAGAGCGGCGTGGCCTTGGTGATAGGCGTCCAGTCAGCCTCAATATCGGGAGGATATCCCAAATCGAGTATACGGTCGGCAAATCGATCGAGACCTAGCCATGCAGCCCTGTGAATGAACAAGGGAGGCCAGGTGGTAGTATCTGGGCTTGGATTGATCGCGATGATGCGATCAAGCATATCTAACATGATTTTCTCATCTCCGCAAGCTCCAGCGGCTTTGATAACATCCATGAGTGCTGCTTCTGACATGTCAAGTCCCTTTATGAGTGCAAGGACTACCTCGTACTGGCCTTTCGAGGCGGCCTCAAGCAGGCCTCGGCGTTTGTCTGCCTCGTCTCGTGCTTCAACCACGTCAAGCAAGCCAAGGCCTGCGAAAATTGGAAAGAGTGTATCCAAACACGTTGTGCCCCTGGTGATTGGGTTTGAAAGCGCCCAGAAACCCTTTGCCCAGCTACTTGCTAAATCCGTAGGCGAGAAGTGAGAAAGAAGGCCTGTTAGCTCCGGCTTAGGCGAGCTGAGCATAAAGTGATGTGTCCAAGCTTGAAGAGCGTAAGAGCATAGATCTCCTCGATTCGCAAATGTAGGCGACTCAAAAGACGCGGCATCTGTTACCTGAAACGTGTTGCTGATATACTCTTGCACGGCTGGCTGAGAGAGATATTTGAGACAAAACTGGGCAATGTCAAAATGGGCGGTTTTCTTAATCTCGCGCCAAACAAACTGAGACTCGGCAGATGCATCGGCATCTAGCGCCATGAGGATATTTCTCAGTCGTGGATGCCAAATTTTGACTTCGTTATGTTGTATAACGACAATTCCCGCAAGCCATAGCTTGACATTGGAGATGAGCTTGTCTACCACTGCCGAATCAGGAGACACTTGGCCTTCCTGATCAGATCCAAGATAGATAACCGTTGCGAGCTCCCAGACAGTAAGCGGTCGGACAGAATAAAGAAGCCATGTCAGGAGTCTTCGCAGAACGCCTGGTTCGGGGGCATTCTTAAGCACCCAAGCGAGTAGTTGTTCCAGATTTTGATCGTCATCAGCCACCGCGCCGGCGTCGAGGGTTAAGGATTCAAGCATGGTCTCAATGGAAGTTTCACCGGGCCAATCTTGCCGTACTGCTGCCTGCTCCCAAATGATATGTTTGATGAGGGGATCGTACTTGTCAATATATTGTAGTTGGTTTTCAATAATACTGGGCTCAAAGTGAAGTTCTGGTCGTGCCGTAAGTAGCCGTGCCATATCGTCCTTGGAGTCGGTCGCGGCGATGTTGATTAGGTCTTCCTTAGATGCGTCGAGATCAAGATTAACGCACCAAGGGCCCGCAAGCTCCTCTGAAAGAGCGCCAGGCTTATGGCTTGTGACGACGACTTTCCAAGAGTTCTCACTCGCCTGTGAGAGATAGGCAAAGTTGTCGAGGAGTTGCTTCCGAGAACCCTTGGTACACTCGTCAAAGTGATTTATAACAAACATGACGTGCTCCACCTGCTCAGTAAACCTGAAGCGTTCGAACCAGTAGATAAGATCAGCCTCCGTCCATCCGTGCTCTTCATGGAAACGGGTGAAGGTCAATCTGATACGGTCTGCGACGCCGGGATAAAAACATAAGATTTGGGCCAAGAAGGTAGCGAGCATGTCTCTGAGTGAGTCACATCTGACGTCGTATCTATCAAAAGAGAAATACAGTACCATGGAAGTGGTACTCTTGAGAGCATGCTCTTCCATAATGTAAAAAACCTGCTCAGCCGTCTCGCGCACGTGTTTGGTGCCGTGAAGATAGAGCATTTGTGGACCGCGGTGTTGAAGCCAGTCTTTGACATGTTGGGAGTTTTCTATTGTTGCACTGTTGCGATTTCCACCTTGTAAGGGAAAGACGGGGGACGCTAGGGCTAGCAGCTCTCTCTCATATCGTAGCTGTTCTGCGCTCACTGGAGAACTCAAGGCTGGATAAGTCTCATGTTAGTTAATGGCTTATGATGTTTAAGCAGCTGCTCATGGACAAAGCGGAACAAATCTCACCCTTTAGCAATCCTTGAAGACATTCAGTAATAGGAGAGTCTTCACCGGGATCAGGTATTCTCTTCTCCATGGGCACCCTGAGTGTTGCGCTGTAAGAGTCAAATGCCTTGTTCATCTTCGACCAATATATGTCTTGATAGTGAATGCTGACTGCCCTGCTGCGGAGAGTGATTTTCGACTCGATAAATAGGCCGTTGATTTCCATTACAGCTGCCGCAAATCCAGAAATAGCAGACGCTGAGGGCCGAATCTCTGCCACCCCCGAGTCAAAGCCACCAAAAAGAAAGCGAGATAGTCTATCTTCCATATCGAAGTGGTCGACGCTTCGATGAGGGCAGCTGAGAAAGACCTGTGTAGTTGTTAGAACACGGTAGCTCTTTATTCTCTATACAGTCATCAGGCTTACCATGATGCGGCTCATTTCTGCAATGTCCATCCATGAGTCCGTGTCAAGAGCTGCCGCTACTAAAGCCTGAAAATATTAATGTTAGTCTCAAGAGCTTTTGGTACCAGATGAAGCCTTGAAATCGAACGTACATCTTTGACTATGAGTCCTCCGATGTCATGAGCAACAAAAATAATCAGCCGCTTCTATAAGCATGTTTCGTTAGACCAGATGCAAAACCCTTATTCGAATGCTTCCATTAGATCTACGAACTTGAGTTTCATGCCGCCTCCGAGCAGCGAGCGCTCTCAGTAACTTGAGAGCGCAGTTTCGGATAGCTTGACGGCTTCGTTTACCACAAAAGAGTTGAAGTGGCTCGTACTCGAAACGAAGGACTCTCGAGGGCTCGAGTGTTTGCGCATAACTTGAGACCCAATCACTACTTCCAGAGCCGGGCCCTGCCCGAGCTTCGTCCTCCCACCCGCCATAAACTCCATGGATTACTACGAAGCTGAATTGGTGGTTGGTGGTTAGGTATTGGATGTTCACTTAGACGTGGTGTTGAGGCACATACTCTGCAGCTACGGAGGCGGGATCCGGGCTCCCCTCACTTTTCCAGGTAACATGGAGGGGTTCGGCATCTGGATCTGGCTCTGGCTCTTCCTCTGCCTGAGGGCTTGTCTCAGTTTCTGGCTGATCAGCCTCCGGGGTTGAAGATGGAGTCTTCTCTTGCGTGGTCCCGTCCGCAGCAGCTGATTCGGTTGCAGGTTCTTGTTCTACCTCTGGCACAAACCCTGGTTCTGGTGTGCCGGCCCGCGGCGAGTCGGACGTGCTGGAAGAGGATGAAGAACCCGAGTCCGACATGGTGAAGTTTGGTGCAGCCTATCAAGCGTGAGCTGCAAAGGCTATTGCAGATATCAACCTTCAGAGCATCGGCTTAAGCGCCAGTCTGTGAACCCGAGCGGGTAGCTTGCAAGGTGGAAGCAAATGCGTTCTTCCGGATAAACGCGAGCAGTTTGTATGCTCAGAGCTCTATTCCGCGCCCACTATAAAGCACCAGCGAATATGACGATGTCGACGGTAAATGAGGAAGAGTGCGAAGCAAGCCAGCCAAGAGATTTCACTAGACGCACATAAGGGTTGGTCAATCGTCACGGAAATCTCCTACGATGATGAACCCCTCCATGGACCACAACTGCCTGCGTAACTCTTAACCCCAACAGGGCTGAAGACTCGAGCTGAAAGATAAGTCCCCTCCGTATGCAGGAGCTTGGGCTTGGGTCCGCAAGTACCTTGGAAGTACCCTCCCCAAGATCTGACATGCATACGGAGTTCGCGCTCGCATCGGTTAGAAGGCGCTGATGATCTATCAGTTGCGCCAAGATTGCCTCTGGTTACCTTGTGCTCTCATCATGGGGGCTGTGCCTCTAGTTTGCTGGGCAGAGCCTCATCGTTTCTACGCACTGTGCCGTTCCCGGGCCGTTCCTTGAGAGCGAAGGAAGATTGGGGCGCTAGAGAAACAGGTCTGGACGCCCTGATCCCTGCTTTTGCGTAGCTCGAATCCCAAATGTGACACCATAGGGACCAATAGTGTCAATTCGAGCAGTGAATCCTTTAGACCAGCGCCCGAGGGTTCTTGAACAGTTGAACAGCAGCTCTGAGAGTTGTTGGTAGTTGCGATAAACGCGTCAAGGCCAGACGGAAAGTTGTTTGCGTAATTAATCAATCTGCTCCCGATCAGGAATTTGTGTCACACAAGCGGGGATCAGAGCAAGGCTGGCGGATCACTGACCTCTCCGAACAACTCCCGCAACTCCCAATACTATCGACGGAGGGTGGTAGCGGTGGAAGATGGTGGGATGATGTCGAGTCTAGGCGACGCTACTTACGAGACTATTCCTACCGCTACCTCGTGCAGTGCCGACGGCGGCTACAAGGTCTGCCTTGTGAGCCCAAATACGTACCATCATGAAACGGAGGGGATTGGAGCCCATCAGATTCGCTTTCGCCTTTCAGGCTGATTCCATATCCTTTCCTCCATCTCTACGCCGTGTTCTATAACGCCAAGGATCGACACGTCGCCTTACACAGAGAATTGCGTATTGATCAATTGAACCAGCCATGGATCACAACATCAACAACGATCCAATCCCAGATGATGAAGTAGACGATGTCGAATTCGTTGACTCAGATCCGGACTCAGACCTCGAAGACACATCTGTGAGCATTGGGTTGAATAAGACGGGCGAGCGCGGCAGCGGCTATCATACTCGCAACGACCCTTCCGCTCCCTATCAGCGACAAACGGTGACGGAGCGCCGAGGAATCATCGAAGTCCGTTGCAAGTCTCGAGACGTCATTCATGGGGTTCTGTCGGAAGAGACAGGAGAGAGTGCAACGCTTCTCGTCTATGACTTTTATCTCGACACAACTCGAAGATCACGGCGAATTGTGTCCGCCTCACTGGAATTCGAGTTTGGGAATGCCGTCCCCGGAGTTCCGGCCCCCCAAGTCCATGCTATCGCTCCCGCGGGTCGAGTGACTCTGCTGCCTTCAACTCAAGAGGAGTCGGTCACTCATGGGGCCGAAGTGAACGCGGGCGTGGGTGAATTTGGCGCAAATGCTGGCGGGAGCCTCAAGTGGGAGAAGACTGTGAGCCGCACAACAAACGACGACGCCAGAGTGACGGGCCACATCTTCAGCGATGACTACGGCAAAGGCGTTGGCGCGAGCTGGGTTCTGCACGAGAATCCCACGATCAAGTCCGGCACGCCCAGTCTCTTACGCTGCGCCATTCTGCTCAACCGCGGATTTGATGACAACAGGTTCCAATGCAAAGTGAGGATCAAGGTGGAGGCAGATTGGAAGTCCGAGATGGGTCGGTTGTTTGGCTCAACACCACCAGATGACCCCGTCTTGTTTGACCCCGAGATGCCCCCAACTAACAAGCTAAAAAAATACGACACGGAAAACCTTGGATCCATCGATTTGGACGAGTTTACGGATATCATCTTCGACAAGAAACTGAGGAAGAAGGACGCGGCTTAAGGCGAGCCGAGAAAAGGCGTCAGTGATTACTATTCGCTTGTAAACAGTACATATGTAGTGTCAGCTAAGAGGCTCTACATCCATGCACTATGTATTCCATATACTCGTATAGGTAGTATCCCCTAGGGTTACTATTCTGTATTCCGTACTCCGCAGTTGTGTCCACCATTCCAAGTACTAGCAATCAAGTTCCATCAAAACTTGCGTCACAACGAAGCGTCCAACTGTTTCGGCAAGAGTTTCCTACCTAGGAACTGTCACACGAGAATCATGCTCTGTTCTGGGCCTTGCTGCAGGGCGCAAATGCTAGCACGGAGAAGGACTCTGCCATGACCAATCATACAGTTACCAATTCCATGAAACTAGCTAAGAAACAGGGGGGAGGTTTTAGTCCCACGAGTCCGTATAAATTCGCCTTGTCCAAACTGTAAAGCAAGCTCGACCAAATGGGCCCTGGCAACCGTGTCTAGTTGTGTTTCACGAAACTTGAGTCATAGCAACTCAACATGGAAATTCACGCAAACACATATTTCCGCGAACCCCTTCTGGCTGCCTAGTTAGCTGGGCTAGCTAATGCAAGTTCCGGCATGTGGGAGTATAATGATGGACGGATCACCAGTCGACGTAAACATGGATTGCAAGTACATTCAGTCTACTTACCTGCCCTGCATATGATCATGTGGAGCAGCCACGGTCGCTTCGCATGTCTCGCCTAAGACGTTGATATCCCGGTTGATTCGAGGCGAAAGAAGAGGGGCCCCGTTTGGGGGCGGATGTTAATAATCGCGGCTGAAGATGGTACCGGGGATTCAAAGCAAACTCCCACCGTAATACTAGCTCTCTTGTGCATCCTAAGCTGCTATTCCATAGTTTCCGTTGTCAAAGTACCTTGAGAACGTTTACCATGAGTCCCTTAATTGACGACGAAGAAAGAGAGACTGAATCTCTAGCGGTGGAAGAATATGCTGACAAGGCAGAGTCGAAAGCTGGCGATGAAACGAGCGAAGATGAATCCGACAGCGATGAAGAAGAGGGAGAGGTTACCAACCGGAATGGAAAGTCCGTCAAAGACCTTCTTGAAGAGGTGCTGAAAGGGATACAAGATGGAAACAAGGATCTCACAAGCAGCAGCCAGTTGAAGTCTTTCAAAGCCAATGGCGGCGACGGCCACACCTTGGCGTCCAACACGGGAGATCCTCGCCAGCCGACAGCTTTGCATATCATGGCCGCAATGGACAAGAAAGATTTACCAAAGCTAGACAGCAAGATGGAACCTCTCATCAAGTTCTTGGTGGAGCATGAAAACGATCTACTCAGATTGCAAGACCGATCAGGCCATACTCCTCTGTTCCTAGCGATTGAAGCCAAAAAAGAGAAAATGGTGCAGTGGATGTGCGACTCTCACCCAAACATCAGTGCCATCTTGGCCATTTCCAGCAACGATAAAGATAAAATGAACTGCCTTCACATTGGTATCGATAAAAGGGTCAAGTTTTTGGACCTCCTCATTGACAGAGCCGAGCCGGAGACTTTGGCGGCCAAAGATGGAGACGGCAACACGGCGTTACACCTTGCCGTCGAGTATAAGAAGTGTAAAAAAGAGCAGCTAGATATCATCCAGAAAATTATCTCCAAAAGCGACGCTGCCGTGCAACGCAGTTCTGAAGACGGTGACTTCAACAATGATGGGTTATCGCCATACCTTCATCATAAAGAGAGCGTCAGGAAGGCTTTGGCCAGGGAGAAGGAGAAAGAGAGGAAGAAAGCCAAAGAGGAGAAGGAGCGTGAAAAGAACAATGCTCGTCTTCGTGCCGAAGCTGGTGAAGCCGACAACTCCACGCAAAATCGAGAGACGGCTCCAAGATCCCAAGGACCTGGAGGGCCAGGAGGGCCAGGAGCTCCCAGTGTGCAAGCTCCAGACCCCAGCGGACGTCCAGACAGACGACCGAACATCCAGATTGACTCTTCTCGTACCAAATACGGAGGACGGTCGCAACCCGCAGCGAACGTGAACTCGCCAGCTGTGGCCACAGCACCTCCACTCACGAATAGAGACGAAATGAAGAAGCTAGCCTTGCGTCCACCTGAGACAACCTTGGCAAAGCCGGCTGCCGATGCAAGATCAGTTACGGACAGCGGCCACAAATCGAAAATCGACGAGACAACTCTGAAAGGTGTAGAGCGTCTTCTGAAACTTCACTATCTCCGTTCGCGCAGCTACAATTCTGCCATGGAGATTTTATATGGGCGCAATACAACTTCAGGTAAGGGAGACAGCTCCTCAACTAGGCTACTGAGGCTGGCTAGTTGTGGGAATACGAAGCTAATTGTTGCTTGTTACATAGACTATGAGCTGTATTTTGACTTGTCCGGACACGCAAACATCGCTCAGACTGGTTTTGAAAATCTATTGTCAAAGCTCAAATTCGAGGATATTCTCCAATACGTCGCCATTCCAAGGCTTAATGTGGAGGTGAATATGAACGCAGCAAACAGTAAGCGGTCTCGTGGCACCGGCCGTTCCTCGAAACAGGATGGCGACGGCCGACGAGACTTGTGCTACATATTTGATCGTTTGAGAAAGAAGGGAGTCAAGACAATCCTCAAAGTAATCATCGACGATTCGGTCTCGCCCGCTCATAGCGATGAAGCTATTGAAGACGCCTTGAAATTTATGGACGTCGAAATTTGGGATTGGAAGAGAACAGATTTGTGCTCCGAGGTCATATGCAGAGTGGCATCTAAAGCACGCGAAGTCAATTTATACTGGAGCGGCAACAATGCGGTGCTTCGGGGATGGAGTGAAGAGGGTGGACTGAAAAGACTTCGGGAACTGAAAACGGTTCATCTACACATCCAGCAGGTATGACCCCTTCTGCGATCTGCAGCAGACGCGGAGTAGTTATTGATCTTATTTCTCAGGGTCTTGAAACAAATGGCCGAACGAAACTAAATGTCGAAGATTTTTGTGATCGCATGAAGAAGTTATGCCCCGGAGTCGACGTCCACAAGGAATGGCCGATTATACAAAGAGAACAAGTGGAAGCCAACGCTCTCTTAGCTGGAGATCAAGCCGAGCATTCAACCAAGCACGAATGGATCCAGTGCATGAAGGAATTCCGACGCCTGCTCTTTGACGCTGAGCGCTATTACGACCGTGGAAAGGTCGAAGAGATTATCGAAGAACCCATCAAGATTGCTCTTATTGACGATGGAGTGGACGTCAAAGATTTGGAGTTTAGTTTCATTGGAGGACGAACTTTTTGCACGCGAGATGAAGAGCATAATCTCAACGACCCTTACTATGTATCCAGCACAGGGCATGGTACCATTATGGCAAAGCAAATCCACCTGTTGTGTCCTCGGGCGCAATTCTACGTCTTGAGACTGGAGGATCATGCTTCAGAAGAAGGCAATAGCCGGCAACTTACGGCCAAGAGTGCCGCTCAGGTATGTTCATCTACAACAAGACAACCCTTTTCCAAGGTCGTTATAGAAGATTTAACCATCGTGTAGGCAATCATGGCTGCTGTGAGGAAAAAGGTGCACATCATTTCCATGTCCTGGACCATCGACCCTCCCGAAGACGAGGAAGAGAGACGATTTCTTGACGCGGCAATTGTGGAAGCTGCCAATGCGGACATTCTCATGTTCTGTTCTGCTAGTGATAAAGGTGCCAAGCAGAACGCAACATATCCATCAAAGGCCACGACCAAAATCTTCACCATTGGCGCTGCTACGGCCTCAGGCGCAGCAGATCCCTGGGTTGGTAACCTTGGGAACATCAACTTTACTTTCCCTGGTACCAAGGTCGAAATGGACGGCCCCCGATCCAGCACCGATACCTCGTCGAGAGAAGTCACAGGCTCATCTGTTGCGACCGCTTTGGCTGCGGGCCTTGCTGCCCTGGTTTTGTACTGCGTTCAAGTGCGGTTGTTGTTGGCTACTGACCAGGACAAACAAAAGGCGCGTCGTGATTTCCAGCTTCTGAAGAAACATGACCACATGATGAAGGCGCTCAAGGACATTGGTACGACGGAGGAAAGCAACCACAAGTTCATCGAGGTATGGGAGGTATTTGGCAAGAAGGTGGAAGAGAAGGAGAGATATGATCAGGAGAGATGGCTTGATCTGATCGCTGAAGTGGGCACGATCCTGTGCAGAAAGATTGGCTAGATGAGGGATATGAGCACTTCGCCCAGGTACACGAGTAGAGGAAGAGAGCGACAAGGGCTATACCGCTTGAACAGATATGATTTGGTTACTTTAATTTTACTTTTTGCATCCAGTGTAACCTAGCAGATGTTCAGCTTTGACAATTGCTAATTTTAAGCACCGAAGTTGTCTCAAATTATCGGCCCCCCAATAAGACGGCACTTGCATTCCTCCGTCTTACTCGATCATCGACACTGCCAAATTACAGCCTTGCGAGATGCAGCTGGGAAATAAAGTACGCGAGGGTTACTAGATTTGGAAGTCGTTTGGATATGAGCGACTGTCATTCGCCCGACAATTTGCGCCGGCTTGTGCCACCAGGCACCCGCAAAGGAGCATCTGGAGATCCATCTGTTGCTATTGTTAGAGCGTGGCGGCGATGAACTTGGCTTCTTTTGGATAGCTCTGGTCGAGTTGAAGACTTACCATAGCTTTGAAGATCAATTATGTCTCTGAGATCCATGGATGTAGGATTCATTGATGGACATGACTATCAGCCGCAGTATCCATTTTGGTCTAATTTGGAAAGTTTTCTATAAACAGTCTCAATGGATTGAGGGTCCAGAGTTTTGTTGGCATAAGCAAAGCCATACCGAAAGAGATTATGGTAAGAGATTCGAGATCTCGTTGATCTTCGCATAGCTTTCTCAACTAGGCAAACCGGGACCGAGTTGGAGAGCTTTAAGATCTGAAGAAATGGGTATAAAAGATGGTCATGTCCTCGCTAGGTTGTTTGAGCTCACCACTCTCAACACAGTCCATCAATAAGACATTCTACGACCATAAAACCTTTCTGTTTTATCAAGTATTCTTATACAGCCTCTCTCAACATGAAGTTCACCGCGATCATCGCCTTGGCTCTCGCCTCTGTCTCAGTCAGCGCATACCCCATCACTGGCGAGGCCGTCAACTGTCGCACTGGCCCAGGCACCAGCTATTCCATCAAAAAGACGTACAAGAAAAGCCAAGATGTCTCCGTGACTTGCCAAACCTCAGGCACCAGCGTCAACGGCAACTCTATCTGGGACAAGACTTCCGACGGCTGCTATGTCGCCGACTACTACGTCAAGACGGGCTCCAGCAGCTACGTGACCAAGAAGTGCGATGCGCCCAAGCCTCCCAGCGGCGGTAGCAAGATTCCTGGCCCCATGACCAACGACTATCCATACAAGAACCAGTGTGGCCCGGTCGATAAGTGGGCGTACTTCAAGTGCCAGTGTACCAGTTTTGTCGCGTGGCGTATCAATGAGCGGCTGGGCATCAAGTTCCACAACCAGTATAAGGGTACAAACTGGGGAAATGCAAACACTTGGGATGAGGCCGCCCGCCGAACTGGCGTTGTGGTAAACAACAAGCCCGTGCCTGGATGTATCGCTCAATCGAATGCAGGCAAGGCGGGACACGTTGCATGGGTGTCAAAGGTTTCTGGCGACAAGGTAACCATTGAAGAATATAACTGGGCGCACCCCGAAGGATATGGCACCCGAACCGTGCCTAAGAGCAGCTTCAACTACATTCATGTCAAGGTATAATTCTTGAGTGGCTGTATTTCATGGTGTTATCAATTAGGTGACTCATCTGTCATATGCCGACTATGGTGGTAGAACGGGGTATCTTCACGAGGACTTGTATCTAGCAACAGATTTATTATTATCCATTTCAATCTCATTTTACTCATAGAGCAGAATTAAAGGGCTCATTGTATTTTGTATATCACGAGATGCATGTATTATGAAGTAAATGTATGTTGGACTTCGATACTCAACCGAGTAGATACTCATCATGGTATCATTTAATGCACATTGCTATCTTTTGACCACTTCAAATGTTGTCAGTGATATAACGTGCGACATAGAAGAACGAAAGCTACTAAATGTGACCACCATTATGTAAAGCTTTTCTTAGAGTATAACTCTACTTTATGATTTAAAAAAGAATATAGAATTAGCATAATAACAGTTCAAGCGGTTGTACACTTACGATCACTTGGCGTTGCCGCACGGAATCTCCCATTAAGCAATCTGAGTTTTCTAGCTGAAAGTAGCTCACCAGCAACACTACTGGATATTCTTGAATACCTAGGTACTTCAATACATTTCGCGTCGTTAAACCTTAAAATCGCTTTGCTAGTTTAAATTACCTTTAACTTTTTGTCTGAACGTTTATCCCGTATTATAAAACCGGCTCAGCCCCCCTCTCCCCTCTTCTTTTTTCCCCTCTTCTTATTTACAATTTTCCCTTTGAAGCCGCCTGTTCGTATGGGATTTACCCTCAGTCGTCTCAGCACACCATTCACAGATCCACTCTAGCTAGAACGATACTGATCCCTCTACTACTTGCAAGTAGTTTCTAAACAATGGACAAATCCACAGATGAAATCGCCTTTAGAAAAAGGAGCCTTATAGACGCTCTACGGGATTCGGAATCGGACCCCGAGAGCTTCGAACAGCCCTACGATTCGGCTCCAGATGCTCTTCTAAACAGACTGACAAGAGTTCGCATGATTTTGGGCGCTCTTGATAAACAAATCAAAGACTTCTCCAGCAAGATCAAAGATGTTATCAAAAACAAAAGCAAAGACGAAGACGATCGTGCTTCAAAGCTGGAAACGCACTTCCGGTCTGAATATGCGGGAGCGACACTTGGCATTGAGTTCGCAAAAAAGAAGCAAGATGAAGTACTGTTAGAGCGTCAGCTTGCTTGGAGAGAGAGAAATACCAGAGTTATATCGCAACTAGAGCTGGAGGAACGCTATAGGGCACTTAATAGGCGGTATTCCTCCGCTGGAGGTGATTTATGGCGCAGCTCGAACAAAAAGCTACGCCTGGAAAACCCTACCGCAATTATGTCGATGCAGCTCGATTCCAACCAATCAGCAGCTTCGAAGATTCCTGAGCTCTTATTGCCGCTATACAGAACATCGGATGGCCTGGATGATCGAAGAAAACCCTCTAATTGGATTTCTGATGTCATTGAGTACTACTCAGCCAACCCGGAGTATCATGGAAAAGTTGTGACTGAATATGTGTCCATTGGATGGTGTCATGCTACTGGGACGTGGTATCGTTTTGATCAGCGAGTGGGATGCATTATTCCATTTCTTATAGCCGCGAACAAGTTGGAAGAACTCATTTTTGGTTCCTCAAGCGAGTCCGTGCAGCACCCTGTCAATGCATTACTCCTAGGAGGCGGAGTAAGGGCTTTGCTAGAAAGTTACAAACTCGTTATTGTGCCTGCGGATAATTCAGAGACACCGATCAAACGATGGCGGACGGATCTTTTGTTTCCTAGTATGAAAGATTACTGCTGTGGGTATGATGAGAATTCGAACAAGATTTATTTTAAAGATATAGATGGCAAAGAGCTCTCCTTTTTAGGCGAAAGACGACCCTCTCCGAGATTTCTTTACTTTCACTTCATAATGGCCCTAATTCGCCTGAAAGACCGTGGCTCCGATGGCTGGCAGCAGATTTGGGCCCGTTACTACGAACAACGGCCCTTTCCACCAGCTAATAATTATATGAGGAATGCCATGATAAAGGCATTAGCGACATATTTTGAAGGTGCCGATATGAAAGTCGTCGAGAGCTGGATCAGTGACCAAGGATTTGATACACAGATACAAATACAAGACAACCAGGCAAAAGAGTTGGCGAGGCGCGTGCATCGAATTGTCGATGTAGATACTACTATCGAACGAGATGATAAGTTTGAAGAGCTGTGGGACACGTATGGGGACACTGATGATGAAGAATGATCAGCTTTATCGCTATTTAGAATAGCATATGAGGAGCTACTATAGCCACCTGTATGTACTTGAGCACCTTATACAAGGCGGTTGGAAAGGGTGACAATTCTTTCAGATGGAAGATATTGGCTTTACCTCTAGTGGTGGATGGCTACTGAATGAAGTGAATAATGTAGTCTTTTATATTACGATTTAAAAAGAATTGAAATACACCGCCACCACTATCCTGTAGTCATTTCCGCGGCGCTTAAATGAACCCAAGAACGTCGCGCTTTCTGTTCTCCACCACAATCCAATCATAAGCCTCCGTTGGATGATCGCTCGAGCCTTTCCTACCGTCATCGCTTGGGGGTCTGTATTTCTTCAGATTTTCAATAGCCCACACCATTTCCTTTGTGAGCGGAGGTGGGATTCTGCCTTGTCCAGTCAACGTTCCAAGGCCAGACAACTTGAGAAATCCCTGTAGCCACTCATGCGTTTCACCATCATCCCATTTAATATCATGGAACTTGCGATGCTCTTTGCTCGTTAACTCTGCTCTTTTAGTTTCCCAGGCCTGTTGCTCTGGTATTGACGGAAGTGGAACCGGGTTGCGGTTCGCAAACAGGCGAGCGAGTGCAATAGCCTGATATTCAAAGCTCCGGAACGTCAACACACGGGGCAGGCCCACAATGCCCAGATTTGGAAAGTCTTGAAAGAACGTGTGCCAGTAGCTCTTCACCAGTCTCCCTGTCTCGATGTCATATAGGGGCTGTCCGTTCTTCTCGGAGTTCCAGAAGGGATATGATGGCTTGTATCCGGTACAGTAAATGACTGTATCAATATCATCCAGGTATGTGCCGTCATCAAAGAGAATCCTTCCATCTGGTAAATACTCCGAGATAACAGGCTTCCAATCAATGCCTGCAGGTGGTGAATCTCCCTCCCACCATGCCTTTGATCTCTTTGACTGGTACACGGGAAGCTGAGCTGTGGAGATGAGTTCTCGGCTTACATCTGTCCCCGATGCAGAGTTACCAATCACAAGCACTCTTTTGGATCTGTAGATGCTAGGTGATCTGTATGTCTTTGAGTGCACTACACGACCAGGATACTTTTCGATGTACTCCTCGAGTCCTTTGACTTGCGGTATCTAAAAGGTACAGGTCAGCAAGAAGCCGGTAAAGTCTCTAGCGAATGGAGAAAAACCTACAGTTGGAACAGAGTAGTGGCCGTTTGCCAGAATGACCGCATCGAATGTTTCTTCCCACCAAATATCAGCTTTTTGGAGGGCATCGTACTTTCTGAGAGTCAATTTCCATTGCGTAGAACCGTCATTCGACGGATGATTTATCTTGAGAACATCCTCAACCGTGGTGTTGAGCACCAAGAAGGAATCCGTCTTATGCAGTGCAAAGTAATTCTCTATGTATTGACGTGGAATATGATGTGGAGCAAAAGGGCCGTATGGAAAGCGAACATCCGAAAAAGACATGGCAATCTCCGGCACATTTGTTCTTGTAGAGCATATGTCAGCTTACACCGCACCAACAGTAACCGGCTACCAGCAGACTTACGTCAGTGAATCGTAGATGGGCGTCTTGGAGAATCGCTCCTGTTGGTTAGGATGAGTAACTGTAGGGAGGGTTTGAGGAATCTCCAGAGGAGGGTCAACCTCAGCCGGCAACGCTCCAGGCCGCACCAAGACATTTGGCTGAACCGCGGGATCGTATATCCTAGAATTGGTAACATGAAATTGAGCATCCTGTATGCTTCATTATTATGGATTGAGTAACTCTTACCATGTTCCTCCTGCACTTTCTCTTCTCTCAAAAACACGTATAACATCAAATGCTTCTTCCGCATTCAACGCCGCCGCCGTCACCGCTCCTAGACGCTGCATTAGTAATTGTCATCAATCCAGCTCATGCTTAGCTCCGGCGTTGATCTACCTGCGGCTCCCGCGCCAATGACTGCAACAGACTTGATTTTATTCCCTCCACCCATTCTGTTAGGAGTTTAGATGTCTGTGAATTGTTGATATAATTTAGAGAAAGTGCAGTGAGGGGGTTTGGAAACACAAAGATATGAGAATCATCCTATCATGGACAATCATGTAATTATCACGTGCATTCTGATGTCGTGATCGACTTGGGCGATGGCACGATGGCGCTGGTATATGTCAGCTTTTTGGTATTGGCAAATAGATGCATAAAATGCGTTATCGCGAAATTTCCTTGGAGGGTAGATGTTGCAACCCTATCAGTACTTGCTATCAATACGGGAGATGAAGATGAAGCAGAGTTGCCCATTTAAAAACCGACAGATGTCTCTTTTGAGATCATGTACCAATTTCTTATCACTACCTCTTAACAGTAGGTACTTGAGGTAACTGAAACATTGTTCAATCTGGCGTGAGCGTTGTTGGGCTGACCATTAACATCAAAGAGTCTCGCTGTTGTTTTATACGACTGTATGAAGCAACTACATAATGTGAATTTTACATACGTTCAATCCAACATTGAGAATTGCTTGTATGCAAGTCGCACATATTACCAAGAATGTAATTCCACCTTCTGGACTACTTTTATCATCTAGCCTATCAGTTTGTATCAATTTGTAGGATTGTTCCATCAACATACATCGACTTGCGAAGAGTAGATGTGGACATGGATGAGATATGTTGTGAAACATTGGCGCTACCTGAGCGCACGGCTTGGCAACCGGCGAGCAGAGCTCATCTGATCCCCAATATAACTAAATAAATATAGGTACATATACAACCTAGATGCTACTCGATGCTTCCAATTCAGCTAGGTTATGATGTAGATATACTAATGATGCAATACAGGATCCCTGTTACGAGGAGTGCGGTTATAAGTAACATGATGCCGGATTGCGCAAGGTGCAGATTTGATCTCACGCCAAGAGATGTACTCCGTAGCCGAATACTCAAATTTATTCGTGCATCACACAATTTTGCTTCTAGATACTAGATAAATACCGGCCGCATTCCCAATTCACTTTGTATCCAATACTGCATTATATATGGCCCCTAACTTCACTCCGCCCGCCAGTGGTATTTGGAAGCTGGATGATCTGCTGGCGGCCTAGCCAACCCTTTCTTTCCATACAGGTTCTCACGGTAAGTTCCACCATCAACGGCATAGCCATCCCAGAACAACCCTCTCTCTTTCAAGACTGGAAGAAGCAAGTCGATAACATCTTGGAATGTTTGGGGCATAAGAGCATATGCGATGTTGAAGCCGTCCACATCGGCTTCTCTGACCCACCTCTCCATTTCATCAGCTACCTTTTCTGGTGTGCCAATAACAGTGGCCCCCAGACCGCCGACTTGGATATGCTTTGCCACAGCACGCTTGGTCCATTTTGGAACCGAAGGTGAGGCCTTAGACCAGGCTTCCACGGCTGATCGGATGGCGTTGGACTCGACATGGCGGAGCTCTTGATCATCGTCGTATTGCGCTAGATCAATGCCAGTCCAGCCACCAAATAGGGCCAAAGCACCGTCTTCTGAGCCGTATTGGATATAATCCGCATATTTAGCATCAGCTTCTTCCTGAGTCTTGCCAATTATGGGGCAAAGCATGGCTAAGAACTTGATGGTACTGGGGTCCCGGTTGTACTCATCGCGCGCCGCGGCTCTAATATCGGCAATGTTCTTGGCTATGACAGAGGGGCTGTGTCCAGCAACAAAAATTGCCTCTGCATTTTTAGCTGAAAATGCCTTACCGGCCTTTGAAGTCCCGGCTTGCATGATAACGGGAGTCCGCTGAGGCGATGGCTGACAGACGTGCGGCCCTGGCACCGTGAAATATTTACCTTGGTGGTTGATGGGCCTGACGAGCGAAGGATCTGTGTAGATTCCTTTTTCGCTATCGAGCTTGACGGCATCATCTCTCCATGACGACTGCCTTTATTTAGATATACCGTTAGTTGCTAGTTCATCGATGAAAAAGATCATTGACATTACCTACCATAGCTTGTAAATGGCATCAACATATTCATCAGCAATCGCATACCGCTCATCATGAGGCGGCTGCTCAGTGAGACCCAAGTTTCTTGCAGCTGAGTCAAGGTAGCCAGTCACAATGTTCCAACCAACTCTGCCGCCAGACAGGTGATCGACTGTGCTCAGGCGACGAGCAAGATGGTACGGCTGCTCATATGTCGTTGCAATAGTAACACCAAAGCCAATATTTTTGGTAGCTGCGGCCATTGCCGGAACTAGAACTAGTGGTTCGTTCACAGGCAACTGGGCCCCAGATATGATGGCGGGATCCGGATTACGAGGTCCTTTGTAGACATCGTAGGGACCCTGATTACGGTGAGTCAAGGTTTCTTGATATTCGATAATCCAACTTACCAAAACATCAGCAATAAAAATGCCATGAAAGTGAGCACTCTCTAGTAGCTGAGCTAACTCAACCCAGTGGTGAATGTTGTTAAAGTTGGCTGATCGATCTTGAGGGTGTCTCCAAAGGCCAGGGGATTGATGGCCACTGCACGACTCGACGAAGGCATTGAGAATGAGCTTCCTTTTGGGGACGCCATTGGTTTGGCTAACTATAGACGCCATCTTGAGATGTCCAAATTCCGATAAATCGGGTGCCTGGCAAGCTGTTTAGAAGGTTGCTGCCGACTGAACAAGGTCCGAACACGCGGGGTTGAGACTTGCATATGATATTAACAGTGTAACACTACAGCATCCCAACCCGGTATTCTTTATATCATCATATTTGGAATTCCCATTGGATGAATTGGTTCCTGCGTACTTTACCCTTGAGAAACGTCAAGTGTAGCTCGAATTGCGCAATTTCGATAGTGACATTCAAGAGCATGCGGCTATATACACTAAGTAACGACGTTGAACACTATTACTATCAATCCACTCAATGTCATCTGGGAATAAGCATGTGGGAAGCAGTTGGCATCTCCGGTTTCGCGCTGTCAAATCCCCAATATACGGGGTCGCGAATCGCCTCCCGTCCCGGTAGATAGCCAGATGCAACTAAGGGCGAACATCCTGGCAGCAAGCTCTCGCGTCATCGGAGCTAAATGATGCAACACAAAAGCAGCGCGCCTCAGCAGTTTAGGGCTGACTTTGGGGAAAGAAAATGATATGATATTGATAAAAGCTTAATGAAGGTGTTTTTATAAATCGGAATATGAAGACGTTTTTGGAAACGATTTCTGAATCGGGACTTTGGTTGTGTGGTTGTAACTCCAAGATTTGTTGCAATTGACTTACACCATGCTTCGCCTTGCAAGAGCGACGGATGGCGATGCCGTCTGCCCACCTCTGCCACAGGCAGCAGGTTATGTCGTTGTGATTGCAATTGGGTTCCTGATTGCCTTTATCATGATATTTACAACACACTTATTGAAGAAAACTGTCGGAGAAGACAACAAGACCACGGAAATGTTCATGACAGCTAACCGGTCTGTCGGTACAGGGTTGACAGCTTCGGCTGTCGTATCATCATGGCTCTGGAGTACTGCCATGTTAGGAAGCACCCTTGTGGGGTACAACTTTGGTGTTGCGGGACCATTTTGGTTTGCTGCTGGGTAAGATCTTTCGGTTCAGAAACATGCTGGTCGTAAGTTATGACTGACATGATGCCATTATTAGTTGCTCGCCCATGATTGTTTTCTTTGCTCTACTCGGTATAGCATGCAAACTGCGCGTACCCGAAGCTCATACGCTACTTGAAATTGTAAGAATACGGTACGGTACAGCAGGACACATTGTGTGGATTGCGCTATGCTTGATCAACAACATCATTGCTATTGCCAACATGCTTCTTGGGGCAAGTGCAGCTATAACGGCTCTGTAAGTGACTTTGTAACCAAGAAGATTAAACTCCAAGTTAATCATGTGTAAACCTAGCACTGGAATGCATATTATTGCGGCAACCTTTTTGCTTCCTGTCGGCGTCATTCTCTACACTTTCGTCGGCGGCATCAAGGCAACTTTCCTAACAGATTATTTTCACACTTTTGTGATCACCGTCATAATATGTTTCTTCACTATCAAGACTTTCACCGTTCCAGAGATTGGTTCCCCTGCTGGGCTATTCGAGCTCATCGTCAAGGCTGGCCAAGATCATCCCGTACCTGGAAATGAAGGTGGTTCATATTTGACCATGACCAGCAAAAATGTCAGTTGCGGTTAATCTCATATTCTGTAATGCTATTGTGTATACTGAACGTTGAAACAGGCTATTCTTTTTGGCATCATCCACATCTTGGCCAATTTTGGTCTTGTCATCATGGACACCGGCTTCTTCGCAAAAGCTTTCAGCGCTGCTCCTCAGGCGGTTGTTCCCGGATACATAGTTGGGGGCATTGCTTACTTCGCGATTCCATGGTGCCTTGGCACGTTAATGAGCTTCTCAGCTCTTGGTTTGGAAAATACAGCACGATTCCCAACATACCCTCGAAGAATGACTCCAGAAGAAGTTTCCAATGGCCTGGTGATGCCTTATGCCGCGTATGCCATTGCTGGAAAAGGAGGAGCCGTTGCCGTTCTGTTAGTCACCTTTATGGCTGTTACGTCGACCATCAGCGCCCAAGTCATCTCTGTATCTTCCATCATCAGCTTTGACATCTATCGCCAATATTTCAACAAGGCCGCTACAGACAGGGATGCCATTCGATGGAGCCACATTGGAGTCGTATTCTTTGGATTGTTTTCTGCAGCCTTCTCAACCGCTCTTTTCTACGGAAACGTGAACCTCGGCTGGACATTGTACATGCTCGGGGTTTTGACGTGTCCCGGAATCTTTCCCACTGTATTCACCATTCTCTGGAAGAGGCAATCTTGGGCCGCCGCCATCGTATCGCCATTACTGGGAATGGCTACCGGAATTGCCGTTTGGCTCGGCTCAGCTCATGCTCTATATGGCGAAGTCACTGTAGCTTCGACTGGACAAAGTTTGCCCTGTGTTTACGGAACTGTGGCATCAGCGCTAAGCCCAGCACTCTATTCTATTGTCATCTCCCTCATTAAGCCCGCCAATTATGACTGGGCAGACTTCCGAAAAGAGCGATTGGCTTTTAGCAAAACAAACACTGCTGATCCTCAAGTAACTACTGACTCCAAAACTCCCGCGGTCACGGTATCGGATTACTCAGAAGATGCGGCCAGATTTTCGAAATGGGGAAAAATTGCCGCTTTCTGGGCGGCTGCAACTTTCTTGGGTCATTGGGTTCTATGGTAAGTTGAGTGTATTTGACCCTTCATAGTAGCGGTATCTAACAAGTTCTTCACTCGCAGGCCCCTTCCTATGTATGGTTCAAAATACATTTTTGACAAAGGATTTTTCGTTGCCTGGATCGTTGTCGCGATTATATGGGTTTGGTGCACCATGCTCATTGCTGGCTTTTATCCCATCATCGATGGCAGAAGACAGCTGCTCCTGGTGTATCGTGGATTAAGAGGAATAAAAACGGTGAATGACGATACAGAAAGCGGGACGGAAACACCAAATAGTGGTATACTGGAAAACAAATAGACTATATAGTTAGTAATTAAGAAGCAAGGAACGCTCTTGTGCAGATACATATTAGTGCTCAGTTACTTTGGAATGTCTTTTCAAGAAACAGGTCTGAGCAATCAACATAGTCGCAAGTTAGCAGAATGAATTAGCATAAATCTCAATTAACTACTTCGCATAATAGTTGGTCTTTTAATGACCCCAATATGTACCAAATTTCGAATGTCCAGAAACAACTTGAACAAACTCATGCGCTATAAGAGAATCTGCAAAATGTTAGCATATGCAAGTCAAAAGGAATTCTTTTGAAAGAGTTCTTGTCATGATTTGCAAGTTATTTACCTGTTTTGTTTGAAGGATGAAGCTCATCGTACCTGCCGCTCGTGTCAGTCTACTGTCATCCCATGAGAAGCAAGAAAATTACCAGAGATAGGAATCGAGTGAATCCGGGCCATCCACGCAATTTGCACCGTTTACGTCGCAATGATGAAAGAACCCTTTCACATTGTGTGGCGGCTCCAAAAAGTTCTTCGGCTTATTGTAGATTTCAGTGATGAAGCTGTGTATGTCGAATACTGCGACCTTAGCACCTGGCCAGCGGTTTTTTACGAGCAAATGGAACGGAACCCCATAGTCAATTATTGTGTTTGCCGACGTAGTGTATTCGAGCATCTTTTGGGCGTACTCTGTCTGGTTGTATAGCGTCTTGTTTTGCCAGAACTGGTTGTCTCCTGCTCCTCCATCAGACTGGGGTCGGTATAGCCCTGCAAGCTGCAAAGCGTTTAGATTGAGTAAAACGAAGCGCCGACCACCGGTTGCGTATATTGCGTCAAAGGTGGACCAAAGACAATTGATGTAAGTGGTGATATTTGTTCCGGCTACTTGTGAGTCGCTAAGGATGCCAGTATAACTCAAGTCGTTTGTGCCTATCCACAGCGCATAGACGGTATTTGCCGCAGTCACACCACGATATAAAGCTGTCTTGCGATCCTTCTTGAATGAGGGTATCTCATCTGTGATAATTGATGGGAAGTTCGCATTGAGGAATCCCGCCCATCGTGCCACATTGTTGTTGTCACATGTAGCACCAGATATAGCATAATCGTAAAGAGTGGCGCCGGTGCTGCTTCTAACATATTGAGGCCACGTCAAACCTCCGCTAGCAGTGACGTTGGTCTCAGCTGGCAGCACTCCTGGTGGTGGTCCATGGGCCTGATGAGAGCCATAATAATTGAGCCGACCGTTGTCCGTATAACTATCTCCAAATGTGACGAGAAATTTGAAGTTCGATTTGGGATGTAGAGATGCAGCGTTGAGGGCCGCAACAAAGCCGGAGACTAACAAAATTGATCTCATCATTGGAGATTTACTTCCTTGGCAGGGGATACGGTAAACCATGTGATATATGGAAATTGGAATAAGAATGAAGAAATATAACACAGTATATAGTAAGAATAGTTATGATATAGGGCGACATATGAACTGACAGTCTTGCCAGAGGCCTTGTCAACGTAATGTGCATGTATATAGCCTAATATCGTCATCGGTGCTCGTCACCAAGGAATTGCAAGTGTCATGGCCTGTTCGGCATTTAGATACACCCCAGCCAATAGCAACATTGTTTGTGATACTCCGCATTCATATGCATTAGACAGACCAATTTTGGCAGGGATATCAGTCTAACAGGCGGTAAGGATCTGGGGAAAGACGCTTCGTACAGACACCATAGGAGAAACATTACGCAAAGTTCATCATTAAACAAACAAATCCTTTTTCTACAGTAGATTATTTCTACAGTATATTACGGGATATAATAAAGCAAATATCAGGTATTGAGCATCTAATTGAGGAAATGCACGTTTGTGTTTGAAAAAAAGTATCTTGATTTGCGTGCCTTGCGATTTGGGCGATTTGAAAGTCCATTTTAGCCTGTAGGCTAAAAGGAAGTAAGGATGGCCGGAGGACCGGATCTCTAAGGGATAATTGGGCTTCTAGTCGTTCAGATTGATATCGGTGAAAGGGTCATGCATTACATCACTTGGAAATGTAATATCTCGTTATTCATAAGTTCATCACCATAAGCTAACATCCCCCCAAAGTGAATTGAGACAAAAGTTCGTATTGGCATGCCTTTTTCTCACCACTGTACCTACAAAATATCTAATCCACTGCGCAGACTAATTTCACTAGCTACGATCTCAGTTGAAGTCTGAACAAGATAATCTTCTATTTAGCACAACGTCATTACTAATCAATCTGGTTATTATTGAACTGGAGCTCGAATGCAGTCATCTACATCTCCTTCAGCCATTTCTTTATACCTGTTATCTGGGTAGCCCAAATTGGTCTTCCTATTTTTACCAACTCTGTTCCATAGCCATCCAATAACTTACGGGCATCATCAGCTGTGCGCTTCGATAAATTTGCACAATCATCAGCAGTACCAAGCGTGCTATCGATCCATTCCCTTTTCCAGATTTCCTTTGCTTGCATGGCTTGATTGCTGCCAGTGTCAATCTTTTTCGCCACCATGTAAAATGACGAACGCTTTGCATGCGCCCTTTTCGGTTTAAACAAAGAAAGTTCAGAGAACTTCGAGAATTTGTGTAGCAGCTCAGTGGTATGGATCTCTTCAGGTTTATGCATAACGGCGACCAATGTTCCGCCGCTCTTAATGTGTTCCAAAGCGATCACAAGTTGTGCAAGTTGTAGACGCCGGGCTTCTCGATGTTCGCGCCATTCCTCGAGCTCTTGGTTCCGTGTCACCTGACAACCACAGATTACCACGTCAAACATTTCATGTCCCAACACCTTTGTGAGAGTGAATGTGCTTGCTGCTGGGTGGCTTTCCGGTATAGAGGTTAAATCCATATCGCCAGCTAGAGTGTTGATGTCACATAGATCAAGCTTCACATTTTTATGGCTGAAATGCACCGAATGACCTCCTTTGTGGAGAGGAAGAGTGACAGCTCGAAGAGTAGTTGTAGGATATGATTCCATTATTGTTGTTGAAAACCCTCCGGGAGCCATCCCCATATCCAAGGCCGAAGGCTCGTCACTCGACTGCAATATATCGAATGCGCCCGTGCTGGAATTAAGCTGTTTGCCAATAGCAATTGTCATTGTATAAAACTTAAGCTCGTCGTCCGGTGATGGATTATCTGCCCTTTGACGTTGCTGCTGAAAGGACCTATCTCCCATAGGATTCTCCCAACCCTATCCTATCATCAGTAATTTCCAAGATTTCAACGGCAGATGAAATAACTTGCCTGCTGTCGAATATCGCAAAGCGCACGGTAGGTTGGACTGCGCTCCAAAAGGTACATATGGATCAACTGTTGAGGTCCATTCTCTGCCGACGCTGGATCTGCTCTCAGAGATCCAATCCTGTCAGTCGGTCCCAATAGCGTAGCGTCCATTTTGATAGTCTTCTTCGGTGGTGTGATGAATCTGGGAGAGACAAGAACATGCCGAGAGCGAAGAAAGTACCTAGTACTTGTAGTCATGGCTGCCTAAGGCTCCAGAAAGATCACGTTCAACGTTGTTACACACACGTATATTTGTGTAACGACTAGCGGATATGCCTTTTGTATTCTGAGGGGGTTGGTACATGTATCATCTCCCGTAAGCTTCGACCTGATGTTTCCCAGTATAGATATATGTATTCATTGTCTGTTCTCGCATAGAACAAGTTTGCTTCTATCTACAGTATGAATTCCCGCTTCACGCGACGAGACAACTAGGCAAATCTAGCGATCACTTTGAGATGGGGAATAATGTTTCCCGTCGTACGAAGGCTTCTATATCTTTCTAGTTACATATGCAACTATTCGGGTGGTACTCGACCTAGGTGTGCCCACGATGTCTGCATGAAGTATCACCGACTTAAAACCGTTGTCACTTCAGTGTGAAAAATGCAACATGTGAAACGTGGTGCTTCGTTGGAAGAGATCGTATCCCGAAGTATAGCTACCAGCAGTCGCTGTTTTCAAGATAGAAAAAGCTTTATAAACGCCTCTTCCCACTATCATAGCTTTAGATGTATGGAGTACATACATTTACATATGTGTTCGTATACCAGCGCATTGTGACTTGTCGAAGGCCGCTATGTGGCAGGCGAGTTACCGTAACACAAAGCTGACGCTACGTCCGTGAGGGGTATAGCATTATTCTTACACATAGAAATTCATTATGTTATACAAAAACACTAGAGATTGATGTCGACAACGCAGTGCTTGATGACTGTACTATGTCCCCATTTACTACATCATCTGTTGCAAGAACGCCGAGGTAATACGGGTCTTACATACATATAATAAAGCAGGCCTTGAGGCCAAACTCGTATGAAACTGATCGCATAGCGATGATGTGGTCGACTTTTCTATACATAGGTGCAGACACTACGACGCGATACGTCCGCGAGGAAAGAGCCTTGTATTTTGCTGCTGTCGAAGCAAATCTCCAAGTCCTATAGCATCTCTTAAACTATGCTTTGATCTTATCGCAAGCCTGTAGTGAGTGTGAAACTAAAAGTGATCTACTACTACCCGAGAGTATATGACCGAAGGATAGAGTATCTATGGGCTCTATGCAACCAACTGCAAGAAAGGAAGCATTCCCCATACGGTGTCCATTCCTGCCCCATATGACTCTTGATAGTGAATTCATCTCATAGTCAGGTTCCTATCAGTATTCTCATAAATCCCATGGCGCTCTGTCGGCAACTGGCTGGTCATTGTCTTCGTCAAAGATATCAAACCCCAGATGTCGGCTTGGGTCAAGAAATCGCACAGGGCCGCGCTGGGATGACAGCTGATCCACAGTACGGAAGTCATCGTCCGAAAGCCTTTTTAGATGAAGATTTTGCTCCATGTGGCTATCCTGCACCGATTTCGGCACCGCTGGAATACCCTTTTGTACTGCCCAGGATAAGCAGACCTAAATATTCACCATGCAATCAGTTCAGTATTCAGTGCAACATACGATGGGTATGTATCTACCTGCGCCGAAGAGATTTTGTACTTGGCCGCAATCTCGTTGATCTACAATGGCCGTCAGATCCTTTTACTCTATACAATTGTCTGTCTCATGGACACGTGCCTTCAAGTCTGCAGTTGGGAATGGTTCGTTAGATCCCCGAACAACTTCAACTGGACGACCGCCGAGCGGTTGGTGGGCCATGAGAAGAATTCCATGCTTGGATGAGAATTCGAACAGCTCTTGTTGCGGTAGGTACCTATGAAAAAAATGGAGATTAATAACGGGGTTTGGGGAAAAAGAAAAATCGGTAATTGGAGTCGCCTACGGATGAATTTCAACCTGATTGACAGCAGGGACGATCCTAGCAATGTCGAGGATTCGTTTGGTCTTGAGAATATTAAAATTTGAGAGGCCTGTCGTGATAGTGAGAATCATCAGCCATTCGCAGATGGGCCTATATGAACGAACCAATCGAACGAACGAGACCCAGGTCGACCAGTCGTTCCATTGCTTGCCAAGTCTCTGGATATCTTTTGGATAGACTGTAATCTATCACGGGCTAACTAGAGTAAGATCATCGCGTGTAGCATTTAAACATTTGTGATGATGCCTCACCTTTCCATTACCGCTTGGGTGTCTGATCGTTTTGTTTTGTTCCCCCGCCTTGTAAGCGTGAGGGACTTGGTGGTATCAGCACTCGGCCACTCTACCGCAGCGATACTTGAAAGATTATGGCGTGTAACATACAATGCATCAAGTATAGATCAACTGTCACATGCGATGTTAGCCATATATAACCTCTCTGTAGCTGAAAACATTTGTATTACCATAATCCAACTGCAGGTCGCTCAACGATAGTTCGAGAGCTTTCTGTACATCGGCAGGCTCATGCCATGTTTGTGCGCTGATATTGTTAAGCGAGGGGAAATTCGGTAGTATCAGAGCACGAGATAGCCTGGCACATACAGCTTGGATGTTACAAATATCTCATGCCTAGGAATGCCGCTTTCTTTAATGGCCTCTCCGATTTCTTTTTCGTTCCCATAGGCACTGGCACCATCGATATGTCTATACCCCAATTGCAGAGCCCTCTTTACGGCGTCTTTGATCTTGGAGTTGCCTTCATCGCCTTGAAATGTGCCTAGCCCAATGGCAGGAACATTGTAGCCATTGTTCAGAGGAATAACCTGGGGTAAATCCATGGTGCGAGCGTGGGAGAGTTGGCTGCGTGATTAATGAGGCCGAAAGTTGATTCTTATTTTCGTCAATCCTTGGGCCGCGAACGCGGAAAATCTATTCTATGGTCAATGCGGCCTGATGGCTGGAGCACGATGGGGGTGGTCGATGCGGCCTGATGGTGGTAACACAATGAGGATTCGCCACTATTTACTACGAGTATATGATATCCATGGATGATAAAAGGCCCCGGTTTCGTTTTAGAGCCTGGATCCCGGCACAAGGCCAGGGTCTTGGTAATGGAACCGAGGGTTGGGCGGCCACATTGAGTGCTATTGGTCTGATGAGCATATCAGCTCCGAAGGCATCCAATATTGTACGCCCTCTACTGTTCGTTACCATCGTATAAAGCTCTCAGCCCGCCCAATTAGTACTTGTAGCCTGTAATCATTTATATCCACTGCATTTGACGAATATTTTCTAAGCGAAACTTTACAGTGAAGATGGCCGATACATTCGGCAGCTATGTTGCTGCTGGAAATCAGCAGACGATAGATCCCAATGTGCTCTCTGGTGAGCCCTATTAGCAGGCATTTGCTTTTTTGGGCGTCAAACTAACAGACACGTCTGGATATTCACAGCATTACCAGACGTTGTGGAGGTATTGGAAGTGGCATACCACCAAGAGTCCGCCTGGGCAAAGGCTTTTCGACTTCATGTGCGCCACAAGGATGGGAGCAAAGAAGATTATTTCATGAAAGTTTGTATAACACTGTTCACTCTTGAAATGTGTCTGGTGCACGATATTAAGGTCGCTTACCAACGTAGGTCTCTTTCGACAATCACGGGAAACTGGCTCTCATGGGCGAGTTCGAATCTACAACGGCTATCCACAAGATCATACCTGAATTCTGCCCCAAGCCCATCGGATGGGGGACTTTCAAAAACGATACGAATTCCCATTTCTACATTTGCAAGTTCTACGATTTCATCGAGGGCGTACCCGAACCCAATTTTTTCTGCGAGCAACTGGCTCGGTTACATTCTAGCCACTCATCACCAGAAGGCAAATTCGGATTCCACTGCACAACCTATAACGGTAACCTTCCACAGGATAACACCTGGTGCGATAGTTGGGAAGCGTTTTTTGCTAACGGCCTACGCCATGTTTTAAAGGTCCGCGAGGATCGGGCTGGACACAACCCTGAGCTTGATGAGCTTATGCCTGCACTCTTCGACAAAATCATACCCAGACTCTTGCGACCACTGGAAAGCGAGGGACGAACGATACGACCTTCGCTAGTTCATGGAGACTTATGGTACGGAAATACAGGTATTGTCGACGGAGATACAGATGAGGGCATCGTTTATGATCCTGCCAGCTTTTGGGCGCACAATGAGTGTAGGTACCTGTAATCTTGCACTCTTACTGATTCGTGTTCCCATGCTATCACCGGCATGTAGTGAAGTCAACTAATAAGATATTGCTAGATGAGCTAGGAAACTGGCGCCCGGAGCGAAATAAATTCACTCGTCGCTATTTCCAGGCCTATCATTCCCACATACCCAAAGCCGAACCAGAAGAGGACTATGACGACCGCAACGCTCTTTATTCATTGTACGTGGCCCGCTAACGACGACAATTTTGTTGACTAAACTTATTCTTGTGATCTAGGAGATTTAACTTGCATGCTGCAGCGCTGTTTCCCAACCAAGAGTCATTTGTTCGCATGTGAGTTTCTGACACGAGAATTTTCCATATACATTGAATCGTAAGCCTAATATCGCTGCTGTAGGGCAATAGACGAGATTCAAAGACTAGCCGAAGCGTACCCCGAAGGATATACCGGCGCACCGGCATAGCTGGAGGAAAGTCTCGGAAATTGTCGACTACAAGGGAAAGATATCAAGTCCAGGAAGCCAAAGTCGATTTTGGAAGAACAATATATACACAGAGCCAACGTCACACCTCTTGAGCTTCCAAACATTCAATCTAGAGAACGCTCGTATTCTTAGCCTAGAAGCCAATGGAAAGGAAGGGCGGCTCTGTTAGCTCTTAGAACAATACATGCCTGCGCAATCGATCAAAGTGACACTAGGAGGAATATGTGCTTACGGATCGGCCCGTGGTCTCTAGGTTGAAACATCAATCACGGTCTGGAGACACTAAAAGCTACGTGCATCTCACCAATATGCACTCCATGGGCATACTCCGAGAGGCAATACGGTGTTCACACCACTAGCATACATTGGATCAAAGCGATTCAATTTTTGGTTCGATTTACTTTTGATGTATATCTCTAAGCTGTCTTGCACAATATTTAGAAAGATACTTGGTAATGGTGGCATGATTCGCTGCTGTGTTATACGTACAATACATGTACTATTCAATTCCACGGTGTTCAAGCAGTTCGCTCTCTTGCTCTCTGCACTCTCTGCTCGGGCTTCCTAATTCTATAGAGTATTTTAGTGCCCGAAGCGCTAGTAACCTAACAAGGTAGGGTAGATTTCTCCCTAGCCAACTTTGCTGCGGAGAAACCCCCCGCAAGCACTCCTTCGCCTGAACATTAGTCTCCTCTAGCTCTGGTACGGGATTTTTCACAACATAATGAAGAATGAAGAACTCGTCTTGAGGCAATGTTGGACTCTGCCGGTATTTAGACCAAATCTGATCCTCATCTTTTTATAGATATGAATTTTGACTCTCCGCATAAGCTCATCCATGCCTTCACTGCCTTAATCCATAACAACTAGCTGCCGCAGTGTGAGTGTGAACTAGGACTTTGTTAACGGATGATCTACCCTTGTCCTGTTGGTTGTATCAACTTTAAGGCTCGGCTAGATGCAGCCCGGTGGAATGACCGAGTTGGGCGCTTGCAACTCGCCTCTCATTGGGCGTCGTGAATGACTGTATTTCAGCTGATTAGGCAAAACCCCTCAGCTGGAGGTGATCCCCATCTCTCTCAACCCCCAATATTCTAAAGTAAGGTGGGCTTCATGAAGCAGGGGAGCTGTGATCGAAATCTTTGAGCCGGACGCGAAGAGGCTATATCTGCTGATACATATCAACCCTTCGATTGTCACAACCTAAAATATGCAACAATGTCGCGATTCCCAGCGGCTATAAAGACCTTACACGCCAGGGTAGCCCACACCAACACGGATGCATCTGAAGATGAGAGCCAAGAGACCGACCCGCTGGGACTTACCACGCTCTACGATCCAGCGCCTAGACATGCCATAGTCGATATCATTTTCATCCATGGACTTGGAGGAAGCAGTAGGAAGACATGGTCGAATTCGAGCCGCCCGAGGTCCTTTTGGCCGCAAGACTGGCTGCCTGTTGAGCGGGGATTTGAAGATGTACGGGTTCATTCTTTTGGCTATCGAGCAGACTGGGGCAAGAAGTGGCAGCAACAGAGTATCCTGAATATTCATGACTTTGCCGAGTCTCTAATAGGGGGGCTGAGAAACCACCCGAGTATACGTCGGGATGATACGCGCATCATTCTTGTCGGTCACAGCATGGGCGGGTGCGTTGCAAAAGAAGCCTATATCATCGCACGACAACATCCATCATATAAGGACCTAGCAGGGCGGATATATGGAATCTTCTTCCTTGGTACCCCACATCACGGCTCAGATCTGGCAGGCATCCTAGAGAGCATGCTGATCGTTGCTTGGGGCAAAAAGCCTTTTGTGACGGACCTCAAATCTGGATCATCTGCGCTCGCCTTGATCAGAGACAGGTTCCGCCATGTTGCAGCAGACTTGGCACTGTGGACTTTTTATGAGACATTGCCTACAGCCCTGGGACCTATCACAAGAATCGTGGTGGACAAAGACTCGGCGATTTTAGGCTTTGATAAAGAAAGAATTGAGGCTATGAATGCAGACCATCGCCATGTTTGCAAATTCACCACCCGCGAAGATTCTAATTACAAGATGGTACGAAATGCCCTCCACACTGCCGTTGACGAGATTAAAGATGGGTTGTTGGAGTCGACTTTATCACAACTTGATACAGCCGATAGTACGGAGATGGAATTAAATCTACGCTTAAAGTCTCTTCTTGGAGTATCCGATACATTGGAGGAGGATCTTACATTACAATCCGAGCTTAAAATGCCCGATTCCTGCGAATGGCTTACGAACAAGTCTTGTTTCATTTCTTGGAAGGAAGGCGATGCCCCGAGTATTCTCTGGCTGACTGGGAGGCCTGCTACCGGAAAATCCATCCTTTCCAGCCACGTTATTGATCACCTACGGCCTCTACCCGTATGCTGTAGCTATTTCTTCTTCAAACACTCAACTACCAACAAATCCACACTGAGCGACTGCTTTAGGTCTCTCGCCTTTCAGATGGCAACTCAGGATAATCTGGTGAGGGAGAAGCTTATGCAGCTTGAACACGAGGGTATCGCTTGGGACAAGACGGATGACGCTACCATCTGGACAAAGCTTTTCGTCGACAGAATATTCAAGTTACCATTCGAAAAGCAGCACTTCTGGGTGATTGATGGCCTTGACGAATGCGGCAATTTCGGTTCGCTCTTCACCAAGAAGCTTTTGGCCAAATTACCACGTAAGCGTGAACTTCGAGTTTTCGTTACAAGCCGCAATCTAGATACAGTTGAGCGTGGGTTGGCATCTCTCGGGCCTCAAGTGACTACCTACGCTTTATCAGATTCAGATACCCTCGAGGACATTCGGCTGTTTCTGGCCACAAAGCTTAGAGAGTTGGACCGCCTGGAGACAGAGGACGATTTGGAGGCCATGTGCAACAAAATTCTCAAAAAATCTTCCGGCTCTTTCCTCTGGGCTCGCCTAGTCTTGCAGGAATTCGAAAACGCTTGGACTGAGGAGGCCATGGAAGACGTCTTGAAGGAAGTTCCTGGAGAGCTTTGCGACTTGTACAGTAGGATGGTGCAGTCAATCGAGATGGACAGGAGCAAAACAAGCCTTGCGAGGACTATATTGACCTGGGTGGTCCTAGCACGACGCCCTCTGAGTTTGGATGAGCTACGGTGCGCTGTAAAACTCGATCTCAATCAGACTCTTCAGAACATGAGAAGGGCGATTCCTAGTTTATGTGGACAACTTGTCTACGTTGATCCAACAGACAGGGCGCACATAATACACGAAACAGCGCGAGAGTTTCTTCTCGATCAGAGCCTATGCTCCGAACTTACTGTTTACAAAGAGCGCGGCCACACTAACATTGCGGGTATTCTAACACGATTTCTGTCTGGCGATTGTCTTAAAGCATTGCAAATGAAGTCGCAACGGTCGATGAAGATGAAGGGATTCGCCAAATCAGCGTCCACAATGCCTCTTGACTCATCTCTGCTTGATTATGCGTCGACATTCTTTTCGGAGCACATATATCGCTGTTCATCAGGAGATGACGTATTGATGGAAGAAATATGCACTTTTCTCAATACCAATGTCTTATCATGGATCGAACATGTTGCGAAAGGCGGTGATATAAGTCACATTACACGAGCCGCAATGAACCTTCGCGGTTATTTAGGCCGCCGAGCGAAATACGTTCCCCCGACGGATTTATCTGTCAGCATTGTCGAAGGTTGGGTGACGGACCTCATTCGTGTAGCTGCCAAGTTTCAATCTCAGCTACTCACATCACCGCGTTCAATCCACCGCCTAATACCCCCTCTATGCCCATCAGAGTCTATGATTTCCAGGACCTTTTCAAGAGATCGGCGATCAGCGACGTTCGTCGTTAAAGGTCTTCCTGCTGGAACGTGGGATGACTGTCTGAGCCGCCTCGATTTCCAGAAGGGCCAAGCAACCGCAGTCTGTCATGGAGATGGCTTTTTCGCCGTTGGGCTGTCAAACGGAAAGATTTTTCTTTACAACGCCGGATCTCTTCAGCTACATGTGACCATCACACACCCCGAAAGAGTCAAATTTCTCCAGTTCAGCCAAGATGACGAATACGTTGTCTCTTGTGGCGCCAAGTCAATGGTCCTATGGAGGCCAACAACAGGCATTCAATTATATAAATTCCCCCTACAATCGCCCCCTCTTGGAGTCACATTCTTGGCTCTTGATGAAATTCTTTGCGCATTCCAATCTGGTAGTCTCACAAGATGGTATATCCCCTCAAACACTGTTGTTAAATCGTTATGTATGCACTTGCTAACAATTGTTAGGAGCCTCGAGAGATTCCAAAACGGCGCCTTAGTACTAGACAACCTTGAAGATGACTACTCGCACACACAATACACTGTGCCGCAACAGTCTCCAAGCTGTGTAGCTTTTTTGATTACGAGCGACGCTATCCTACTTGCTGTCGGCTATCGAAAACACCCGGTACTGATATGGAACACGCTGGAGCAACAAGTATTGGGCCAATGTGTCGTTGATGCAAACAATGGCATCGATGATATGGTATTCAATCCCAACCCGGACATCATTGCGCTGATAGTATCATGTAATGATGGGAGATTATGCATTTTCGACTACCTAACGATGAAGTTGACGTTCACCATGCCAAACGTGTATGCGCAAAGCGTGGCCTGCTCACCCGATGGTCACAGTCTGGTCACGGGTGGCAGTCATGGAATGATCGAAGTTTTCGACTTTGACCATGATTATGATGGCAACACTATCCTGATGCCTATTTATCGCATCGACGGGCTATATGACTCGGTCCGTGGTGTCGCCTTCAGCTTTAACGGACTGCGCTTCCTCGACGTTCACTCCCAACAGTGCCGTGTGTGGGAGCCAACAGCCCTTGTCAGAAAGAACAATGAACTAGAGAGTACCAGTGATGCCGCAACTCTCCCTGTAACAACAGTCGGCATGCTGAATGGCCCTGAAGAACCGGAAATTACAAGTCTCATGGAGGTATCGAGGGACGGCCAGTGTGTCATTGCGGGCAAGCGGCGAGGAGATGTTTGTCTCTTCTCTACCGCCGACGGAGCCGAGGCTTGTACACTTTACCAACACGCGCGGGGAGTATCTGTCATAGCGGTTGCTCTTGGAGAAGAGAAGAATATTGTTGTTTCAGCTGATGACTCTGGCCGTGTCCTAGTCGGCGAGCTAGTAATGTCTTTGGGGGATATTGCCACAGGGTTTCAGGGACAAAAACAACCAGCAGCCCGTATCATTCTTGACCGTCGATTCGGTGGTGCGGTAGTGCGGTTGCTCATCAATGACACAGCCGACCGGCTTCTCATAACTGGCCACAACTTTGATGAGCTTTGGGGGTTGCCGTCAGGATCAGTCCACAAACAGACACAGCAGCCATCTACGGACGACTCTACGACAAATTATTGCGCTTTGGATTGTAACAGAGCAGCCAGCTCTTCCGCCCGCACGGCGTTCCGACATCCTGCAAATCCAGAGTGGTTCGTAATCATCACTGGCGATGTGGCGCGAGTCTTTCGCTGGGCCGACTATCAAGAATTGACTTCTACGGAGGGCATTCGCCTTCAACGGCCGACGCCATCCTTGGAGCCCAGTTCTCAGAGAGAGTCTCCACGGTCACCGAAAGCTCAACGATTCGAACCTTTGCGACATAACTCCGATTGCACTTTCACAACGGCATCATACCATGTCGGGTCTGAATACGTCGTCGAGCTTCTTAGAGCCTCATCTGCAGCGCCGCAAATCCACTTGTGGTCAGCCGCGACCTTTGATCCTAACTTACCAGGAACATCGGCCTTTCCCATCACAGCGCCTGGCCTCGGTGTTGTGCGTTCATCTGTGCGGTCAGTCATCGGATTTGTAGGTCCATCAACTCTGGTTTTCTTAGATAATGATCTATGGATATGCAGTGCCGAATTGAAGCCCAAAGTTACCGGTAAAAATGGGAATATCGGTAGAATTCGGCCATCATCACCCAACACAAATATCCGTCGTCATTTCTTTGCGTTGAGTGAATGGTGCGATACAGAGGGCGAACTGAAGTGTGTACTAGCCGCAGTCTCGGGGATGACTCCGCACACCTACAGTCAGGAAGCTATATTTGCGAGTGATCATCGTGTTGTGGTAATAAAGGGTGGATTTGAGTTTTCTGAAAGGATTACTGTAACGAAGACATGACTTGTTGGTTCAAAGATCCTAAACGCCTAGATAACGTTGAGACCGGCATCTGTTTCCAGTCTATGGACTTGAGAGGCAGTAGTATATCAGTTTTTAGGATTAGATGAGTGGAAGCTCAGCGCATGGTAACACTACAAGATTTCGGCGGTTACCATTGAGACGCTAATTAGCAATTATGAAGGAGGCTGGGATCATAGTGAATCATTGGCCTATAAGTGTAAACATATAAGGTCAAACGAGGAGAAAGATCTTCGGAAACAGATTAGTAAGAACATAGTGTTTTACAGTTGTACCTTATTTGTCACTGTATGAGAAACTCCTTCTTTATGCGTTCAGCATCTCCCAATATGAAGGGCACTTTATCCTCTTGTTGGTCCATCGATCTCATAAGGAAATGCCATCATGTCAATGATCAAAAGCCTACCCCACCAGTGATTAAATAATCGCGACTTCGTTCGAGAGGCCGTATCACTCTATGCAGCATTTCTTGTCTCCATTTCTCTGGTGGCGCACTCCTATTTCCTCCGAGACACCATGAGACAGCGTCAGCATAATCACCACCTGCTTCTTGATTGACATGACACTGCCACTCTCGAGCCGCCAAGACATCATAACCCGCCTTCTCTATATTATTCTTCCCAGCTGGTAATTTCTTTCTCCATGGCTGGTCTTCTAGAATTTGACCGAAACAAAGCTCCAAGAGTAGGATGCCCAGAAGATCAAGTGTCTCGGCGAAATAAAACTTATTTTTGGGCGCAGAAGACTTGCCCCGTTTGTTCATAAGTTTGAAGTTTTGACTTATATGTGGTTGGTCAATTTCGACGACAGTTGCATCGGAATTGCCTCTGGGGAAAAGAAAATCGGCTCTTTTGGGAGATGGAGGTAGCCATGGAGATTCCAGAAGCTGAAGATATGTGGATGCAATAATTAATGACAGCGTATATCTCTGTGAACGCGTGAATAGTGGATGTATTTCGCCTTGGAGTATTTGGTCGAGAGTCACAGAGGGCATTACGTTGGTGCTGTGCTGATGGATATTGTACACGTAGTAGCGACAGTTCTGATCAATGAGATAGCCATAGCACAATCTTCCTGGTGGTTCAAATGAAGTGCAAATGTTTAATATCTCATGAGTCGTGCTGCGGAGTGAAGAGGTGGTGACGCAGGTAAGTGTAACTGATGATGACCCGGAGCTAAGCGTATATGTAAGCCACGTTACAGACGTGAATAGTCTCCGGTGATATTTGCAAACCTTTTTGATCCGACACTTGCTTCTGCGTTACCCTTCATCTGAAGAGCTGACCCATTTGGATAGCTCTGTTTGTGGCTAGGCTGATGAATAGGAACTGTGATACTCTCATCTAATCTTGCCGTTTCTGGGTCGTCGACTTCCAAAACTCTGATCTTCCGAACTAATTAATCAGCAGCAATACGCCCATTCAGAGTGATATCAAACTCCGCCTTCCCTGCTACCCGATGTTGGAGCAGCAGTTTTGCGTCATGTTGTTGACATTGGCAAGTCCAAGCAGAAGCCAGTGCTTGATAAGCGCTCTTCGCCTTCTTCCAGAAACCGCACATGGCTAAGTCATTTGTTTGTGATTGTTGGGTTGACTTTCTATGTGTCGATATGCGTAAGCCTTCATCGCTGGTTTTCAATAGTCTTTCTAGCTTGTCGTTATATTCCTGGAGTTCACCAAAGAGTCTTTTGCGCAGGGCTTCATTGTTGCAAAGCTTGAATTTGTATACTTGATGCGCAAGTCCCTCTTTTGAGAAGAATGTTTTAAGTTTCATTCGTTTGCTTGATGTTAGTTTCTAGCGAAGATAATCAATTATCTGTTACAGACGTAGATCTGGGTTTTCTTACTGAGTTGGCAAGCAATTTCTGTGCCCATTCGGAGTCAATGAGAAGCTCTCTGTTTATTTCTTCCAATATCCGTCTCATATTCTGTATGTATTGCATATATAGTTCATAGGAGCCTTCAAGACGCTTCTCCAAGAGTTCCGCAACAGACTTATCTTGCCAACGATCGCCCCCTGGTGCGTTGAGGAGTTCTGCAATCATGTCGTCATCTGCTACGAGAGGAAGCAGAAGCTGTCTCATGTTGATTGTAAATGATAGCTTATGGAAATTCAGCTCATTCTTCCAATTTATGTATTCGTTTTTGATGGTGAGAAAAAGGCCAACCCGTTCCGCAATGTCCTGATATGCCTCGAGAGCATTAATGGCGATGGGAAAAGCGCCAAGAACAATTCCGGCGATCTGGAATCCTGACATTGCGAAGAAATATAAGATGTTGAATGTCGAGCGGGAAAGAAAAGCCAAATTTGCGCGATTAATGGGGACGACTTTGCTCCCGAAAATCAGGCTGAGCTTGCCAGTTGGTTACACTACATGTACCTATATGCAATTCGCTTTGACCAATCGCACATCGCATCACACGAAATATCTCCATGTGCTCACCAAGCGGGGTAGTGGCGACTCATCAGACATCCAGTTATCTATTAAAGAACAAATCCCTTGTTTACTCTTCATTATTTATTAACATAGAGTATAGCCGTTTCATATTGTCTCGCTTGTTCCATAACCATGGCAACTTTGATACAATTTTCGACCATTTCGGCTACGAGCCAGAGCGTACGACACCATTTCCTCTACTTGATAACACTCATAGAGGAGCAAAACAAAGACAGATCTTTCAATTTACAATCGTCAGTAATTTCTGACTATTTAGACAGATTCTCTCTATGGGCTGGAAATATAGGCGCAATGCATAATCCACAATCTCCATTATCACTCGATCAACAACTCTTCGAGGCCGCGGACATATGGAAACAAATAAAACGACAGTTAGATGAGATAATAGAGGCTATAGGCGATTGTTAGTAATTGTGAATACATACGACGTTCTTTTCTGACAGATAATAGTAACTAACATAATTCAACATGGTCATCCGAAGAGCGATACTCCACTCGATTTAGATATCTGCTCTGATCTGGCCTCAATTCTTGGACTCAATCCGATCGATGAGATTGACGAGTTTTCTTTGGATGAAATTACTGTGGCTCTGCGAATAATTTCCGAATCTATAAATTCCCTCTTCCAGTTAAGTACGCTCGTGAGCAAGTCAGCATCTTGCAAGCGTTTCGAAAATGCAATTCGAGTCTCCGACCCGGCTTTCCCTGATGCCATTGATATTGATATTGTTAAGCAAAAGCATACCAAGCTTCGTAATGGCGGGCTTCTATCCAGATTAGGCAGCGCCATTGCTAAAAGAAGGCAAATCCTCAAATATTATAGGGAACGCATATCTCGGCCTGACGTTGATGAATCTGGTCGTAGCGCTGAGGAAGATCATGGCATGTCTTCGCCAAACGCCTCAATGATAGCAGATTCAACGTCTGATCTTGCTCTCCCCCGTCTAGCTGATATAGCTAAGGCTCACGATTCTTTTGAATGCCCAATATGCTTTACGATACAATCTTTTGATGGGGAAAAATCGTGGCAGTAAGTACATTATGCTGTATTTATAATAACTAAGCTCCAATCCTATCTACTGACTTTCAACCCAGGATTCACGCATTTAGTGATCTCAAAGCGTATGTATGTACGCTGGGTGGAGCAGAGTGCGATGCAAAAATTTTTGAGGATTGCGATACGTGGTTTGAACATGAGTTGCGGAGACACAGATGTGAATACATATGTACTCTTTGCAGCCGTGGACCCTTTTCGTTCGAACGCGTAGCGGCACACATTCAGAACAACCATGGGAATTTCTCAGATGTCCAGCTAAAAAGACTTCGAGAAGGAGGGAGGCAAAACCCCACTAACTTCAAGGCCGAAGACTGCCCATTCTGCAACGAATGGAAAGGTGTCCTTTCGAGAATGCCAGATCGGATGGGGAGAGCAATTCCTTTGGCACGAGATGTTTTTGTCAGCCATGAGGAATTCAAAAAACACGTTGCCGTACATCAAGAACAGCTCGCGATTCTCTCTCTATGGCCAGCTACCAGCGGTGAAGAAGCATTAGGTTCTAAATCCGTTAACGCATCAAATTCAGCATCAACATCTAAATCAACAGCGTCATCTAAGTCAGCAGAAGCACCTAGGTCAATTGCAATGTCCAAGTCAGCAGCAGCACTTAAGTCAGCGACATCTAAGTCAAAAGCAACATCTAAGTCAGCAGCAATGGCCCAAGGAAAGTCAAAAGAGGCTGAAAATCGACGAGCTGACAAACCCGCAATTGAAAGAGGTGCAAAGTCAGTACTTACTTGGCAATGTGTACGCATCCAATGACCGTCAATACTTGACGTGAAAACTAATGGTTTACAGTGTCATTGCGGCATGGGCGGCATGCTATGGGATGCGTGGCCTCAATGCACAGAACATTATTGTCAACATCGGCGCTGCAGCAATTGTACTGTATCTCAAGATACAATGGGCCTTTCGCGTCCCTTGAAATAGGTACATACAGTTGGACTTGCTCGATTAATCTATATACCTAAGTATCTACCTAGGAACGTGTAGGTATATTGGATAGTGGACTACGAATGATCAGGCTAGCATTTCCACGTTACTTCCATATAAATTGATGTTCTTGTCTACATGTATGTATTTAGGTATGTAGTGTCTTGAAATACCTAAGCCAAAATAATGCATTTACCTTATTGAATATGATTGCAGCCTCCACTTACGTATGTTGTATCACACGGTTATAGATCAGGTATGTAGCATTGATTAAACGTCCAGGTTCCAAATATCATGGGTCAATATCATGTAACCGTCAGCTGACCCTCCAATTGAACAGCCTCAACTCCCGCTGCTCATTCCATTCATCATTCTTTACCCGCAGCTCCCTCCAGAACTCGAAACTGACAACAAATCCCACCGGAATGAGTGCACGTTACTTGGTATCACAGGTTGTGGTTTGCATGTGCAACGTGAGGGCTCCACGCACCAAAATGGGGGCTACAGTAGTGCTATATCCGGTCCCCCTTCAGAAGATTTCTGGCGCTAAAATGGCCTCAATACGCTTGCTTCTAGTTTCAATACCGCATTTCGCCCCCAAAGCACAACCTCTCCCTTGAGTACCATATAAGTACTGATTTTGTTCTACGAGAATAAAAGGTATTAACCGTGAGTAATTCTATCGAATTTGAAAGCGGTTTCTACCAAAAAGAATGAACAAAACAGCAAAAAATTGGTAGACCAGCCGGTGTTCGAACCTAGACGTTGCGCTCCGTCTTCGCCGCGCCGTTTTCGGCCTCTGCAGTAGGCACGGCTCAGTCAACCCGTTTCGGTGTTAACCACTCGGCGATTTGTTCTTTCACGGGCTGTTGTACCAGATATTGAGAGAGGACGGGTGATTCTTTACTTAAGAAGGGCATTGTCTACATAGGCCGACGTTGAGTGCAAGAGAACAAGACAAGTTTGAGGCTTAGACGGGAGACGGCGCTGTTTTTATAGCTCAGAAAGGCCTGCGGGGGATGTTACAGGGATCAATGCGACGCTACTGAGGGAGGATCCGCGTTAAGCGTCAGCGACCCACGTCCGTTTCTACCGGATCGCGGGAACAGAACAGACCAAGAGATTGTGGCTCCAGACTAGCACAGACTCAGATAATTGATGCGAGCCGGTGCATTCAGAGCGGATTCGAGACTCGGGTGGAGATGATGCCTCGAATATCTGCAACAAGGCACGATCAAGCGCATAATTACGGTTGGCGAAATGAACACCAGGGATCCCACTGTATTGTATGGATCTCATATACGCATTGTCAAGTGCTTCAATCATTCCAAATCCAATTTGGTGGAAAAAGACAGCAATCAATACAAAAACTGCGCGAATAATATCAGGCCAAACCAATGCCGAGCAGCCTGCGATTCAACTCAATTTATGTGAGTCTGCTGGATATCCACAGTCGCCTTTTCCTTCGCCGTCAATGACTCGGCGGTGGTGGTGGTTGCGTTTTCCTCACTGATTTGAGCTACAGGCTCTGGCCCACGAAGCTCGCCATTGATATGGCCATTGCAATTTGCATCCCCTACCGGACACTTGTCCACTCTAAATTCCGTTTTATCCTCTTTTAATGGGAAGCCAGCAGAGCATGGCCACAATGCATCCACTTGACTCTCGACTCTGGGTTCGTAAACACGCCGGAATAGCTGGGCTGCTGGCAATACTTTGAACAGCATCGTTTTACCTCCGGCCTTCCCATTTGGGTTCTTCTCAGTGTAAAAACGAAGAAATTGATGCAAAAGCATGTTTATGACGAAGAGAGTAACAAAGACCACCAAGAGGACAATCATGCCAACCATGGAAAAGGTTTGGAAGTTGGGGCTTGAGAGAACAAAATCACCCGCGCCATCGGCAGGATCACCATTCTCGTCTTGCATAATGTTGTCCAGTCCACTGCCAGCCTTATACGTCGTGGTATCCAAAAGGACATTCCGTGTCAATACAAAGCTGGCCAGAATCAGACGCTTCAGGTCGTCGGCGATGCTTGAAACTTCTGCGTTTATGGCGCCGTTGGGGCTTGTGCTTGCGGATTTAAGTGCCGATAGACCACCTCCGTTGCCCAAGTTCACCACCACCGGAAGACCCAAAGCTCTTTCCAAGACACTGAGCAGAACGGGTTTAATCTTTATGCCTTTCAATTCTCGAAGGCCGTAGATGTTTGTGACGTTTTGGGAACCGTAGGTCCAGCTGTCTTGTTGCCAGCAGGAGAGCGCTGGTCTTGATCGCTGGACCCAAAAGGGCGCGTTGAAAGGAACCGAAATATTCTCCGTCCGAACTTCTGTCTTATACCACGGATCATCTCCTTGTTTGATGCTCGCTCTGTGGGCTGACCAAGCCACAATAGCAAAGGAGATGTTGCCATTTTGGATAGACTGATTGACTGCGTTTGGATGAAATTGGAATGTCGCTTTCGGAGCATCTTGAAGAGCATACGGATTGATGGGGACCACTGCCCCTTGGGTGGCATCATCCCACAAGCGATATACGTCCGTATTTGCATTCGAGGCGTTTGAGATCCACCCATACTCGGTTCTACAAGAGCCTGTAGCATTTAATGCAAGCTCGGAACCGTGTTGGAGGCCGATATCAATTCCAGTGAGTGAGTAGGTGTACGAATACTGATAGATATTTTCACCTCCCACTTGGCCAAGAAGGATTGGCTCTTCTATTTTCACATTGTCTCCTAGTGTACCGAGGGAGGCATCCACACTGCCGAGGGCACGTAGGTTTGCGGGAGAGAGTATCCCGTAGTTTTCGAGTTGAGTGGTCGTGTCGTTGATCAAACTAGGATAGTAGACGGCACTCGGTCGTGCAGGTGCAACAGTCCCGACTTGCATCAACGAGGGCCCAACGATCCCCAGTGACAAGCTGCCACCGTAGATGATGAACGCTAGGACGCAGAATATGAGACCGTAAGCGAAATCAGATTCGGATCCAAAGTAATGGAATGCATATTTTGCCAGTTCTTTGAAAGCAAACCAAGAGTCGTTGGAATTCCAAAGGGTTACCAGAGCAAGATGTCGCCGCCGAGTCGTTGCTCCAGGAAATACTATGGCAATAAAGCAGATAAGATCCCAGAGTGCCACAAAAACCAAGGTCAGAATAACGGAGATTCCGGCTGTTAGGATTGTTCCGCCATAGGTGGTAAATGTTATCGCCCAGACGGCGCCATCTTTGGTCGGTACAAAGAAGGGGCGGTGAAGCACATAGGAATCGTCTACTAGTGATATGTCAACCATTATGAGTTGATTGACAGGAAGATTAGGTGAAGAGATTCATGTCATAATTCCTACATCGTAGTAACTTAACGCTACTGATATTGCAAACTTAAATATAAACCTATGCTCTCTGGTAGCATGAGATGCGAAGGCCGACACTCGAATAACCCAGATACTGCTCGGAAGAGGGGCCCAACCACACCTCCATTTTAACGAAATAAACAGTCTTGCATAATTCAGCTCTAGCGAATTCTATCTACTGCATCCATCCTTCCACTTGGCTCAATGTGACTGGTTAGTCCCCAAATCTTCATGCGTGCTGCCACGTCTTAGGCAGGACGCTTGCCAAATGGGGTGTCAATCTACAGAGGGGAAGTCAACGAGCCTCAAAGATTGGGTAGAAAAGCGCCGAATCGGCTGTGATGGGCAAGGGTTCATCCATTTGAGATGTGAAGAGTCACGGATTGTTCAAAACACATACCAACTTTCGCTGCAATTCTTACAATCAAAACACCCCTCCACTCTCCATCTCATATCCAGTTCCAAATAGTCGTGAATAAGTCTTTGTCTCATTCTTTGATTTCTGTATTGAGATTGTAATCGTCATATTGATCAATGTTTTCCTGGGTGTTGTCACCTAGCGTGATCATTGCGTGAGAAATGATATAAACCTGTAGGCAGCATAGGTGCTTTCTTTGCCGAATTCCGTGGATTTGCACCAGACAACAAATTGATAGGCTATATGGTTATGAGGCGAAGGTAATTGTTAGGCATTATCATGAATGGATATTAATTGATTGATACCCTTTTTGCTTCTCGCTGCCTAAAGCCGCATCTGTACCCAATGAGGAGACGAGTGAAAGCAAGTGTGTCACAATCAACGCCATATTGTCAGGAGGGACATGCTTGTGTCAATTCGACTGTGTATTGCGACTCACCAAATATGACTGCTCATACAGAGTGTACTTACACGCCTCATTATTTCCGCTTCATCTATCCCCTGGCATGTCTTGTGGGTCTCCCCATGCGGCTGAAAAGGCCTGCCTGCATATGACAATGTAGAGACTACCGAATAACCTTAGCCCACGATGGCCCGCCAAGAAAACCGTCACCGAACCGGATTCTGATAGGCAGATAGAACTCTGAGGCACCGTTGTTGTCTTAACCTAGTTGAGACTCACCGTCGTTAGCTGCATGGCCCCCATTGTGATTGAACATCTAAAAATGGCGTATTCAGCTGGGTCCTGTCCCTGCGAGAACGTACCTATTTTGAGGCTCTTCGTACAGTAGACTAGGTAACGTTTAGAGTCAAACTCACTTGTAAGTTCGCGGAAGAGGATAAATAATGTTGTCTCACTTCAATGGCCCCCAACCTGTACCCGATCAAATCGCCCTCCTCATTCATCTCTTCCTCTGTTATACCCCGCAGATCACACACCCCCAATTCATGCAATGCACAAACAACACCTCCTTACACTCTTTGGCCTTTACGCGGCTTCTGTGACTCTCGCACAGTCGCCACAGTCGCTCTTGTCGGTCTTAGAACAAAACGGGTTCACAGAATTTGCTAAACGACTTCAGGCAAGCCAGCCTGTGCTTGCCAATCCTGGCGTTGTTGTATATGCCCCAAGCAATGGTGCTTTCGTTGTTGGCGTCAATTCTACTGTCTCCCGCCGTCAAGCTGGCGCTGCCTCCGGCCTCGAGAACTCGCTCTACTTTTCAAATGCGATCAAAAATGAGTATATTGATCCTTCTGCTGGCGGTCAAAACAACTCCTCTGCAAGGCGATTCCGGAAGCGGACGGCCTCTCTAGGAACTGTCCTCGAGACGCTGTATCAAAGCCCATCAGTGCGCCTCGGCCCCGGGAATAACCAAACTCTCGTTGAGAGGAGCGTTCCTGCTGCATCGCTTCCATTCGTGTTTTCAGGCTCAGGGAAAACTTCCAAAGTTACAGGTCCCGACATTCCTTTCAACAGTGGCGTTATTCGCCCCATTGATGCGCTCCTTAGCCTACCAGGGAACTTATCGTCAACTCTTCAGACATTAGGCGAGGTCAAGTTCGCTGAAGCTTTGCAACAAGCAGGCATAGTTGAAGCTCTTGAAAACACAGGGTCCATTACTGTCCTGGCACCAAGCAATGATGTGTTCACCCTTTCTAGCACACTTACACAGGCCCAACTTGGGCAGGTACTGAAAGAGCATATCATTGTCAGCCCATCATTCCCGCTGTATTCACCTTGGCTTGTCGATGGGCTGACTGTCCGCACTCTTGGTGGCTCCAATGTCTCTGTTGTAATCAAAGATGATGTTGCCTATTTGAATGGTGCCCGAATTCTAGGAGGAGATTCTCTCATTCAAAACGGCGTTGTCCACACTATTGATAAGGTACGTTGCGTCCACTGTGGCCATGTTTTGGTCTATGGCAGTATGAATGCTTATTACCCTTAACAATAGCTTCTGAGTGGAAATATTCCCACTGTTCCCACCAATACTGCGATAACTACACGACCACTGTCGTGGGAAACTCTAGCTCTCACAGTTATTGGCACAGCTGTTGCCCGACATTTTCTCTTTTAAGCCACGTAAAGTTGAGCCGAAACTGAAATTACATTCAAAGCCTTCATTTTGCGCATGTGTATCACCTGGGAATTGCGGGCCGTTAGATTACAGCCACAAGGAGCGTTATGTACCTCATGAAGTGTCTACTCTAATAAATTGAGTAAAAAGAAATTGTAGACTCATGTGAATTTACCTCGTGACTCCCGAAATCATACAGTGAACCGTACTAGTTCTACTTATGTTCATCCTCCCGATTTCTATTTCCAATGGCTCCCAATTTCTCGTATATCTTCTATTAAAGCAGGGGGATTATCCAACCCAGGGAAGTGCCCACCGAAGTCATGGTCTATTCGGCTCTGTTAGTACATTGGAGATCCAAGTAACTTGAGCAAAGGTTTCCCACTTCGGTAATGGACCAAATTGCCCACGGTTTCAATTAATTCGCGTGGCCAATAATGGACATTGTATTTGAAGCCACTGAAGAGCATGGGAGCATCCGTGCGGGCCCTCGTATAATTGTATCGAAATCCAGTTTGGCCGATAGGATTCTGGAAGTAGATGTATCCGGATGTCAAGATTGATTTGGTCAGATAATAAAGGGATATGATGCGAAGAATCTCATTGTGAGTCAACACGGATGGGCTGGTGCCCGCCTTGGGATCCGACCCTGAGATAATTAGCTGATGTTTCATCAAAAGTGAGTACACACAAAAGCCCATACATTCAATATACTTCTCTCCAATCCACACCAGCTGTCCGATCGGGTTATCGTATAGCACAAGGCCAATATCATTAGGCTAATTCTGCGTCAGTGTATAGAACCTAGCGCGGCGGTATGGTGCAGCTTACCTTTGTACTTTCCTCACTAAAGTACGCGCTCCCCGTAGCTGACCAGTCAACATATCTCTGCTCTTCGAATTGATCAAGAGGTGTATTTAGCGTAATATTTTCAGCCTTCAGCTGTTCTGGAGTTAAGGGTAGAAAAGGCAATAAGGCAAGGTGTGCAGCTCTTGCTGAGGTATTGAACCCATCGAACTGACCCCACGCTACGCCTGTGCCCCAATCGGTACCATGAACTGCATAGGTCTTATACCCTAAGACTTTTGTCATCAGAGTGTTGAACACACGGGCGGAATCGTCCACAGTCCAGTTAGCTCCTGGAGCGGATGAGAACGCGAAGCCTGGTAGTGATGGTACAACCACGTCAAATGAAACCCGTTTCCCAGTAGATGTCTTTGCTTTCTGTGTGAGGCCTTTTATGATTGGAATGAATTCGAGAAATGACCCTGGCCAACCGTGGTAGAGAATTAGTGGGATCGCATCCGGTTCATTTGACTTTTCATGTATGAAATGCACATCAAGATTCTCTATTTTGGCTGTGAAATGGTTGTACCTTGAACGGCATATGATTAGAATAACAATTATAAACAGTATCATGTTTCATAAACTACACCTGTTCAGTGATTTTTCTTCTTTGCGCCAATCAAAGTCAACGAGCCACTGGTTTTTGAAGGCTTTTAGAGTATCTAGACTGATGCCAGCTTCATTCCCTGGATATTGAGGGATATTATCCGGCAGTTCGGTATCTCGAATACGCTCTAGCATGCGAGAAACACCGTCAGAGATGTTAATGGTAAAAGGCTTCAAGTTGTAGGAATCATGATTGTCATTGGTGACAGGTGATGCAGCAGTCAATGTGCATAAATATAAGAAGGAAAAGCCAAACGGTTTCATGCTGGAGGTAGGTGAGTGTTGCAGTAACTTTCAGGACAGTATGAAGAACTCTTGGCTTTGACAAAATAACTGTATAAATAGCAATTTGCTTCTCAAAGCCAATTTCTCTGGATATATATTCACATAATGATTTCCACCTATAGAATGTAATGTAGGCCCTTCGATTTCACCAAGTTACATCCCGGCTTTAACGTCCGGCGTTTACATCTAATCCATTCGGGATAGGGCATTATGAATGCGAAAACCTCCGATGAAGGGTTTGAATGGTGCTATACGCTGGCGAATTGATATGTTGATTAGAGATACATAGCGGGCTTTGCGGTAATTATATATTGCCGCATATTGCCGCGTATTGCCGCCGTTGACAAGTTATTAGCTGGATCCATCGCTTCATGGGACATTCGGCTTTATTTGGCATTATTGATGTTTTATCTTCTGTTTGAACCAAGAGTTCGAATTCCGGTGTTCGTAAAATAAAATTGATTTAACATCTAAGACACGCATTGTCGTGACCACGACTAAGGCATGTCTACAGTTCTATGCCATTCTGGTTGCCTTCGAGGCAAAATCTCGATATTATATAATACGGAATGCCCTCACACTCTGATTGAGATAGAGCGAGGCTTGGATCCTAAAAATCTACTCGAATGAATGTTTAACTCTTATGGAAGCACCATTTGACTACCAAAACTCTTTTGCAAAGCTTGCCTCTGCATTAGGCTCACCATGCTATCTCGTCAAAATTATAAATGAGGCACGGTCAAAACCCAGGATGGGGAGTCATACGCGGCTGCAGGTAATGCGCGTAAAGAAATGAAGGCCTCCAAAACAAGATATACCCGTGCGATAACATAAAGAGTCCCTCCAATGCAGCTTAAGACGAAAATAAGGACGTGACTCCTTTTACGTTCAGCGCCTTCCAGTATGCCGTACCAAAACCACCACACTGAGCCGGAGAGGTGACCTAAGAGGTTGAAGAATGACCACAGAAGTCCACTAAACACAATGTAGACGCCGGACATCCTCCAGAACCAAGACTCAACGTTAGTGGGAAATTGTTCGTTCCAACCAGCAACATGAATGGCGCCGTACACCGTACTAGAGCACCATAGAATGATGCCCATTAGATGGCCCTGCATATGACGCAGCAAATCATCTCCCGGCCAATTTCGAGGACGTTCAACCACAAGCTCTTCTGATGGGCACCACCAACTCTTATTTGAACTCGCCTTGACATGCTCACTTGGCTTGTGGCCTCTTGGGTGCTGACTAACTTTGTCCGGCATTTCAGGATACAATCGATGAGCCTCCCGGTATCTTAGTTCATCTTGATCACAGGGGGGGGTATCAAGCCGTTCTCTAATGGCAGGGTATTGTTCAATGGCTTTGCATGTAAGCTTCCACCTCTCGACTCGCATTTCCGATGGAATTGTTTTGTGACCAGTTTTGTTGACCACTTCTTCTTGGTGGAATGTTTGTGCTGATAGTTCAAGCCCCTTGCGCATTGTGATACGACCATTTGCTGGGAACGCGTTGTCTGAGGGCTCCGATTCATCTGTAGGTTGGATATCCTCTTCAGAATCGTCTTGATCACTTCTTGGGGCGGCTCTCGCTTCTGACTCTAAATGACCAGGGGTGTATATGACTCCACTCATCTCCGTCTTGACGCCAAAGTCACGTAAGACGTCTCTATTGACCTTGTGCTCTGCACTGACTTGGCTGGACATGTACATGAAAGCACATATGGCTCGAGTCCATTCCCCTCTGAGTATTGTTGGTTCTTTAATCCATCTTGGCTTATACCACCAGAGAGCATAATTGATCAGGGCACAGACGACATGACCTATAGTATTCGTTTCGAGCGGTGTCAACGGAAGGCCAACCGCAACTCGCACGGCAGCCTGCACTACCATCCAGCTGACCTGGAAACAGCAGATGAGTTTCCCCGATCCGTCTGTCTTGCTTTTATCTTTAATATCCTCCAGCGAAATGTCAGGTAGCAAGCCACATTTAGCAAGAAGCTGAATTCCTCGAGGGGTTACGTGAAGGCGACGTTGAGGGATAAACCGTGGGCCGTGCATTTCGGGGGTATCCATGTCAAAAACGAATCCACCCATTCCTGCATAAAACCCATGGACCATCGTCCATTGCGAGACTCGGCCGTTGTTACTGTTCTGTCAGAAATGATTAGCAACTGGCAACATAACGGCACAAGGTTTCTCCAACCTCCTTGATAAATTTTGTCAACGTTCGAGCGGAAATAAACTGGCGCCAAGCCGCCCAGATAACAAGCTCAGGTCCAAATATCCCCAGAACACTCCATTTCAGGTATCTGTACGTGTATTCGATGTCGGTTTCGCCATACGGCGGAAGGTCTAAGTGAATAGCCGACCAAACGCATAAACTAAGGGTGAGGAGGCAGGAGAATAGTAGCGAGATCGTTCCGCGACCGTCTGGATCTGGCACATAGCCAACAAATGTGTTGTTTATAAATTCAGGCCGTTGTATTTCCATGGGAACTGTTGATGCGCCCAGCGCAAACTTGGAAAAGAGTAACAGAACTTAATAAGAATTTCCTTCGTAGCGATTGAACGCTCATTCTTGGGGATCGAGAAAGACATCTCGTGTAGGCAAAACACCAGGAGGGGAGTCGAGTTTGATGATTCGAATCATCATTCAAAGGGGCCGATCCTTCAGAGGCGTTAGGTGAACCTCTAACCAACCACAAACGGTGTGGCTGCGGGAGGACGGTTGCTCCCTCGCTTAGCTTCAAGGTTATTTCAAGATGGTTTCAGAAGGTACACGAACATGTTGATTGGACCAGTTTTTGGGGGCTGAAGTTTTACTAGCTGCCATTGGATCCCTTAGCGCTTTGCTGACTTAACATTGAGGGGATGAGCGGCTACTGGAAAGTCATCTGCTGATGGTTCACTTACGCCGACAATCCTTCACTTCTCTCTTCTCAACCAGCTGTACTGCAGTTGCAAGACCCCTTTCTCAAACAATGTCTCTCCGGCGAGTGACATCAGAATCCGTTTCTCAACTAAGTATGGAAACGAATCCCCTTATGAAACAGAACAAGGCAGATCATCTCTTGTTAAGAGTGCCGAAATTGTTGTATTTCCACGAAATACCCAAGTGGCAACAAGACAACGAGTTTCTTTTATCAGGCTATAGGTAAGCTAATTACACTACTCCTTAAAGTATGAATAGTTTAATCCCTGGTATAGACCTACGTCTGGCTCTACCTGGATTTCCTACACCGGCATACTCTATCTGCACAACCAAACGATCAACATTTATTCGCATCTGGTTGGATGCATCGTATTTTGTAGTCTGCCATTCTACTTCTACTGGAATTATTATCAGTTTCAGTCGAACGCGCAGGTTGATGATATTGTGGTAATATCCATTTACTGTCTTGGAGTTGCAGTCTGCTTCGCATTCTCAGCGACGTTAGTAAACCTCTTCAGGCCCTCTGTTCATGTCGTTGCTAACAATTTGCCAAGATTTCACATCCTATGGAATCATAGTCTGGCCCTCACTTCATTCTGGAATAAATTAGATTATCTTGGTATCCTTGTTTTGATGTGGGGTGCCGGAATTCCAACCATTTACTACGGCTTCTTCTGCAACCAAAATTTACAGTGGTTTTATTGGACGACTGTAAGTTGGCCAACAGTGTTCATCTATTATATACGCTAAAATCTTCTAGACGAGCAGCACTGCGCTATGTTGTGCAATAGTTACATTACACCCACGCTTCATCTCTCCGCAATTTAGACATTGGCGCGCGTGCTTTTATGGTGGATTTGGGCTGAGCTCTATTATATTCGTTGTTCATGGTCTCATTCTCCACGGATGGGAACTTCAAAAGGCACACATGTCATTGAATTGGATGGGCTGGATGGCCACGTCCAATCTTACGGGTGCAATCATTTATGCAGCCAGGGTAAGACTGTTATTGGACTAATGTTTGGAATCCATATACTAACTTTAGATAGGTTCCGGAGAGATGGGTTCCACACAAGTTTGACATCTTCGGTGCCAGTCACCAAATCCTCCATGTTGCAGTCATGATTGCTGCTGTTATACATTTCTGTGGCTTACTAAATGCCTTCTCGATTATTCGTTCCAACGTCGGCACATGTGTCAACTGACAGCACTTAAATGTACCGGGAATGATGGGTGCGACGCGGGTGAATGATCTATCGTGTATCAAATAAACATTGTTTACTACCTAATCATATCAAGGTGGTAAGAAATACACTATTCGGGATTTCTTATTTCTCTTTTATTTCTTGTAAGCAAAGCTGTAGTGTAATAGTAGTGGAGCCACCGTATCATGTCAAAGTACTGTTTTGTATAGATATCGTTCAGAAGAGAAGCGTTCAAAATAACTTATATAAAGGTTTGAAGATCTCTACTTACCCTTGACGAATAACAAGCAGATAGGCTCTGTGAGGGTATTAATATTACACGTGGTCTTGGTCTGTCCCGGTGCTACCGCATAATCGAAGCTAGCATGTACGGACGGCCATACTTCAGCTTAGGTATTGTACATGGATTCCACAACGATCAACCCGTGGCAGCGTTTACAGTCGGTTTGGTTAGGTTACTCGGTTGTGGGCTGGACGTCCACATATTAGCATAAGAAGGCCCAATAAAAGTTCCAATATCTCGTTAAATACCAAAGAGCCTACCTTGAATATGGCAATTTTTACGAGTTACATACTATCTCCTTATTCATCTAATATTAAAATCCGATCTTTCGGACAACACGACCTATACACTCGGAAGTCCGTGCTCCAGCGTACGGCGTTGCAGTAGCCCTGCAGTAAAGACTTAAGATCTCAGATCAATGGAACAGTGGGCAGGTCTGATACGAGCACATGCACATACAGGGGTAAGCAGCAGAGCCCACCCATCTCCACAGCCAATATCGTATTTCATCGAAAACGCCACGCTTCTATTAGGCCAAAATTTTCTCACCTGATTCACTTAACAGTAGTGTAAGAGTAGAGTATCAGCCCTGAAGTCTCGATAGGCTGGTCTTTTCGACACAGGCTACAATGTTATGCCACACTTTTAGCCGAAATGCCCACATACAGATGCTTGACCTTCTCATATCAAAAGATCTTTGTATATTTGCACAGTGAAACTCCATCAGCACAACCTCCAGCTGGCGGTTTATTACCATTACCTTCACCAATGAATAAAACTTTGCCGCTTAAGGTTAACACCACGGTCGCCAAGCTTCGTGGTTTTTCTTCGCCTTTCAACCAGGAAAGTTCGCTTGTTTAGAGAACACTAGTTTCGGTTTTGTTTATCCGCAATTGGCTAACTGCCATTTGTGAGAAAAGGTGACAACGGTCTAGTTCTGACTGACTCTCCCCTTTAGAGGTAATTTACAAGGATTCAATTTATGTATTTTCTTCAAGAAGATGATTAAATGACCTACGAATATGAAGATGATCATCTGTATCGTGTCCCACAGATCCCATAGTGTGCTTAACAAAAGATAGTGTTTAATGCCCGTACTATTTTGGTATCCAAGGTTGAGGAGTGAAGCGCTAATATCAGAAACCCGTACGAGGACAAGACAGAATAATTAGATAGGTTACCTACCTTTAAATTGTTCACGGCTATGCCGGCAACTTCGGCCATAAGGTGAAAAAGCCACGGCAGCTGGGTTAGATAGATTCGGACCTTTTTTGAACTCCGTCCCCGTTGTAGCGATAGGCAACCTAGGATTATATTATCATTGTATTGGTAATGATATCGGTGAGAATTAAGTTGCACGGGCATACCCTAGCTATCAGAATGTGGATCTCTGTGCTCGACATTGGCTCTTTTGACATTCAAGTCCCAGTATCTTGTTAGGATTAGGAAAATAAATGTCATTTCTCAATCAGTTGACAAGGGCCCAAACCACAGGTGGGTAACAAAACTGTGTGGGGGATTCCTTTTCATTTAGGAACATGAGATACTCGTATGAGTTCCCATTCGTGCGGCAGCAGTCCTAGCTAAGAAATGGCGTATTACGTATTCATGGAGAGAGCCAATTGCTGAAGTCCAACAGCGCTCAATACGCAACCGCTTTGGCAATTGGTCCAAATAGTGTGACAAGGGCGTATCCAGAACTCGGTCTGAGCGTCAGCATTCACACTAGTACCGCATTTTTTACCCTTATTAGAAATCGGAAACCTAAGCTTATGTCTGACGCACCACAAAAGGGGCCCTCTTGCCTTTTTGAGGCTGGTAATACAGGTCTAGCCGACGGGAACGCTAAACTATGAACAGAGTCAATTCAATAAACTACATCGTTTCCGTTCATGCGGTTTATCGAGAATCTTCATCGTCTGATGGCAACCAACAGTTGACAGCCTCACCCATGTATCTTTCATTTTGAGCTTCCTTATTGAGAAGATGAGATTTTAAACTGGTTCCAGGGGCATATAATCCAAAAAGAAATGGTTTGTCTACCACGTAATACTTTCCGCATTCGAAGATACAAGCCAAGGAACAGTCTGATGATGTGCAAGTATATATATAATGAGAATATCCTTTCCTTTCTGAGCTGGTTTGACGTTATGAGCCATCCAGTCATACATTCCTATCTTGTCTAATTAAGCGTGATTGACATTGATTCCAAAATGGCCACCAACACCTATTCAAAGGCGAAGTTCCTCCAGTTACTGGGCCTATTCAGTTCCGGCGTCCTGGGACAGGCCTTGAATAAGCCTGTTTTGTTCACTGATGGATTGTCCCCTCATGTTGACAGTGTGTTTTTCCAACACTTGACGCCGACTCAGAGTACGTGGGACCAATGGGGCTGGGGATGGATCCCACAGGCTTGCTTGTCAGTTGTCCAGGGGACTCAATTCAGTCCCTATGACATTGAAGTCTACAATGTTCACTACACCGATTGCGCTAGTGCGGTCGTGATGTGCCGCCACAATCAGGCTCAGATGTCGATCGTTAACATGATTGGTAAGGCAGCCCATTTAAGTAATAGCGTTGAAATCGCTTTCTCTAATCTATTCATGTCTTTCAGATGCTTTCGGTCGTATCCCGATTCATGACCGCCAGTGGACGCAGCACATTCTTGCTCTCCCAGCAAACTCCTGCAGTGCCGGTACCGGTGGTGCGGTGACTACGTTCTACGGTCCCTGCTATATTCCCTCTGTCTTTGTCCATGAGTTGACTCACACATTGGATGCCTATGTCAACGACCAAACAGGGTCAACTGGCTCTGTTCATGTCTACAGTACCACCTCTGCATACCTGAATTCTGTCAACCAGGATTCTTGCGTCCCTGATGACTACGCAAACCACTGTAATTCTTCCAGTATTCCTGTTCTCTCTCCGTTTTGCGGATGCTAACAATTCCCAGCTCCCCAAGAAGACTACGCCCAAACATCTGTGCTTGCTCTCTACGAAAAAGTCAACCCTGGTGGCCTCGATCCTATCGGAAACTGGCGTTGCTTGGTCAATGCCAAGAATAACCTCGACAGCATCATCGGTCAAGAATTGACCCCCGGTGGCAGCTGCACTCATCGTTGGGCCGATTCAGCAATTGTTTGTATGGGCCCTGTAGCGGCCTGCACCTCATCCAAGAGAGGCTTTTCCACCAGAAGGGGCGCGAGGGTTGCAGGCCCGAAGCCGGTGCCCGCCAACAAGAAGGGCGATCCATTGGTTAGCAACCTCACGCCTGACCTGGCCAGCGCTGTTAATGCGAAGATTGATGATTTTTCGCATTTGGTGAGCAACCACACTGCTAGCATTGAGGCGACGATTAGGATCAACGCCTGGAATAAGGCAGCAGGCAAGGAAACAGTACCAGTTCCAAAGGCCTAATCCTAGTGCTTGTGCTAGCATTGATACAAATCCTTTGACTAAATTCTTCAAAGATAGCAAAGTTAGCTACCGTATATATAGTTACCATCTATAATAACTAATAATCATTTAGATAAAAGCATAGCTACTTCTATGTGACATCCTAACGAGCTTGTGGTCATATTGAAAGGGGCTTAGGCGTATATGCTGCCCTGATCTGCATTGTGGATGCCGGGATTTAGATAGTTTTATTGTTTGTAGGTGCCAATATCTCAGTTTTTCCACAGAATAATATGCGGTTCGGAAAAAAGGAGGGGAGGCGGACGATCTCCAGCCACATATTGTTCCATATATCTGGATTACGAGTCTCAAGTGACAATACAGTGAAGCCATCGATGGTCCTCTTATTGAGATGAAACTAAGATACAAAGAAAACAAGAGATCACTTTATCACGTTCCTGCAGACATGGAAACACTTTGAGAAGGGGCAGCTGTAGCCTTCGATAACGGCGAGGTGGTTGTCAAATATCTCAAGAAGTATCCTTACGATACCCATCCTAAGCTACAAGCCAATCTCGAGACCGAGCTACGGGTTGCGCTGGTTCAGTTTTGGATTAATACGTCAATCGCCATCTCCATCTGCTCTTACGTGGCAGTCATCACAGCGGGTCAGAAATCCTACTCAATGCTCAGCACACAAGCCGGGGCCCTGGGCCAGCAACTTGCAGGCCGAGTTATGGCGGGCCAAAATATGACCTATGCCCCTGTGTTAGTGTTAGATACATACAAGGAGACCATGCAGCTGGCACTGAAAGCCGCCTCCGCGTTCAATACTCAGTACGACCGTTTTCAGGATAAAGCAACGTCTCTGAAAGAGCAAATTGAGGCGTGGGAGACGATGCTTTCCGAAGCTATTGACAGCCAAACAATGCAAGGCAAACTGCGTGACGCGGCATATCAAAAGTATCAAGATGCTGCTAAAGCAGCCGACAGTTGCGATCAACAGTTCAGCTTAGACAATGACGCTGTAGAAGCTGCTGGGGTGCATTTCCAGGATGGCATAGAGAAGTGGAAGTTTGAACAGAAGCTCAAAGCAATAAAAGAAATCACCATGGCGGTCATTAGTAAGTATCTTGTCGTGATTCACGCCTACCTACATGGAAGAGGTTAATTTGACATCTGCTCAGCATTTGCAGTTGGCATTGGCGAAATGTGTGCTGGTGATCCGGCTGGAGTTGGCGGAGCCGAGAAAGCCGTTGAGGTTGCAGAAGAAGCTGAAAAAATCGCGATTCGAGTCGCGGCAAAAGTCACCTCAGAGACATTCAAGAAGCTAAAGGAAGTTGTCGAGGCACTGGGCAAATTATATCCATCAGTATCTCAAATGGACAAGGCAATCAAGGCCCTTGAATCCAATCCTGGTGTTGATGTTCCCTCCATCGCTGAAATCTCGGGCACGACAAAGGGGGATGCAGACTCTAGTGCCATTGCCACCATGGCAGCGTGGGACATTTGAATCCTTGAGTCAGATGATCAGATGGCATTCGCAGTTATGGCTGGAATTGAAGGCGCAACTGCATGCCGGCTTGCTCTGCGGAAGCACGCGATCAATGGAAAGCAGTTGGTCCAAATCCAGGCTGAAGCTGTTAAAGCCGGGTATGAGTATGTTCAGGCTCAAATGGAACTCATTCGTTGCGCAAAGCAGGTGGAAGATCTCCACGGCTTGATTGATAGCTATACGGGTCAAGAAGACGTCTACCTCGAAGCCGAAGCTCAGCTCTATGATCGTCTATTGGCTCTCAAAACGGGTGTCGTAATTGAGCTACAGAATATGGTGTGGGTATATCGATACATGTACTGGGCTCTTTCGGAAAGCAAAATTGTTCTTGACGTCACAAAATCCATTGAAGATTATGACAGTGATCTTTATCAGATCGCCCGAGATATAGGGACAATAGACGAGCAATATCCCAGCGATTTCCAAGGTAAGCTACTACTGCCTCTCTCTATCTTCTAAAAGGGTGAGCTGACCGTTACAAAAAAGGCTTCACATACTATGGTGAAAGTGACAAGGTGAATATATGCCCATTCACAACGCTCTCCCGAAGTAAATAATAGCTGACAACACTGGCAGCTCCCATTTAACTTGGAGAATTGCTGGCCAAAGGTCTTTCGGCGAAACATACACTGGCAGCTTTAATCTAGCCCCCAACAAAGCCTTAGCTGGGGTTTCCTTCGGGGGATCTCACTACAGGCTGAGTGGCTTAGATGTAACTCTCAGGGGAGCTCTTCCAAAGAAGAACGCCATCAAGGATGGCATGGTGGTTGTTCACTTGCAAATTACCACATCTGGAATATATGAAGATATACGAGGTGGCCAGGTTTTTCGCTTTGTAAGCCTTCCCCAGTCTCGCCAGTGTTCCTACGAGCTTAACGAAAAAGGAGAAAGGGGAAAGACGTGGGATGATCCCATATTTGAAACTAAATATCACGCCGAACCCACTCCGTTTACGCAATGGAAGATAAGGCTTCTGAATCCTGAAGATGTTGACTTGAGTGGATTGGCAGGAGTTGATTTGAAATGGAAAGGGCATGTTCGATTTGCTCCAAATAGACTGCTAGGACAACAGTTGTAGTGGTTGAATGTAGCTAACACGGTATCTTTGGAGGAGATATAGTGAACGATAGTTTGCAATTAACAATCTTTACCCGTATCTCACCAAGACAAGATTTAAGTCCGATGAAATATATCAGATCCGGACTATAAAAGCCAAGATCCGTGAAGCTTACAACACATAACGTATCAACTGAAACACAAGTAAACTCAGTCTGAAATTGTTCTTTTTCTTATAGAGCTTCATAAAGGCTACGCTAAGTTGTAGCTGAGCAACAGATGATCATCCAGAGCAGGCGCCTCTGCAAAACGGGCAAGTTCATGGTTCTAGAGCCGCAATAAAGCTTGAGTTACCCCATGTAATTGTCTAGGAACTTCTTGACTAGAGAGCAGAGAGTAATGTTAGCATATGGCAATTAGCAGTTTCCTAGTCACCGTTGGTCTTCTCGTACCTTCAGTCGCCAAATCGCTCCACATCTCCAAGAGCTTATTCTTCTGTAGACCCAGAAGAGGCCCTGGTCCAGGTTTTGTATGTTCCGCCACATAGGTAGACAATGCAGTGAGATCATTCCAGATGTCGACAGAGGCTCCTATAGCAGTATCCTATCAGTATCACTCGCTTTCCGACCCAAAGTATCAATTAGAGAGAATGCCGTACCGACAGCGTGCTGTAAGTTTTCCATTGAGCAACCTGAGTCGTCTTTCATATTCTGCTTGTCTATTATGCCCTGTTCAATTTATTCATCAACCATAGCGTGAAACTACGGGTACAAAAAGATGATATGCCGCTCTAGAGATTGTCTAGGTTAAGAGCTCACCTGGAGAATTCCCAACGCCTTACAGTCACTGTCAAAATCCTCCTCCGAGTCAAGCCCGCCCTCGTGGCATGTGCGAAGTCGCTCGATGATACTTTGACTGGACAAATCAGCGCCAATCCTTTTGACCAGAATTTGCGCCTCAGTAACATTTCCAATGGCAACTCTCATGTTGTTGGTTACGTCGGTGGCTATATCCGATAAGGTAGTGAGTTTATCTATGCGTTCTTCCATTTTCGCCTGAACTTCGTCGCGGAGGTTGTTGTTGTCTGATTCATGGCCGTAGAGCCTCTCAAGAGCATCAAATATCTTGTCTAAATGAACATGAGTCATATATCGGGATCAGATGAATTTCAGGAAGATTGGAAGATGGGGTTTCTTTACCATAGTCCACTTGGCCGCAGCTGCGAGCTCCAGAATAAGTTTGCATACGTTTCCCACGGAACGATATCCACTCTGATTAGGAGGGTTAGATTCCATGCATTTCAAATTTCAAGATTTAGAATGGAGTATTTTTTTTTTTTTGCTTGCCTCCAGAACCATGGATTGGTTGGTAATCTGCTGCGTTGTTATTTGAAAGGACTGACGACAACTGGGGATGGGTGTGTACCTTGTAAAAGTCATCCATGATGGGCATAAGTATATCAGAGTATAGCTGTTAGGTTTAGCTTCAAGTGTTGGCAACAGAATTGTCCAATTTGAGCAATGCCTCTTGCATTCCTTTGGTAGTAAACCCCAACATGATAGCGAATTCCTTGGTCATCGTATGGCAAGCTTAGTGTTGCCTGCGTCGCTTGTTGGAGCTTGGAGAAGTTCGGCCCATCGCAGACAAAGTTTGAGTTGTTGTTCACCAACAGGCCCCTTGGGCTAAGGAACGACTCGTAGAAAGACATTGTTGGGAGATATAATGCTTGAGGGCTTTTCCTTGTCTTGGTGAGGCTATACATTCCACTCTGGTGGGCGAAAAGTGCTGTGGTAGCGTTATATAACCGTGTCCTTGGCTATCAGACAGTATAAATATGATGAGATCATGGCGGTAACACTGGTGTAAGACGATTTATGCAAACAGATACCGGTTGACATTTGATCACCCAATCTGTTTTGACCTTTGGCTATTTGGTTACACAGGTAGTACGCGGTACATGTATTTTGCTGGCAAATTTGTCGTGATAGGAGATTGGATATTGGGATACTGCCAGCAGGGTTATACGAGCAACCGATGTGTCTCAGACAATTCTGCGATGCCGTCTCGCGCGGGCAATGTCGACAAATGCACGTACCCTGTATTCCAAAAAAATTTCATGATGCTACAGGTAACTTCCTTGGTAGTACATGAAGGTATTCTGTTCAACTCCACTCGCCATCAACATGTTTGACATGCAGGTTTAATTGCCAATGTCTAGCAAAACATTATTCACAACGAGAATCCTGTATCACGCAAGGCGATGACCAGAGTAACATTACATGCGAAGTCGGCAGAAAAGGAAAAACCCCAATCGTGAGAGCAATCGTCTCTTTTGCTTTTACTTGGTAGAACTTGGTAGAGTTTTCCATGCAATAGCTTCATAGAGTGCAAAAAGAACGTCTCTTCACAACAAGCGACTGACAGCTCAATCGGCGTTTCGTGATTGGTCAACGACCGACACGTGACTTGCCCGGTTAGCTCAATCGGTAGAGCGTGAGACTCTTAGTCGAGCACACGCTCTGATGCAATCTCAAGGTTGCGGGTTCGACCCCCGCATTGGGCTTTTCCTATATAAACAACGCGATTGAGATTCAGTCGCCTTCTTTTTTTTTCTTTCATTCTTTTTCACTTTCTGTCAGGTTAAGTAAGGCTCATGTTACGTGTTGCTTCACCGTTTTGTAGTCGCAAGGGGTGGTTTGTGACAGGTAACATTGGAACCTTGCATGCATATTGCTGGGTTACACAACTGCCTATTTCAACCAAGTGGACAAACAAAGTTCTCCATACCCCAGCACCAAGCATCTGAGGACATTGTGAGTGTCGTCTATTGTTTATTAATAGATTCCGCTTCAACTATTCGTCTAAAACTCTGAAGGCGGAAGAGGCGGAGGACAACAAGGCGTGAAATGTTACTTCTAGAATAGAGCATCATCTGGCATCCATTGGTTCTTCTTGCAACATCACCGAAGAATGGCTGTTTTTTTTTTTGAGATGGTCGTCCAAGTATATGCCCCCATATAATCACTGGTTGGCCGCATCATGAATAGTTGCTGTTAGTTTACGGTGGCAGAGGTCAATGGCTTCTTTGTATAACAGAACCCTCTTCATCAGGCTGGCTGGAGCAGTCGTTCAAGCCCAATTCCAAAGGCGCATGACAATGTGAGTTTTCTCCAGCCCATCTAATCGGGCAAGACAGTGTTTCCCGATTTGATCTGTGGGGGTCATTACAAGCATGGATGCTCCTCAAACATGGTCTGTTTGTCGGCTGCTAGAGGCGGTGCTTCTTTGCGGTGAGCTGTACAAGTATACATGAGAACAGCATTCAACGTTATCCATTAACATCATTCAGCCCAGGATTCTAGACTAAGCTGTGTGTCCTTGTAATCGATCAACGGAGTTGTACGTAACAGCGCATCGGCTTTCAACGTTGACATGATGACATTTCATATATCCTTTTCAATGCCTAAACTGCGCCGTCGTAGCTGTTTGCCCCACCGTTTTAGTTCGTAGACATAAATTTACACGAATCACAACAAGATCGTCCCTTGCTGCCTTTCGCGATGATTCGATCCTCACTGCTGCTCCAGGCCATTCGGGCCGGCTCTCAGTACCGCCGGTACCCCAGATTATATATCTTCCACCAACCATAGCTGTTGAACCTGCATTTGAGCATTTTCGGAGGGCTTCCCGATTCGCTGTCCAGAAGTTGGGGAAAGTCCAAGCTTCGGAAAAGCGTCAGGGTTGTAGCAGCAGGTGTAACATGACGGATAATTTTGCGGATCTTGCCCCGGACTTTGGATCAAGGTTAACTTGTTTACCATTGTCGTTTAAATGCCCAATCCTCCCCGCGGCTCAGTGCAATGGGATTGGGATTGCTTGAGTTTGTTCAGAGTATCTGTATTGATTGTTCTGCTACGAGACCGGCACCACCATGGTTCGAGCAACTCAATTGCTGACATGGCTCGCGGGAGTCGCGTCCGCAGTGAATGCGGCTGCCATTGAGATGGCTCCAGAGGCGTAGGTTCCTTTGTTCTCCTTTCTTGTCGTCTCTAGACACACAATAGATTCAATTCATGCTCACAAAATCCCCAGACTTGTTGACCGCGGCCTCTCTTTGTCTTTGGATGCTAGCCTCACTTTCGGCCAGTGCCATCCTGTCATTCGACACCAAGACTTTTGGTTGGAAAATATCAAGCATACGGGCGTCTCTCCGTTTCTGAACGATTCCTCGTATGCCGTCTACCGCAACGTGAAAGACTTTGGTGCAAAGGGCGACGGTAAAACAGATGATACCGCTGCGATTCAAGCGGCTATTGATGGTACGGTTCCCACTTGCGTTTACCTCAGCCAGTATCGTTGAAGATATCTCGTTCTAACGCTTAAAGATTAGCCGGAGGACGTTGCCTATGGGGTTGCGGTCCAGGAGATCCTCCTGCAAAGACTCTCAAGCCAGCTCTCATCTACTTCCCCTCCGGTACTTACAAGATCTCACGAACCCTCAACAGCTACATCTTTACCCAGCTTGTTGGCAACCCATTGGACAGGCCTGTCCTCAAGGCCGACAAGAACTTCTCTGGTCGGTATCTGCTGGATACTTTCCCTTCTCCAACCACTTCGCCATTTCCCACTACCATCAACCTCTACTACCAAGTTCGAAACTTCGTTTTCGATACCACAAATGTAGACGTCAAGTCATCCGTGGCTTGTGTCAACTGGCCGTCTGCCCAGGCTGTGACTCTCAGTTTCAACCACATGAAGATGGCTGAGAACAGTCTACACCAGGGTGTCGTTTTCAACGGAACCACTGGCGGTGGCGGCGGCTCCGCTACTTTCATGGGTGACTTGGAGTTTACCGGAGGCAACATTGGAGTAAGTTTTTCTGTGCTGTAAATTGAAAACAAATGAGCAACGGCTGATCTAGGTGATGCGTATAGATTCGACTGAACAACCAGCAGTACGCTATGCGCGCCCTGACTTTTAACAATGTCAAGACAGGAATCCAAGTTGATCACATCTTTACACTGTCTCTCCAGGGTATCAAGTTTAACAATGTCAACGTTGGCGTCAACTTTACTGCCCCACCAAACAACTCTGTAGGATCTGTCATTCTGATCGATTCCGAAGCTACTTCTACCGACAAGGTTGTTGTCTCCCAACACACAAAGAATGCCGATGGCTCCCTCATCATCGAGAACCTCAAGATCAACCGCGTCGGCCATGTCGTCGCTGATACTCAAGGAGCCTCTCTTCTTTCTGGATCAACTCGCTCCACCACAGTTAAATCTTTTATTCAGGGAACTGTTTATAGGGATCAAACTACTGGCAAATACCTCGAAAGCAGCGGCTCTCTGTCGCGACCCCAAGCCTTGGTCGACTCCAGTGGTGCCTACTGGACCAAGTCGCGGCCTCAGTATGAGCAGTACAGCTCCGGCTGCTTTTCGAGTGTCCGAGCCTTTGGTGCTACCGGTGACGGCAAGACGGATGCTACCAAGGCCATCAATGCTGCTCTCAAGGCTAATGCCAACCGAAGAATCACTTATTTCCCTGCCGGAAACTACCGAGTTAGTGGCACTATTCACGTTCCTGTTGGATCTAGAATCGTCGGCGAGGTTTGGTCTACTATTAGCGGTAAGTGATCATTCCCGGTGTAGTCGTATTCTCATAGTTTCACTGCTAATCAATCGATCGTTTATACAGCATATGGAAAGACATTTGAGGATGAGAAGAACCCTCAAGTTGTCTTTAAGATGGGCGATACCGGCTCTCGTGGCGTCATCGAGGTGAGCGACATTGCCTTTGATGTGGCTGATGTCCTCCCTGGTGCCATTCTCGTGGAAAACAACGCTTCGGGATTTAAGCCCGGCGATGTTGGTCTGTGGGATGCCCATTTCCGTGCTGGTGGAACCATCGGCTCTGAGGTCGAGACCAAGTGCCGCTCTTATCCTCAGTCGCCCATCGAGCAGTGCAAAGCCGCTTTCTTGTTCATGCATCTGAAGTCCAACAGCCAGACCTACTTGGAAAGCGTCTGGGGCTGGTCTGTCAACCGTGATCTGGACGGACTAAGCGGTGCCACGAATGGAACCAGCCAATCTGTTGCTGTTGGTCGAGGCCTTCTCGTGGAATCCAAGCGCGGAACATGGCTTGTTGGCACTGCTTTTGAGCACTTCGTGCTGTATCAGTATCAGTTTGTGGGTGCTGAAAACGTGCAAGCTTTGATGGCGCAAACGGAGACTGTCTATTGGCAACCTGCACCTGTGGCTCCTCAACCTTGGACGTGAGTTTTCCCATAGTTGTTTACTTCTGCTTGTGCCTTTGATGTTAACTCGTTTCTTAGGCCTGATGCCCGGTACTCTGATCCCGATTACTCCAACTGCGATGGAAGCTCGCTTCAGTGCTTCATGGGCTGGTCTCTTCGTGTTGTCGGTGGCAGCGATTTGACTTTCTACGGATTGGGCTTCTGGCAGGTAAGACTAACATTACTGCTCACTTGCATTTTCGTGCCTTCTGTTTGATCTCAATGCTAACAACATCAAATAGTTCTTCAACGGTCTTAATGGTGTTTCGGGCCCATATGCTCAAGACAACATTGTCTCTATCGAAGGACAGCCTAAGAGATTGAAGATTTTCAACCTTGGCACACACTTGGTGAAGAACATGGTCACTGTAAATGGCAATGCAGCTGCTCTCAGCGCCGATAACAAGGGCGGATGGGGTGGCCTTATTGCTGCTTACCTTCCCTTTGCGTAATACCTAGTATAGATGCCACCACTAGATGAAATATATTAATGACCATATTTCCAAAAGTCTATGTGTAATTTGTCCAATTCTCTACACAATACCAAGATTATGTACTTGTAGGTATGCTGTACCATAGCCTATATCCATAGTGATTCCATACAAACAGTGATGTAAGCGAAACGGCTCTCTATAATCACCTCCAAGCAGATTATGGCAGCTTCATGAAGACATCCAGCATCTTTGAAATTCGGTGTGCCCAAGCCCGTGATTGGATCCCAGCCTTCCGCCGCTTCATGCCACAGAATCGCGTATCGACGTGTTTCCCTTTGTCACATCATCAAACATCTGTGGATTCTTATAAATGACTGGATTCACAAATCCCAGAGTCGATTTCCCCGCTTTGAGCCTTTCGTCGTTGATGCGATTGATCAAAGCTGCAACTATCGGCGTCGACGCGCTGGTTCCGCCTTGAGATACAATCTCTTTCTCAGCGCCGAAGACGTTGAGGACATTCCATCCCAGGGCGCTGACATCGGGAAAGCCACGGCCCTGGCTGTTGAAACGGTCGCGATCGAGGTCCTGATGGTTATCCAAGTAGGCCTGGACAACTTCGTCTTGATAGGCAGGGCGAGAGTAATTCCAGGAAAAGCCTCCCACAGACGCCAAGCCCTGAGCATTAAGACCGACTTCCTCAAGACCTGGGAGAAGTTGAGTCGCGCCAACGGTAAGCAGATACGGTCAACTGTAGGAAGTCAATACAGTACAAATTGATAGTATCATACTCTGGGATTTCTTACTTCGCAGGGTATTGCGCGACGGCGTGGTAGTACCACTCGTCATACTTACTGGGGTCACAGATGTTGGATGGTGCTGACCCAAGATCTGCTGTAGATGCGACAATCGTGGTCCCCATGAGCGACAGTTTCATAAATCTAACAACGCGCGATAAATCAGTATTGTTAAAAAACAAATAGAGGACATGGCTCAGCGGGCTTACTCATTGCACTGCCGGTGCATGTAGTTGTATGGGAGCAGCTGTTCATCCCACCCATATGATATAGAGTACACGTTTGTGCTTTTTGTTGTTCCGCATTGAGGGGATCCTCTGTACCATCCCTCAGGGATTCCGTCATCGGGATCACCAGGGTTTTCGTGATTGTCAGGATATGTTGGGTCGATCTCGGGGTCATTTCCTGTCTCTCCAAAAGCTGTGTAATCACAATATGACTATAACTCCTTTGGTCAGTCCACCTTTCAACCAGCTACACTCTAAATTCACCGCCGCAGTGAACATGGAGGGGTATGCTTACGCCGTCAATAGCATTCAGCCAGCTCTGAAACATGCCCCAGTAAATTTCACACCCATAGGTGGTATAATAGTCATCGTCAACTTGACATATCGTCACGTCTGTGGGTAGACTAGGGGCAAAGACATCTGAACGTCGAGATCCGCTTCACCGCTGTCATCGGGCTCGTCGTAGTGAGTCTAGGATACGTCGATGGTAATGTTTAAGAGCGTCGTTTCCGGTGGGATATAGAATGCTTTGAGCGCAGTCGGGCTGTACCAAGATCCGCTTGCGAACACATTCAAAGAGTAAGCAGGAACTCTTTTATCCCCTTTGGACGCATTGTAGAGACATTAAATGCAGGTTGGGGGATGAGGTCCAAGTCTGTGCAAGGGCCAACATCTGCTCGTTCATCGAGGGCATCGCGTGCAGAGACCCGCTGCCCTGGCAGTATACTTCGTTTCATGGGCTCTTTCTTCATATTCCCAACGAGGGCGACACCAGGATGGATAAAATCAATATGTCTCACGAGATGGCTGGGTACTTTGTACCTTTAGCAGTAGTTAGCCCCCTCCAATTTCCCATGATTAGAGTTAGAAGAACGTACTCGTCACAGCCAACAGTGCTGCGAGTCTCTAGCCCAAATGTGTATGCGTGATACTCAGTTTGGAAGAGTTCTTCCGCCTCCCGAACAGTAGCATTGAAATGGATCCACTCATAGCCCAGTGAATGGGCGATCCTATCACGCGTGCAGAAATTTGTAGGCGAATAGGAATTTACCTTGATTCCGTGATATGTAATTATTTAATATCTAGTCTTGCTACCATTCGTTGAATGCGCGCATGATATTTGTAATTGCAAACAGGTGATCTACGATTTGGATGCTACTCTGGAATCGGCCAGAAAGCAAACCGCCAGATGGCTGTAATTTTCCAAAAAAAACCGGGAGAAAAGATGGAAAAAAGATGAGAAGGTGAAGAAAGCATAAGAAAGAGTCTTTATAGCAAACAGTAAGAGGTTTGTTTACTCATCTACATATTTTCACCAAAGTATTATTCGTTTCTGTACAGTCGTACTTGGGCTGATCGTGTAAGTGAAGTCCGCGGAATTGCACACCACACACATGAACTACTAACCATGCAGCTTCTCTCCGGGACTCCCGAAGAATATGCATCATGAGGTCTTTCAGGGCGCCAACTTACTAGGCAATATGTCTCCACCTTAGCTGCATCTGTGGCCGATTAATATGGACAACTCTCGGCACTCGTTTGTACTGCGAAGCGAGGGATGCCCGAGGCCACTTTCTTAATTGTGACCCAAAAGTTTGACGATCTCCCGGGGTCCGCATTGGCGATTGAGTTACTGGAGAGCCACTTTGAGCTCCATCATGTGACGATCATGCCATGAAGCTCTGAAACTCTTGAGAGCTGCATGTTGAATCACCAAAACCAACTGTCTTAGGCATAGTGCGTATAAGGTATCATTTTTATCATTAACGAAAGTCTAGAGCTGGGTGTAAACAAAGGTATCAAAAGCGACCGAATCTATCCATCATTACTTCATGTCCGTGCAATCCCCATCCCATCCTCAACCTCATTAACATAGGGATCTGTTCTCCACTTCATTCATTCTCTCCATTTTGGTGTGTGTTGGTATCTCTCTATTTGTAAAACGCGGTGACTGTTTCAGTTGCGCAAGATGCTAGTGCGGTGCACAGACAATGGCTGGCATTCTCATGTTGACATGTGCTGCAGACGAACGGCACAAGCGCGGAGAGCGGAGACTTGCTGTGCTGTTTCTCTTGGTTCATCTGGCAGATGCTCTGTCGTTGATTAGACAGAGTTGTCAGAGGGGCGGCCGGCAGGGATCTCCTTGTTGTGGGGAGCAGCAGCGGGAGTAGCATACTCGGCACGGAGAAGGATGCCCTCAACAATGGTGTTGCACAGAAGGAAGAAGCTGTAGAAGTAGATGTTAGCGGGGATGCTCGTTTAGAAGAAGGGGAGTAGTAAGATGCTTACAATCCGATGAAGTTGAAGGCGTCAATGGCCTTCTTGCGGGAGCAGTGGCCCTCACCAGGCTTGCCGAAGCCGCACTTTCCGCTGCTCCAGTCCTGAGAGGAGAAGATGAAGGAAGTGAGCCAAAGGTAGGAGAAGACCAGGTTCAAGGGAGCTAGGTATCCACGGTATCTGCCAATGAGAGGCAGGATGGCACCAACGAGCCAGAAGCCCAGAGTGATCGTGGCCTAGAGAGGGGCAATTGTTAGTTTGCAAGAGCTAGAGGATGGTATAAGTGGGTAGACATACAATGACTTCCTGGTAGACGATGTTAACACCGCGGTAGTCATACTTGTGAAGGAACCAAGAGACGAGACCAGTGACGATGGTCGAAGAGATGAGAATCATCAAGTGGTTGGCAAATGCGATGTATCGCAGGGTAGCGTGCTCCAAGTTGCCGAACATTTTGGCGATGTTATTTGCAAGTTGCTTCAAAAGTGTATTAATGGGTATTATGAGAGTGATGATGGTTCAAGAAGCTCGAGATGGCGGTGCTGTTGGGGTATATATATTAATGTATATGGTGTAAATGGATGCCAATTAATGAAGCTGCTGATCCAAGCTGCTCGCTTGTTGTAGAGGATGTTGAAGCTGATGCTGAGTGGTCCGAATAACATCCAGATACGCGGAGCGCACGACCTTCTTTATACCAATCTCCATAGTCGTCTCCCCGCGACGTCTGTCGCCGAACGAATCCGTTCATCGGATTGATGTCATCTGATGATTTTCCCTAGAGTGAGAAAGAAAAATATCACGACAATGAGGCTTCGACGTCATAGCATGCCACTTCTCGCAATGCCGACGATTAGACATTGCTCGGGCATTGGGCCATCTGCCGGCGCTCCGGGAGCTCCGGCAGTTCTGCACCCACCTGACTAACGCTGCACAACTTGATTCTCTGGGCTCTTGAGACTTTTCTGGGTCTCTTGTTTAGCTGCATTGCTGCATTGGGCTGCCAAGAGCTTTGGGTCACATCAGGCAAGGTCCAATGCGATGTTGTGTCACTTGTGTATTAACCGAGGGCATACAGATGCCTCACTTTCAACCGCTCGGCTGGCTCGCCGAGTTTGTCGGGCCAAAAATTTGCAGAAGAGGAATAAACGCGAGGGCGAGCATGGTCTGAGCTAGCTGCATGGAAACACACGCATATTCCATTGGCTCGGCACGTTTCGGGATTGTGATGATACCCTCCAATGGACAAGCTCTAACTCACCAAAGCTTTGCATCAGGTAGTCATCAAGAATTAGGAATCTGAACTTGTTGCCCAGCTGCTGCATAGTGGCATCGAAATGTGCCCGGAACTAACCATCTCGCATTTGTCTTGGCTATAACACGTCTCTGTCCTGCGAGAAGCAACTATCGACTAGTATTCCGTTTCGCTCCTTTTCTTGGCTATCGGCAAGGCGTTGACATGCTGCCCGGTTCAGGAGAGCAAGTTTTTCGAATTGCAGAGTCAATACTCGCACATCCGTAGATCGGCGATGAGTTGCCGGGCGGGAATGGCCTCGTTCGATAATTTTTTCTAGGGCGAGGTGGATGACACTCACGGCGGGCGGCGGCTCGGTGTTGGTCGGGATGTGCCGCCAATTATTTTCTCACCTCCGAGCCATCAGCTAACGCAGCGACGTCATGCTAATCAATGCAAATTCAGTAAGAAAAAAAGATTCGCGTATCTGGCCGGAAATAATGGGCTGTGGCCTGCAGCTCATTGACCATTGCAACTTGAGCATTTGGTTGGCGTTGTGTGTTGCTCTCATACGCTCAGGCTTCTCGTTGTCCCTTGACGGAGGTCATCACGACAACATCTTTGATCGCCTTTCTACCTTCATGTGCTGTATAATTCATAAAAAAGATTTCTTTGACGCCGGCTATTGTAATTTTGAATGCGATCTTATTCTGGGCATTGGCTGAAGGCGTTATTCTGCCTTGTTTCCGGATGTGAGGTTGTCGGTTCGCGATAACTTCTGGCAACGGTTGTCGGCTATGGCACGGCTGGCCATCAAATCACAGCGCGCTTTGCCTCATCAGCCTCTCGTCAAAGGAAATGCTTCAATAGCTTTGGATTCACGAGTCAGTTGGCAAACAAGTTTTTGTCTTTGAAGGGTTACATCTCAGCTCACACCAATTGTCTTACATGCTGGTGGGGGAAGAAGTCCGGAGCTGCCGAATCCATATTCTAGAATTTTCATCCCGATACACCCAAGTACAAGCAGCAGCGACAACAATAACTTACTTATAGAGCCTATGAACCGATTATATATATTAGTTCTATTGGCGCTCAATGACTCCTCTATTTCTCTTTCGCGTTGAGCTTCGGGACAAATGCTGCTGGACGAAGTCGTCACCAAATCACTGCAAGAGCGTAGTAGCGTGGCAGGTCCAAATGCATACGTACGCTTGATATAAGTCGAATGGTTAATTAGTTAATATTCTCAGCTTGTTTTCATGGCTTGATACTATTAAAACAATGAACTAAGTTGAGAGACCCAGGCACAGATATCCAGGGACGAGTGTCCTTTTAAGCATAAAATGGGTGGCTGTGCCACAAAGTCAAACCCATTGCCACCGACATCACAACGTATGCTCATCGGATTCACACTCCAATGGACATGATTACTATCTGACCGATGCAGCATTTTAATTCCGCGTATTTACCTGCTACGATTGCAGAGGGTGTATAATGTCATAAGGCCCCCGACGCTATAACAGGCTACTAAAAGTAAGGACTCTTAGCATGTCGCAATTGCCGCTATACTCCAGGCCATATATATTCATTTCCAGGCCCGTATAGTGTCAGCGGAGGGATTGCAGATTCGATTGGCAATTATAGCCTCATATTTGGCGTGGTCGCAAAAAAATCACCTAAATGAACAATCATAAATATAAGAATCCAATCATATTCCTTACTGCATAATAGTCTCAGTGTGGCCGCTTTCCTTGCCTCTCACCACATTAAGAGGTAGAGACTATGCCCATGATGGGAGTCGACAACATATGCTGAAATTTGGCTCCGCGGTCCAGCTGATTATGTTATTTTTCAGAAGATAGTGGTGTCTTTCTATTCGACGGCTCTGCTCTGACGGCTATTTTGAAAGGACGGAATGCCGTTCTGTATTGGCGGCGCAGATAGTAACTCCGCCTAGATTACCTCAAACAGCAGCATCAACCTTAACATTGAGTGCCAACCTGACGAAATCCGCAATCTAACTGCTCCTCCTTTGCATGAGAATCCCGCCAACCCACCTCCAATACCTGTTTAGAAATGTCTCCATAGTCAATCACGGAGGGTTTCGCTGAACCGGCATCGTTCACACAGCCCGATGGTTCCGCAAGAGACTTGCCATCCTAATACATTGTATCCCAGCTAGGGGTTACACGTATGCGATAACACTAGGTACGAGATTTGCATGTATTGCTGAAACATGGGTAAGGGAAGTTTTTCTATTTCCAGCAGAAGCCTTGTGATATTATTGGCTCGCAACTAATGCTTCTATTCTTACACTAATTCATGTAGAAGACACTATCAAACGTATATCAGGACAATTGAAAGCTCCGCAACAAGAAAGGAGGTGGAGTGCGAAGTGCGGAGTATAGCTTAGGGCAGTACGGAGCATGTCGTAGAAGAATAAGGGATACGGAGTATATCATAGGAGAATACGCCGTATGCACGGGGCTTCTACCGGCATTCTTTACTTAATAATAGGAGAATCCATGGATCAACGGACATGGTCGCGGAAACCTTCCCTTTTGGGCCACCGCGTGGTTGGCAAAGAAGGGGCTGCCAGTCTTACGCTCAACTCCCATTGGACGCTTGATTGACCTATTTGGAAACACACACAGTCGCGAATCTTGGTATGGTGACATTTGAGATGCTTCGATTCTTGTATTCAGGCAATACCCTTCGGGATTGTAACTGCAGAGGCATGTACGGTGATTTGTTGACTTCGTTGATGCTACGCAATCTCTATATGAAGCTCGGGAACTTCTCTCGCAAGTGATGAACTTCCCAATTTTACTCAATTAAAGTCAAGGCATTCGGGATGTAGACGCACTCATGCGCCCATCACTCCGTTCGTTAAATGGGTCTTTAATCGTCGCCAATATTTCCGCTTGGTAAACATTTGTCAATATCAATACCGCATAACCTCGCAACTTTCGTTTGTGGGTATCTGCAGCGTTTGGGACACCATTTACTAGAGATGGTAATATGCTAACTGTATATATATAATTTAGCGAAAAAATCATAGAGATCCACCGACGAGTTTTGCGAGGTTATACGATATCGTTTGATGTCATGTAAAGCCACTGGTACAGGTATCAAAAACCTATATATATATATACTATATATATATATATAAACCAAGCATTACAGACGTGTTTTCTTTTACTTAGATCCTCCAGCGACAAGACTCACATGATCTTACAGAGATATACTTCCATAATCAACAATCGGGGCAACGTCCAAATGGCTATGACTAATCTCAAAGTCATCATTGTCGGCGGCGGTGAGTAGATTGGACTGCAGCTAATCAAGTGTGCTGTGTTCAATTATAGACTAACTCTTTCGAATAGGTCCAGTAGGACTGACGGCCGCGCACGCTCTGCACAAAGCAGGCATAGATTTTACCGTTCTCGAGCGCGGCAACGAAGTTGCTCCGGATGTTGGTGCTGCCATCTGTCTGGCACCTCCCACTTTGCGAATCCTTCATCAGCTTGGCTTGCTGGATCAGCTGCAGGACCTCGGCGGAGAGCTAGTTCGCCGGGGATTATTCACCATAGACGGTTACAAGTTCAAGAGCGGCGACTTGTTTTATGGTATGAAGAAAAAGTCAGTCTTCTATCACAAGATATCAACGTTATAAGTACTTACGTACATCCTAACGCAATATCTTTAGCCATGGCATCCGCCACGTTGCTTTCCATCGAGCAGAGTTTGTTCAGTCTCTTTACGATCAGCTTCCCGAAGAGGTCAAACCCAACATTTTGATGGGTAAAAAGGTTTTGGACATTCAATCCGGAGAGAAAAAAGTCAAAGTTGTCTGCGACGATGGAAGCACATATGAAGGAGACTTGGTCCTCGGCGCCGATGGCGTGCACAGCCAAACTCGAAAGATTATGAGAAAACTCGCGGTGGAAGCAGACCCCATTGTTACTTGGGACCCTGAAGTACCTTTTACGGCATCGTATAGATGCCTGTGGGCGACTTTCAAGAGACCGACCGCTATGGGAGACTCGTGTGAAACTCAGCACAAGGACACCTCGGTCATGTATGTGACGGGCAAGGAACGTGGCTGGATATTCCTTTACGAAAAGCTGCCAGAGCCCACCAAAGAGCGCACGTCATATACCTCTGAAGATGTTGAAGCGATGGGCAACCAATTTGCCGAGTATCCCATTACGGACAACCTCAAAGTGAAGGATGTGTTCCCCGATCGGATAACGGGCGGCATGTCAGATCTCCAAGAAGGCATCTGCAACAACTGGGGTTGGGGTCGTATCGTGCTTGCGGGAGATTCCATTCATAAATTAACCCCCAATGCCGGCCTAGGCTATCAAACTGGACTCCAAGATGTGGTATCGCTGGTCAACCATTTGAGACAGCTGGTCGTTTCTTCGGAGTCCTCAATGGGCCCCAGCGTCTCTGCCCTGGAAGCCATGTACAAGAGCTACCAAAGTCAACGATGGGATCGTCTGGCTCATGATTCAAGCGTTTCTAGGCACCTTACACGCTTACATGCCTGGGCCAATGTGTGGTACTACTTGGTAGGTCGCTTCGTGCTGCTACCTTACTTCATGACTTATGTCATGAGTGAGTGGTTAGAAGCACCGGCCATGAGCAAAGCGCTAGCTTTCAACTTTTTAGACGCCCAAGAACCATATGAAGGACAAGTTCCCTGGGTGCACCCGCTGAAGAATATTTATCAATCGGCATGATTTCATGCCGTTTTGCCAAGGGTGGTGGGGTGAGAGAGGTTTAAAGGGTGTAAATTCATTTCTCCAACGATGTGTCGCTAGTGCTGACACTTGCCACATGGGCATATACACATGGAATTTATAGATCGATATTTCAATATAATTTGCAACTATTCATCGAAGTCCTGGATTATCATTAATAAGTGGATATCGCCACGCGAGTAATGAAGCTACTATACTAACGACTCCCTTTGATCAAGGCTGACAAATTTCCATTCGGGATCGAAGAGCCATCAGCCCTATGTAATACGTGGCTCGGTGAAACCGAGGTAAAGGAGTAAGACGTAGCTGGCTAAACCACCAGGATAGACTGATTTTGGATCAACTCTCACACATGGGCGGATTCAATTCCGAAACATGTCCGTCTTCAAATTGCAGAATGGCGATACTGTCGCGGAATTTCACCACAGTCGCCTTGATTCTTCTATTGTCAACAATAAAAATCATCATCGTGAGACAATTATCCCACTCCTTGGAAAATGATTCCGCGTTTCTTATTTTAGACTTCTAGAGGCATCAAGTTTGTTCTACTCAAAACGCCACAGTGTGTTGTCTGTGTATCATGGATTCAGTAACGACCATGAATAGTGTGACGTCTTCCCTATGCCGCTCTCAAACAGCGTATTTTCACCTGAAGCACCTATTGACGGGCCAAGGGAGAGAAAGGACGCCATGAGGAAACTCGATTTGAAATTGGTCAAGAGAGTGAATGATTCGAATGAGTACTATAATGTGAAGATTGTGCATAGAAGCGTAGTCCAAAATGAAGCTCCTTGTGGATGCGGCGTTGATTAATTTTCCAAAGTTTCGTTTCCTTCAGCTATGTTATATATCTTTCATGCTGGCAATTTCCCAGGTTTTGCGGATCTCAGCTTGCTCTTTATAGCTGATGATTAGAACGTCGTGAAGACAGATTCCCTAGATTTCTTTCACACTAGGCGAGGCCTAATCCAGCACCTTTCGGGCTTTCCGATCAAAAGTCCACATGACGAAAGGCATCTCGGTTCCTCTAGCCAGTTTTAGGCAGTTGGTGGGTCGTTTTCACAACTTTTGATATAATTTTCGTCACTTGAATCTCTTCCATCCGAAATAACCTCATAGAAAACCTGATGCAGATTGGGGTAAGGATAGAGAGTATGGACAGATCGATGTCCTTTATTTGGTACGTTGGTGCCAAGTCCACCATGCCCGGCTTATAAGCATGCAAGAAGAAGTGAATTCAGTACCGTACAGCCTACTTCATCGACACGATAGCGTAGTAAAGTATTACCAATCATACGAGGAACTCTAGATTGATCCTTCAGCCATTGACTTTGAGTTTGGCTTAAGCACACCTGTCCAGTTATCGTCAATGTCTCATCCATCGGCACATGGTAAAATATAGTAGTTCAAAAGATCTGTAAACAATGTCATGCTTAACTTTGGGCTGACCAAGATGTACGCGCGCGGCTTCAGTAGCAATGGCAACGTTTCGATTCTCAGCCTGCACCAAACGGTATAGCATTTATGCCGACCCGGGGAAATTACTGCATTGCAGCCATCACCAGTCCAACGATATTGAACATCTGCACGTTTATTCAGCGGGCGGACTTTACGCTCCAAAGCTTCTTCCCGCTGCCCTGCTTCTATTGTAGGCATTTGGAAGAGCTCTAGCCCCAAACTTGCAAAAGCTTCTCGTCTGATGGTGTCATTAATAATGAGTTGTGGCCAATCACGACCGCAACGACTAATCATAAAAGGGCCCGAAAAGTGTTGGATACTAATCAAAAGTTGCCTATGATTGGTAATTTCAGCAAAAGGCCGCGGCTCATCTTCGTTGGCGCCAGATTCTTTCGCTGTGGAATGCTTCCAAAAGTGGAACATCCTTGCCTCTTCGGGCTGATACAGCCAATCATCTCACACGTTACATCATCAGGGTAAATAGTCGCAGGAGTTGCGGTGTTTCGGTGTTTTGGATAAGGCCGCAAAGAGCGTTTTGCGCCGTTATCGTGCTCGTTCAACACCACGCAGCCGCGGCGCATGGACGTCGCCGTAGAAGGAAGATTCTTGCAGCGATTAGAAATGTGAAATCCACGAGAATCTTTGTAATGGCAGAAGATGGAAGATTCGTAGTCCGTAGGAAAATTGCTGTGAGAGAATGAAGATATAAGGATGGCACCATCCAGTGTTGTAGAGCCTCCTATCTCCATCTTCAGACTCAACTCAGCATTCAATACAAAAGCAAAGCTATAAACTACTCAGTAATAAACTGAAAATCAATCAATCTACCAATCCAACTTCCACAAAAATCTATTACAGCCCAACATAATGGCTGGCGATCTCGTTCTTGTAAGTCCGCATCATGCAACTCCCCCCCTTGAGCCATCTCCTACTGACACTGTTATCCGCCTTTCAGCTCACCGGTGCCACTGGCATGATTGGCTTCAAGACTCTTGTCGAAGTTGTCAAAGCTGGTTACAAGGCCCGCGTCGCCGTCCGAAACCAAGCTGGTTATGATCGTATCACCGGCCTCAAGTCTCTTGCCCCTTATGTTTCACAACTAGAGAGCATCATTGTGCCTGAAATTACAATCCCTGGTGCTTATGATGAGGCAGTCAAGGGTGTAAAGTATGTTATTCACGTCGCTTCTCCCCTGGCTCTTCCGGTTGAGGGCGAAGAGGCATACCAGACCCAGATCATCCAGCCCGCCATCCAGGGCACAGTTGGCATCCTTGAGTCTGCGAACAAGGTGTCAGGCATCGAGAAGATTGTCATCACAGCCTCTGTCTTGTCTGTCGCCTCCATTGTGGGTATGGCTACAGGAACCAAGGTCAATGGTATGTCGTGTCCAACCCCACAATCCCAACTGGACTTGTATTAACCACTTTTCTAGAGAAAACTCGTGCCACTAGCACCGAAGGCCCCTTTGCCTCCAGCATCTTCGCCTATGAAGCCTCCAAGGCCCTTGCTTTCCAGGCCACCGAGAAGTTCATCGCCGAAAAGAAGCCCGCCTTTGACGTTATTAACATCCTCCCCGTCTTCGTCGTTGGTCGCGATGACACCGTCACTGATGTTTCCAACATCGCCAAGGGCACTAACGGATTTATGATGGGCCCTCTCCTGGGCCATGCTCGTGATCAGCCTCTCCTTGGCGTTGCTGTCCACGTTGACGATGTCGCCAACATGCACGTGCTTGCTTTGAAGCCTTCTCTCAAGGGCAACCACGACTTCCTTGCCTGCTCACACCCAAATGAAGTGGTTGACTGGGCAGACTCCTTTGAGATTGTCAAGAAGCGCTTCCCGGAGGCTTACGCTAACGGAGCATTCAAGTTCGAGTCTATTCCCCGACCTGTTTCCGTCCCGGCATATGTCGACTCAACAAAGGCCGAGAAGGCTCTGGGCTTCAAGTTCAAGTCATTTGAGGAGCTGACTGTCTCAGTTGTGGAGCACTATCTCGAGCTCATTGGCAGCAAGTAAACATCTATAACACGATGCAAGTGTGTGAGATGATCATAAGGGGATATGTCTGGAATATATTTAGTAGAGCATATTCAACCAATCTGATATGCTTAGATTAGATTAGCGATGAATTTATTTTATGTTATTTACAACCAGTTGTTTGTAAACAGCGTGCTAGTTGCTTCAGTACCGTATGAGAGCAGATGTAAACAGTAAGCATTCAGTCTCATGAACTATCAAAATCAGGCACTCAAGATTGACGACAATTGTAAGTAACATTGCGCTATTTACATGTGTTTCCAACATTGCTATCCGACAGCAAATAAAATAAAAATCCCAAACCCCTTGCTTATGTACAATATCATCATGATCCGGCTATATACATTCCCAAATGACTTTTATGGCTCCCTTCACCATGTTTTCACTCTCCCGCCTTCCCTTATATACACTCCACACAGAATAGGCCCTTTAGGAAACAAGTGGCTTGACAAAAGCAGCTGCTGTATCTGCGTCTTCGGCATACGTCAAATGAGGCAGCAGGATGAAATCTCCGCCCTGGCAAATGTTGTCTCCGTCGTGGCACACAACAAGGACCTTGGAAGCGTCGTAATTGGCAACAGGTCTGCCGTTGTATGGGTCACCGAAGAGTACCACGGCGCTGACTTTGGACATTGTCGCAGCATCTAGGTTGCTTGCTGCGTTGTGTACGACCATGCTACCTTGAGAGTAGCCACCGAGCACGAGCTTGGTGTTGGGGCAGCTGCTGAGGACGGATTTGATCTGGTTGGCCCTGTTGTCACGAAGCATAATATTGTTAGCAAACAGCCTGGATTGAGACCATACGAGGGAGTAAAAAAAAAAGTGATGGGTAATGTGCCACTCACATATCAATTCCGGGTTGCACTGATCCCGACAAAAAGCCCTGGACGCTTGCAGGATACGGAACTCCTTTGACGCCGACTCTTTTGTTTCCGAGTGCGGATTCGAGCGAGTTAAAGAACCAGGGCCCAACGAGGACTCCGACATTTCCAGGATCACAAGTACCGCGAGCGAACAAGACAGTCACATCGCCACAGGCATCATTCTCTGTGTTGGAGATGTCGAAGAGGTCGGCAGCAACATCTTCAGCATCTCCGATAAGATCGCAGGCAGCTGAGACGGTATCACCAATGGGCATAATATTCGCCAGCTCGGTGAGAAACTCGTTGATGGAAGGCCAGTCTCGCCGAGTAGAGGACTGGATGACGGGCTTCGGGTATGCAAAGGCATGGCCTGCCAAGAAAGCTGTGAAAATGGCAAGGGACCGCATCTTGTACGCTGATACAGAAGAGAAGATGCAATACTAGGAGGCTAAAATTCCCTTTTTCCCAAGGCACCAGAGGATGATGGAGACGAAAGGGAGTCGTCCGAGTATCGCTTTATATACTCGTACTCGTCATTCCCACCCCGGCTGAATGCTTCCACATGAAGCACATGTTTTCTCCACGATGTATAAACTCATTCCGAGCACATGTACATACAGGCACGACAATAGATCTGATGGCTCCAAGCTCAGACTCGATTGACGAATAGAAACTCAGGCCGTGTCACCCTCTTCCGGTCATGCAGTCTCGATAGTGCAAGGAGAACCTTCCAGATCTGGGATGGAGGGCCTTTTTTTGCACAATGCGGCGCTTCGCTGCTCCGCCTGTAAGACCGCACCAATGCGGGACCGGAGACGATGCGTGACTATGTGGACGGAGTATTAAATCTGGGGTTGACAAGAGCTATACGCCGTCGTACTCGTACGGTTTGTCAGTTCGAAGGATCGTGAAAAGCTACGCAAACGGTGAGGGATCGCTTAGCCCTGATTACTCCGTACAACTCAAAATAAATTTTGACAATGTATTACCATGGCATCAAGTAAAGCCCATCACCAACTATGTGTACATTTATTTTAAGCTACATGATCCTGACAGCTCGGGAACGAGACGATCTCTGTTTCACCCTTGCAACTTCTCTGTTCTGTGCGTCTTACATGCGAGGGTCCAAGCAAAGATCGACGCCCGTTTGGCTTTGCAAGGGTTGGTTGGCACACAGACGCACACACTTGACATCTCCAAACAGCCTATCGCAACGCAGCATCGTGTTCCCCTCATTGTCTCCAAACCAAGTGCAAAAGCTTCTCGGTGTCACAAGCCAAATTGTAAAATTGGTAATGAAGAAGAAGCCGACAGCTTTGCGCCTGGGCGGCACTTGCGAGCCGTGAACACCCTCAGAGGCGGCTGTGACAACGGACTGTTCGGGGATATACGAAATATCCCGCCTTGGCTTTCTCTGGGCAAGAGTAAACCGGGCTTAGAAGAGTCTCGAGTTGAATCCGTCGTGCGGGTTCGACGGAGAGTTGCACGGCCTCATTGTGGCTCCTCGCTCTTGATTCATGCAGCTTCAAACAGGCAGCACTCATACCGAGAACTTTTCAGCATTGCTACAAAGACGAGAGAAGACTAGACACTGAAGGAAAGAAACCGCTTGCTCATGCATCCCGCGTTTCTTCTTCCCCAGGGTCCGCTAATACCCCGCAAACCAGACAAGAGACAAACATGCGCTTGATGCCCAGATGGGAAACGGCCCGGCAGATCGGCCACTGAATAAGTCATGAGACTCGTGGGGTTGATTGTTGTGATTGCGCCCTGTCTGGCGGCTAAAGGATTCGCTCGTTATGCTCACCGATTCATCGAAACTATCTCGGTACCTGACAATCCTTTGTGCGGCTCAAGATGATTCATGGCATGTGATTTGCGCCTTTTAAGATGCTTCATTGCCTAGAGGAGCGAATAATACGCTTTGGAACCTCCGAAATCCATATGTCGTCTCCTCTCTTACGATTTACTTGCTAATTTTGAACGTGGATCCCCCAGCCGCAGCCGGTCTTTGTGCCCTATTTGGCAAGCCGTGCTACTTGGCCGCGTCATAAGTCCCAGTCAAGTCACTTGTTCTTCATCAATTGAGCGATGCTTTGGGACGGAGAAAAGCTCTATGCGCTTTTAATTGGTACGCTTCAGAATTGATGCTCTCTGTCCATTAGAGTGACAGGTTGTGGGCCACAGATCAAGATCCTTTGCCAGAGCAGTACACGTATACTCGGCGGAGAGACTTATATACAATGCTACCTCTATACATGTAGGGATTATTCGCAAAGTTTGAGGCTCAAGATATGTTCTATTCAGTCGCTTTTTTTGTTGCACAATCAGCATACGCAAAATGTTCAATTCATCTTTGCCAAACGTTTTCGATCTCCTAAAAAGGCGATGCATCCATCCTTCGCTCTAGTACTCGTCCCCTTCTATGAGAGTACATGAAGACTTTTGCAGTATTGTATAATCAGAACATATATCATCATTCGCATAATCATCGTCAATCTTAATCTTTTCAGAAACTCCCATTTTAACATGATCCGGGACCCCCAAAGCCCCAGACAGCCAAGATGCCTCCTGCAAGCCGTCCTCGTTTAGTAAAACATGGGTATAAAGTAATTAACATTCCATAAATGGAACAAACCAGGTTGCTTCCCGCCTCTTTTTATTGACACGTATTGTACTCTTCCCCTCAAGGATCAAAATGCTTGTAACTAGATCGCGCATCCGTCGCAAGCGTGGTCGTCGATAACAACTCTACGGGAAAGGTTGGTTGTTGTGTTTCTCCTTGGGAAGCAGTGCCTCCAGCCCTGAATACTCTGGTATCGTTACTCTGCTCATCGCCAGTAGAGAGAATCTTGGGGAACATGCGCTGGAGAATCAGGCGAACGGTCGGTAAGCAAGTACAGATGATACCAATGTTAACCTCCAGTGTCGACCACCAAGCGACATTCTCTTGATCCCAGGTCGGATTGATGAGTTCAGCGAAGAATATGACGGATTTGAGGCGGAGAAGCGATATAATGCTCACACTAAAGGCCAATCAGTTAGTCACCTACCCAAAACAGCTCCGGGATACACGTCAAAATCGACGCAAAAATGACCTACAAAGTTCCCAGAATGAACATGACGACAACCCCAATCTTCTTCTTCCAGTGGAGGTTCAGCCTTTTGATCTGGATCAAGGGTAATATGATCATCCACACGTCTACCGCCAGACCTAATCCCGCATTTGCCCAAGCGAATCCGTTCAAGTTGAAACATCTTCCCTCGGGAGGGTGGTCGTAGTATTGCGCCCAATAATAATCCAACGGTATGCACTGAGCCATGGCCGTAATGACAAAAACAACTCCAAATACGACATTGAAAATGGCGGTTCCAATCAACAGACGCCGAATGTTCGGCCCGGGGAAGACGTAGAGGTAGAAGAGCGATAAGCTGAGCTTGACCAAGGACATTTGAACGAAATAGAAGACCTCCCCGACGAAAAAGAACTTTGCAAAAAGGGGAAGTTCGGGCGCCGGTAAAGTCCAAATGTCTTTTCCTATGCCATGGCCGACGAGACCGACCTGGTTAATAACGATTGCAGGGACAGAAATGACGATGGCGGCAAAGATGGCCCAATCATCTGGTCCGATTTGCCCGTTGTCGCTAAGATACCGTTTGAAGAATAAGCGGACAAGAACGAGGATAATGGTGACAACACCAGAGGCGATATTCATTGAAGTGTACTGTCCCGATATGTCTCTATAAGGCCGGCCACAGGCCGTTTGGGTGAGATTCATTGTCTCTATAACTCATAATACGCATCAGCATCAAATCACCATCCAAGTTTGTATCACGTACGCAAAGCTTCCGACATCATGCAGTGTGCCCTGACGCATATTGTCCCGGCGTTAAAATACTTTTCATCACCACACATGCATGGCAGGTCGCCGAAAGTACATGGTGTGTCGTCGATAAGAGTTGTCAAACAGTTGAGCTAGAAACGCCGAAATCGGTCAGCTTTCTTAACATGATTCGATCCTTGTCCCTCTTCTTGTGTCACCTACAGCGCAAGATGGGATACTTGGGATTAAGTTGCTGAAGTCATCCGGTGACATCGTTTCATGACCGCTCAATGATCTGGGTGCATTTTGAAGTCCCTGGCTGTAGGCGAATGGCACTGCCATCAAAAGCCCTAACAAACGTCTTGTCTTCATTTTCGATTCCGAGCTGTGATGTGAGAGTTTTGTGTCGATGGTGTGGTTCGACCAGACTTTTTAGTCCTTCCGGGTTGAACGTCGAGTGCACATATTGCTTCCAACAGTTATTGGCTCATTCTGAACAACTTTCCCCTTGAAACCCCGAAAAAAGAAAGAAGAAAGAAGAAAGAATTTGGGAAACGGGCTCCGTAGAGCGATAAAGATTGTAAGGTGTGAGAAACCCCGAGTCTCTACAGCAAGGCCTCGGCGGACCGCCCAGTTTAAACTAGCATCAATCAATCCGGGATGGGATACTATGAGCACGGCACAGGGATACGCAACTTCTTGCATACGAGTATATTCAGGCTCCCGGTAGAAACAGATTTGCCCATAAACGTACAAAGTAACAAACAAACTGAATCCCACCTGCTGTACTCGCCAGGATCAACGACATGGGCACCCCTTGGAGGCCAGACATCCCGGTTGCCCGTGCGCCAAGGCGTGTAAGACAAACGCCGTGCCTTGACAAGCTCAGGCCTGCTTTAAACTGGCACTCCAACCAGTTGCGGCATTAGTGCAGGAGCAAACGCATCGCAGGCGGATTGTTACATACATATAGAGTTGACAGATAAGGTGATGTAGAGTTGCAGATGGTGTCATTCAGAAGTCGAGCCACATGGACCTGTTGCATGAGAGAGAAGTCCAACCAAACAACAACACTACATGTACAGTATCAGTCCCAAGCCTGCCATTCTCGCATGCACCGAAGCAGGCATTCGCTATAAGAAGACTTTCCAATTTTCAGACCGTCTCCATAGCACTCGTATACAATCCTACATGTAGGTACATGTACGAGTAGTAATCCCGACTCGGCCATGTGAGCGATGTAACTCTAATTCCAGTCCTCATTTAGCTCCCGATCTCCTACATTGATGTCAACATACCCAACCCAGGGAATTCCCGATACACGTAGTCTTCCCGTTCACAGAAAGTCATCAATTGCGTATCCAGCACTAGCATTTCACTACTGCAAAGTCGTTGTTGTTTGCTGTCCCAGCTCCATACCACCTCAATCTTCCCAACGACGAGATGTCGAGAAATCTCACACGCGTAGGGGTCAAGTCATAAGCAGTAATGCATGTGAACCTATTCGAGCCGACATGCCCGTAACAACTCAATGCAGGCTGGATTGTTCGCGTCCGATGATGCCCTGCACGTCCATGTCCATAGCCATGTGTACTCTCCATGTACGAGTAGAGGTTGCTTCGACTCACCTCCGCTTGCGAACATGCCTGTATTCTTATGCCGCATCATCATGAGATTTACCGCAAAGATCGCGATCATCCAGCGCACTGATCAACGAGTCCAAAACGTGGCAGCTCACTAGAGCAGAAGCACATGTAACACACGGTCCTTTTGCCTTGCCACATGAGCTCCGCCAAGAGAATCGTGAAAAGCGGCGTTTGGTCAATGAAACACGATTACGGAGTAGAAGCAACTGCAACGCCAGCGCAGGGGGTTTGCAAAGTCACAGGGACGGCGAAATAAATATGTGCATACATGGGGAGAATACGACCACTATTCTAGATGAGTTTAGTGTTGGTGGGTATGTGCGGATTGCCTGTTTCTGTACGTTGATCATTTCACCATCCCTGTTTTTAGTTTGCAAACCCCTTGACAGCGATCCTCCCGAACCGAGGTTTCCGTATGTACGAGTATTAGCTACATGTAGTATACGAGTACAATCTGCTTAGTACGAGGAATCCATATAATCAGCATGGTGAACGGTGTAAGATAGCCCTGGTTGCCTGGGGGTTTAATTTGTAGCGGCCCTCGTCATCGTGATCTGCCCAACACTCCATATCACCACCACGTGGTGTTGCTTGTCCACCACTTCATCCAAGATGAACCAAGACAAGAACTTGATTCAACATCACATATTCATCCTGTGTTTATTCCTGGCCAGAAATGCAACCATGCGAGTTCCAGACCGAGATCGCGGCTCGTCTTACAGGCATCGTCCTCATGTCGCGCGCTTCATCTTGGTCCACGGGAAGGCCAATTCTCGGAACGGAAAGAAAATGCGGTTATATGTGAACCATGAATCTCACGGACATCCCGTCACTAATCTCAATCCATCAAGAGTCAAGGAACTGAATGCTACCGAATCATCCACGCCCCGTCCAAAAAAAGATAAAAGTGCCGTGCATCTGCCAACCCCTGCATTGGCAACTTTCCAAGACATTCACCATCATCTCTCATCCATGCCCATCTCGGGCTTCTCTTCCCTCTATGACAAGTTCGACGTCTCCACTTGAGCCCGGCATATCCTAGTTGACCCTTCATCCTGCCGCTCCTGGACAAGCAGTCAGCAGAAAGACCATCCGCGGCAGAAGCTATTGCGTAAAATGGGGCCGCTTACAGTACAAAATGCCGATAGAGAATTGCCCGATGCTGCAGTTCTAGATGACGAATATTACTACTAGGTAACATATAAGAATTACGAGCGTGGATAGGTAGATAGCATTAATACCTTATAGGTACATAGGCAATGATCGATATGTACTATTCGAAACACCGCCCCTCGAGAAGATCGAAACACCCTACATATGTATATTTAGGCAAACATACAGGTATGTGTGCATAGTCCATATAAGCTGCAGATGCCATCATATCAAACGAAAAATACAGTCAGGAAAGAGAAAAGAAAAGAAATAAAGTGAAACCTCATACAAGAATCACCCGTCGTTCCCCTTTCCCTATCCAACCACGTTACACACGCGGCCATGTTGCACTTCCATGTATATCTACTGTATGCAGCTGCAATGCAACACCAGACCATACACTGCAGAACATCACTACATCTCATCAACATGCATGTATCCAGCCATCAAACGTCGATCCATAAATTCTCCAGGGCTCTTGATAACCCAGGCCGTTATATCACCAATGATGGGAGCAAATGGTCAACTACACATCCATGCAAAGGCGGCACAGCTCAGTGAGACATACAGCTTCGTCATAAAACATTAACATTACAATCTCGCCTCTCGCCGCCTTTTCCCTGACAGCGAACAGTTCCCTATAATAAGCACGCAGGAACCCAACATGCATCACACTCTCACGCCTTTTCCTTCTTCCTCACGAGTCCTGCGCCCAGCACATTGACCGTAGAAGCGTTCACATCGCCGCCATCGTGAACACCATCCCCTTGCTCTTTCTTAGGTTTCTTCCTGACAAGCCCGCCGCTCAACACGTTGACGCCACTGCCATTAGCCGTCTCGTCCTGTGATGCCTCCGTCACCGTGTCTGCCCTTTTCCTCTTAACAAGCCCAGACAGGTTATTGACCGGTGCAGCTCCTAGGTCCGGCTCGTCTCCAGCAGCCGCGGCAAGCTCCCGTGTCCCTGTAACCTCGAATCCCCACCAGCTTCCAAGGCCAACTTCGCTTAGCCAGCGACGCGTGCTCCCTGTGGCTTTTTCCAACGTGGCAAAGTCCAAGCGCAGAAGAAGCTCGTGAATTCGCTTATAGTCGGCTTCATCCACGATCCTCTCGCCTCGACCCTGGGGTGGCCAGTGATAATACGCAGTCGATACGGGCTGGTCTAGAAGGTAGTTGCGCTGCTTGGTCTTGATACGTGGCTGGCGAGGCTTGATGGGGCCTCGGAGCTTGCTCTTGGTCTTTGCCGACTTCTTCTTCTTGGTCTTTTTGTCTTCAATGTCAGAATCACGTTTTGGTTTAGTTGGCGTCTGGTCACTCTGATCTGCCTTGAGCGGGAAGAGTCTCCTAGGTGTGGTTGTCGGTGTGATATTGGACACCATTCTCTGCTTCCTGGGCGTCTCGGGAGTGACACCCAACGCACTGGTCACAACTGAGGCACTAGATACCGATACAGTGTCACTACCATCTGGCTTTGGCTCGTCCTCCACGTCATCAAACACGACCCATATGAACCCCGTCATCCTACCGCTCGAACACTCTTGTCGGAAGGCCATCATCTCCCAAAACATGTCCAGGGTCTTGACCGATTTCCAGCTCCCTGTAGTCTTCATCGCCTTGGTCTTTGTAACTTCGTCATCCAGCTCGTCACGAAATCGTGATTTGGGGTCGTCCGGGAACCGGGGGATGAGGCATCGTGGTGGCACCCAGTCAAACTCTCGGTAGTAGTGTGAAATGCGCTCAAGTGGGTGGCTCAACGACCAGCAAGACGCAGCACCGGCACGGCGCGGAATGAAGGCACGAGTCTCGTAGGCATCAAGGCCAGGAACAAGCAAATGTCCCTTGGTGTTTCGCCATGTGGAAAGATTACCAGCGGGAGGAGACTCGACGATGGGGTCAAGCACCCGGCACCACCACTTGACGAGGCCACGATCGTCCAAGACATGTTTTCCGGGGTATTCGACGCTCCCGGGGAACAGGTACTGGTCTTGCGCGCGTGCAAAGAGGCTGACTACGAACTGCACGTCTTTGCGCCTTCGTTTGTCTACCAAGTATCGTATGAAGGTCGCGCAGACTTCTCGAATGGGGCTAGGGGCACCCTTTGGCAGCTTTAATTTGTCCAGAAATCCCGTAGAGTCAGCCTTGGATACAAACAAGGTGGTGGATCGAGCCGTTGTGTATATGAAGATCTCGATGCCGAGCACGAGGACTCGCTTCCGCTGTGTCGGTTGCTCCGCTGTATTTTCGCTCTCTGGAGCACTCGCTAACGTGTCTGGAATATCAATTGAGACGCTGAGAAAGTGTTTCTCGCAGTATGTTCGTTCGGGTCGTTCGCCAGGAGGTGCAGAGTAGAGCGCGTCAACCTTGGTGGGAGGCGTCGAAACATGATGAATGCCGAATTTGTAGCCTCTGGGAAGCACAGAAGCAAGGCGGCCGCGTAGGCTAGAGTCCTGAGAGTCTGCAGACGCCATCTGAAATCAAATCAGACGAATACCGTCACTCAACAGGCCCGAGATTCGTAAGGAGGAAGAGAAAGGAGGAGAGCCAGCGGCGAAGCAAATGACATGGATGGACCAAGGTTTGGCGCCTCCCTTGAACTCAGGTCGCGACGAGCTGCGCGCAGAGTGAATGCAGTAGCTCCGCTGCTGTTACAGCTGAGTTAGTGCATTGGGTCCACTGAAGCCTGGGGGGACCACATGCCGAAAATAGAGGCCCCAGCGGACGGTAATAGCGAACAATACAGTAGGGCTGATTTCGTACATGGAGCTAAATGGGTGGCGGGAACCGATCAGGAACGAGCAGCGTCGATCACGTACGCGAAATCGAGGTAGCGGATCGAATAGTTGACAATGCGGCACAATCTGGATTTATATGAGCTTTTTCAATTCTTTTTCTTGTTTGTTTTCGCTCGCTTGCCTGAATAAGCGTATGAGTGAGAGCGGCATAATGTTGATACATGTACTCGTTGACTACTAGGTAACAAAATCAAGTGAAACAGGTACTTTAGTGGTGCTTGATAATCACCACCTATGAAGTGTTACGGATACCAATTGATATTATCACCTAGAGAAAAAACAAATGGCTTCAAAAACATGGAATTAATTTATCGAGACTCATTGAAAAGACTCAACTTGATCACCAAAAAAATTGACCAAACAGCACAAACATCCAGGGTAAGGTGCATGCGAGGTACCGGCCCAAGATGCTGTAGCTTTGATGACGCCCGCGCATCACTTAATCGATAAACCACGATAAGATAAGATGGCAAAATGCCACCAAACACGTGACCTCGGAAAATGCTCCAGCTTCGTCGATAGAGGGCCTTCAACACCATGAGCAGCATCGCAAACCACAATTGAATCCGCAACCATGGCTCTCCAGTCCTGTCGCCCGAGCCTGGCCCGCTGCCGGCACGCCGCTCGTGCCTTCTCCCCCTGCGCACGCGCATTCGCGACCGAATCCGCGCCGTCAACGCCAGAGACCTTCAAGGTCCCCGCCACAGCACCCAGCACAAATACGAAGCCGCGATGGAGCCAGACGCCCGAGGGCATGAAGGCGCCACTGCAGCTGGACTTTGCAAAGAGCGCCAAGAACAAGATCTGGGCGGTGAACAACGACCCCACGCTGCTGGACGAGGTGTATAATCGCTTGCTGGGGCCCGGGGGTAGCAAGATGCTGCCGGAGGAGCTCAAGTGGCTGGCCGTGACGCATAAGAGCTTCGACCAAGGGAGGAGAGGGTTCAATGACCGATTGGCATTGCTAGGTGCGTTGGCGGATCATTCTGGGGCACATGGTGTGTCATGATGAGCTGACTCTGGTGCTGTATATTGCAGGACGGTTGACGATGGTAATGGAAGCGACAAAGGAGATTGTCAGTAAGGAGCCTCTCGCCGGCTCAATACTCCCCGACCAATTCGACAGAACGCCATTGGAGGACGATCAGCTACTGTCGGTGGACAACCTCAACGTCATGGGACCCCGAGACATGATTGGCAAGGACAAGCTCTATCAGCTGGCTAACAACGTGGGGCTGCTGGATGTGGTACGGTGGAAACCTCGATTGGTATGTGTCCCTTCTTCTCTCAGACTTATGACTTGGTATCACATTCAAAGCGAATGGGGGAGAGAGCTAACTCGGTGACAGCCCCGACGACTGGAGGCGTCTGGTGTGGAAGTTGTGCTAAACTCGGCAATCATGGCCATCATTGGCGCAATCACGCTGCAGCACGGATCGGCCGTGGCAGCGCAGGTGGTGAGGGACAGAATATTGGCACAGGTGCCCAAGGACAACTGAAAAGATATAGACCAGGGCAGAGAGGGGGAACATGTATGACCAAAAAAATTGGGCGGCGGCGGCGGAGTTGTGTAATCATACCTTGTACTATTTATGAGGAGACGAAGCTAAACGTGTTTTTGAATCTAGAGGCATGGAATGAATGGACCTGGCTCGGCTTGGTTTATTGTCATGGCGAAAGCATGCAACATAAAAAGTTGCGCTTCTTTGGGCTTGAAATTTGGGTAGTGAGATGTGTATAACAAATCTTTCATCTGTCGCTTACGGATTCATGGCTGCCAGATCTTGTATTCAAGTATGAAAAAATCATTCCGGGTATCTCAATTAAAGCGTCTGCACATTCCTTTTGCCTAGCTACATCATTTCTCACTCCAAACACATCTCATCCCAACAACGGTCTCTCCTCCGCAGGATCCTCGTTCTCGACAACAGACCGGCTAGTAAAGCCATTCTTGACCAGTCTTTCACGATACAGCCACCCCAAAACAGTTCCCGTACCAGGCCCAGCAATGACGGAGATCGCAATCATGCTCAGCGGCACCCTCCACCCCGCCTCGACAAAGACCCAATACAGGACGGTCCAGGCAATGAACTGAAAGTCGATTTCGATGAAGCTTACCGTCAACTTGGTCATCTTCTTGCGGTCGTCGCCCTGAGCAAGGTTCCAGATGACAAAGGCGTGCGCAGCGATGGACAGCACAATGGGCAACGCGTAGACAAGAGCCACACACTGCCAGTGAGACTCGTGGTGGATGCTGGTCGGGCTGACACGGCGGATAGTCTCGACAAGGTGACGCACGCCCTGGCGGATGACGGAGACATAGAGGGGGAAGAAGAGCCAGACGGTAATGGTAGCCGGAGAGTTGAAGACCAGCATGAGGATCGAGGGCAAGAAATAGCCAGCAGCAACGGCAATGGGGATGGCCACGGCCTCCGAGTCTGGCAGCGTACGGCCCTCCTCGCTGATATCTTCAACTTCAGCCGCAGCCACAGTCGAATCCTCATGACCGGCTCCCTGGCTCTGCTTCTCTGCGAGCACCAGCGCCTTGGCCCGGTGCAGAAACGCCGGCACAATCACCAGCTGCCAGACCATGGCGCCTCCGAGCAAGTTGAACAGCAGCCACCACATCGTGGGCTTCGCAATCAGCGAATTAGGCCTGTTGCAGCGCCTGGCCGACTCCACGGTGCACACCGTCGCCAGCGCGCCAACGTAGGACAGAATCACGGCCATGACGGCCTTGGACCGCAGCGAGTCGAGCGCGACCTGGAAGAAGCTGACGAGGAAGCAGCTCGGCGTGCCGATGAGCGGCATGTGGCTGAGGCCGGGGATGCGGGCGCGGGAGTGGCATTGCGACCACAGCAAGGCGATGTCGACGTCGGAATGGGCAAAGAGGGCGACAAAGGTGCCGACGGAGAGGATGATGGGGATGACGAGGAGAGACTTGAAGGACGCGAACTGGATGGGCGGCGCAAGCCACCCGGACGTGGCGAAGCCGTACGAAGGCATGTTTCCCCCTGTCTTTTTTTTTTCTTCTTCTTTTTTCTTTTCCTTTTCCTCTTCTTGCTTTCTTTTTCAGCGAGTCTGTATCTGTAGGCGAGAAGAACCAGATGGAAGAAGAGCAAATTAAAGCGCCGGCATGATTCCTGGCAAAGAAAAAAAAAGTTGAAAAGACAAGGATGAGGTCGGTCGTGAGATGAGAGGGAGGCTAGAGTGAGACATGCACTAACAGCGTGCTAACACGAACGGGAAGCTGCCTGAGAGCTGAGAGCTCGTAGCCTTGGAGGGCTGTAGCAGCCCGCCAGATGGCGAGACTTCAGCGTCGCATTGCTGGGCTTGTAGCGGCAGTTGATGCTGTGGCGCAGCGCTTGGGGGGGTTTAGTGGCACCACACCAACCGATTTGATGGGCACGTGGGAGAAGAGACCTGATGACCGGGTCTGTTGATGCCCTCTATTAGTTTTGAGCTGGAGCTGAATACATGTAGATGATGCAGGAGTTGAGTGTGTGCGACCCAAGGTATGTTACTTTAAATCAAGTACGGCATAGGTAGATATGCAGGTACCTCTTGTACTTTAAGCCCGGTTGCAGATTCGAAAGCGGGCTTGAGAAAGAATGTCAGTTGAAGCTTCTGGAAGTCTTAGAATTGATGGTTTCTGGTATGATATACCTTGCTCCAAGATCCAATTGTTGAGTCTCGCTGTCCTTCCCATCTCGAGAGCAGTAGAGATGTCCATGACCGCAGTTGATTTCCACTTCATAGTAGAATGTACGAAGCTCGTATATGAATCACTTTGACTGACAATACGGAAGATTAAACCCGGCTACACGCCTAGGTCGAAATAGTCTGCATTTAAGAAGGCCTCTCGAGCTGATGGATCAGATACCTCTGCATCACTTGCAAAAGGCAAGATACAGAGAGCCCAATGCTCAAGGAATGGGAGTTTCTCGTTGACTTCCTCGCCGTTCCTAATAGAGCGCCATTCTGTCACATTTTTTTTTTCCGACTTTGACGATGCAAACTGAAGCGATTCGAGTGGTCGAGAGACAAGAAAGCATCGACGTTCTGCGAATGACAGTCATTCTGGTTAGCAGTGATGACTCTTGTTCGGAAAGCTATCGAATACTTGCTCATTCTGGCGTTACAGCAATTTCGATGTAAGAGTGAGCTATATTTATGCCTTTGTTGATGTTCAACTTGGCATCTTGCTTCGTTTACAGGCTGGCTTTAACCCAGCCGGCGCGGCTATTCATCTCTTTTGGGCAGCTATCAGGCAGTGCATCATTGGCCAGCAAACAAATTTAAATGGGTAGATACCTGTACTTATCCAAAGTGGTTATAAACCTACGAGGATGCAACCAATAGCATTTCCAATTCAGAGTTCATATCGCGAGTATCAAAGTCGGAAGGGTTGCGAAGCCATGTACATAGATGAAAGTTCCCTTATAGATACATGCCCTATTGATCTTGCCATTATAAATACCTATGTAGCTACAGAAATACACGCAACCACAATAGAATAGTCTAGCGAAAATTCCAGAAACCATCCAAAGTATTAGATATCTACGTATTGTATGGATGCTGATCCAATACATGCATCTTCTGTGCCGACTTTGAGCTCCATGTATTTCTCCCCTCTACTCAACCCCTCACCAATGGCGGGGATCGCCCCTCATCTTCAGCTTTGAAATTGAACAATACAATCGATTCACAACAACCCCGGAGACTTCCACCAAACACAATCGCACACACAAATGCCTAAACCATCCACCCATGCCTATATCGCAAACATCACCAATACAAGCTTTTCAATAAATAACATGGCCGCCCCTCTTCCCCCAACCGCCTACGATCCCGCCTCCCCCTCCGAATCCGCCCCTCCACTCCCCTCCGCTCCGTCATCCGTCCTCGGCCCCTCTTCCGTCCTCCAGCCGCCGCTCTCCCGCCGCGGCTCCGGCCCAGGCCTCGTCCTCATCCTCCCGAGCCCCAGCACCATCCCGCCGCTCGGCCCCGATGCAGAAACGCCGCTCGACCCGGAGCCGCTGCTCAAATGGGCCGAGGAAGGCTTCGCCGTTGTCGCCATCACGCTTCCCGAGCCCGAGATGGAACTCACCGGCGATGACGCCTCCGCCTCAGATGTCGTCAACATGATCCGGGATGCCGTGGATGCGCTCAAGAAACATGAAAGTGTCGACACCAAAGACAAGTTTGCCCTTGTCATATACGAGGAAGCCGTTATTAATTCGCTGCTCCTCGACGCGGACCGCCTGCAACAACATGGAATCGTCGGCATCGTCACTTTCTCTCACTCCGCTCCTGAAATCACCACATCAATCCCGCTGCTCGCCCACACCAGCACGCCCTCAAAGTCCAAGGCCAACAGCAGCGATGTGCAAGAGTCCACCGTCACAGCGCACTCTTATCCCGAAACAACGCCTCACTTCATCTTCCCCTCCGCCGCGGCCTACAACAACGCTGCTGCTACCATGTCTCACACACGCAGCCTAATCTTCTTACGAAAACACCTAGGCGGCCCGAATTTCGATCTCGAAGCTATCTGGGAAGAGCACTGCTATTGGGAATTCGAGGCGCGAAGCGTTGCTCAAACCATGGCCACCATGGTGGTGAGTTTCATCCCATCTCCAACAACCTCGCTGTCTGTCATTAGTCTCTTACCCATGAGTTTAGGCGGAGCCATATGTCAATCATATCCCAACGGTGAGTTTTATTCATCAACCAATCCATAAATACAGCTTCAAGTCAGGACAACTAACTCCTCTATGACATGCATAGATGACGGGAGGCATCGGCCGCGAGAAACTAACAGCCTTTTACCGTGACCACTTCATCTTCTGGTAGCCAAAATCCACACTCATCATTCCATCAAACAACCTGCTTCTAACATTTCTAAACGCCAGCAACCCCCCAGACACGCATCTCAAGACCGTCTCCCGCACCATCGGCCCAGACCGCATCATCGGTAAGATCCCCCTCACCTCAAATCACAGAGGCTAACAAACACGCAAAACCAAAATAGACGAATTCATCTTTTGCTGCACCCACACACGTCAAATCCCCTTCCTCGTCCCGGGCATCCCCGTGACGAACAAGCCCCTTGCCATCCCCATGGTCGGTGTCATCAACATCCGTGGCGACAGGCTCTACCACGAGCACATCTGGTGGGATCAAGGAACGGTGCTGCGCCAGCTGGGTATTCTACCGACGCATCTGCCATATGAGGGAGGCCTTGTCAAGCTTCCTGTCGCGGGTGTCGAAACCGCGAGGTTGCTGCTGGATGAGCGAGATGGGACAAGCAACGAGATGATCAAGGGGCCGTTGTAACGGATAATAACAGGAAAGAGGAGAATAAAAGTGGAAAATAATAAGGAGTTGATTGATCTCGTTTATTGATAATGTAGCGCCCTCTTCTTGTACAAACGCCGTCGTGTTCAAATGCTAATCCCCCCTTTTCTCGTATTTCATCCACCACAATGAATCAAGTGACATACCATATACCGTAGTCACAATGCAGGAAATCACCTCCCCTGGCTCTTCCTCAGCCTCCCCTTGCTCATTGGCGGCGCCTTGTTCACCTCGGGGATCTGATATCCCCTTTCCCTCTCCAACCTATGCCTCTCCCAGAAATCGCTCGCCTCCGTGCTCAGCCCACCCTTTCCATCTCGATCGTCCTTTTGGCCCTGCCGCCGTTTCCCTCTTCTCGCCATATATTTCATCATCTTCCTAGCCACAGGCCTCCCTAGCACAGCATACAGCCAGCGCATCATATATCCATACTGCCTGCCGATCCATTTGAAGAACCGCCGCGCAGTAGTGCTCCACGCAACGATGAGCGTCCCAACGATCAAGGCAACACTCGCCGGAATGCCAATGATACCAATCGTCCGCAGCGGCAAATTGTCCCCCCCTCCCCACTCGCGCGTATTCATGCCAAAGATGCCCGTAAAGAACTGCAACGGCAGGAATATGACTGTAAATGTGGTGAAGATCAGGACGCTTCGGCTTTGTGCGCTGGCGAGATCCGCATGCAGCCTACTTAACCGGACTTCGTCGACTTGTGCCTGGCGCTGCACCATCTGAAGCAGCTTGTCGTACTCGTCTCGCGTGCTCTTGACCCGACGTACCATTTCCTCCGTTGTATGGATATACTCTGCCAGCCGCTTCAGCGCTTCAGCGAGGAATCCTCTTCCATGGACTGTGTGCGCTCGCATCTCGGGACGGTTGTAAATGGTGTGCATCGATGAAATTACTTTGGACTGTCTCTCGAAAAGACTAAGCAGCGTCGCAAGTTCGTCTTCAATGTCCCGAAGCTCCAGCAGCGCTGACGTGTTGTCTCTGTTCTCCTGTTCAGCCCGTCGTCCCTCCTCTTTATGGCGCTCCCGAATTGAGCGAGCTTTGTTCTCGACCGGCTCATAATCAAAGGCCTTGTCGCGGAATCCCTCTGAACGGAACTCTTTAAGTGATGTCGTAAGCTTCTCAGTCTAGCATGCGTGTTAGTGACACGTTGGTTATACCCAGAAGGATACAATAGCTTGACTCACCAGAACGCTTATAGCTTCTTCAAATATCCGGAAGACTTCCAAATCAGGATGAGAAGCCCGGTCTAGAAGCACGCTCACCGCATGCAGAGCCGCCAAGGCTGCGAGGTCTAGGGAGTTGTCGCATAGGCGGGTCAAATCTACATTGACATCGTTGAAGATGCTGTCTCGAAGGTCTGCTTGCTGATATAGTGGCCCCTCGATAGGATCACTCTCCCTTTTGGGGAAGAATGAGAGCAAGGTATCTGCAAATCTTTAGCCCAGAATCATACCAACCAGAAAACAACATGGACTTACGGGTAGAGATGGTCCAGACCCATAGCTGATCGACCATCAGCACATTTCCATTCAGCACATCCTTTTCAGTCTCCTCTTCGCCATTCTCCTCAGCCTGTTTGTTTAGCTTCTCCCGCCAGCTAGCTGTTTGACTTGCATTCCCGCTACCACTACCGCTTCCGTTTCCGCTCTTATTGCTGCTTCCTCCGGATCCCAGATCACTGCCAGAAGTCTGGTTATACAGTCCCCGATACTCTGCTACATCGTAGTACCTCTCTTTAGTCAACTTGTACAGCATCTGGTCATCGTCCCGCGATCGAGTATCCCTTATCGATGGATACCCAAACTGATCAAGCGTGCGCCGGCAATTGATTGGCGGATCGTGTCCCAGAAACTCCCATACGACCTGCAACTCCAAGGAATCCGACTTGGCTACAGATTCAGGAATGGGTCGGGCCCTCCCGTGAGCCAGGCGCTTGGCAATCAGTTCACGCCGGCGGATGAGTCTCTTGTACGAGTCAAAGTGAAGGTACGGAAGAAACAGACAGACATACATCTGATCGTCTTCGCCGGGCGGGGAAAGAGAGCGGCTCGGTACCGAATGACCCCGTGGAGACACTAATTATTCACATGGATCAGGTATTGAAGCCTCAAAGAACAACAAAATTAGAGCCCACTTACAAGTTCGAGGCGCCGTAAAGTAGCATCCCGGCTTTGCGTAATGTGCATAATGCTGCGAGTGCCTACCGCGTGTATGCCTCCTAACCCAAAAGTCGTGATTCGACAGAGCAGAAAAATTTTGTTGGTAGGAGACTTGCAATGTTTGGAGAATAGCCTAGGTAGTTGAAGTAGGTGGCGTCAGCGATACAGTCTCCTATTCATGAGGAGATTATCACAAAGTGAAGGAGTGGCAACTTACAGTCACCCACGTAGGGTTATTAAATGGTAAATGAATCCAAACAAACTTGCGAGCTTTGACCATTGGCTTCATGAAAGGAGTTTGAGGGGCATCGTCCTCAACGGCGTTTTCACTCGCTCTATGCCCCTTATCCTTTGCCATCTTTCGAATTTCAAGGACGCTCTCAGGCAGCTTCGGAGACGCATCAAGTCCATCGTCTTCACTATCATTCTCCTCTCCCACGAGAACTCTATCGAATGTGCTGCGGCTCCTCTGAGAGAAGGGTGGAAAGTCGCGATATCGAGGGGGGGACGCACCGCCCATGTCACTGTCAAGGCTCATCGAGCGGCTGAATGAGGATCTCCCTACTCTGCCTCTCAAAGGCGGTGATAAACGATCAATGGCAAGCTCCTGGTCCAAGCTAGCACGCATAAGAGGGGAAGGCTTGCGAAAAGGCGTTGATTGCCGAGGAGGAAGCGAATTAGGTCGAGAAGGAGGCGACAAGGGCCCAACACCAGGCGGAGAAACCATTGCTGTCGGTGCAGATTCTGTGCTCATCCTCGGCCTTGCTCTAGGGGAGTCAACGGGGAGAATAAGAGGCGATGGCGGAATCGACAAGACAGCAGGTGGCGCCGAAGTTCGGTGAAGCGGCGGACGGTGCTCATGTTCATGTTCGTGTTCGTGTTCAGCCTGGTTGATTCCAAGAGCATTCTTCACAGTCATCGGATCGGGAGGAAATGTCACAGGCGCCGGCGGCCCCTCCATGTCGACCAGACCAGTCCTCCCCCTCATGGCCAGAAACCTTCCCTCTTCGGGCGGAACTTCCACCTCGTTCAATCTCTCACTGAGACATGCTTCCGGACCTTTGCTCATAAACTCTCTTAGCGGCAACCTCGTGGACCAAGCCCTCACGGTGCCATCCTCCATGCCTGCCTCGTCAAAGAAGCCATGGACCTCTACCGTCACCTTTTGCTCCAAGTTGAGCATCCATTTCCCCCCTCTTGCGTCCTCCCTGGCGTTGGAATCCGCCTGTTCAATGTTTGCCGCCAGCTGGCGTAGGAACAGTCGCAGAGTGTGCATGTTGTGTCTCCCAAACGAAGCAATGTTGGCATGGTCGCTCTGCAGCGGGAAGATGCGTTCCTGCCGCATTCCGAGAATAGCAGACTTGATGGACGTGAGAGGAGCGGTAAAGTAGATGTTTCCCGAGTTGGCAGACAGGCGGGAGTCGATTGTCTCGTAGAACGTCCACACACGGATATCGTCCGATACGACCTTGAAGTCTTCGTCCACATGTAAGAGAAGATGGTTTCCCATACGCAGATCGTCTGTCAACGACACAGGCAAGGGGACAGATAGTTGAAGCAGGTGCTGGATGCTCGACGCCAGGGTAGGCATGGCGAAGTAGCTGGACCCCTGGTGCGGTGTTCCTACGGCATCATTAGTATCGTTCATCTCAGATCAACATCAACATCAACAACTCAGCCATCATATGGTTCGACTCACCGAAAAAGGCAACCCCGTAACACTCGCGCAAGAGGCTCTCATATCTCGAATCCCTACTGGCCTTGACCAACGCCATCTTGACCACCAGCCCTCCAATGCTGTGGCCAATAAACAGAAGCGGTCTCTCTTGCTGCTTCTCCCGGGTCCTCAACGCCCTCAACTCATCCAGCAGCGCAATCGCCAGCGAGTTGAGCGTCGTCCCTTCGCTAACCTCCGGATGCTCGTACAACAGGATTCGCGCCCTGTTGGCCTCTCGTCGGATACCCTGCCTCACCCACGACGGGTTCTGGCGCTCCGCCTCACGAACCTCGGCATCTCGCATCGACGGCGCGCCAAAATACCGCCCCATGAGGCCATCGCGGTTCCAGCTGCGCAGCGGATGAGCGGCCGGGCATGGAACCGTGACGATGTCGACGCTCGTCTCGTCGTGTGTTAGTCGGCCCTCCGGGTCAAAGGTGAACCGCAGCCCGTCCTGCCCATCCCGCTGCTTCTCGATAAACTGCTCTCCGTCTCCAGGCTTCAAATCCGTCTCGTCGGTGTCGGTGAAGGTGCTTGGCGGCCTCGTTCTGCCAGATCTGGTTCGAGTAGGGGAGGGAAAGGGCACGTCCAAGGCCAGACTGGGGGTGGCCCGCTGTATTACCGGGCGGCCGCCGCCTAGAGCCATAGCTGTCCCCCGCTGTATTTCCCAGCGCTCTCACTAAAGTCCGTGATGGCGACTCTCAGTCCAAGCAAATACATGTATATTGAAAGCAAAAGTCGATTAACTCAGCATCATGAAAGCTCGCTGCTTACAGAAGACGCTCTTTATATAGCATGTGAAAGAGCAGATACACCAAAGCAAAATGTGACATGCAAAGAATCGTCAAAGTCAAATTCCATCACGATCAGCTCCCAGCATTTCTCTCCATCCCCACAGCCCAAATCACACTCTCAACTTACAGAGACTCAACATCACCTGCTCCCAAAGAAAATACGCAAACACCCGCACGCAGCAAAGACCAGGGCCATCTGCCGGCATCAGGCCCCTACCGACGCAAGGCAGATACCGATCAATACGAAGCCAGAAGCTCCCCACAGCCTAGCACGCAGCATAGCATCCGAGACCCCGAGGGCCAGAGGCCACTCGCCCTAGCATCGCAACCCCAGATCACGACCATCTTTCGTACCTCACACCAAAGACCTCGCCCGCAGCTACACTCAAAATCAAGACTGAGACCGGCCCCGCTCAACCCTCCTTGCTGAGCGAAATAACAAAAACATGAATAAATAAATAGATCATTATATAAACTGCGGAAGATCCAAAGCACTTGTTTTGCTCGTGACAGGAGCCGCTCCACGCCGTGGAATGGATGCGAGCCACTGCTGGATCTTTCAGGGGCCCCCCTTCAGCAGGCTTACAAGTTACAGCGCTGACAAGAACTTATACAGGTGACCCCCCCTTTCGGCTCGATATTCTGGCCATGAGACTTGCGCCACCGTGACCGCGGCACATGGCTTTTTTGGGAGCTTCAAAGCAACATACCGCGAAGGGAGTAGCTTGATCGAAATGCAAGACTGCAAGATGCACACGGAGCTTTTAAGCTCATCAGCTATGTGGCAAGTCATTTCTTAAGTCTGAACAAAAACCGCACATGATTGCAAACTGCCATCTCTAGGCTCGGCATTCGTCATCTAGCTCCAGGATGGACTCCAGCTTGTAGGATACTCTGGAGGTGTCTCAAGTAACATGCAGGCATCTCACCAATAATACCAGCTTTTCCTAAATTGGACTGTTCATGGATACTTTATGAGCTTTTTAATTTTGGAATGTAGACACCATCATCAAACCCATGGATAGCATCGGCAGTATTTACGGCAGCCACATTAATATACACAGCCCAGCCCCTGGTATAGAACAGTTACAGACCTTCCAAGACGCAAAACGCAAAACGCAAAACGCAAAACGCAAAACGCAAAGAGAATCAACAAGCTCCCAAAAACGCCAGCCCATACAAGGGGGTATCAACTCGATGTAACTACCAATTAAGCGACCTGTGGAACATCTAATCTGATTTTCGCCTTGAAAACCCATCCACCCCTTTTGTCTTGTCTACAAATCGTCAAGAGTCGTGCAGTGAAGTATCGCATCCGAGTAAAGCCGATTGACCACCATACAACTCTGACCAGGCCGTATGACGACCACACCGTTCGGCCCGAGTTTGAAGGCCTGGTCGTTTCCCATCTTGACGCTAATCTTGCCCGAGGCTACTGAACATGTGCGCACCTTGGTCGCCTCGATGGGCCAGTGATGCGTGTGCCCGGGTTTCAAAATGAGAACGTTGAAGCTAAGGCCTGGCGATATCGTGATAGGATGTTGGTTAGACATGTAGGCGTTGGAAAAGCCAATATCTGGAGTAGTCAGTCAGTTTGGTGTGCTCTCGATATAAGAGTAGCAGCAATGGCGAAGATTGAACTCACTGGTATTCGTCGTCTCATCCTTCATAGTACCAGGGGCTATCTCCCAGTCTTCCATTTCCTCCATCTCGGTCAACTCAGCAGGCGATGGCTTGTGCAGGGCAGTTGTTCCTAGTGGGGGATTCTTCTTCTCAGAATCTTGAACGGGGTATTCCTCAGGTTGCCTTGCCGACGAAGACAAACCGTTGCTCCATCTCATCGTCGTGTCCTCGTCGTCTAATGCCGCTGCCTTGTCGCCCTCTTCCACTGCTGCTTGATAGTTTTTCTGAGGTATCGCCTCTTCTGTCTTGCCTCCAAGATCCTGATCCTGGTGGGCCCATTCGCATTCGTTCTTAGTCCGGTAACAACAAAACTGATATTGACACGCGATGCATGTCACCGACTTGCTGAACACAGCCCTCGCCTCGGCTGGTAGATCTGCAGGCAAACCCACGCAGGGAGAGCTCAGTCGTGACAATCCTTTCCACCTGTCACAGGGATTCATCTCCTCCGCCCTGCCAACAAGATATGCAAGAGCACAGGCATATTGGAGGGGATCAAGCGTCTTATTATGATGATGCTCCCACCATAACCCCGGTAAATTACGAACCTGCCTATACTTCGAGAGTGCGAGTACATCCAACCGAGCAGGGACCTGCTGGGTAGGTGAGAGACTCCTATGTAGGTACCGAAGAACATCGGTCATGGGTAGTCCCAAAGACTGGATAGGAGTAGGCGTTATTGAGGGAGGAGATGGTATTGGCCGCACTATCGGCGGCGGCGACACAAAGGAGTTGGCCTGAACGGGTAAAGGGACTGGTGTAGTTTTGGGCCGCTTTGCCAGTCTCTCTTCCATGGTTTCGGTGCTCGCGTCGCCGCGCAAGGAGCGTTTCGACGTGTCCGGCGGGGCACTTCCTACGACGCCCACTCTACTCGTTGAGAGGCTCCTCTTGCTGAGCAGTTGGAGCTGCTTCTTCCGGTTCTCTGTGTAGTCTGGAACCGCAGGTGGTGGCGCTCCGGGCGACAGGGGGTTGCGAGACACGACGATGCCTGGAGAACTGCCATCTTCGTTCACGTAGTCGCCAACTTTGGAGAATGTGCCATCACCATTGTCATTGAACAAGGAGCGGTTGTGCTTCCCGTGAAAGTGCGACGTCATCGCCCTCATGTTTTGATGAAGAACTCTGCAATCCCGTACGGGGCATATAAAGGCTAATTTCTCGCCGTTTTCGCCATCGTCATATCGTTCCTTGCCGGGTGGAATTGGTGCGTTGTTCGTGCTCTGTTCGGTTCCGTCATCCTCTGGAAGCAACCATGTCAGCTCCGTGTCAAACACAAGCGCCGTGTGCAACATGGTGTAATTACCTATATAAGCATAATATGATGCATTGTCGGCGTTGGTCTGAAGGCCGGTTCGGAGAGTCTCGCCGTCCCCAGTATCCATGGCATCTCCTGGGTCGGAAGGCAAAGGAGAGGCAGATGCAGACGCAGACGCATATGTGGAGGCGGACGCGGCAGAGGAAGCCGTATTAGGTCTCGACTCTCGCCTTTTCGGGTTAACACTCGCAGGTCTATTCAACTCCGTCATCTGCTGCAGCAGAGCCTCTTCTGGCAAGCGCTTCAGGCCAGCCATTGCGTCCGTCTCTGATGTCAATTGCCTTTGAGGCGATGTCCCGGATATCTCTGTCGATTCAAGCCTTGTTGATGCCTTTGGCAAATCCACGTACGTCTGGGGACGTCTTTCTTGGGTAGGACCTGTACCAGGGTAAAAGGTTAGCAGCAACCAACAGCAACAAAGAAACAACACAGGCAGGGAGGGGAGACGGCCAAGTGAATCGAGTGCTGCAGCAAGTTCCAGTTCACTTTGAGCTGACCCTTGGCTCAGTTCGTCCCAACCCGTATCTCCCTGCCCTGTGCGCCCAGCAGAAGCAAACGCAAAACGCAAACAACGCAAACACCATGATCCGCAACTGCTCACCTTGATCTTCCACCTGCGTCTGCTTCTTCTCCCAGTCTCTCTGCGCTTGCACTATGTTCTTGTTCGCCGCCATTGTATTTTGCTTCATCGCCAACCCAGGTGCTGCAGTCGTCGTCGAAGTTGGCGCGCGCATAGGCACGGGTAGAGGCACAGGCGTCTCGATCGGCGGCGCGCTCTGATAGCTCGCAGCTGATGGGAGGATGTCGCTGACAACCATTGGAAGCGGCACATCGTCTCCCTGGCCCGTCTGGCTCTTCACCCGATCCCCCATCGGCGATGACGACGTCCCTCCGAAGGTGTTCCTTTTCCAAAGGGCCCGTCCAGTCCGTTTCATCTTATGTGCTGGATTGCCGTCCTCGGTAGTGGAAGCCATGATTGAGTGCGCGCGGGACAAGAGCCGCTGGTTGCGCCCTATAGTCTAGATATCGTCGGCAAGGGATTGCAGGTTGATTCGGCACGCATCGATTGGATTCACTATCACGATACACAGGTACGGACGTGTCACCACACGGCCTCGGATCGTCGAATTCGAGGCTCGAGCTGCCCAAGCTCCAGGCATGACGCGCAGACAAGCTGCTGCGGCCACGATCGTTGTCTGTATAGGTAAAGGGAATTCGAGGTCGTATCGTGATCGAGCGGTATTCAAGGCGATCAAGCAACTCAGCTCCTATCCCAGCCTTGTAGCCACTCCTTCGCGCTAGGCCGCGGTCAAGCGTGAAGATCGGGCAACCTGGATCTCAATGGGAAAAAGTGCACTCGCGGACTTATAGCGGACTACAGTGGAGCTTCAGTGACGTGCAGTGGGCGAGGGGCACAACCACAAGGCTCTAGTCCAAAGCTGTAGCTTCCAGGGCTCAGGAACAGGCGCGAGCGTGGAAAGGCCGACTGCACTGGATTCGGTAATATCTCGGAGCGCAACTTGCTTCACTTCCTTCATATCAATAGCAGAAGCCGTCCAACATGTGATTCGTGGGATGAACCTGCCCATCACCGCGCAATAGTCCTTTTATTATGATATCGACGATGCTTGAGTGGACGTCAGTACACCATCGTAATATTCAGCTTTGATTCGGCTCTGTAAAGCTTCTCATTCCATGCAATGAAGCCAACAGGAGTGTACCCAGCTTCAAGATGCCACAGATGGATGGTAATAAGATCGATGCAAAACACCCGGCATGAATGGTACCAAACAGGCTTTGGCAAAGATGCACCCGTCCCAACTCTAATTCAAATCAGTCCGTTCATTCGTTTCTACCTACTATACACTTGAACAAGTACAAAATCCCACACATCTCCAAACCTCTCCGCTCATTTATTTGGCCTTCTTTCCAGCCTTCTTCGCCGCCTTCTTCGCAGCCTTTTTGCTAATCGCCTTCATCACCTTGCCGTCACCGCCGCTCTCCGCCCTCTTCTTCTCCGCCTCCTTCTGCCCAGCAATCTCCCTCTCCCTCCTCCACCGTCTATGTCTAAACCACTGCTTGCGTGTCCTAAACGCCTTCGTCTTCAAGCCCGTCGTCTTCACCAGCCGACCAATGCGCCAGTTGTCCTCGCGGTAGCTGTAATCCGATCTCAGCCTCAGCAGTCTGTCGGGCTCTCCAGCCTCCACCCGTGTGACCTCAAAGGGAATTCCCGACGGCGAAACCTCAGCCTTAGCCGCCTCAGTCCGTATCGTGTGCACCGTCTTGTTGAGCTTGCGCTTTCGCTCGGCGTGCAGTGGATAGGGCAGCGTGTCTTCCTTGTTGAAGACGACGCCAATGTACTTTCGGTCGGGGTGCTTCGCGGGATCGCGGTAGTACTTGACATAGCCAGTCGCCATGGCGTGGATGGTGTGATCGCGGCCCATGATGCAGTTCTCGCCTGGCCACCAATGTGTTCCGCGTTGCTTGTAGAGAATATTGCCCGGAATGACGAATTGATCTATGTTCGGAGACAGACACACTCGAGTTAGCAAAACTCGTATCCTCCCCTTGGAACCTTGAATTGCAGTGTAGACGTACCTCCAGTCCGCTTAGCACCCAGCTTGTTAGGAATTCCCCTCTTGCTCTTCTTCCTGTAGGCTCCCTGCGCCTTCACCGAAGCATTTCTTCGACCTTGAACCAAGGCATTGGCCAATTGAGCCCCCAGAGGAGCAACAGCGCTGTTGACAACACTCGGCCTGGAAATGCCAGTCACAGCAGCCAATATCGGCCGCTGCATCATGAAGAACCGCATGGCCATGCGACGTTCCCCTCTCGTCGTGGGGGGATTTTTTTTTTTTTGGCCTACGAGGGGTTTGATGTCAAAATGCTTCAATGCACCTTTGCATGATCCTAGCCCAAGAGTTGCCAAATTTGGAGGTTTTGACGCTTAGTCATCTCGAGCGTCTCTTATCGATAAGAATTTGTAGTGGCCAGCTTATCCATCCAGAGCAGCTCTCCCAGTCGCAAGATTGTCATCACACGACCTTGTCAGTTGTCTCGATCTTGATCCTATTTTTCCCATAGTCGAGGATAAAAGCTCCTCAAAATGCGCCTCCTAATAGCACTCCTGTCTTTCTTCGCACTCGCCAATGCCCAATTTGGCTTCTTCGACCAAATGTTTGGCGGCGGCGGCGGCGGCGGCGGCCATCACCAAGAGAAGCGCCAGCAGAACAACCCTAGTGACGCTCGCCACTATCAACACCAATACACACATTGTAAGTTGCAGCTTTCACGCTTCTACCTTGTTATGCAGCCCCAAAGAACATATTAGAAGAGTACAGAGCTGACGTGAAGATGCGACAAAGCTGCCTGTGACAACTACCTCTGTCCCGACACTCTCGCCTGCGTCCACTTCCCTCACCACTGCCCCTGCGCATGGGACGCCCACGACGACAAGTTTGAGCTCGCAGAGGGAATGCGCACGTGCGTTTCAAAAGGCGGCTTCAAGCAGGGAGAAACCGCACGCAAGATTGAACTGGCGCGCAAGGGTTTGCTTTGAGTGACGGCGGCGGGACGGTTCGTCCTTGGGAAGCACAAAAGATGCGATGCGACATAACACACGACACGACATGATACACTTGACGCACGATTCTGGAAATATTGTGGAAATAAGGAGATGGGACAGCTTATAGAATGATAAAAAATGGAAATTGCAACTTGTGGAAAAGAGCTGCCTTCAAAAGCGCCAGCTCTAAGCTTCAACCCCCGTCAGTCATAAAGACGTGCAATGCCTGTTCCAACAACCACAATTCGCAGATGCCCAAAGGCTCGAGATAAACCACTTGCTTAGTCCATCCCCAAACCGCCCATCATGCTGTTTCACGCAAGGGACTCATTGTCGTCTTGCGTACGTTTCTCGTTCACCATTCACATATCCACTGCAAACGCCTCATGTTCGTATCCATAGAACTCCACCCAAGGTCTTGTTGCGTATCCCATAAAAGACTGGCCAACAAGAAGATAAAAAAGAAAAGGGAAAAAAAGCCTCCATTCCATGACCATATGCAGCGGTGCAACGAGATGTAATAATAACAATAAGAAGAAGTAGAAACCAAACCGGGTTGCGTGGTAAAGCCTCTCTCTCTTTCAACTACGCTGACCCATTGACAAAATTTGCAGGCAAGGGGGGAACAGGCGGGACTCCGTTCTCTCCCTCATTGTCATCATCATCGTCATCGTCCTCATCCTCGTCATCTGGGATCGCCTCCGGATGTCCCAGAATGTGGGCTACGCTCTTCATCTCATAGTGCTTCTTCCGCATCTCCTCGAACTTGCGGTGCTTCTCCCTTTCTTCGGGGGAGAGCCCCACAACCTCCTCTTCGGCGGAAGGGGTGACGCTCTCCTTGTCCACATGGACCGTCTTTTCGCTGGAGCTGCGCGACGCCGGCGGCGGTCTCTCCGGGATTTCTTCCTCTGGTTCGCCCAGCGATAGGCCCGGAATGTCGTCTTCAGCACCAGCACGTTGATTCTTGCGACCAGAAGGAACACCGTCCAGGCCGCCCTGTGCCTCTTCTTCGTCGTCGGAGGGGTCTTCTGTCGGGTCGTAGTGTTTCGCATAGGGAGTCTTTGGTTCGGTGATTTTCATAGTCGAGGTGCGCTCCTGCTCCGTCAGGTACAGGTTGGCCTCATCCCACTTGAGACGCTGGGCCGAATCAGACGGGTCGGTGATGCTGTTGGAGGAGTGGCGGCGGGAGCCCGCTCCGGAAGACGACCGTCGGTGTCCGGCGTTGATCTGGGTGTTTGCGAGGGTAACCTCCTTTCGAGCCTCGTCGGGAGAGTGAGGGGTGTTGAAGGAAGGGTTTTTGAGGATGCCTGCACGTCCAGTCCAGAGTCAGCGATGGCAACGAATAATAAGAAACAATGTAATTCCACAAAATCGAGACTCACCCCTGGGCCGTTTGGCATCCGGGCCCGGTGGGCTGTGAGAGGGCGGCGAGCGCTCGACTGAAGTCATCCTGGCGTCTTTTTCCCGCCTCGGCGTGACTTTGCTGGTAAGAATCGAGGCTGCGATAGCGCGGGCTGAGGCTCTCGTGGGAAGGCAGCCGTGCGTCGTAGCTTGCAGGTGATGGAGGTCGTGTGAGTGCGAGTAGAGGCAGAAGCAGGCAGAAGCAGAATCACGTTGCCAGCGACAAGAGAGAAATAGTTTTTTGTGTTTACTAGTATGCACAAGCTGGGATGTGCTCTGTCGAGGTGGGGAGAAGGCAGCCCAAGCTTGTGAGCGGGGGATACAAATACAAAGCGCTCAAGCTGTGCAGCTCAGCGGATTTAGTGGCCGCTAGCCGCTGCCAGATGACGCAGCGGTGGCATGTCGCCACGCCCCATTTCCAAGATTGGTTGATCACAAGCCAGTGGAACTATCAGCAGCTCAACTTCTGGTTCTTGTTTTCTTCTGACTGGCACCCGACCATGGCAAGATGGTGATCCTCTCCTGCTTCTGCTGCATGTCTTGTCAGGGTATTGGGGAAAATACGAACAAGCATGTGTTTTCGGACAATTTGCTCCCACCTTGGCCTGCGATCTACAACACCACAACGCATCGTCTCCCCATCCATCCATTCGTCCATCTTCTTCATGCAATGGTATATAATCGGGAATCATATTACTGTCTTTAATTTCTACGGGCATCCCTTGCCCTGGCCACAGCACTACACAGAGATGCCGGGCTACTAATTGCACTACCAAGTTCACAAACCAACCGCCATGCTAAACTTCATTGCTTCGTCCCGAGGTAATCGACCAGCCCACCATGCGGATATTGCCCAACCCAAGATACAAGAGATAAAGACAAACACGACAAAGAAGATGGGAATCTCAACTATGCTCCGCAAAAAAAAGAAAGAAAAAAATCTCAAGAGAGAGGGGATGTAGGCCGGTGCGAGGGGGGTAAATATGTCCAACTCATATGAATGTGTTATTACAGACGGACGCTCTCTCGCCTCAAATATTAAACAAAAAAAGAGAATGGATAAAGGTAGCGCATGATATTGTGAGTCGTGCAACGCATAAGTAGTCTCAAAACGACCATCATGTTGATAAACAGGGTGAAGGAGATCCAAAACAGCAATGCCCGCCTTTCCATCAGGCTAGATTTTGTTCTTCGGGACCAGGTTGAGCACTGCGACGACAAGATTATACCCAGTGCGGTAGCATACGCTTTTATCCTTTTCCGAGCTCCAGATATCAACACAGCTTCGCAGTGTGTCGAGAATAATCTGTCGGGGCGGAATGGCGCATCCCATGGCAGCAGCACCAGTTAGGGGTGCATCTGCCCGGAGGACATGGATGTATGTTGTCAAGGTTGCGGAGAAGAAGTCCAGCACGAAAGCTCGTCCGACCAAATCCAGGCGCAGGTGCGGTTCGCCGGCCCACATCTCACGGTAGTGTACCAGCAGCGCGAGGCAGCACTCTAGGGACGACCAGTACGACTCGGGAAACATGACGGGCCCTTCTGGGTGCAAGGCAAAGGGGCGATGCAGAACCATGAGGCACCGTCGCAAAAAGATGTCGACCGTGGTGCGTTGCAGCTGTCCGGTACAGACCCGCTGGGCGTGGCTCATGAGCTCTCGTAGCTGCGCGTTGTAGCGCAGCACGTCGGGGTAAGATATTTGCTCCTTGTTGGAATTGATCTGCGCCATGACGGCCAGCACGGTTGGCAGTGACTGGTACAGCACCATCTGCAGGCTGTCCGGCGGGCCCCAATCAGGGATCTTCTCCAGTGTACCAAGTTCATCTGGTCGTGTAAGGGGCGGCATTCCGGTGCACATGGCCACCTTGACATCAAGATAGAGGATTGTGAGCCACAGCTTCCGCCGGGAATCTTTTTCCTCCTGGTTGCGCCCCTCATCCTCCAGACTCGACGGGTCCTGAGGAAGGCCGTAGATGAAGGCCGTGCGAACGAGCAGTCCGAGCAGAGACCAGCATGAATCCACGGACCAGCAAGTGGGATTGCAGACTTGCTTGGCCACAACCATGAGGGCCAGGGTTTTGAGGGCTAATAAAGTCGGTCGGAAGGAGAACGGCGTCTGCATAAGACACGCCTCAGCAGCCATCATGAGCTCCGTGGCAACGGGAGGCTCCCCTTCCGGAGAGGCAAAGCTGCCCAGGCCCATGACCATGAGGAACTGCGCTAGCCAACAAAGATCCGAGGCATTGGGATCCATCCAGTAGCGTTCAATCTCACGCCTGAATATGTGAATGTCCACGATTGGATTTACCACATCGAGCAGCTCGAGATACCGCTGAAGATACTTCTCGTGGTTTGCCCTCTCACTCGTCAACAATCGAGTGACAGCATCGCGAGTGTAGTACTTGCTGGCCCCGGGAGTACCAAAGGGGAAATTGCCTGGTAGTGTGAAGTTGGCCAAGCAAGCATTTGTAGCCACATCCTCAAGGGCGGCAGCCAGTGGTGCTGATTCCAAAGTTGTCAAGGTGCCAATCTACTCTCAGCAGTCAGCAGCATGCACGCGGCATACGTTTTACTGTACAAGTCAACATACCTTGGTCATGAGGTCTCGCCAATGGCTGGATCCCCGTACTTTGTGTTGGACCTGCCAAGTAGCAAGAACCGTCGTTGTCTCCTCGCTGTTGCTGGATGGGGCTGTGGGACAAGGGAACTTTCCGCCGTTGGGGCCCTTGTTGTAACTGTAATAGCACTCTCTTCCGTTACCGCTCGTCTTGCAGCGACCGCACGGCAACTCCTTGTCGCACTTTACCTTGAGGCGGTGGCAGCGCAGGCAGCTCAGGCAATTGCGCTTGCGCTTGCGGACAACGCGCAGCTGGTTTGCTGCCGCGGCCCCGGCCCCGGCACCTTCGATCGGCATGCCATTAGCATCAACGGCGTGAGGCTCAGGGCTCTCAGTCGACGCAGTGGGGGAGATGAGGCCATTCTGTCCTGGTATGCCCTGGGCAGGGTCGCCGTTGACGGGAGGAGATGATGCCAGAGCAGTTGCGGCCCTGGCCTGACGTGATGAGTTTGGGGAGGCAGAAGTGGCGCCGTTGGCAGCGGCAGCCACCGCACCGGGAACAGCGACTCCATTGACATCGAAGCTACAGCGCACGCCAGCCTGGATGCATCGTGAGCAGGAAGGCTTGAGCAGATCGCAGCGCCGTTTGAAGTGGCGGCAGCGGTCACACGTCTTGACCTCGCGCATATGGGGCATGCTATTCTTCACACCAAGCAAGAGCAGTCAATGGGTGGTTCTCAGTCCCGGCCGGTACAAAAAAGCGAAGACGAATGTCTCGCCCTCGAACGACGGGTAGTGGCACCGAGTTGGCGAAACAATGAGCGGGGGGGACAGGTGAAGAATGTCTGGTGTGTTTCCCACGGGTGACAGACGGGAGGGCGTGCGTTGCGCTTTGTCTAAGATGTTGGATCGGAGGATTGTTGGAGACGTGTTTTGGATCAAATGCTTTGTGCTGGCCCAGCGCAGTGTCGAGAGAGCCGTGCTGCAGCAGGCGAAATGGAAACCACCAGGCTGAAACCAGGCTATTTCAAGAATACCTATTTTCAGCCGCGCAGAGCAGATGCTGGCCCCCAGTAGCAGCTTAGACGCAGCCTCGGGGACACACACAGCGTAGCTGAGAGCACAGAACACAGACACGTTGGTCAACCAGATCAAAAGTCGGGGCGAGAGGGGGGAGGCCCGTTAGCGAGGCGTTGGTCGTCCCGCTTGCGTTCCCGCCTGGACGGTTGCTTGCTGTGGTCTTTTTGCAAGCGCAGCGTCAATGTCCTGCGCGTGAGATCAATGATCATGCACTCAATCGATGGTTGAGCGTGGCAATGAGGGAAAAGAGATGAGGAGTCGGCGGTAAGCGGCCAAACAAGCGAGGCGACCTTGTTAAATGCGAGAAGGATTAAGGGCCTGGCAAAGTCGGCCGCAGATATCGCCGGCTCTGGACCGAGCTAGGAGCCGTTTTTTCTCTTCTCTTAGCAGTGCTGTGCTGCGCTGCTGCTGCTAGCACGAGGTGCCTGCTGAGCAAGCAAGCTAGGCGCCACACGCAGCTCAAATTTACTGGATTTGGAGGGCGTCTGCTGCGCTAGGCCGCTAGCTTTTAGCGCCGCAGCGTCCTGTCCTTCTCTATGGAGGGCGGCTGCGGGGGGGGGCGGATGCAATGGTGCCGCTGGGAGCCGGACGTCAAACTGCACTGACGGCTGAGTTGTGCCTTGGATATCGTCCAGCGCTGCGTCTGCCAGGAACACGTCCAGGCGTCGACAAACAGGTGCTCTGCTCGTCCAGAGATTTCATCGTCGTCGCTTACTAATATTCCATAGGCATCGCGTCTCGTCTCGTCTCGTTTCGAGCTTCTTCATGGCAGCAGGTCGGTCCATGGACATTCCATCGCGTCTGTGGAGCGAGGTGGTGGAGATGTGGCCGGGCCTACTGTATTCACCAGGCTTGCCTGGGCTGACCAACATGCGGAAAACGGATTAATTAGGAGGGTCGCCATCACCTCTAAATGGCCAGTCGTTAGCATGCAACTGCCAGACTAGGATCCGGCCGACCAGGGGGATCGCTTTGGGGCCAAGGCCTGGCTAGATGAGGCCAAGCCGGCGCTGGTGCTGGAGCTGGAGCCGGCGCTGGAACTCTGGCTGCTTGGTCCCGGAGAAAGAAGCTTTGGGATAACCAGGCGCTAGGGCGTGGCAGCTAGGTAAGTCGCAGAAGCCAGAAGCGCAGCGAGCATCCATGTTTGGCTCTCGACGTGACCTGTCAAGGGTCCAGGCCGTTGCGTGGCGACGCCGGGCCTAGCTTTGGCGCAGACTAGCATCGGCAAGTGAATCGAGGCGCTTTCGATAAGATGTAGCACTGCCGCTGGCCTCTGAATTTTGCTAGTTTGCTTGTCGCAGTCTTACAGTATTCGAGTGGGAGCCATCAAGGCTCGGCAAGGCGGAGAAGGGTTTGATGTCTGGTCGCTGAAGCGAGGTGGATAAGGTCCTGGTGCGGAAGCTCTAGCCAAGTCGAGTCCGGTCGCCTGTGCTCTCTTGATTGCGCCAGGCCGTTCAAACGAAACAAGATTGATGGCTAGGACGTTCGGATGCCAGAGAGCAAGGACCTGTACCTGTACCTATACCTACCTGTACAAGTACTTGGCCTGGGATTGAAGCGGGTGTCAGTGCCGCTAGGAACGGCAGCTTTCTGGCTAAACAGCATCAATCCTTCGTGCTCCGCGCAGACGCCTTCCTCTTCTCGACCACGAACACGGAGCGGCATACCTGTAAGGCTGAAGCAACCGATTACACTTGCAATCCCCTCGGTTCGTCTTCGCACCTACATACATACAGACACACGCACTGTACGGTGCATGTGGTAGGTGGGCGGATGATCCGGGAAGACGCTGGAATGCACTGCAACGCCGGGTTTCACGTATCGAGAGGCCCGGCCATGGTCCGAAAACGTGGTGGCTGCAGGCCCTAGTCGCGGTGAACCGATCTGTCCCTGCTCCAGAGGCTGTTCAAACGCCAGTTGCCACTCAATAGCCCGTCACGGGGAGCATCTAACAGATCTCGCTTCCCAGCCAGTATTGCTTGACGTGGTAGCAGTGCGACGGTGTCTCGTGCGAGGCCATTATCCACGAAAAACGGCTGCCTTGCTGCTTACCTTGGGGTCTCCATTAGCAAGCAGCCCGCGTGGTGGATAGGTATGATTCATGCTGTACCCTCAGTGCCGTAAGTATTGATTGATGCGCAAAGTACGCATACAGGTGCGTGTATGTAGGTACTCGTACATGCTGGAGCGACCAGGTTGGCGACAGGGGAGAGAGAGGCCACCAAGTTGAGGGGAGGGGGGAACCGCATCTTCAACGAGGCCTCAGGCCAAAACACCAAGATACATGCTCTTGCCTCTGCTTTTCGCAGTCTCGGCATGTACACTTGTCTGCCTACATCATGTACTTGGTGCTCATGCGCATGCAACTCCTTCTTGGCTGCATCAAGCGGGAAGTGATATGACAAAACACTACATGGTTTCCATGCACCGGTGCTCCGTATCACAGCCCCGAATCCCGTCATACATGGCATATGCCGTACGTAGACCGGCGAGCTCTCAAGTGCCGAAGCCGTCGGAGGAACTGAGAGGTATGCAGTCGTACCTGTACGGACCTCTCTCTGTCTTAGTATAAGCGCAACAGTCCAGAAGAGTGAAAAGCCTCTATCCTCTTTTGCTCGCCTGTTTGCCCTTTATTTTTATTTCTATTTCTTTTACCGAGACGATTCAAGCCAGCAAGTATGGCCGAGATGATGGCATCCACACGGGGGGGAACAATTATCCCAAAATTGAACCCGTCTGGCCCGCTGCGGTGTGTAACGGCGCCCCCTGTCCGTTGGAGTGCTAGTATTGACTGACGATCACACAAATGAGACACAGCCCCTTCGAGAGAGTGACAGAGATTGAGAGAGTCCCAAAAAGAAACGCGAGAAACTGCGACGCACTCTTGAACCCAACCGGAATTCAAGTATCAGGCCCATCCCATCTGCTGCGTGTAAGTACCTATTCAGGCCCATGATATTCGCCATCTCTCGCGCAACTACGGGATTTGGACACTTGTATCCGAGCGTCGTCCAGGCTCCATGCACCGGAAGAAAGCTCCGAAGAACCAGCACGAGCACGAAAAATCCCCTTTGGCTCTGTGATACGATACAGCACTTGTACCTCTACGGAGATGGAGGAGAGTCATGACCCTGCTGGCTTCAGATGAGTCTCCACCGCAACAACGTGGGGATGCCTCGGGCTAGTGCAAGTCAAACATTCGCCTTTTTGGCCACTCCAAACGAGTACGGGTGCATTTCCAGGTCCATACATTCCGTGCTGGCAGGTAGCATCAATGGTTGAGAAAACGAGGCGTACGCGTACATACGAGCAGAGCACTGCTTCATCCACGAAGCGCTACTAACCTCAAGGCTCTTAGTAGTGACATGTGGTTGAACTGCACTACAACCTCGAGCCGTGATAAGCCTACCTAAGCCTATAAGCACTGCGCCCTCTGCTACGTCCCGTGTGCCATGCCAGTACCTGGCTGGGCACATGGTAACATGATGGTATCTCCAGGTCACGATACGACTACTTATTCTCTCGGCCCGGCGACCAGATATTCGCCTTGTTTATGCGGCTAAATGCTTCTTCTCGCCGCCGATGTATCACGACAAAGCGAACTTTCTGTATCCATGCTGCCTCATGCCATTGCAAAGTGTAAAGTCGACAACATCTTTCCAGATATCGTAAAAAATCAACAGAATTCAAACATCAACTCCCTGTCGATTACTAACTAGGTAGGTCTCAACGCAATGCTTGATGTTGGATACGGAGTACGAGTAGATGCTACTCTACAATACCTACTCCGTATGCTCGCACATATTCCCATACCCAGACGACGATAACGGAGTGGGCGGAGTGGCCCTCTGAGGATAGCGCATGAATCAAATCACATACCCATGTCCATCGCGAGCCAGGAAAGCACGCAACCCTGGATTGTACACACTGTGTACAAGACTTCGCTTTGGCTCTGGCGAACCCGAGACATCTTTGGCCCGCATTGGAGTAATGTACCTAATGCCTCGAAAAGAGGTACGAGTACGGCTCGTCATGTCACCAACATCGTGGCAGTCCACTTGTACTTTTCGTCGCAGCATCGCCCTGCCTTCAGATGCACGCACGACTAGGACAAACAGGGCTGTATGAATCGACTTACAGGTGCCAACAAAGCAAAGCCCTGGCCATGTAAGGAGCTCATTGTCGTATCCGAAAGCATGGAGTACACGTACGAGCGGCATACAGATATGAACCTTGTAAAAGTCCATCGCGTCTATCCTGGGGGCTTACATGTGCTAGAACTCCGAAAGTCCCGCTCCACGTGTTCTCTCTGCTGAAGCAGGCATCGGTTGAAATTGAGGCCCTGGTCAGGTATTGCATTGAGCGTAGATGCCGCTGATATCTGACAGGTGACAGGTGAGACTGGGGCAGTCTCCTAAACTGTGATGCCTGATGAGCGCCTTGGTTTAGCGGATGATTACAGTACATTGCTGTACGAAGTGCAGCAAAGAGGAGTGGCTCAAGGTACCTAAGGTTAGTAGGTACCAGGGTTCAAGAGAGCGCACGAGGATCTTGTATCGCGAGTCACTGTCAGGGGCTGTTCGTGGTAGGTTTTGTCAGGGGTTGGCTGGCGCGGGTAAGACGCCTGGACGGCAAGCATACCTTAGGTATTCGCATCTTATTTCCTGCTGACGTCCGTACGTCCTTGTACATGCGAAGCACTTCGTTTCTCGTACGTAGTATTCCGTGTTAGTTGGCGTCTGCCCGCATGCAAGACATGTTTTGCGAACGTGGTTCCGTGTTTGGTGCGTTGAACCTCGTCATTCTCTATCGTGGCCCTCTCTGGCTCAACCAGCTTTTACAAAGCATTCTGACTTTGTGAACCGAGAAGACACCGTGTCAAATCGTTTTTCATGCCAATTTGTACGTACTATATATAAAGTTCTCAACGATGTTCAAAAATAACTAGGTATTCGAGTATGAGACCGTGTGGAATATGAAAAAGGTGTCGTAGCATCGTTCAATACCGGGGTGTCGGCTGCCGCTTCTCCGCGGCTTTCCCTACACATACCCATCTTTCACTATAATTCATGCTGATTTGACCCCATTGTAAAGCAAAACAAAGGATTCTTCGCTTTGAAGATCAAACTGCGGCGATGTTGCAATAAAGTCAAAGCACGTGAGTCCATTACGGGACTTGAATCTCGATCGCCCCAAAAGAGCGAGGGCTTGGCATCGACAATATTTGAACTTTTGGGTCTGTCAGTGGAATATCTAATGGGGAAGCAATACGTCAACTTGCCTGTCAAAGGAGAAGGATAAACAAAAAGAACGGAGAGTGGAATCCGCCGCTGAGATAATGTGGTGACACTATTCACAACTGATGATGACATGTAGACAGGTGGGTGTTAGTACTCGTAACGCGTGAGCGTCCTCGTCGTCGAATGCTCCAGGACAGCGGTCGACCCCATAACCGAGCTAACAATGATGCTAAAGCTAAACTTCCGCAATCCCAACCAGGGCAAAGATCGACCCGGTGCTCTTCAGCACAGATGGAAATTGCCGGCTCCACACATTTGATGATTTCATAGGGCGGTGGCGTGTCTGCTCGGTAGTTGATTGAAGCAAAGTTGCCGACTAGTGAACACGCGGAGGCGTACGGCTTTGGTGCTTTTTGTTATTGTGTGAGCAAGTACTAAGTGCTGACCTCTTCTCGCAAGTCTTTCTGGCAGAGCGGGTGAGGCTCTTTGCTCCAGCTACAAGTCTCTAGGGTAAGGCGATGATGAAGGCCATGAAGTATTCAAGTTGTGGTTGCAAGTTTCCCCGCATGCCAATGCCCCGGAGCAACTGGTCCCTTGTCTGCCAGAACATCTAAGACCGTGTGTGGAGTAATTCAGCTCCGAGTGTGCGGGATTTGGCTGAGATGAAATCATATGCAAGACCTTGGGCCGCATTCTAGGCGATGAATATATAGCATCGTGCGTCGCCACGTGCCTTCAGGGTTGCCGCCAGCCATGGCGGAAGTTGAGCTCCGACTCAGCAGCTTATTTGACCAGTGCTGCAAAGTATTCGGACGCACTGCTCCGTGGCACCAGGCACCGACAAGGGAGGGTTACATCAGTGTGATGCGGTGATGCTCCAAGTGCTGTCCCCAACCATCACCGTAAAGTACTAAGAGTTGACGCTAGAAGCTCCGGAAAACCCAACCACCATTGTTTCTTGTCGTGCCTGTCGCCCAAGGGTTGCTACCTTATCGACCCGACTCTTAAGCTCATCAACATGTCATCTAGCAAAGGCAGCGTTCAAACCGGCCTAGCTTGAACCAGCAGATATCCCCAAAGGAGACGCGCAGATTGCGCCTTTGAGACGGCAGCCCGATGGCCATTCGCCCAACATCATACTGCTAGCAGTGGAACCGGTACGTCCCCACCTTTGCGCGATCCCGATCGAGATGAATTGGGGGTTGATGACTTCATCGAAGTCATAGCCAGGACTCGTTGAATCTGGCATCTGGGCACGGATCGGGGCCTCAGTGCCTTGCTGTGGTACCCTGCCTGCCCTCCCTCGCCTTGTCTTGGGACGTCTCACCTGCCTCCCCCCTTCTTTGGCCAAAGCTGGCGGTAGAAATAGCCGAGTGGCGATGCTTCTGTGTGAGAAATAGTAGTCGTTGTCCTCGTATCAAACACACACGCGCTCGAGTTACTCGTGCCGGGAAAACTAACATGAAATTCCTCTTGAAAGATGGTCCATATGCCTGACACGTCCCGCTCGGTCATTCTCGCTCACAACTCGTCGCCGTACTGCTGCTAAGTGGCTCCCGACAAACTCCACCCAGCTCTCATCCAACGTTATACTATCAGCCGCTTGTTCGTTTGTCCCACACGATGGCACCCAAGAGAAAGAAGGCCGACGCTTTTGTAGCCGAACCCCCCGCGGCAAAAGTCAGACGTAGCTCCAGAAGAGTCAATGGGCCTGCCGGACAGCAGCAACACGATGGCTCTCGGCAAGGGGGAAAGACGGAGGATGCCTTGGGTCCGGCAGGAAGTCCAAATGGTTCACGGGAAGCGTTTGAGCGCACCATGAGAGAACTCGGAGAGATGGGCCTCAAGCTTCAAAGCGCAGTGAAAATCCAGCGGCTGGCTGTGGAAACTTCCGATTTGTCAAAGTGTGACCCCGAAAGGGTTCGAGAAGAGGCCTTCAAGCTCAGGCCAGCGTCAATGAGACAGGCAAAAACTGAGCAGAAGGTTGAAGAAAAGACTCCGGAGACATCCAAAGTTGATACTGACGTGCAATCGGCTGATGCGGCTGAAGAAAAAGCAGACCCCGAGGCTGTTGAGAGGACTGCGAGGAGACCACCGCCTGTGAATAGTGACGTGCTGCCACTGCCGTGGAAAGGCCGCTTAGGTTATGTGAGTGCCGATATAGACATACTTATTCCTAACTCTTCAAAGGGTCTTGATTGCGGAACATCGAGAGTTCACAAATCACAGTCAACACCAAAGCTAATGCGACGGCGCATAGGCTTGCCTTAACACATACCTCAGAAATGCTAGCACTCCTGTCTTTTCGTCCCGGACTTGCCGTATATCCTCGATTATTGATCATAGGTATCCCCTCCAAGATCCAACAAAGCCTGAGCATGCCACCAAAAACCGACCCGACAAAACACAGTCTCCGGATGTCCAGCGCGGATTGGACTTTGTCCGGGAGCTCGGTCTTGCAAACGCCAGAGATATTGTCAAGATGCTGAGATGGAACGAAAAGTATGGCATCAAATTCATGCGACTTAGTAGCGAAATGTTCCCCTTTGCAAGCCACGAAGAATACGGTTATAAGCTCGCCCCATTCGCCGCCGATGTGTTGGCAGAGGCTGGCAGGGTAGCTGCTGAGCTAGGTCATCGCCTCACCACTCACCCGGGCCAGTACACGCAAATTGCCAGTCCGAGGAAAGACGTCGTCACTGCTGCTTTCAGGGATCTCGAGTATCACGATGAGATGCTATCGCTGTTGAAGCTCCCCGAGCAGCTTGACCGGGACGCCGTCATGATTCTGCACATGGGCGGTACGTATGGCGACAAGGCAGCGACCCTAGATCGCTTTCGCCAAAACTACGCCAAGTTGCCAGATGGAGTGAAGAAAAGGCTAGTCTTGGAGAATGATGATGTCTCATGGAGTGTCCATGACCTGCTACCCATCTGTGAGGAGCTCAACATTCCTCTGGTGTTGGATTATCATCACCACAACATCATTTTCGACCCCAGCCTTCGCGAGGGCACATTGGACATCATGAGCCTTTATGATCGCATCTCAAAAACCTGGACTAGAAAAAACATCAAGCAGAAGATGCATTACAGCGAGCCAACCGCAGAGGCTGTTACGCCACGGGATCGGCGTAAGCATTCAGCGCGCGTTAAGACGCTTCCGCCTTGTGCAACAGACATGGACTTGATGATTGAGGCGAAAGACAAGGAGCAGGCGGTATTCGAACTCATGAGGACATACAAACTCCCAGGATGGAACCGATTTAACGACGTCGTTCCCTATGAGCGCGACGATGAGCCTAAGAAAGAAACGAAAAGAACCAAGAAGGAGAAGCAGAACGACACGACTGGCGAGACTGAAGAAGGAGATTCTACAAATACCATCAGCCCAGAAGAGTATGGAATGGGAGGACAGCAGAACCGGGTATATTGGCCACCAGGCATGGAGGAATGGCTGCGACCCAAGAAAAGAGAGACCAACAAGAAGACCAAAGCTGAAGATGAAGCGTGAAAGGATGTCTCTACTGATATATGAGAAGAGGCAGCGATGAAACCACGGTGAGAAATAGCGAAATCTTGCAGTCTTGCAGTAGAAAGTTTGAGTAGTAGGTAGCTGAGAACATGGATGGAGTTGTTAGGTAAAAATTGAAATAACTTTAGGATCCAAATGTTCAATCTTCTCTGTATTGCAGCTGTAAGAGATGAAATGGACGCTCGTTGGCGATACTCGGCGCCGATTGCTAGGTAGGTACCCCGTGCGAATGGTGCGAATGAATTTTTTTCACAGCACATCTCATGGCGGCGCGCACTGTAAGAAAATGCCTACACTTAGAAAGGTACCTCTTTGAAGATTCCTACTTTCACTAAAACACCACGAACAATTCCTTGGTTTTTGCAGAGCCTCGTTACGGCTTGTTGTCTTGTATTTCTTTTGCGCAATTGAGCGTATTATCGTCATGCCTGCTGAAGATTTTGGTGCCGAAACACAGGCGTTCCTTGAGTGGTTCAAGGCGCTTCCTGGGTCGACGTTTTCTGAACATATTGAGATCACGGACTTCCGCGCAAGAAATGCAGGCCGCGGCATAGGTATGTGAGCGAGTCGTGTCTATGTGCGGCGTGAGCTGACTAACAACATCGTGGCAGTGGCTCTGGAGGACATCCCGGCTGATACAGTTCTGTTTACCGTGCCAAGAAATGGGATAATCAACATGGAGACATCCGAGCTCAAGGAGAAGCTCCCAGACGTCTTCTTCCATCCGGATGAGGCCATGAAGGTGGACGACAAGCCGCAGCAGGACCCATGGAGCTCTCTGATTCTTGTCATGCTGTTTGAGTATTTCAAGGGAGACGAGTCCAAATGGAAGCCGTACATGGACGTCCTCCCTGCATCTTTCGAGACGCCCATGTTTTGGACCGACGCAGAACTTGATGAACTCCAGGCGAGCGCCACACGGACAAAAATTGGCAAGACTGAGGCTGAAGCAATGTTTCATGCCAAGATCTTGCCCGTCCTTCGTGCAAAGCACGAAGTATTTCCGTCTAGCCAGTCTTATAGTGACGAAGACCTCGTCAAACTGGCCCACCGCATGGGAAGCACTATAATGTCCTACGCATTCGATTTCCAGAATGAGGATGAAGAAGACGAAGAAGATGAAGAAGAATGGGTTGAAGATCGCGAGCCCAAGTCCACAATGGGTATGGTGCCGATGGCTGATATTCTCAATGCTGACGCTGAGTATAATGTGCGGTCCCATCCATTACAGCTATGCTTCTAAGCGCCTTGCCGTTGGCTGATTCATGAAAAATAGGCACACGTCAATTATGGAGATGACGCTCTTACTGTGACAGCATTACGAACCATCAAGGCCGGCGAAGAAATCTTGAATTACTATGGTCCCCATCCCAACTCAGAGCTTCTCCGCCGTTACGGCTACGTAACCCCCAAACACTCTCGTTATGATGTTGTTGAGCTTCCATGGAAATTGGTTGAGGAGTCTTTAGCGGCAAGCCTAGGCTTGTCAGAAGAACAGTTGGATAGTGCGGTGAGTTCTTCTATGCCCATCCCATCATTCATCATGACTTGGGCTGATATCAGATAAGCGAGAGCACTTGGACCTGGGTGAAGTCGAGGATACATTTGTTTTGGATCGAGAGTCAAACGAGACTAACCCGGACGGCACCTTTACTGGATCGGCTAGGTTTAGCGAGATACCAGAGGATCTTCGGGATCAGCTTAAATCGCTTCTCAAAGCCGTTCGCAAAGCACACCCATCAAGCGTTGCCGACAAGCGGAAACGTGACGAGATCCAACATTCCGTACTATTCAAGGCCCTTGATGCTCTGGCGTCGCAGTATTCAACGACTATTCTAGATGATGAACGGATTCTTTCTGGTAGCGACATTAGCAAGCGGCATAGAGCCGCAGTTACCGTGAGGCTAGGGGAAAAGCGACTGATCCAAGAGGCTAAACTCTACTTGTCAGGCATGACTTCAGATGCCGCTTCGGAGGAGACGCCGGCACCAAATAAGAGGGCCAGACGGTCGGATTGAAACGACACATCGATTTCGGTAGTTGGCCCCTCACGACGAAGGCCACTCAGCCTTTATGCGTAGGATACCGCTATTGCCGGAACCAACCGGGTTGATGGTAGAATCTTGGACGAAAAAAGGCAGAAAAAGAAAAAGAAATAAATCACATGCGTGACAAGGCGGCCCGATCAAGATGTTTACAACGGAGCCTCATCTGGATCCACACTCGTTGCGCGCGAACCACACCGTTTGTCCGACCCAGAGCCTTCCTAGCAAGGCAGCTAAAAAAAAAGGCAACCTTCCGTGATTCTGTCACAAAAAATCCCTTATATCTCTGCTTCTCTGTCTCCATGAATCCGAGAATGTAATTATTTCATCCAGTCATCTTAATCCCATCTTCTGTGAAGTTCGAGACCTCTCGGTCTTCGTTCTTCTGCTCTCGCCGTTGAATCAGTATCACATGCTATGGTTTGACACACCTTGATCGTGGTTCATCTTATTGTATTCAATTTTATCAGTAATTGATTGCCGCTCCATTGATGGCTCATGCTATTCGCTGAAGAGAGGTTGGAAACACAGGGTAAGCCGAAAGTGTATGACCGAGTTTGGACTCCTCGACTAACATTTCGATAAAGGAACTTGACTGTGTCATTCATTCACCGCGTTATCGGCATGTTTGCAATGCCCATATCAAGCATTGAAATGACTGTCGAGTCGTACGATGGAACACATGCATGAATGCGACCCGCGTTCGTTTGGGGTAGCCGTTGGGATTGCGCATCTGAACGAGCAATCCACGTCGTCGCCAGAATAGCGTGGGACACAGTGATGAGCTAAATTATGGCATTGAAGTCGTGCCTCTTCAGCGCCTTGGCGCCTTAGGCTCCGTCAAACCCATCAACGTTGATATTATGGGCCCCTGCCTGTGAATCGTTTGGCATCTTCACCGATAGGCTGACATTTGAGAAATGAGCTCTCGGGAGCGGACAGTGCTCTACCCGATACTTGCTACAGCTATGCATAACGAGAAGAGCTACATATTGCTCAAGTTCAGCTTTGTGTAACCCTCCATTGTTGGGGGACCGCAGATCTGTTGTCTTATAACTGGCCATTCGGGTGCTGAAACCCCGACGTCGAATGGCGAGTCAACAACCGTTTTGTTTTCTCCCGACAGGCTTTTTGCTCAACCCTTCTCCCCCTCCTCTTTTCGCACAGAAAACATACAACTTGCCTCTCGTTTTGGCTAGTACAAAGTGTTACTCTTACGGGGATATAGCGTCTTGCAGCATCAGTTGATAATGCGGCGATTACTTCGAAAATGGAACAGTATACGGCTCTCGCACTGCATACTCGTATCATCTCCCCCGTGGCCCCCACACTTGGGAGTTGAGACCGGGATGCACATCGTGCATGGTGGTGTTTTATGATACCATCAGACAACCGCGGCTATTTACTCCCCGAGGGGGCCGTAATTAAGAACCCCGTACAGCCTCGTCGTCACCACACAGCACACAGCACACAGCGCTGCGAGCAGTGTGATAGGCTCAAGGTTACGAGCCCAATAGGCCCATAACCCTAGTCCGAAAGCTCGTGATTTATTGGTCCACGACTGTGAATGGTGGTGTTCAAGTTTTGTCTGAGATATTTTTCAAGCTTAGATCGGCCTGGCAAACCAACAATGCCCACCAAGAGGATCTCTCAGAGCCCGTGGCGACCACCTGTTGGTGGCGTGGGTGTACAGACAAACTCGAATATCCGAACCATGGCCTTATGATTACAAAGAACGAGCAGCAAACACGCCTTGCATCTTATACCGGCCTATCACACGGGTTGCCAGTATCTCGGAGAGCTCGTGACCGGGGTAGGCAAAAGCGGCGCTGGGCCCAAACCCAGCACTCCAGGAGTCGTGGGACACTCGAGGGAGCCCAATAAACTCTGTTAAGCGCAGAGGGAAAAGAGCGACGGCGAAGAGGATGAAGCTCAGTGGACGTCGGAGACCCAACGGAACCGAACTTTACTCTCACCGGTTCGGTTCACGAGACACTACCACTCATGTATGTCGACGTCAAGCTTATCCTGAAACCTTCCTCGCAAAGAGTTTTGAGCCCCAAGTCCGCGGGTGGACGGCGCGGAACACCATCTTTTCCTGGCCCGATCTCTCTACTAGTGGCCAACTGCCCTCATGGTGCTGTAACGTTGGATACGTAGCATCTCGGCCTAACTTGACCGGTAATTACACACTTGATACCTGGCCTTGGGCAGCGACACCTATGGAGTCTGTTGGAGGGTTGGGGGAGGGGAGTGATGGGCGGCGGAGTTGATAATATGTAGCTCTACGCCAGGCCTCCGAGACTCCACGTATATCGCCTTTACAAGTATTGTTGACCTGTAACCCTCCCGAATCACCAGTCTCGAATACTGCAGCCATTCAGGGCATACGTCGGTGAACAGAGCGGCTGTCATGTCTGGACATGTGAGTTTTTCCAATTCTCGACCCGGCGTGCCTGGTATAACACTCGACTCTTTCTTATCGGGGGATCCAAGCGAGAAAGTACAAGGTACTGATTTGCCATGTTATACCATAGGGCAACAGCTCACATAAGCATGCGGGGGGTTCCAGGCGCTCGACCAACAATCTCCCTCCCGATTCTGATTACAGAAGTTTCCTCTTTGTGATCAACGAGCTGAAGGTGGACAGAGACGAGACTTATCATTCGAATGATGGCTGGCACAACCGCATACCGCTAAGCAACCCGAAGGGATATGGAGGAGAGACGCACGGAACGGTTATGAGGTATCAGAGTGGGAGAGTGACGGTAGCTCCTGGATATGCGTGGTACCGTGGAGATGCGAACGAAGCCGGGTGGTGGCCTGCTGGCAATGTTCTGATGTATAGTTCGGGCGAGGGGGAAGGCCTGCGATACGTTGCTGCTTACAAACAACTCGCCGTCTTCTCATGCGGCCCCTTTCTCCCAATCGTCGTCGTCAACGGAGACCCATTATCCGCTGGCTCGCTTTCTCGAACGCCTCTACTGTTCCACCATCCTCCTCTCCAACCAGGAATATCACACGCGGTACACCCGGAGAGTAACATGGAGCCTGGTCCCGGACCGTGCAAATTCGTGGCCGGGGCAAACCCCAGCTGGATGCCCAGCCTGGTGCCAGCGGCTTATAGTAACCCTTATAATCCGCGTCCGTCGGTTGGTCTTTCGGGAGAGCTTCCCATTATCCTCGGCTTGATGGCATTTAGCGAATCTACATATGAGGAAGGAGCAGTGGATCGAACTTTTCTGGGAGACGATGCGCACCGTGGCAAGTGGCGTGATGGGCATTGGTATCGCGCCGAGGCTCCTCGGGGATGTGAGTTTCAACCTTTTCGAATCCTGTGCTGCTGTTTATTTCCATGGCATTTTGCCCCTTTCCTCCCGTCTTTCTTCGTATGTATATGCTATTTGGAATAATCATTTGGGTATTAATCATGGTGTAGATGCACCTTCGGCCTCAGAGATGCCGCTGGGCTTTCTCATCACGGTGCTGTACGACCCCGAGAACCCAGAATATTCCAACGAAGGCTCCCTTAGGGAAATGGAATGGAAGGAAGTGCTTGTTCGAGAAGGTCGACGGTAGACGGCCATGACATGGCATATCTATTCTACTCTATGTTGTTTTTTCCCCGTCATGGTAAGGGGCTGTGGTGCTCGATTTCCTTCCCACCATGTTACTGCTTTATCTGCCGCACTCGAAGTTTTGCTCTTTTTTTTTCCTCTTTGAACACGTTGAATGATTCCCATTGTTGAAATCTGTTGATGAACAACGCTTGATACGTTACAAGCTCCACGCAAGGGGGTTCCGCGGGACTTGGTCGCTCCCCTCCCCCCTTTCTTTTTCCTTTTCTTTTTCTTTTTGGGGAGTGTATGGAGCTGAGGCTTTCTCTATTTCACACACCTCACCATTTCCTCTTATTCATTTAGTTTTGTTCCTGTCTGTTGATCCTTTACTCTCTTCTGATTGCAGTCTTCTTCTCTTTTTTTTGTACCTTGATGACACGCTGAAAAGCCAAGCAATCATACGAATATTAAGGCAGTTTCAATTCATTTCATCTTATTCATCTAGCTGATTTCACGGTGATGGCGACAACATTATAGCTCTCTCTGTTTAAAATACCCGGGCATAACCTCTCTTCTACATGGCTCCCCCCAAGGAAGAAGGGATAGTGGTAGCCATGCAATGCGATTCCTTGTTGCCCCCACCCTTTCAGCCTTTCAATTCGCTATAATTTGAAGACTCCACATGACTATTTACGGCGTTTTCGCTGCTTCTCTCCCCCCTTTCCAAGTATTTCGATGCTGGTTTGCAAAACGAACGGCCGGCCGCTTAAATTAACATACCTCTCTACTATCCCACCTATGATTATATAGCACGTCAACTCGCGGTAAAGGCTCAAGCTACATCGGGCAGCCGAACCGCAATATCGCCAGACTGTGTGATATATCGGACCCATGGAAGAGAAGGATATTGAAGCTGGAAGAAGATTATTTCAGCATACGTTGAGAAAATGTCAAAGAATGAATGATTGATGGCTTACCTTGGGCTCGGTGATCTTGAGGTATCGAACTTGAATTCCACTCGTCGTAAAATAGGGAATCTCAAACTTGACTTGGATGGGTCGTTTGGCGCCCTTGCCACCGATCCCACCCATGCTGCCTCCGAAACCGCCCGTCATGCCACCGCCGTGCTCATCGTCTCCTCTGACGCTAGGAAGGCCAAGTTCAGCGCGCATGAGGAATTCCTTGTTGCCGCCAAACTGCTTAATCTTCCAGACAATGGCGCTCTGCTCGGGGGCGTAGTGGACGGAGCCGACGTTGGTTCTGAATCGGGGGGAGTCGGCATCGTCGGGGACAGGGACGATGATTTCAACGTTGTTGGCCGTGCTTCGTCGCTTGAATTGGGCTCTGGCCTTGAGCATGTATTCAATGCGAGAGCCGGAGTGGGATTCGACGAGGCACTCGACCCAGATTAGGGGCTTGACTTGGGTGTTGAGGCGGTACGACATGAGCTCGAACTCGCCATCGGGGGGGATGAAGGAGATTGTCCGGTCGTTTTCGAAGCGCGAGAGCCGCACGCACTGGTGGAACTTGACATCCTCCATCTCAATAGCCTTGCCTCGCGTCGAGCGGCCTGTCGTCTCAAACATGACCTTGTCGTTGAGTCCCAACCTCAGCTCGGGCATACCGCTGAGGTAACATTTCATCTTGATGGCGCCGAGAATCTCACTGCGCAACACATTTCCGTTGGCGCTGACGAGGAGGTTCAAGCTTTCGACAACGTCGAGGAAGACCTCGTTCTTGCGGTAACGGATACCCTCGGATCGCCAAGACACGGCGTTGGTCACGGCGATTGGCGGGCGGGCCTGGATCTCGAGCTTGTGTGATTCTTGAGTAATGTACTCTTGGAGGATCTTGGACTCGGTGGTCTGGGGGTAGCCAAAGTCCATCATTTCGTCGAGAAGCTCGTAAATGACGACAAAGTTGTCGCGGATGGATTCTTCCTCCAGAGCCTTGAAGTACTCGGTGAAGACCTCGACGACCTTGTGCAGGAAGAGCAGGATTCCGGCGGCATTGGTGTTGCGCTTGGTCAGCGCCAGGAGGTATAGGTTGTTGTGGCGGATGTATAAGTACTGTCGCGTGCGTTAGCCATTGTTCTCCCCGTCCCATCCCCGGGGTTGCACGGGGCTTCATGTAGATGCTGCCTGTGAGCTACGGACATTGATTCCCTCGTGGGAGAAGCATGGCGGAACGGCTGACGACTCTTCTTCGGCTTCTGATAGTAGAACAGGGAACTTTTCGACGGCGGACATGGGAATGTCACCCCTATAGTTTCGGGCGAGGAGGGTCTAGGAGAAGCAGAAGCCACGTTAGATTGGCCCAGTGATCCATCAAATGCGGCTTATTTCGAAGAGACTCCGTACCTTGCCCTTGAGATCCAGAAAGAAGATTGCAGATGCCATGGTGACGATTTGTATGTAGAAGGCGACGGGCTTGTCCAGGAGAGATGGCGGGGAGGAGGGGCAGCTAGAGAGACGGATCCAGGGATTGGCGCGGCGGCCAGGGAGAGACGAGGACGAGAGAAGATGCGGACATGCACGAGCAAAGTCTGGAGATCCGGGAGGTTCAAGGAAGGGACATGATCTGAGGGCGCGACCTGGGGAGCTGGATCGCGACGTAGCTTCAATTTAGGCTGCTGCGAATCGGACAACTGGTTGCTCACCGTCTACGATGCGATAGGCCCGTTTGGCCCGTGTTGCCGTGGAAGTGCAGTGCAGGGACCAACTACGGGCCGGCAAAACCATGGCTGTAAGAGAACGGTCACGTGCGAGGGAATCTCTGTTCCTGAGCTGGCTCCACTACGGCCCCGGAAAAAAAAAACCAATATCCAGGATGCAGCGGACTTTTTCCCTCTTCTTCTTTTTTTTCCTTTTCTCTTCAACGCGCCCATTAGACAGTGCAACTCATCTTTTTTACCTGCGACCGCGTGGCTTTCTGTCATGACAGCTGCAGAGCCGTGGATGAGGATGCGATTTGGCGGTGCGGAGAGGAAGGAAACTTGTTTCATTTGGTTCTTTAAGAGCTGCCCGCGTGTGATTTCTGCTTTGGCAGGATTTGATTGCTTGGGCGGCGTCAGAGGAGCCACACATTTCATCAACGTGCGGACCTTGTGTGTGTTGGAGAGAGAGGCGAATTCAAGATGCCAATCGTGCATGTGATGGCCGTGTGGGCAAATCCAGCTCCTTGGCTACTGTATGCTACTGTATGCTCTGATTTGCATGTGGCAGGCCATGGGATAGGATAAGCACAGAGGGAGTGATGGCAAAGCTCAACTATCCGCGCCCGGCTTCTGCTTGTGCTCGCGAGCTTTCTAGCCGCAACCAATAATGGCTTCCCCGTAGCGCATTGCGCGGAAGACGGCAGCTCAGGCCCAGATCCTGGAAGCAACCACCAGCCGGGCAGGACACGATACAGTACGAGTACACGACCTACAGTGCTGGCAGTGCGCTTTGCCTACCTACTACCTACCTTAGTACCTAGTTAAAGGAACGGGGGCGGCGTAAAAGAGCGTCAGGTGATGGATGTCAACCAGCAGTTGTGCCGAGTGGCAGCACTACTCGGAGCATTTCTGCGAATAGGTGCTTTACTGTCTGAGACAGGACGTTACCCGTTGTTGGGGAAGATGTCAAGGTGCCTGTGCTAGTATCCAATGCACTGCCCGATGATGTGAGGTTGAGAAATAATCTGGGGTGCATCGCAATGCGTGGTTTGGGGGAGCAAAGGTTCGATGTGACGTCCTCGTCCAAGACAAAGACAGCAGCAGCGTACGAGTACAGCAGCAGACCATTGATGGCACACCGAGAAGGGAAACTTGTCTGGGGTCCCCGCATTTGGAATCAGGTTTCGGGGTAATTGATGAGGCCTGCTCACTCATCAGGGCAATAAGGGTGCCCGTCTTACAAGCCTCCCTCCTGCTCCAAGTACCGAGTAAGAGTACTACTGTGCTTGTTCTCGCAAACAACATGCGGTGGCTTGGTTAAGCTCTGTTGGGAACGTGGCTGTTGATGACCAGGTGGACCTGAAGGGTTCCCAAAGGTTGCCAGCCTCGCCATCCCCATCGCCATCTCACAGCAACGATTTGGAGATGCAGGGCAAGGTCCGGCCTATTGACGTGCGCAACTCTGCCTCCCCACACGGCGCAAGTTTTTGATGAGAATTCTCGTGGCCATGTGAGCAGTATAAACCCTCCTCTGGAACTGTTAGTGGCCCCGACATACCCCTAAAACCCCCCACTGGAAGAAGGTGGACATTCCAATCCTGTACTCTGTACGCGGCGAAGAGCGGTGGGATTGGATTGATTGCTCGGCCGGGAGGGGGCAAAAGCACATGAAGAACCTAGCAACCAGTCTCGGTGGGGGAAGCGAAAAAGTTGGGGCTCAGAACAGAACGAGCGTCACATTGCATGTGATAACAGCTTTGCTTTGCAACGCCCAGGCACGTGCTTGTGGCCCGTCTCCTCAAGGCCGTTTTTGGGTTTGATTCTAATTTAGCAACAGTGACGGCACCAGCACTTTTTTTTCTTTTTCTTTTGGTCCATTGCTTGATTCGGCATGTCGTCGAGGAGGGGGGAAGATGCGGCCGCGCGCCCTCTCGTCTCGTCTCGTCTCGTCTCGTCTCTCTGGACCAGATATTCCGGGGAGATTGAGGCAAGTGACGATGATGATGGGATGCCAAGCGGTTCATCACAGGCGTCCTTGGCTTTTGACTGCGTATCATTGCTTGATGTGCTCGTGCTCGGCAAGGATGGCACAGGCCTGCTGGCTAATGGCTGAATAGGTGCTTTTGCCAGAATTGTCGACCACTTGCAAGCTCCCCGTCAGCCAGCGTGCGGTGTGAGTGTGAGTGTCTCGCCTCCATGTGGAATTTGCCGGCTGCTCCACCCGCGACGAGCTGGAGAGGGCACCAGTCATTGAAGCGTCGAGACGAGGGTGAGATTTGTGTAGCGGCATCGCCGTCTCGACATCTGCAGCAGCTCGGGAAATGGAACATTCGCCGCCTCTTCTGCCATCCACCTTTTGCTTGGATGTACCTGTATTACGAGTACAGGTCCGGTAGGTACTATACTTGCCCTAGCAGGTAGTCCAAGGTTCTCGGAGCACATGCGCGTACCGGTACACATGCGCCCACCTGCTGCCCCATAGTCCCCCATCGGGGCTCCATTAATAGCACCAAGCATGGGCGCATTCAAGGCATTTGAAACCCTGCGGACCCTGCAGAATTCCCAGCGCCTGACCTGGGCCCTCGGCACCGCGTACAGGTACTTGGTCTCCAATCGCATTAGCTGCTGTCAATACGTAAAAAAGTCACCACACCACGCCGTCACAAGAGTCCCCAACAAACGGTAGCATCGAGTGTGTCGCAGAGGCCAATTCATTCGTAGGTGCGAGATGGTGTGGGAGAGAGCCGTCACCCATTGCTGGATTGGGATAGGATGGCAAAAGGAACGCGGCCGAAAATGACTTGAGGCATCCATCATGATTGTTAGCTGCCAGCTGTACTGTAGAATCACGATGCTGTTTGGCCTGACTCGGCGCTTGCACAAGGGCAGAGTCCAAGTGGATTTCCATCTTTTATCTCGAGGTTTTTAACCCTCTTGTTTCCAATTTTTGTTTGAAATCGTCCAGGCGGCCCATTGACATGCCGTCGGCGGCCTTGTTGCTCTGTGCGCACTTGATTTGATGTACTGTCCTGTCCTGTCCTGTCCTGTCCTGTCCTGCCCTGTTCTCTTATCGCCATTGTCATCACCATCCACGTGCCCAGACCACCCTGCTCTCTCCTCTCCCCTTCTCTGGACTGGGCATCCGGCCTCAGGAACAGGTCGAGGGCTTAGCATGTATCAGAGCGCATTTTCCCCCATCTGAGGCTATTCTCGCTGCCTGCCCGTGTCCGTTTCCACCATCACCTTTTTTTCTCTCTTCTTTCCAAGGCTTCTCTCGCCCCAATACCAGCCGATTGAAGCCCGCTGCCCCGGCGTTTATTCCCGCCAGAACCCCTGCCACAGCGCCAGCCAGTGCTTGCGTGCTTATCAGCCGGTTTCCCACTGTATCCGTATGTGCACATCATATCAAATTGATTGTATGCGCCTGGGCCGCAATCACATGCCATGCATCGCCAGACGCTCTCCAACAGTCCAGCTTCGGCCCCCCTCGGACCATCACCAGCACTTGCACCAGCACTTGCACCAGCACTGCCGCCGCGACCTCGCCTGCCGCCCATCAACTCGATCCAGCCCGTTCCCTCGATAAATTCCATCCACTCGGCAAATCCCATTCCGGGCTTCAGCAGCGTCGACTCGCGGCCGTCGAATGCGCCATTACCATTGACGCTGCCTCTTCCATTACCGCCATCACATTCACCCCCAAACTACTCGCAGTCCATGCACAGCCATCGCCAGTTCCCCAGCCCGTCCGACAACGACAGGCTTCCCCCGCTGGTGCACCATGACGGCGACAGCAGAACATTGCCGTCGCTGAGCAGCATCACCGGCGACGTTGCCATGCGCGGCGACGACCAGCATCGCCCTCCGCAGCATCTCCACGGCCTCCCCAATCCGCCGCCGCCGCACCAGAACCAGAACCATTGGCCGTCGTCCTTCAATGCTTCATTGAACTCGTACCGACAACCACCGCCTTTCCACGCGCCCGACAGCCCGGCGACAATCATGGACATGGACGGCGCGGCAAGCGTTGCCAGTGCGGCCTCGCCGTCGCCGGATCGCATCTATGACGGAACACCAACCCCGAGCAGCCTCACGCTCGACGACCCGGACGTGCGGCTTGCGGCTGAGGCTCTGGGAGATTTACGCGCAGGTGAGTGACGATGCCATGATCAATTTGTCGAAATGCCCAAATTTCTTTCTAAAATGTCAATGTTTGATACCAACTGCCCTCTTGCACAGATTTCGTATCGTCGCCTCCCGACTCCTCATCGCTGCCACCCATGAGCCCGCCCATTGCCCCGTTTCAGCTTCAACAGACGAAACCAATGTCGCCCAAGCCGGAGCCGCTTTTGTCTCTCCTTACAACCGCTCATCCCTTCGTCGCCTCGACAATTGGCGGCGCCAGTTCCGCTTACGGCGGAGCCAAGAATTTCTCTCCACGATTCAAGTCGGGCGCCGAGTATGTCGAGGGCTACCTGACGCCTCTCGCCAATACAGTCAACTCCGTGGGTAGAGTCACGGGCGTTGAAGGCGGCGTTCGATGGTTCCTCGGCGCCGGCCGCCGGCATCCCGCACCCACATCAGACCCCGACTCGAACGGATCCAACAAGAGACGGAGGACAGGGGAGAGCAGCAGCAGCAGCGATGCGAATGGGTCGCCCGACAACGGTCTCGATGACTCGTCGTCGGTCGTGTCGAAGACTCCTCGCCGCCTATCGACTGCCAGTACGGTGGACACGCTGCCAGCTTATGACGACCAGCGGTCGCCCGCATACTCAGAAACCGCGCCCGCAACGCACAAGCCGCCCAGCAGCCAGCCGTGGCAGACCCGCTTGATGATGTCCACGTCGGGACTAAGCGTTGCCATGAGCGCCGAGAGTCTGCGTAGCCTCAAGTACTGTTTACGCTGGCTTCGATGGACCAATGATCACATGAACCGGGCCATTCTGAACTTGAAGCACGCATTGGAGGAATACGAAAAGGCAGAGAAGAAGGAGCGGTCAGAAGGAGGGCCATCTGCTAATAGCCCCGGCGATGCTGAGGCCATGGATGTCGACGGCGCGGAAAAGAGTCAAGAGCAACCGAACCCCTCACGAAGCGAACTCGCCGCGCGAATCAACAGCCTCAAGGGCGATATCCTCAAGTCTCTTCAAGACGTTATCAACAACGTGTCCAAGTATGCTGGCGGTGCCCTTCCGGAGAACGCGAGGGTTCTTGTTCGCCGCCACCTGACCAGCCTCCCCCAGCGGTTCCGCCTCGCAACCATGTCTGACAGTCAGTCGGAGAACTCTAACAGAGACGGCGACTCGGCGATGCGTGAGGGTGCGCAAAAGGTGTTGGTGCTGGCCAAGGAGGGCCTTGACATGGTGACGCAGGTGACGGGCGTTTTGGATGGGACCATTGTGAGCGCCGAACAGTGGTGTGAGAGAATGGGAAAGAGGCGAAACCCTGATGGAGAAGAGAGAGAAGAGGCCGCTGCTTCTGGTCAGCAGATTGAGTTTGGCAGCGACGAAAAGTCGGGCTAATGCCATGGCTGGAAAAAAGAATATCAGAAGGAGAAGAGAGGAGAAAGGCAGGGGAAGACATTATCCCATCACGGTGAGACTCGATGGGAGACAGCACGGGGGCAAGCAAAAAAAAAACATTTACGAAACTTCATCAACCGAGAGCTTCCAATCGGCTCAAAGGCAGGGATATATCCAACGAGTGCAACAGATTGCAAAAGATGCGATAGGGTGACAACAGGACTTGATCTGGTCTCTGGTTATGGGCTTGTGACGAGTCAAGCTTACAGACGACTACTTTTGCAAGGCTGGGTTGGGAATGATTTCCTGAAACCTGACCTTTTTTTTTCTTTATTTTATTTCCTCCGCGATTACCAACATATATTCTTTCGCTCATATGGGTTTTCTTTTATCGTCTAAGGAAGGGGAGGGTCTTCAATCCATCGAGATTGTGTCTCAATGTGTAATCTACGATTTGTCTGGCAAGAGGCCTACAGGGACATTCCTTTTTTTCTCCTTGTTTTTTTTTGGAGCGCTGACTGTACTCTTTATTTTCCTTTTTCAATCTTGTTTGTTTTTCTATTCTATTTCTATTTCTTTCCGAGGCTTTCTTAACCACGGAAGCTTCAGTTTATGAGCGGTTCTATTTTGTCTTGTTTTCTTCCATTTCTTTTATGTAACTTAGTTGTTTCGAAGGCTTGAAAAGAGAGAAAATGCTGGTGTGTGGTTTTTGGGAATGCGGAATGTGGGATGCATTACTTGCGAGACAGCAAATCGAATTTCTTAATGGTCGCATTCGTCGTTGTTTTGGTGACGTGGTGTGCCTTTGCTCCATGGCAGAATGTCTGTTGCCTGGTGGTTGTAGGTTGCATATATGGAATGTTGCTCTTGTCATGACGCTGCCACTATAATTTCTCAAAGAGGAGGTTGTATTGAGCTAGGAGGTAGTCTGTGTGCCTTTGTTGTACGTCTATAGGTGAAAGGAGACGGTGCTCTGGCAAGATAAAGTGTCATATTATGTGGGTTGTTTCGACTCACAATAGCCGAAGTTGATACAAAATGTAACTATTCGCAATATTGATTAACCATAACACGCAAGTGGGAAGAAATTGAAGAATGTATCATAAATATACTCCATGTGTAAGTGGCAACTGAGGATAAACTTCAATGTCCACGTCTTGCCACCATCCCCCTTGGGCAAATCTAAACAATATTAGCAAATTGATGACACTCTATATCCTCAGTATTCACTTTTGCAAGTTTTGATCAGAGATGCCTCCCTCAATGCCAGATCCCCAGAGCCCTCAATTCTATATTATTTATTGAAACTTGCGTTCTGCCGTCTCTCAAACCCGGACCGGTGGCAAGATAAGAGCCGAGCCCTCTCCGGTGATCACCAATCCATCTCAGGAGATGGTGAGAAAACGAAGCTGCTTACAAAACAGAAAAAAAAGGGAGAGAGAGAAAACACGCATCGATGCTTACTCCAAGCCATAGCCAAAGCATCATCTTCAACTCATCTGTGCTTCTGCTTCTTGCCATCCGGAGAATAATACCTTAAGTCCTTCCACGGTACGTACCTTGCATGGCCAGCCCTGCGGGACATTCCGCCGCTCTCCAGGTACGAGGCCCACGTACCCTGCGGCATCATCCGAGCTGTGGCTGACTCATCTCAGGCGTGCACCATCACCTGCGCTGCCTTTCTGTGCTTTTGCGCAGTGAATTGGACAACTATTATGGAGAAGCTGTTATTAGATAATCGCAAGACTCGGAACATGATCCGTCGAGCTTCCAAGGTTCATTCTGTGACGCGCTCTTTCCAACGTCAAACAACCCGCGGCACGGGGAGTTTTGAACTATGAGCTATGGGCTGGAGGTTGCCGCGCGCTGGACCAATGATGAGCGTCAAGTCGGACGGACAACATGCCGAAAGAAGCCTGGAGAAGCTGTTCGCATTGAACTTGAAGAAAAAAAATGAGGGGCAGCTTCAATGATTGTGGGCGATCGTTTGGCCATGTGGAGAGCTCAAGGCCGAAGAGGTGGCATTGAGATGAGATGAGGGAAAAGGGATATATAAAGAGCGCTGCCGTTGATCATGGCCAGTTGAGAAGAAGCAGGAAGCAAGCACTCAGCACTCAGACTACAGCTCCAAGCCTCGGCATCTCAGCACAGCTCCAGCTCTAAAGCACCCGATTCGATTCACAACAACCTGCATCTACAATCTACACTTCAGACGCAATGGCTCCCAAGAAGGTCCTCGTTGTTCTCACCTCCCACGACAAGATTGACGCCATTGACCGATCCTCTGGCTGGTACTTGGTATGCCCCTCCCTCTCCCCCTCTCTCTCATCACAGCCTTCAATCGGCAACTATAGCTCAGCTCTGACCACGTAAAACGCAGCCCGAGTTCGCCCATCCTTACCATGTCCTCTCCGGCAAGAACGTCGAGATCACCGTCGTCTCTCCCAAGGGCGGCGTCGCCCCTCTCGATCCCGCCTCCATCGAGCTCACCAAGGAGGACCCCATCTCCGTCGGCTTCCTCAACAACAACAAGCCCCTGTGGGAGAACACCCTGCCCCTGAAGCAGTTCGCCGGCCGCTCTGGCGAGTTCGACGCCATCTTCTACCCCGGCGGCCACGGCCCCATGTTCGACCTCGTCGACGACGCCGACTCCATCGCCCTGATTGAGGAGTTTTACAAGGCTGGCAAGATTGTCTCCGCCGTCTGCCACGGCACCATCGCCCTCGTCAACGCAAAGGCCAACGGCGAGTATCTCCTCAAGGGCAAGGAGGTCACCGGCTTCACCAACGCCGAGGAGGAGGCCGTCCAGCTGACTAGCGCCATGCCCTTCCTCGTCGAGGACCGCGTCAATGCCGTCGGCGGAAAGTTTGTCCAGACGGCCGTCTTTGGCAACAAGGTTGTTGTTGATGGCACCCTCATCACTGGTCAGAACCCGACTTCTGCGTCGGACCTCGGCGAGGCTCTTGCCAAGGCCATTGGTGCTTAAGTGGACATTTTTGGAGTCTTTTTTGTCTTTGTCGCTTAGGTAGCTCGCAGTAGAGTAGCAAATTGTTAACTATCCATGCCGCTTCTAAACTTGGCGTGTCTCACCCCCCTGTAATAGGTGAATTATCGAGTAAGTCGCCATAAAATAACGAGCAACATTTTCCAATTTCTCGCTTAAAAGATGAGAAATATCTGATAAATCGCGGTTCGTGACCAATATGTAGAATTGGTTCATCTTATGAGCAACCTGGCTGCTGAATTGGAGGTGTCGAGATGCAGAGATGCAAATCCCATTAAACCGCCGCTACCCAGGCCTTGATGACGTACCGAGCAGCACTGCAGCGAACCCCGTTAGAGCCGCTGTAATCTGTGCTGTAGGAGCTCAACACTAGCTGCTACAGTGAGGTGGGGTCTCAAAATCGTCCAGGTTGCTGATTCAGTGCAGATATGCGCTCGCAGTGCCTTTCTGCACACCTACGAAAGAGGACCTATTGAGTTGATGGCAGACACATAATAGTGATTGATATGAAATTGTAAAAAAAAAAAAAACGAAACGAGATCATATTATGCTGTAATCATATATTCACAACGTTCTGATCTAATATTCCCTAATTCTTGACATGTAGATGCACGCATTCAGCTGCCGGATTCTCGCTTATGTAACCCTCTCGCCCTCCCCCACAATTCTCTGGTGGTGGTCCAAAGTTGCTCGTAGTTCATGCATCCTCAGCCTCACGTCAATCCGCACGCGAATCGCTTTCCCGCCAGCTAACCGCCCAACCTCCACCGTGTTCGCAGCTTCGCATCGCCCAGAAGACGGCCAATATGGCGAGCGAAACGCCCAAACTGCTGTGGAATACCGAAAATGTCAAGGATGTCGCCGAGTCGGTGGGCATTGGCTCCATGAGCGACGAGGCTCTCAAGGCTCTCACACAGGATGTCGAATACCGTATCGGCCAGGTCATCATCGAGGCTCTGCGCCTCATGCGCGCAGCACGACGGACGACGATGACGGTCAATGACGTCTCTCTGGCCCTCAAGGTCTTGGATGCCGAGCCCTTGTATGGCTACGACTCCACGAGACCTCTTCGGTATGGCGAGGCAAGCTTGGGGCCCGGCCAACCGTTGTTCTACATCGAGGACGAAGAGGTGGATTTCGAGAAACTTATCAATGCACCGCTGCCTAGAGTGCCGCGAGACATGAACTTTACTGGTGAGCTCCTATCTTGCATGCGATGGACGCACAGCTCTGGACAGCTCCGCTAACAGCTCAACGTAGCGCACTGGCTCGCCATTGAGGGCGTTCAGCCTTCCATCCCCCAGAACCCGACCTCGGCCGAATTGCGACCACAAGACTTGTTGCCCAAGGGTCCGGGCGCTAACCCTGCGCTGTCTGCCCTTGCTGGAAATGATGCTGCCTCCGGCCAGCCCTCTGTTAAGCACATTGTGAGCAAGGAGCTCATCCTTTACTTCGACAAGATCCAGGCTGCCATCCTCGACGATAACCCAGATGAGGAAGTCATTCGATTGCGTCAGGCCGCACTGGGGTCTGTCAGAGACGACCCCGGCCTGCATCAATTAGTTCCTTACTTTATCAACTTCATCATGGACAGGGTCACACATCAGCTGGACGATACATTCACGTTGAAGCAGATGATGGAATTGACCAACGCTTTGATTGAGAACAAGAGCTTATTCTTGGACCCGTATGCCAGTTCTCTCTCTGCACCCGTGCTGACGTGCCTGATGGCTAGGAAACTGGGCACGGAGGAGGGTCAGGATTCTCTCAAAGAGCAGTATGATCTTCGACAGCTAGCAGCCTCACTGCTTGGCCGCATTGCACGCAAATACTCAGCCTCAAACTCGTTGCTCCGACCAAAACTTACAAGGACATGTCTAAAATACTTCCTGGACCCCACGAAGCCTCCTGCCGTACTGTATGGCGCCATCCACGGCCTGCTTGAGGCTGGAGGAATGGAGGCAATCCGAGTCTTGGTTTTGCGAAACCTCAAAAGTTTCGACTCTGGAATTCTACAGCCCCTGAAAGAAAAGTCGGAGGGCTCGATCGAATACGAGATGCTCGTCCAGGGGCTGGTGCAGGCCGTCGCCTCTCTCGCGCAGAAGACGGACACTACGGATGCTGCCGACGCGCAGATGAACGGGATAAACGGCAACGCCCCCGCTTCGGAACTTTCTGACCTAAATGACTTCATTGGTCCCATTGTCGGCGAGAAGATTGCGTCCACTCGCAATCACCAGCTGATCAAGACCATTCTCGATGCCCGGTTTTTAGAATAAGGGATACTAGTCAGGGGGAAACAGCTACAGCTGACGCAGCATATGAGATGGCGCACGGCGTTTCGGATTGGTTGATATCCAGGAGTTGAGCTCACATCCTATCACTGATACATGGCATTCGGGTTGTTTGTAAACTTTTTAATAAAATATTTTTGGACAATTAAATCAAAAAAGGGCCCTTTGACGGCCATTTATTTTACATACACCGCCCGCTGCTTGCCCGGTGTTGATTTTTCCTTCCTTCTCCCAAACCATCCATTGATGCTCCTTTACAAGCCAAAAGCCAGGTAACCACCACCGAGGAAGCTGGATATCCACAGAGCAGCCTCTCCCCTCTTAATCTGGGTCTTGGCGAATCCAATGCCCAAATCGTAGACCAGGTGCTTGATGCCGTTGATGAAGTGGAAGGTGAAGGGGAAGGCCAGAGCGAACTTGATGGCGCCCTTGACGACGAAGGGCAGGGCAGCGAAGCCGGATGCCAACGCGGCACTCTCGACGTGGAGGCCCAGGAGAGGGGAGGCGAGGTATGCGGTGAAGTAGACGTAGGCGGCGCCGGAGAGCACACAGCCGGTGATACGGGTCCAGGCGGAGGCGCCGAACCAGGTCTGCTCCATCTTGTAGATGCCCAGGTTGGGGGAGACGGGGCGGTTCAGGCGCTGGTTAACGAGCACTTGCTGGCCTTCCTCTTGGGAGAGCTTCTGGGTTGATACGGGTCTGCGGGAGAGAGAACGAGGGAGAGAGTGTTAGCAAGCTGTTTCCGTCCTCTTTGTTTCCTCGGTCTTGTCTTTCATATGGAGGGGCAGTCGGATTTTTTGGCGCGTGGCTTACCGGGCCTGGGAGGTTGACATGGCGGAGGCGAGGACCATGCGCGGGATGTTCTGGCTGAAGAAGACATTGGGCTTCGTCGCGCCTATGAGAAGAGCTTCCATGTCAGAGACCGTCTGTGGTGAGGCTATTCGCAGATTGCATGTGAAGCTGCCGAGGAGGGGAAACAGAAAGAGGACGTACTGCGCACGGCAGCGAGGCCGAGGCGATGGGCGATCATGTTGGGCGAGAGAGGCTTGGATTGGAAGGAGGAGATTCGAAGGCCAGAGCGGCGATTTTTCTTTCAATTGCTGTTCGACGTTCCCCCAGACAAAAGAAGAAGCCGTTTCGCCGGTGCTTTCGTCGGTTTGCGGGTTTGGAGCGAAGCTTGTTCGGAACGGAACTGCGTCGGTTCCTCGGTTTAGGTGGGCCAATCAGCGAGCTCCAATTCATCATCTCCAGAATTACAAATCACGTGAGAAGAGATGCAACCGGCATCACGTGCTAGATGTAAATGCTGACTCATCCTTTGTTTTCTGGTGGCCCTTAGGAAATTTCGCTCTCGTGGGATTTTCTTCTCTTTTCTTTCTTCTCTTTCTTCTCCAGATAGTCACGAATGTCCGCCGCGCGGTGTCTACTATGGACATCGATTCTGGCAAGGCCTTTTTGGCTTGAGGATGTTTGGAGAGGAATTCTTGAATGGATCCTTCGTTAATCTCGGCATTTGGTTGTTCTCCGTACCGGTGCCGTTTCATTCTGAGATCTACATTTCCCATTGCTGATGACCACTTTGTGTGACTGTGACTGTGCTGTATTGTCTAGTGTCACTATCATAGAAGAGCTTTTGCAATGGAAGCCATTCGGACAACTTTGTAGTGCTGTTGGACTCTTGACCTCGATGCTGTTTGGATCTTCAATTTGCTGCTTTGCAACAAAACTGAGTGTGTGGCGCATAGCTCAGCTACAATCTCATTCTGCCGTGGAGCTACCCTGATGCTGTTTGTTGACAAGCGCTCGAGACAGATGAGAAGTACTCTAAGCTGCGTTGCTGTTCCTTTGAAGCCATCTAATGGGTTGCATGAGGTTTCACTATCAATATGATGATTGTATCTTGTTGGATTATCACAATACGCAATAACCCAAGGCTGTTCACTTCGTGGATCACACTACGTAAACACATCCTACCGCATGCATAACGCCAAACATTGGTGTTCACAATATTTCAGAGACTTTAGCAATCAAATTTCTGTAAAAGACTTTTGATCGCTAATGATATTAATTAGAAACAAATCGCCCAAGTAGCTTGATCCGATTCAACTGATCCAGTTTGCAAAACCATGTGCAACACGAGATACATAGTAGCCGCTTCAATTGTAACCCAGCAGCTTCTGCAGCTCTTCCTTGAGGCTCTCAATCGGTCGGCCAGTTCCGGGCTCTTGCTTGTACGAGTAGTCCGCGTCGTAGCGATTCTCTTCATCAAACAGAGCAACAGTCCCCAGCATGGTGTATGCTTTAGTGAACAGCCGAGTCTTCACACCCTTCTTAGTGTCTTCATCCCAGAGTGCAAACCCTTCTTTTTTAAACGCTTCAATATCGACATCGATCACCTTCCATTCTTCGCCAGATGAGATTTCATTAATAATGTCGATGAATTCGTTTGTGCTGACGGCATAATCTGCAACGTAGGCGACACGATTGCGATACTTGTCTGTGTTTTGAAGAACAGTTACAATGGTCTCGGCGCAAAGTTGCAAGCGACTGATGGACACTTTTTGGTTGCCAGATCCGAAGCGAGTGATGGTCCGCTGCTTCTTGTCGATCCAAAAGAATCCACCCTCAATACCCCAGTCAAACCACCCTCCAGGAATGATGGCCGTCCAGGAGAGCTTGCAACCAGGCGCCGATGTGAGCTCTTCAAGCTCCTTTTGAGCCTTCCGCTTAGGTTCAAAGATCCCGACTTCATCAGCGTGAGCTGAGAAAGAATCAGTACTGAACTCAGGAGTAATCAGACGTTGCACCCCAGCAGCCAGGGCGGCTCGCACGATAATGCTTTGGTGCTCGGCTGCTGCGGGATTGAATGCTTCGACAAGAGCATCTTGGCCCTTAAGAACCTTGGTAAGTGTCTCAAAGTCATCGTAAGAGGCCTTCTTGACGGTGACTCCTTCGGGATAGGTAGCGGTGCTCTCTGGTCTTGCAATGATTGTCACGACGAAGCCAGCATAAAGCAAAGCTGGAACTGCAGTTTTGCCGACATTTCCGGTGGCCTGATGAGTTTAGTTGTGTAATTTGATTGCAGTAATTCAGTGAATATAATGGAAAACTTACTCCAAGAACTGCGACGTTCTTGATTGATGACATCTTTTCTGCTGCAAAGGGTTGAATTGAAGACTCAATAGCTCAAATGCTCTTTACTCATAATGGTGTGTAAGTTAGTGGTTTCAATCAACAAAAGAGGGAGATACATCAGGCTTTTATAGACATCCAGTCGATCAAATTCCAACTCATCTACAACTCGCGTTCCAAAGGCAAAGTACACCCATATGGACAAACAGCGATGCCTCTCATACTGCAGCGCAACTTCTGATTGGATGGCACTATCATCGGAATTCTCAAAACGGATTTACAAAACAGGCGCTAATGCATCGGCCGAACCCTGCTCATGATTTATAATTTGCCTAGTTCTGTGCTGGCCGTAGGTTAAACGTCCGGCCCCACGGTAGCAACGTCTCGGGAGTTTTATTCCGTCCATCTTATAGCTTACATGCCCCATTAACAGAATCTCTGTCTCATACAAGTATCTTTGAGGTCATAAAATTACAGCTATCCGCGGAGAGTTGACTTGAATGCTACAGCACGGTTGTGTCTGAATTGATAGTTTCAAGACCATGCAGGCATCGGCTTCTACAACGGACTACACGACTCTGCATATTCCGCCGCAATTTCCAGTCTTTGGCAGAGCGGCTGGGGTTTGCCATCAATGCAAAAGAGCCAAGACCCGCTGCGACAGAGCTCTTCCTGCCTGTAATCGATGCATACTGTATGTATTCTTCGTGTTTCAGCACAGTGCTCCCATGGACCGGCCATTCATACTCATGTTCGTCTAGGAAAAAGACTCGCTGTGTCTATGGGCGCCAAATATCCACCGACAACTCCGCTGGCGGACTTTGCTCCGGAGAAGGAGAAGATGTCATGCCATTCAAAGATACTCGGGAATGCTGTCTCGCTAAAGTACCTCTTGACATGTGCTACAAGTTCGTTGGGACGATATCAGTGGCCCTACTTAGTGGCGTTGATGATGCCGAGCAAGAGGCATCACTTCTTCGTATGACACTCAAGTCAGCAGGATTGACCGCCACATCCATTGTTCAAACTTACAAGGATACGATTCATAGTTGGTTTCCGATCATGACCGATGATCAAATCGATCAACTTGTGGAACATTATGCTTGGGGACAATGTCGTGGCACTGACGGAATACTTCTTCTATCCATGGCATTGATATCCCAACCACCTTGCGAAAACTGTGACCTTACCATGCACAGCAATTTATACAAGGCGGTGAAGCAGTCATTTCTTCTTCTACAAACTACTGCAAAATCATATTTAAAGGTTCTGCAGATCGGGCTTTTAATCTCCCTCTTCGAATACGGCCATGGCCTTGACCGGGAGTCTGAATTGACAATTGCTGGTTGTGCAGTCATTTGCAAATTAAACAATATTGGCTCTGTTGCTGAGAGTAAAGATGGCACAGGAATAGGCATAGATGCCACCTGCCGGAAGGCAGTCATTATTATGGACTGGTATGTGCACTAGAGACATGTCCATCTCCGAATGAAAGCCTATGACTGATCTATAGACAACAGCCTGGTAAAATTACCAAAATCTTCAAAGGAAGAACAAGTGCTCAAAGATAATGGCTCAAATTTAATAGCGGAAGATGCAGAGCTGGATGCTAAAAAGTTCAAAGAAAGCTGTGGCTCATCATCCAACTTTGAGATGCTCTTCCAAGTTGCAGGAGTCGTCCGAGAGGCAACACAGTATATCACGAATAATGAAACATCCCAGTCCTCTCCAAATTCGTATATTGCAGTAGAATCACGGCTTCGAAACCTTTGCTATGCCCTAATTCAAGCCGCAGGGCCTAATTCTCTCATGTTTTGCGACAGCATTGCGCTCGCACTTAGGTACGTTGCCACGGTATCGATTAATCAATAATTTTATGAAGCTGACCATATGAATCTAGTTTCCTATTTGAACTAAACGCATTTCATTTGACGAAATTCCAAGGATCTGTTAGTGAGGCGGATAGACTGGCTATAGAGTCATCCCGTCGAATGGCGGTTGACATCTGCAAGTCCATGAACGAGATAGTGCCAAAGAAAGGAGTCAAAGGACTTTCCCTCATTGGGCTTTCAACCACATGTCGAGCCGCTCAGTTACTGGCTAGAACCACACCCAGCTTGTGCGGAGAGGGAATGTTTACCATTCCGGATCTTGAAGCTCTGGATCGTGCACAACACGAATTTACTCAGAGGTGGCGAGTTGGAGGTAAGAGACAAATTTCTACATATAATGTGCTCGTTTCCTCATGAATTCCTAATTACGATATATAGCAACATATAAAGAGCTAGCGGTCTAGCAGAATAGATTAATTGTGAGAGTTTACCAACAACCATAATGTTCATAAATATTCTCTTTGGCATCATTTTAACAACACGGTCAATAGCAATGGGCGCTCAATGTACAATCATGGAACCTTTGAACTTTGCAATCAATTAAAACGATTAATAGTTTAATACAAATTCCTGCATACTAGTTAAAAAAGAAAGAACTGATCACTTTAATATACTCATGCCGGGAACCTGAGTGGGACGTGCAACTTCCTGTCAAGCCCTAGAGTATCTCGAATCGTACTCGCACACGAAGCCAGCCAATCTTTGATCTTTTCCCAAATCTTATTGATCCCTGTCGTCAGCCACGAGACAACCGTGTTCAACCAACCAAAGATGGAACCCCATGGAATGAAGTAAACGGCCGCCGCTACACCTGGCGCGACCAGCATCGCAGTCCCTGCTGAGAGTGCTGTCATGGAAGCTGCTGTCGCTGTGCTAATCGCATATCCAATAAACTTGTACTGTACAAATATCCCTTCCGCGGACATCTTAACGAGCCCAGTTGAAGCAAGCTTGGCGGCACTGGTAAGAATACCAACAATCGCGGAAATTGGGGCTCGGAAGTCGTCCCACCAACTTCCTTCCATTTTCACTCTATCCATCTTCTCAATGTGTGCGCGAAGCTTGTTTCGATCGAAATCAGAGATGGCAGAAGAAGTCTCAGACAGTTGCCCTAATTGACCGATGTGAGAGCCGAGGTTGAACACGACACCAGGTCCAAGCCAGAGTTTGGCTTCATGATACATCCCCTCCCAAGATCGAACGGCTTGTCCGTGGAATTTTGAATAGCCATCGACATGAAGGTATTCGTTGGGGTTGTCATTGATTGCGCACCGATATACCTTCAAGTCAATGATCTTGAACCCAACGTCGAAGTATAGGTGGCTGATAAACCCACTCGTGATGATCACAAGGTTGTCATATAGTCCTGATTTCTCGACGACAGCGGTCACTGCGCCGAGCCTAATGTCGTCTGTCGCTCTGATATCAAAATCTAGTATTATAGACCGTTAGTTAAATGGATGGGACTGCCTATTTGTCAATTTTCATGAGAGCACTACTTTTTACCCGTTGGAAAATCTTTTCCTGCTTCTTCTGGTTTATCTTATTCGTCAAACCTTCGATGGCTCCATGGCGGCAAACAATAATTACAAATGTGTTGGGATCAAATTCTAGCTGCTTGACATAGTTGACCAATGATTCGATTTCTCGACTCAGGCTCGAACCGTTCCGCGGCCGGAATTCCTCGTGTGCAGATAATTGTGTCATGATGGAATAATGGTGAGGAATATTTGTCTATGAGAATCCAGCAAGAAACAAGATAGATTTCAACGCTCTGTCGTATTAGCACGATCTTCTAGCGCCCTCCCATTGAAGCGTTTCTGTAAAAACACACACGGAAAGATGAGAAAGAAGATGCGGAGGGGGTATTTATACGATTACACTTCAGCTGCGAGGGTAAACATGTCTTAAATCCATCCCTTGCGGAGGTGTTGTTCATGGTCATACGGCATAATGTTGACGTCAGTACGCGGATCGTCAGTCGAATCAAATGGCACGAAATTAACCGGTGAGGGCAAGCCAAGTCAGCTTAACTTTAAATGCGTCGAAAACAAATATCCGTTTCACCACAGCTATATGTAGACCAGTCGCCGTCTGACAACAAACAAACTTTGTTTGGCGAAGTTGGGCGGCCCACGAAGGGATTGGACGGCAGAGACAAATGTGTCGGTGAGTGTGTCTCACCCTGACATCGACGCAAGGGAGGAATTGCTATTGATGAAGCAATGAGCTATTGCATTCAAGCAAGAGGCAGCTGAACACGTTTTTGTTTCAGAACATATGTGCTGATTGAATTGAAAGACCATCGGATGCATCGGGCTTTATCTTTGGTTTGATCTCAACCCACCAGCGAATGCAGAAAGAGATAAACAACATGATTATTAACGAGTAATCAGAATGCGAAAGTGTCGACATTTGAAAAAGGAGTAATGAAAAAAAAAGTCTGGGGGTAAAGGCAGCCTATAAAAATCCAGAAGATGTAGCCTTTATTCTACATTGTTAGCCAAACAGTGTAGATCGCCGCCGAGTTTAACATAGCTGTACTACCCGTTAACACGCTAATGTTAATAGGAGAATCCCAGAGGCAAAATAAAACTGTATATCAGCCTGTTCCTGGAAAACTGGAGCAAAAGTCTTCCTTGTAATCATGCTATCCTAACCAATACACCACCTAAATCTCAATAGCCATGTCTCCTTCCGCATTTAGATGTCTAAGCTAACACTACTTTTAATAGTAGCTTCTAGGTACATCTTCAGAATTACAGCTATGTGTTGACAATCGTCCTTCCACATGAGTCCCAGTGAAAGTAGTCTCTTACCTATCAAGGAAATCCTTCAATGTACTTATTCAAAATAAACATAGTAGCCATGGAAGTAGCTGTTATCTACTTGTTAGGATATTCGGAAGTTATAAAACTCGAACAAGTTCCAGTTAAACATGTCTGTGTCATACTGTTGGCAATTCAATATGAAACTTGTCTTCTATAGGTATTTACAGCAGTAGCTTTTAGCAGTAGGCAGCAGATACTTCGATTTGCCTTCACTGAAGAATCATTCTATCAACTACAATGTCTTAAGATCTCAAAATGATTGAATCATTTTTAGGCAGGTCTATGTGTGAAGCCAAAAAAGCTAACTTTCCTATGGCTCTCTCTACGGGCTGTTCGTTGCAGACACCACACCGTATCTGAACTACCTATTCAATCAAATCATGATTGCCGTTGATTCTTGTTCATTTCGAACCCAAGCTCATGAAGTATTTCAGCATTCGTGGGTAATCTGGAGTACCCAAACCTGATACCGGATCCCAACCCTTAGCAGCCAAAAACCCAGGGGTGCCACAGCCAGATGAGTTACCCGCTGTGACATCGTTTAGGACGCTGGGATTGGCATACAAGGCTGGGGTGACAAAGCCGAGGGTTGGCATGCCCGCCTTCAATCGCTCAGTATTAATTCGAGTAAGAATACCGGCGACAATTGGGGCGGCTGCCGATGTACCGCCACCGATCCAGACGTCGTCGAAACCAACCGTGATAACACGATAGCCAACTGCTGAGACATCAGGGAATCCGCGGCCTCCACGGTTGAAGATGCCACCGCCTGCACCAATGTTCTTGCCCTCTGAAGTGTTGTAGTACTTGTACGGCGTTGGGTTTTCATCAAAATACTTGTCAACGGCACTCTTTTGCCAGTCAGGGGTAGGGTAAATGTTCGAGAATCCACCGCTGGAGAATAAATCGCTGGTGGCGATCTCATGACCCTCTTTGCCGTCGCTATGGCCTGGAGCCAGCTGGGTTGAGCCAACGGCCAGCACATATGGGCAATTTGTGAGTGTCAACGGATTGAAAATGGTAAAGTCACCGTTTGCGTCTTCGATACAGCTGCCTCCGTTGCCAGCAACGCCGAAATCGCCTGTTGCTCCGACTATCGTCACGCCCTGTAGACTGAGTTTCATCCATTCACTGCACTGGCGTCGGTCATAGTTTACGCTTCGCTGCTGTTCCTCTGGGCTGTAAGAGATGGAAATGACGTTGGTAGGCTTGAACAGACCGCACATCCTCTCCCCCTTGTAACCGTTCGGGTCTGGGTAGGTTGGGTCGTACTCAGGGCTGTCACCCGTAATGTTGAAAGCGGTGCTGTTGCAATAACTGCCGTCAAGAGCATCGAGGAAGGTGTTGAAGTAACCTTGGGTCAAGTTTACTTGCCAATTCAGGTCATCGACATTGTAAACACGGACATTTTGAGGGTACACGATCGGGTAGGCGCAAGTTATATCCAGCATGGCCTCGAGGTCGCCTGTAGTGTGGGAGGTATCCTGATCGCTGAATCTCATAGCACCATCAATTCCAGTAAATAAAGGCGTGCTGTTGGTAGGAACATGTCTAAGGTAGATGTTAGTTGTTTTATCCTATGCCTCAAAATGCCAAGTAGCTTACGTTGCGAATTTTTCGAAGAATATGCTTAGTGCGGTTTGGTTGTACGGCTGTCGCTCGTAGATGCCCAGTTCATTACCTTCGATGGCAGAATCAAAGATAGGTATGTTGTACATGTTACGGATACAACGGGGTGTGATGAAGTCATTGCAGTTGCTTGTGACGTTTTGGCCACCTAACGGGGCTGCGGGAATCACATCATCCGGATTCGTGTTGGCCTCCCGACGAACCCGCCGCTTCTCAACATCACCGGCAATCTGTAGCCTTGTAGTGGCTGGGGTAATGTAGTCAATATGGTCCATAAGATCAGCCGGGATGGAGTATTCGTCCGTCCCAACCTGACGAATACCGGTCTTCTGGTTCTCATATATGTCGTAGGTTGCATTAAGGAGTTTCTCGAGCTCCCCTACAGTAGCATGAAATTGTATCCATTGACGATTGTCTGATCGATACACGCGGTCCAACTCGATACCCTCAGTTTCGAGCCAACTATGGACCGCATCCACGCTGTCGTCATGAGGTGCAAACAGATCATTCACCTCATCTTGGGTCATATGCTGGCCATAGTTGGGCGAGTCGGGGTTAGACCTTGAGGAGAGTCAGCCGTATAAGAGTCCATGGTTTAGATCATCGCATACCTTTCCATGAGAAGCTCATGACCAAGGTCGAGATTCCGCTGCGTCAGACCAATGCTTACAGGCAGAAGGCCATTGCGATTGACACCGCCTATTTTAACCCATTCACCCGTGGACTCTACTGCACGCTCGTGGATGACATGTTTAGCCAACGAATTCTCAACGAAGACCACTGCCACAGAGTAGAAAAGTGTCCAAGATGTGCGTGACGCACGCATGTTTTCGATATTATTTTGGAAGGTGTTTTGTATGATATAGAACAACAACTGAAGAAAAGTAGCGATCAAAGTACCAAGATATATAAGAAATCATATAAGACCATTCGTCTAACACACATATAGCCATAGCAGTAATCACCTGGCACAGCCTCCTTTAGTTCTGAGTAGTACAGGGCTCCCCAGCATGAAGACTCTCGTATTGGGCGATAAGATATGTAAACATGAAACGTGAAACAACCATCGTGCATACAAAATGGATCCAGTCTACACACTGTGTGATGCGATGAATCAAACCCCGTGAGAACAAGGGCTCTCTGGAAAGTTAACTCTCAGAGAAATACTTGAATCTGCACCCCGCTTCAAGTTCCGGTATTCCGAATCTCGCCGCCGGTCATCAACGCAACCAATGGTTTCAAGTATTCGAGATAGGCGCAAGGCACCAGGATACTACTCTAACTCTACGAGTATATGTCATGGTGTCTAAAAGTAAGCATCATACCTTGCTATAGACGCAAGTAAGGCGGTCAACTTGGTTGCCAGTCCCGTTTTTGGACATCTCAAAGGGCCCTCAAAGTAAGCTCTTACAACACGTTGACTACATGTATATCAACAACAAGCGAGAGCAGAATGCTTAATTGCCTGATTCTCGTTATATAAAACTGCCATATTTTCTCTCAAATACATAGTAAGCATGCTTTGTGGTCAGTTTTTTTATTGGACGAGTTACAATATTGTTTATTATTTAATTTGTATGCCCTAGAATCAAAAGTTCAGGGGCAAGCAGGCTGTGCTGCAAGCTTCATGTTGACAACTGACAGACACGGTCTTAATTCATACCGTGCGGCAAGTTTCCCCCCAATCAAAGAAGAGCCGGTTTATCTCTTGATATTAGCCGTTATACACCAACAGGAAGTTGTTCGTATCCGAATTTAGAAGGTAAGGGGACTTTTGGATAGTATTTCTTAAATTCATGAAAACAACTGGCCGAGATTAAGACTGGGAGACATATAAATTGCATTGGTTTGATACTCTCAAAGTCTAGGCACGCAACTCTAGAGCTAACGACATTCAACCAAACTTACAATGAAGAGACCAGCTACTGCTACTGTGGCAGTGGCTCTGCTCGGCTTAGCTGTAGCTCGTGTGGTGCCATCAAGCCATGTACGGCATGAGGTGCGTGACGAGCTCTTGGACTCTCATTGGACAAAGAGGAATCGCATTGAAGGAGCTACCACAGTTCCGGTGAGAGTTGGCCTGGCCCAAAGCAACCTCGATATTGGCGGAGCTCTGTTGATGAATATATCTTATCCCGACTCAGAGCACTATGGAAAACATCTCTCAGCGTCTGAGGTGGACGAAATGTTTGCGCCGTCAAAGAAGAGAATAGAGGCTGTTACTAAGTGGCTCAAATCCGCTTTAAGTTACAGAGTGATCAATCTATCTCGAAGCCGTCAATGGCTGGAACTCAATGCCACGGTTGCGGAACTTCAGGATCTCCTTCACACCAATTATCACGAATATGAGAACAAGATATCAGGCAGGACTGCTCTTGGTTGTCAAGAATATCACATCCCCTTACAACTTCGGGATGACGTCGACTTCATAACACCTGGCGTTGTGATGCTCGAGATTAAGAAGCGGGACGAGAACTCCGTTCGCAGTTTTGGTCCGATGCTGCCTAAACTGACACCTACACTGACTACGCGGCCGGAAAATCCCGGCAACCTTTCGAACTGTTCCTTCATGGTCACCCCTGAGTGTGTCCGCGCTATGTATAACGTAGCAGATAAACCCAGAGCGCACCCAAATAACTCAATTGGCATATACTCAACCCAGGGGCAGCAGTACGGTCCGGACAGCCTCAGCACTTTCTTCAAGCTCTTTGCACCTGAGATCCCCCAAGGAACACAGCCAGAGTTTCAAGGCATAGATGGGGCGCCTACTCCCTCTCCATTACCGTATGACGCTGCCGAGGAGGCCGATCTTGACTTCCAAGCGTCCTACCCCCTTGCCTATCCAGCCAAAGTGGTTAATTATCTAGTTGATGATTTCTATTATGAGGCTGGAGGCGGCGGGATTAGCGGCCTCTTCAACACCTTCCTCGATGCTCTTGATAAATCATACTGTACATACTCTGCGTACGGTGAGACGGGCGACCTTCCGGGTGTGGACCCAACTTACCCGGACACGAGTGAAGGTGGCTATGATCAGCCGGAACAGTGTGGTGCCTACACTCCAACCAATGTTATCTCAATCTCTTACGGTGAAGATGGGACGAGCCTGCTGATGAACTACCAGCGACGTCAGTGCAATGAATGGATGAAGTTGGGCTTACAGGGCGTTACTGTCATTGTAGCTTCAGGAGACGGTGGTGTGGGTGGCTTTGGCAGCTCTCAATGCTCCAATGGTCCCTTTGTCACGATATCACCGGCAGACTGCCCTTTTGTCACCGCTGTTGGAGCGACAAATCTCACAACTAGCAGTATTCGCGGCAACGTGGGGATGTCAGAGCATGCGGGTGATTTCAGCGGAGGCGGCTTCTCCAACATCTTTGGGACACCATCTTACCAAGCCAACGCCGTAAACTCATACTTTAGCAATCACCCGCCGCCCTACGACTATTATAACATCACGCTCAACACTACACATACGACGGGACGGTATAACCGTGGTGGTCGTGGATATCCTGATGTTTCCGCTATAGGAGTGAACTTTGCGACATGGGTTGGAGTCAATGATGGCATCACGCTCGCAGAAGGAACGTCTGCCTCTGCCCCTGTGTTTGCGGGCCTCATTACACGCATCAATTCGTTTCGCTTGAATGCGGGCAAGAAGCCTGTTGGGTTTATCAACCCGGTGTTATATCGACACCCGGAAGCATTTAACGATATCACGACTGGCCACAGTGGGGGCTGCAATACTGATGGATTCAGTGCTGTCGAGGGTTGGGATCCGATAACTGGCTTGGGAACGCCCAACTATCCCAAGCTGAAAGAAGTGTTCTTGAATATGCCGTAGGAAATCTGACCTACTCTTACCTTTCAGCTCGTCACCTTTGAAGACGGTGTAGGGTAAAGAAACACCAAAGATAGCAAAGTTCAAGAGTTGTTAAAATAAATGATGAGGGTTCATCGAGATAAGCCATTTGGCAGTGTAATTAGAGGTCCAAAAGTGAACATCCTGGTTTCTTTATAACTTGCCTCAACTAGCCTTGTTCAGTACAACTGCTTGCACTACTCAAGTTCAAGGTTGTCTGTTTTTGAGCGGTAGCATTTGTAAAAATAGCAATACTTCTTAATGATGAATACTGGGTCCGATGGGCATGTCGCCTGTCAATTTCTGTAGGTTTAGGATCAAGGCGTTAGTATGCTTAATTTGCTCTAGCCGAGATGTAATAGAACATACTTCGATTCCTCTAGTCTGGGCAGAAGTTATGAAAAACAGCCAAGTCTACATTGCCTCAAGAAAACAAAAGGGAACCGTCTGCGGATGACACGGTAGTAGAATCGATCTATCAGTGCCAAACGCACGATGAATGTAACAATTGGGTAGCAATTGTCCCGAAATATGGACACTAAGATTCAATACGAGCATCGAAAACCGCTGAGGAAATTTAGCGGGTGCTTCAAAGCAAGCATCTTACAAAAGTTCTTCCCAGGCCGCAGGGGTTAGACACGAAAGCTTCTGCTGCTTGATGTACATTCCATGTCCTACCGAGTTGCCCTGTGCTATTCGACAATCTGGGGTGGTTGTTAATTTGTCTCTGTCACGTTGCACGTTGTATTATTACATGTAGTTTTCCCATAGCCCACTTTGCTGGTCTCTTACAACGTCTTTCCCCGCCATATACACTTGGCAGATAATCATTCTTCAAACCACTGAAGCAATATATTGAAACTTTACTCAAGAGAAGACAGGAAGCAACATCGTATTATATTAGCACTATTTTCCAATATACCGCCTTTATTCGGCATGCGACTGGCGTGCATCGGGAATTAGCTTCGGCAATTCGTTTTCGCTTAGCCCTCAAAAGAGGAGCCTAATTGAGCGGCCCTTTGAAGCCGTATTGCTTTAGTCAACTCTGTTGTCAAATCTTGGAGCAGTTAATTCTTCCAATTAGATCCTTCAAGCAGCTTTTGAAGTTATAACTCGGCCCTCGGTTCGGCACAGTGTTCTACCCGCTATAACATATTCAGCAACTGGGATGAATGGACGAATATCCGCTGGCGAAGTAAGCTTACTGCATCATAGGGGTGAACAAAATAGGAAGGCAGATCTAGCTAAGCAGTCGGGTTATAACTGAATATTGAGTTCTGTTAGTCAGATGAGTAAAACAATTACGACAAAGTTATTCAGTCGCGGATAATACCTAGCTGGAGTGATAGGAGAGACAGAGAAAAAGCTGATTTGTTTAGTGTAAACTATATAATTTTAATCATGAGCGGTTCCGTAAAATATCTGTCTAGCCGGTGGGAAAGGCTGGCTGTTGAAGGTCGATGGACCGTAAGTTATTAGGCTACGTACTACATGTATGCTTAAAGATCCCGCCGGTCGCTTTCCGTGAGCACGAAACGAAACATCAACCTGGAAAGATTACCAGATATGGAAAGAGGGCGGGGATCGGCTGATACCCAATACCCTTGGAAAGAGGCCCAGCAATTTGTAAGGACATTGTAAACAGATGCAGTCTTGAACCGCGAAAAACCAAGCCCACCAATAATACCGTTTTAACTCAGTCGCCCCGGGTCGTCGGGCCAATGCCGATCCCGGCATTATGTCTTTGTTGATGCTAATTGATTAGTACCACTAATCCAGGATACGACATACCAAGTTCAAAATACAGGCGTCAGATAATATAGGAAGCAGTTCTTTTGAGAGTATCATACACCCTTGGGGACTCTGATTCCCGAATTTCGGTAGAAAAGTCATTATGATAAATGGTTTTTGGTCCAAGCTGAGAGCCGACGTGCCCATGTACTGCGGAGAGCTGCTACTCCCCGAACATATACGAGTGCGTAGATGAGAACTGGAGTGGATGGCCGGACTTGGCAAAGAACAAGCCCCCTAGTGATCGGAAGTCGGTGAGACGGCTGATGGAAGTGACATTGGTGATGTGGTCAGCCGTGGAAGTGGTCAGCCATAACAGAGTCCCCGGCAGTGGTTCGATGCAAGGTACATGGATTAACCTGAGCCAATGAGGCGAGTTGTGAAGAAGGCTGAGTGGTACCTGAGATGATCTGGTCGGAAGGGAATCACAGATTGCAAAAGTTATAAATACTCCTCTTACTCCCCCCGAGCATTGAACTTTTAGAAAAGATCTAAACCAGCCTTCTAAACAACAATCTTCAACTCTCAATTAATCAAACAACTTACCAACCAACCAACCAACAACATGAAGGTCTACGCCGCTCTCCTCGCTCTTACTGCCGCCCTGGCCAGCGCTTGCAACACTTGCAACGTATGTCTCACATAATTCCTTCTCTATTACTTGTTATCTGTTACTGACAGTTATGAAGGACTGCCCTGGTGACCAAGTTTGCAACCACTTTGGAGGATTCGGAGTTACTCCCACCACTTTCTGCGTTGAGCCCAGCGACCCTAGCTGCAACGACCCCCGTGGCAACTGCGATACCGCTACCTGCTAAGCGCCTGCGTCGATGGAATGGAATCGAGGTTAATCTGGCATTCATGATGCATGATTCATGAGCATGTAAATATGGGTTTATATGAATAAAGATGAATTTAACGTCAAAATGCGTAATGGTTATTCACAAGCAGAAACATGTCCAAATGAGTGATGAGTTACAGTTCCATGTCCGTTGTGCCTGAAGGACATAAGCTATCTAAATATTTTGAGCTGTGTTGCTTCCATCTGTTGAAAAAGCGATCGCTGAGTGACTACCTGTGAGATATCGAGGTAGTAGTTACAAAATTGGAATACAAGGACCAAACAAGAAAAGGTCCAAAAGCCAGATGCCGCGCATATCAGGATATTTTCCTCCCTATTACTTGGTTCCACTTCTTAAACTTGGACTTGCCAAGCATACCGTCGTGCCCTTCGCCCTCCTTGCTCCATGCGTCCTTTGTTTCAGCTATACCCTTGGCAATCCAGCTGCCTTGCGCCATAAACTGATTCCATATCAAAGCTGAATCTTTGAAAGGGGCCATCTCTTCCTTTAGGTTGAGAATGCGATGTGCAATTTCTTGCGCCTCAACTTCCAAGTCATGGAATGTTGCTGGAGCAATAGCATATAAGAGGCGTGACTTGATCATTCGACAGACTGCGTATGTTCCTCGTAAAGCTAGACGCGTTAGACACCAGGGGCCTAACTTCCTATAGTCAAAGTCGCCAGGAAAGACCAGAACTCCATATTCATCTTCGCTAAGACCGCTGGTTTGGACTATGGGATGCTTCTTTATCAGACTTAGCCAAATCACGAGATTTTTACGCTTTGCCAAGAGGCGTTCTGTGATATCGTCAATGTCTTTCTGTGAAGGCGCACATGGTGAAAGCAACAACTCTGTTGTTCTTTTGAACAGTCTTGGCATCTCAATGAGGCCTCCCCATAGAGCAAGAGCAAATTCCTTGTCGTTTGTAAGAGTTGTGTCTTCACTAACGGCCTCTCGAATAACGGCTTGCCACTGGGATTCTTCCAGAAAGCAAGGCGTGTTATTCAAGAATGCTGACATCACCTAGGAGAAGAAAAAAAAAGAATTAGTTTACTAATCGTGGGTTTTCCTTGAGAACACGAATCTCCTTACCGTTGGCCCGATATGCGCCAGGAATAAAGCCTTTTCGAATTCTGTATTGAACATATGGGCGCCTCGAGCCTCTACTAGCCGAGCTGCACCGCCAACGTGGTGCATCCAAGAATCTTCCCTTTCATCTCCATTGAGAGCCTGGGGAAAAGAAAAACTAGTCAGTTAAACATTGACCATGATTGAACTCTCACTGCCCCGCAAGTAACACGAACCTCGAATATTCCCAATAGTTGTGTGGCACATAGCGTCTCTGGTTTTGCCCACTCGCGCTCATCGAGCAAGGCATGTTGCAGCGCCTTGAGTGCTTTTTGATAGTGCATCAGCGCCTTCAAATCGCCTTTGGGCGATCTATCCTCCTCTCGCTGGGATAGGTACTGAAGCTTTGCAATGACACAATCGGTTGCGTGGCGGAGCAGCGACACGTGCCCGTATCGGCTGGGTATAAATGACAAGAGCCTCTGACTTGAGACTTGGGCTGCGATGATACGATCTTTAGGCTGTGTTGGTTCGTATAAATAGTGAGAAAGCGTGCCGACACCGAGGCGGAGGCCAGTTAGCGGCATGAGATTAAGGAGAACAGAGAATTGCTTGGGCATCATCGGGTCTTGGAAGGCAAAAGGCATGGAAAGGGAGGGAGGCTGGTAAAAGCGCTGCAATTGATCTAGACTTGAGGCATCATCAAGAGCCTCTGAATCGTCGTCAAGCAACGGCTTGGGTCCCACGAACATGGGATACTGCCTCATGTTGTGCTTGCCATAGTCTCCCCTCTGTCTCCGGGCCGTGGCAGTGTCTTTCATTGCCTGCTGTCGGATGCGCCGCCGAACCTGCGCATCAGTGGCGAGGTTTGGACCATCATAGTTGACGAAGGAGAATGATTTGGTTGAGGCTTGTTGTGGCATCTTGTCTGTCTGTCAGTCAGTCTGTCTGTCAGTCAGTCTGTCAGTCAGTCAGTCAGTCAGTCAGTCAGTCTGTCTGTCCGGCTGCGGCTTCACGTCTCTGGATGGCTGAAAAGCGGATGCTGAAGCCGGAGTGGGTTGATCAAGGATCAGTAGCTCAGACGTGATTCTTTCCACGAATAATCAGCCTTTAGGGGCAATGTTGCCATTCGCACGCAAGGTTCATTGTTGGCTGGAAATGAGTGGAAGCGCGCTCAAGGAATTGAATCGACTGATGGCTTGATTACTATTCACAATTTCAAATCGAGTCTAGGCCATCGACAAACCTCCGACACAATGCACAAATGCGCCACATTAGGAATAATCATGGCCTTAGTGTAATGTAAAAGGGCAAGCTAGGTATCCTGCGAGTATAAAATGACTGGGTTTGTTACAAAGGACATCAATGTTAAGCACGTGTAAGTCGGAAGTCTCCATGACAGCAATGGGATGGGCGGCAGGGTTAGAGCGGCATGCCATGTGGGTTTAAATCGGAAACACATCGTGTATAATACATTTCTGTTTCCTCCCTCCATGCTACGTACAGTACAGCAATACATTGTTACTGGATAGTTTACACGGTAGAATCATGTAGTCTGCAGTACAGCTTACACAGTCTCTGCTTCGCTGGCCTAAGCGGATAATACGTGCTGCCAGATTCATCCTCAGCCATCACATCCATGCTGTTAATCTCGCTCACGAGGTCCGTGTGGAATGGCTCTGGAGGATGGCTCCAGACGTGGGTGACCGCATCGGACACGCATTCGATTTGAATCGCTCGAAACCCCTTTGCTGCCGCAGTGCGCATTAGGTGGTGCGCCAGTGATTTCATGATGCCCTTGCCCTCATACTCGTGCCGCGTGCTCGTCGCAGCCCGGAATAATACTTGACCTGCGCCAGTGGCTTTCCAGGAATTGTTTCGTTGATCGGCTGCTTGCAAGGCACCCATGGCAGGTCCGAAGCCAGGGAGAGCTGCCATCATATCCATCAGCCTTTCAGGATTCAGCGCATCGAAGCTGTCGTATGCCATAGCGACTGACACAAGAGGGAAATCCATCTGATCAAGCAGCTTGGTGAAGCTGACAGTCTCGTCATCAGCGTCCCAGTAGAGTCTTCCTGAAGTGGTGACGGACTCTGGCCGTTTGAACTCGTATTCTCTGTCAAAAACTCCCAATGAGTGGCCGGATTCAATTTGATGCTGTATCAGATATGCCATACTTTTGCAGACTTTGTAGGCACGCCGCGTCAACTCTTCTGGACATGAGGCTGTCCATACGGTTGTCTGATAGACGTTGCTAAGAGCTACAATGGCCTGGGCCCAGTTACAGTGTTTTGGCTCGAGCGGCCGAATCTCATAGCGAGATGGAAGGTTTGGTACCGATGCCATGAGGGCGCTATCATTTGCTGTTATCAAACAAATATAGATTAAGAAGATGGATAGGAGTAAAAAAGGGATCGCATTTGTCGAGAAACAATAGAAAATAAATAATTAGGGCCTGGATATGCGATGATGGATTGCCGGATACCCGATGAACGGCTATTTGCCACGCAGTCTATGTAAGTGACATGGCATGCGACGAGTCGACATACAGACACTTCAAAGCACTTGTAAACTTGGAACGCAATAACCTCTGTTCAACTGTGTAGTTTACTATTTTGTAGTCGTCTGTATTTAATTCTATTTGACCAAATTTCTCTCGTCTGGCTGCCGGATCTGCCCGTAACTACATGTCCCTACCTTATGCAAGATAGATTGGCACCCCACATATGATGCATCGTACCTAAGACACAAATATTTGCCTTCCTGCAGCACAACCGAATATTCCAGCGGCCTTTCGATTTTCAAGCTAGCCCCCGCACTCCGGACGACGAGAATCATTTGTCTTCCCTCTTCTAGCTTGGCTTATGACTTATGACTTATGCCTTATGACTTATGAGAAAGGAAAAGTCGAGAATCCCCGACCTCGGCTTGCTCGGGGTCGCCCCCGTCGCTTAGTCATGCGGAACTAGGATAGGACTAGGACTAGCAGCTCTCATCTCATATCGCCTTCTGGGATTCGCGATAAGTCACAGCAATCCACTCTCTCCCGCTTCATAAAGTGATTGGATGAGGCTTCAGCGTCTCGCATCAGCAAAATCTGCGGCATCTCGGACCGTCACTGCATCGGTGCCATCGCCGTGACTCCTCATGGACATTCAGGAATCGTCAAAGCCAAGCCGTCATCTAGATAGAGAGAGGAAACGAGCCGCGCGCGCGTATGTTTGTTTGGTGCTGACCCGAGGATATCACGGTTGTGTCTGACTCTGTCTGTGTAGGTGTGATGGCTGTCGCCGCCAGAAGGAAAGATGCGATGGAGGCGTGCCCTGTCGGAGATGCTTCCGGCTAGGTCGCCAGTGCGATTTCTCGGGCAGGGCCACAACTGAAGCGGACTCGCAGGCTGGCTCGGGACTGCGCCCTCCAAGGTAGAGCTCTCCCATGATATGATATGATGCGGAAGAAGTCAAGACGGAAGTGTTCTAACGGCCAAAGACCTCGCGCGCTGGATCATGGCTCCGCTGAACAAGCAAAGCGGCTTGAATATCTAGAGAGAATCGTCAAGGGCTACGTCGGAAGCAAGGATGCTCTGGATCTCGAAACCCTCAAGGCGTTGGCTCAAGCCACAGAGAAACGTCGGAACTCCCCTCGGCCAGCAGACACCTCCTCTCAGAGCTCCGAATTCGAGGGCGTGGATGAAAACTTTGAGATGCGGCCCCTCCATGGCAATGTCACACGTACGAACTCGGTCTTATCTATCTTACTAGCAAGTTGGATGCTTACGTTTGGCTGTTAGACTATTCTGGAGAGTTTTCGCATTGGAACTTTTCTATGCGCATCAAGAAATGGATCGACCAGAGTGTTCCAAATGACGCTTTAAATGTGAATGCCGGCTATTGCTGGTACCTTGAATTTAAGCTGACCAAGTTGTGTAGCATTCATCCAAATCACCAACAACCTTTAAGGAGTACTACCGCGCCGAAGAGCTGCAGTCGCATTCAGATGCGATAGGTGCATTGTCGCTTTTACCACCGAGACCCATCGCCGACTTTCTCGTTTATTCCTTCTTCAAGCATGCACAGACCAATTATTTCTTCGTTGAACAGAGCTGGCTCAAAGCCAAGCTCGATCTTGGTTATGAAAATTCGGCAGCATTCTCTAGGCGGGACGTGGGTTCAGTGTGCATCATCTTTGCCATTCTTGCCATTGGAACGCAATTCGCCTATCTCGAATCGTTGGTTGATGGTGCCGAGAATCCCACGGAAAAGGGACCTGATGCGTTTACCGAAGACTCCGTTGGGATACTATTCTATCAACAGGCATGCCGACTGCTTCCAGATGTAATTACGGCCTCATCGCTGGAGAGTGTCCAAGCCTGTTTGTTACTTGGCATATATACGCTCCCGGTTGATGCATCAGGACTGGCATACATTTATCTCAATTTGGCCCTTAAGCTTGCGATACAGAACGGCATGCATAGGAAATACCCCGTCGAAAATCGAGATGCAGCCGTTGTTGAAACCAGGAATCGGGTTTGGTGGAGTGTGTACACCATCGAAAAGTACGCTTTGCTTAACGACATCCCTTTTGCGCCGAGAAATGGGGAGACGTATTCAATAAGCTAACCAGAAATCTCTAGGCGTGTTGGAACCTTTCATGGTAGACCGACGTCTATATCCAGCACTGATGTGGATGCTGACTTTCCCGTTCATCGTCCTGATCTATGGTCCTCGACCTCGCAAACCGATACTGCACATATCTTGGCCACTTTTGAGCTGAACCAGCAGCTAAGTAAAATGTCTCGTGAAATGTGAGACCTTTGGAGATGGCCCGGAATCAAATCAAATAACTAATCGGTATATTCTAGAGCAATCTTGAGATCTGTGCCCAAACATGAAGTGCCCGAAGGGCTGAAAAGGCTCGCACAGCTTCACCGTGAGCTCAAGACGTGGTGGGATGCTCTGCCGAATGACATCTTTTGCAAAGAATTCACATCACAGTCGAAGATTTCTCGCAAGCATATGCATCTGCAGTTGGAATATTGCCTCGTACGCATGTATGTTGGTCGCGTCTTCATCTTCCCCGAGGCAGGGTTGAGGGATGGCAGCAGCCCATCCACGTCTGTGAACGCTCCTTCCAGTGCGTCTCTGGGCAAAAAAAGCACTCGTTCAACCCTGGTAGCAGACTGCATTGAGGCCGCCCTGTCAGTTATAGACACGTGTCGCTGCCTGCGAAATACGATTGGCCTTGCTCGAGCCTCTTACACAGAGTTCAGCTCTTGTCGGGCAGCTCTCCTCGTCATTACTACACAATGTCTTTCCCAGAAGACATACATGTTCAGACAGGCTTTGCGGGATGGCCTGTCGATGCTCAAGGAGATGTCGACTGGCAGCCAATCTGCACACTCCGAAGCCTCGTTGATTGAGGCTTTTGAACAAGCCATCGCCAACATGAATACGCAAGAGCAGACTACCAGCACTACAGTGAGCGAGTCCCAATACGCAAAGTTCAAAAGATGGGAGCAGCTATGGAAGAGCGATTCGCCGTTACCAGAAACAGCAGATGGAGGCGCTCAAAAGGAACAAGTGCCAATGGCACCCCCGGCATCAGAGCCACCGAAGCTAACAGGAGAGCCACAGAAAGAAGATACCACGATGATGCCGTCAAGTACCCCCTTTTTCGGTGTCGATGGACATTTCGCATCATTTCCGCAAAATCTGGATGATTTTTCGGCGTTCTTTGGGAATGAATTCGGATCGAATATTGACTCTGGACAGGGCTGAAAGACGTACAGGGTCAAGAAAAGGGTTGACTTTGAAGAACGATAAGGAACACACTCCATAACGGGATTGTTCACATTCTTCCGGTGGACAGATGATATAATGTACCCCTTGGTTCCACCTTTGGTGATAAACTTGGAACCAAAGGCGGAGCCAACGAGAGCACAGCAAGCACAGCGTTTTGGTTCAATCAGAGGTGGTCAACCTGCTCGAGGCTGGCTCCATGGTACAATTACAAAACCCGCAGCCGCGCAAGGCTATGTAACTATGAGAGGGGAGGAGGCCGGTTTCTCCTTGGGGGCCAGCAAAACTCCGACATTGTGTTTATTTTAAGCATCTTGCAGCGCAAGCCAGGGCGAGCCGGGGAGAGTCGGTCGATCTATATGGAGCGTCATGGTTTATGAGATGCTTTCGAGATATCTCCTCAGCCATTTATTTTTATCCAAACGAAATTGGCAAGGCACAATAACATCGTCTTTCACCAGCGGAAACTTGACGGAACCCGCCAGGAATTAATATACTGTTATATGATTTTCGACGTCAATGTGCTTGCAAAAGTGACATCACGCAGGGATACAATCGAAAAAAACGTCTCTCTTGATCTAAGATTAGCTCCTGGAAAGGGGGGCCCTGTCAGAAACAGGTCAATGCTACCATGGCCTGGCGTGACAACCTTGCAAAATCGGATCAGTGCCATCCGTTTGAAGTGGCAAAGCCTCGTATTTGGCAATCCGTCATTTTGTTTTCTTTTGGTTTCTTTTGGCGTTTGCCGCAGCGATTGTTTGTCTGAGATGGAGCCGTGCACACGCTTCTTCTTCGCCAATCGTGAAACCCTGCAGCAAACGAATCCTGCGCCGTCTGTGCAGGTCGTTTGAAGGGTACAATTGCCCCAAACAAGGCGGCTAACCAGCGTCTCATTGGCGCCTCAGTCGTGTCGCGGCGATGCTCTGCTTGGAATCTCCATACCAGAACGATCAGCCGCCTCTGAAGCTACTCCAAAAACGTTACGCCAGCGCGGGGTGAAACCAGGCACGCACAGCCTTCTATTGGCCTGACGACTTCGTTTCATTTCCCAGGGCTGCGGGGAATGCAGGTCTGAAACCTCCGTTGCACAGCCCTCTTGGCCGTGCGGAATGGTGATGCGGTTCATCTGTTTACTGGACTGGTAACAGACATGCGGACCTTGGCGGACCAGCGCCCGCGGACTGACAGTGACCAAGTGAGGGCGAGGTATATACATGGCTCAAGGTGAGCTGATGGCTCAAGGGATGTGATGTGATTTGTAGCTTCAAGTTTTTCCGTCACCTTTCTTCAGCCAATACTTCTTGAAAACAAGCAGAGGTATCGAGATGACGCGAGACACAATGGCGACCACACTTGGACGCTCAATTGAGCAATTAGACGGCATCACCAAACTCCTCACGACGCGCTGCACGAATACTCAAGAGAGTAACACGTGCGAGAAGCCCACATCACACACGCAGATTGTGGTTGGGGTCGTCGTCGCAACAGGGTGAGGCCTCCATCGTCATGAAGCCTCAGGTGGCTTTTTTTTTTCTTTTAAATCAACTTCAATGGCAAACTCACTGACTCTTCTTTTTTCCTTGGCCGTGTTCCAGTCTTCTTATCTTGGGGTCGGCACTATTTACCCTAGTTTGGCTGATTCTGAGGCGGAGGCAAATTGACAAACTCGAAGATGCGACCGATCCATTCGAACTGGCCGCCTATGGCCTCGAGCAGACACCGGTCCAGAAACAGAGGCGACGCGATCGCTTCAAGATGATGCTGGGGAGAAGATGAGAGGGAATCTATCGTGACACGAGCCCTGGCAGTTATTCCACGTCTTGGGCCTGCCGCGCAGAATGAAGCGGCGAGACAGAGAATCGGATACGAAGCTGAGAAGCGAAACCTTGATGGTGTCGCCAGAAAAGCGCTACTCATATCCACGATAATATGGCGCTGAGCGAACGAGTGTGCTTGATTCACTACCCACGCGGCGAGCCATTGCCGCGAACCGGCTCAAACAAGCCGACGACGCACGCACATATTTTTCGCAAGTCGGCATTTTTATCTACATCTTTGGAAGCAAAATATTGGAGGGAACTGGAAAGGCGTACTGGAGTTTGCCGTTGCGGATTACGTACGGGTCCACCGTTGCGGTTAGGAATGGACGGATCGTCAGATCTAGCCGGGGTGGTTTATTTTCTCTTCGCTTGCGCAGAGCAGACACGGGGTGGCTGCCATTTATATTCTACATATGGATACCTTGGTCTTTTTCTTTTTCCTTTCTTCTTTTTAGCGTTATTTTACTAATTCAATTTGTTGCCGCATAAAACGGACAGACACGGTTCGATATCCTCATTGAGAAGAACATACGAGCATCATATTTGCCGGAGCCTTGAAGTCATAGTCCGATGGCAAATGTTCATTTCGCTCTCGTAGTAATGACGGTAGTTTGTGTAATTACACATAAGTACCATAAAGCCAAGTCGCTTTCGCTGAGAATGACTATACTTGAAGAAGTTGACAGCATATGTGACTTTCGCTGTTGCCTCTACCAAGTCCATGAGGTTCTCTCGACCGACGAGTGTGGTTAATCATCTAGCGTGAGATCGTACCGCCGCCAAAGAAGATGAACTCTCTCTTGGAATTGATCGCTAGGACTTGCTGAGAGCTACGACGATGGTGATTCCAACATCGACAGAGCCGACCTCTGGCCATTGGCGGCCTGCGTGTCTAACCGAAGCGTCTGTGAAGCACGGTGTTGACATTCTTGAGAAGATACCCAATTAACGTGTCGAATCCTCTTGGCCGACACTTTATTGAAGATACCTTTAGTCGACAGAGAACCGCCGCTTTTCCAGCATCATGCTCATCTTTGGATATAAAAATCGATTGATTCAACGGCAGTGATTGCTAGGCCCCACCAAAGATTTCACCAGTGCGGCGCATCCCTGTTACACCCAACTCATTTCGCCATCATCCTTATCGTACGAGTTGCACAGCATTGGATGATGAATCGTTTATCTCATATAATCCAATCTTCTCCAGTCCCCTACTCCGTCGATTCCGATATCGTCTTTCACCTTCTGCAATCTCGGCTTTGGACATCCGGAAGTTGGCTGTTCACGTGGGGCCGGCACGGGACCGGAACCGGGCCGGTCATCTCTCTCCTCCAATATGCTTCTCTCTTCTGTTCCATCTCTCTAGTGTGGATTCCCCGCATCCGCCACTTGGTCAACCGGGAATCGCAGTTCCGGGGTATCAGGAATTTCAACTATAAGAGCCAATCTTCCAAACCTTCTTTTCTTTGCTTCTCCAAAAGTATCACCAACTCATACTCCAACGAACCTGAAGCTCATCACATCAAGTTCCTTCTACAATGTCTTCTGTTCGTGAAGTGAAAGTGGCCACCGAGGTCCCTGGACCTCTTTCCAAGGCCGAGGCCGAGAAGCTGGGCTCATTCTTTGATAACCGGGCTTTTTACTTTGTTGCTGATTACGACAAGAGCTCGGGCAACTAGTACGATCATTCTTATCATGCACTTGGAGAGAATGCAGAGGCTGACTTATACGTGAAGCATTGTCGATGTGGACGGCAACCAGTATCTTGATGTGTATGTTTGAGACGTCTTAATCAAGTACACGCTCATATCATGACTAACAGCTTCAATCAGCTACTCTCAAATTGCCTCCATCCCTGTTGGTTACAACAACCCAACTCTCACCAAGGCCGCTCAGTCCCGTGAGATGATCTCCGCCCTGGTCAACCGTCCCGCTCTGGGCAACTTCCCCTCCAGCCACTGGCACGACTCGCTCAAGAACGGTCTTCTCAAGGTCGCCCCTGATGGATGCGACAAGATCTTCACTGCTCAGTCCGGCTCCGAGGCCAACGAGCTTGCCTTCAAGGCGGCCTTCATGCTATACCGCCGCAAGCAGCGTGGTGAGGGTGTTGAGTGGTCCGACAACGAAATCAGCTCGTGCCTCAACAACGCAAAGCCTGGTTCTCCCGAACTCGCCATCCTCAGCTTTGCCAACTCGTTCCACGGACGAGGATTCGGTAGTTTGTCTGCTACTCGGTCAAAGGCTGTCCACAAGCTCGACATTCCCTCATTCAACTGGCCTCAGGCACCTTTCCCAGCCCTCAAGTATCCCCTTGACAAGTTTGCCGCTGAGAACGCCGCCGAGGAGAAGCGGTGCCTCGATAAGGTCGAGGAGCTCATCACGACATGGTTCGTTTAAGCCACTCTCAGTGAAGATGATGCAATTTTCCATTGACGCATTTTCGCATAGGCAATTCCCCGTCGCTGGTCTGATCGTTGAGCCCATTCAGAGTGAGGGTGGTGACAACCACGCCTCCCCTGCTTTCTTCCAGGGCCTTCGCGACATTACCCAGAAGCACAACGTTACCATGATTGTTGACGAGGTCCAGACTGGTACGTCGATCTCATCTAAACCGCCGCCCCAAATACGATGTCGCTAATGCATCATGCACAGGATTCGGCGCCACCGGCAAGTTCTGGGGCCACCAGCACTGGAACCTGACTTCTCCTCCCGACATTGTCACTTTCTCCAAGAAGGCCCAGACTGCCGGCTACTACTTTGGCAACCCTAGACTGGTTCCTGACAAGGCTTACCGCCAGTTCAACACGTTAGTTGTGCCCGATTGCGATGTGAATGCAAGTTTACAGCCCTGAATATATGCGCTAACACCAAAGAACTAGTTGGATCGGTGACCCAGCCCGTGTTCTCATGAGCAAGGCCGTTGTTGAGGAGATTCTTGCCCGCGATCTCGTCAGCCAAACCGTAAGCCCAGCAGATATTTCCCACATTAAGCTTCTCTCAAAGACTAACTAGATTGCCAGGCTCGCGTTGGTGTCGCCCTCTACAGCGAACTCGAGCGCCTCGCTACCAAGTACCCCCAGCTTGTCAGGAACCTGCGCGGCAAGGGACAAGGGTAAGTTTTTATCATGAAAATCAATTGGCATAAGAGAATCCTTGCTAATGACGCTTACTTAGAACATACATTGCCTTTGACACAACCGACCCGGCCAGCCTCGTCAAGAAGATGAAGAGCCTGGGCGTCAACATTGGCACCTGCGGCACCCAGACGGTGCGACTCCGTCCCATGCTCATCTTTGAGGAAGCTCACAGTAAGTCCAATCCGATCAACAAGGCACATTTATCGATTTCTGTTCACTAACGGTTCTGCAGTTCCTTTCTTGATTTCCGCATTGGACAAGGCTCTTGGACCAGCATAGATTGAAAAAAATTGAAAACATTTTGGGAAGCATAGGGGCGTTGTTTGAATCAAGAGAAAGCGATATTTTATTTTAGTTGGGCTTTTGTAGTATATGGAATGGATTGGTTGGCATCATAGTTGGGTCTTGAAAAGAATAATCTTACAGTTTACATGTCTTATCTGCATCTTCCCAATTACTAGTAGATGTCTCCATCACGGGAAGTTCTGACGATGGAGAAACCAAGTAGAAAAATAAGTTTTCTTACATATCTCATGACCAACAATAGCCTCCATCCTCCAGCGAGTCAGCCCAGATAAACAAAAACCCCTGGGCCGAAGATTCTACTCAGCAGCGTGTGGGGGAAGATTTGCCACCACGTAATGGTTTGATCATGCGCATACAAATTCGCGCACTAGACCCCAGATCGTAATTCATCTTCCATGTTGATATTAGCTGAACGAAACTCGAGCAAGTCCCGTCACCGTCTGTCTCCCCTCCGGTGTCCGGCCCGGACGCTTAGACGCCGAAATTCTTTTCTAGGTCCCGAGTCAGATGTCAGTTGCCATCCCCGCAATCTCTTGAGCCGAGAAGCATCTCCGGTTCGTTGCCGGTTTCGCTCGAGATATCCGGTTCCGGAAGGCCGATGATCTTTTTTTTTTTTTTTTTTTGGTCCGAGGATAGCCAGCGACAAATACAATTCTTGACGAAACAACGGATTGTGGACATGTTACACAATATCGGAAGAAAATGAATTAATACAGCGACAAATTGATTCGGTTCGACATGCATCATTTCTGTGAATCCATGTTGCACTGCAGCTGCTGATGGCAATATATGCAGAGCCGTGCTCATGAGAGAAAGAAGGGGGAAAAGATGAATTATTTAATGTGCTCTACACACTTCGCTTGCCCCTGGACTCAAACGGAAGAATTACACTCAAGATAACAAGTAGCCCAAATAACGCCGCGCAAACAAACAAGGGAGCCGTCGTCTCTACGTTTGCATAGCTTCCAACCAAAACTCCCAGAATGCCGCCGACTCTGTTGAGAACAACACAGATGCCATAACCTGTGGCGCGATGGGCAGAGGGCAAGATCTCAGGGGTGTATGCATAAATGGTGCCGTAATAAATATTGCTGCAAACAGTACAATGTCAGCTTTTACTCAAGTATGCTAAGAGGAAGAGTAGATATCAGGAAGGGGGAACTCACGATGCCGCTGAAATGGCAGCTGAAACGCCCACATTCTGCGCTTCATTCTTGACCTGCGTATAGCCAAACTGGAGCACCATTGTCACCAAAGCTCCAATGGCGAGAGTGCCTCTACGGCCCAAGAATTTGGTCTCGACGAGAATAGCGGCTACGACTGGGCCGACGAGCCCTGCAACCTGGTTGATGGCATAGTCTCTCCACGTAGTATAAGTCGAGCTCTCGCCAAAATCGGCACCGCGAGACGCGAGATAGAAGGGCAAGAAGACGCCATACAGGGGAGACACCATCCCGATGACGAACCAGTTGGCAATGATGACGGTGGTGGACCAGGCGAGCTGCCGCGTCTGAAAGAGACCCTTGAAGTGCATCTTGAGCCGAGTGGCAGACCAGGCCGATTCCTGAGTATGCAGAACGATGCCCTCCGCCTGCAGCTGCTCCAGCGTCAGGCTATGCGATTTTCCGGCCTTGAGAGAAATGCCGTTGAGAGTCTTGATGACCTCTTCGTCGCGGTTCTGCGCAATGAGCCATCGCGGCGTCTGCACCATGCGCACAAAGGCAAAGCGAGCAATGGCCATGATAAGGACAAGGCCACCAGTGGTGAAGTGAAGGTATCTCCAGCCCATGTTATCGGCTCGACGACATGTTTCGGGCGTGGCATCCGGGGCGCAACTAAAATTGCCCATGAAGGCCCAGGCAAGGAGGCCGGTGATGGTATACCCAACCGCCCACCAGACGGCCATGAACGTGACGAGCCAAGTATGGGTGGTGGGGAGGAATTCGAGAAAGTTTGTCGCGTCGAGGATGTAATTGCCGCCAGCACCTGCGGAGTAGAGGGCCACACTGATTCATAGGTCACACAGTCTCTTGTTAATTACGGGCCATTCAACATCCATGCGGAGGCATCGAGGGAAACTCACAGGGCAGCAAAGGAGATGTAAGACGGCATGGCACCAGCAATGAGGACAAAAACAGCGCACGACATGAGACTTGTGTTGAATGCCAGCTTCCGACCGATGATGTCGGCAGTAAAACCCCAGAGACCAGCGCCGACTAGGAGTCCGATCTGTGAAGCCAGCGGGATGCCGGAAACGTGGGCACTGGGGTTTCCATACTCCTGCTGCACGGCAGGATTCGCGATGGATTGGCAAACAACGAGAAGCTGTGCGAGAGGGAGCGTTTCCAGCATGTCAGTTTACAGCACGATCATGATACTTCAGAGAACAACGCAGTGTAATGGGAACTTCATACCGAATCAACTGTGTACCCGAAACCGTTGAGCCAGAATAGGTTCCATTGGAAGCTGGTCATGCCGATCTCATCAATTGCCTGGTTGACAAGCGCCATCTTCCTGGCCAAGACGGGATCGAATTGCTTGACGTCAAAGACATCGCTGACGGAAGTAGAAGATGCTTCGTCTTGTTCATCCTGGGACCTGACAACGGCCGCGGACTTTTCATTGCTGTTGCTGTTGCTGTCACTGTTGCTGTTGTCGTTGGGTGTTGAGCCCGCCTCAACATACGGCGATCCCTTCTCACTCAACTCCAGCGATCTGGTTGGTTCAGTCGTCATGGTTGCGGGTACACGAAAAAACGATGAAGACGGATATGAAGCCGGAAGAATAGTAATCTCGCATTTCGTTTCGAAACACGCTCATCGTCGTATATATAACGTTGAACCCCCGACTCCCCCAAACGTCGGCTTTCTGCTCCTCCCCTAGTGCCATTGCCTCTAAACAGAATCTATTATGGCTACCGTATAAGAGAAACGTTGCGCACGTCGATCTAAAGATGTAGGATGCAGAGTTAGGAAAATCACGTCTTCGACATGGAAATGGTATCATATCTCAGCCGCCGCATAGAGCAGGCGCTGCAACCGCGGATGGGCGTCGCACATAGTAACCCCCGCCTATCCATTTCCCGACTTGCCGTGGGATTCGGTTGTGTGGTGATGGCGTTTGCGACATTATAATGGTACCATTGCCCTGGTCTGGGCTAGAGCGCATGACAAGTGACGAATGCGTATCTTTGATTCCATATCGCGATGCTACTTACAGGTTGCTTCCCCGCGTCATGCATGGCGTTAGCACGACATATTGCATTATTGCATCCCAAGATCGCAGGGCGCCGTAGATTAGAAATGCTTGGCTGCTGTATGCACGATATCCGCGGGGGTTTGTTGGTTGATGCTTGATCTTGGATAGGGCAAAGTGTCGTCATCGCGAGTTGACATGGCGATAGATTTGTGGCTGAGAGATTGCAGCACATCTCCGGATAAGCAGACAGCATGAACTGTGTAGAGCTTCACTTCGGCATGTTGAGCCGATTGGACCGTCACAAATCAATCTTGGACGATCACAAATCATTAATCTTTGCCAAATCCTTTAAATACCGCCCTTGTTCCTTGTTCTTTGATAAGAACTCAAAAGTCGAGCTTCGAGAAGAAAGGACCTCGACAGGCCAGGATAGAATAAAAAAGACAAGGCATCAACACCACTCATAATGACTACCGTCTCCACCACAATCACACCTACCGTGTTGGCCTACAAGCCTCCTCATCCGGAACTCAAGGAATTTGTTCCGGCTCGCGATCGCGCGTTTTTCGCAGACCCGGCAAAGGCATCACTGTTGGGCCTGGCGACGGCTGTCGAAGAAGTCACCCCGATTATCGGGACGGAGCTCAAAGGCGTCCAACTGAGCAAACTTACCGACCAGCAAAAGGATGAGCTTGCGCTGCTTGTAGCCGAGGTGTGTGCAAAACGAAGTGCTCCAACATGTGGAAGGACGGCGGCACCAACGTCGTAATGAAGAAAATCATCACTCACAATCCTTGTTAGAGAGGCGTTGTATTCTTCCGTGACCAGGATATCACCCTCGACCAGCAGCATGCGCTTGCATCATACTATGGCATTGTAAGTATCATTGGAATAGCTTTGCTCTCGGATACGGCGTCTAACACGAACTGCAATGACGTTAGCAAGACAGAGATCCCAACCAGCAAGATCCCAGACATGTAACCATCATTGGCCGAGGCGGGTATGTGCTTGAATCCAGTCTGTTAACCTATCCGTCGGCCCGATAACTCACCATCTTCCCTGCAGAAACACTCGAGCCCATGGCAATTACACAGGCGAATGGCATGCAGATCACTCGTTCGAGGTGAACCCGCCTTCCTATACACTGTTGCGCCTAGTCAAGACTCCCCCAACCGGCGGAGACACAATCTTCACCAGCCAAGTCGGGTTGTTTGATAAACTGAGTCCCGCTTTCCAGAAGGCTATTGAGGGCCTCCACGCAATCCACTCTTCAGATGTATGCTTAAAACATCCCTGTCATCGTAAGAAACTGCCCGAGATCGAACTAACGCGGGCAAATAGAGAGCGTACCTGGCTTCCATCAACGGCGGAGGAACACCACACAGAGCCCCCATCGCCACTGCTCATCCTCTGGTGCGAACTCATCCAGTGACCCGCCTCAAGAGTCTCTTTTACAACCCATCCTTCATCGATCGCATCCAGGAGCTCAACGCCCAGGAGTCTCACCACATTCTCGCCTTCCTCCGCGAGCACCTCTCCAACGCAGATGACTTGACGGCGCGGTGGAAATGGACTCCTGGCGCGGTCGCGTTCTGGGACAACAGAATTATCGCCCACAGGGCTGTGCCAGGCGGTTACGACACGGAGCTGAGAGAAGGGAAGCGAACGGCCGTCCATGGCGAGCGACCGTTCTATGACCCCGAGAACAGCGAGAGCTTGTCGGAGAGGACTGAGCGACTTGCAAAGGAGAAGGGCGTCAACGGAAACGGAGTCGTCAACGGAAACGGGCTCGAGGACAAGACAAAGGACCTGGTGTTGAATAATTAGACAAAATGTAGACGAGATGAACATGTAGAAACTATCCATGTCCAAGTCTAACTTTGTGGACTTGCCTCGGCGTCTGATAACAATGTGTGTCAAGGACGGGCCACTGTCGCAATCATCAGCTTTGGAGACGACGGTCATGTCTTTCCTGGGTGGTTGGGGAGAAGCATAGGTATCAAAATAGAGAATGTTATCCGCGTGTTTTCACAGCGCGGTTTCGAATTACCATCCCATAGGAAATAGCACCCTGCCACAGTGGTGATGCGGAGATGTCGTTATGCCCACCTGCACGTTATTCCTGAAAGATGAAAGATGGAAGATGAAAGATGGACGATGGAAGAGAAGAGATGGAAGAGAAGAGATGGAAGAGAGAAGTTGGACCATAAGTAGTGACCTGTTTTCGACTAGCTTCGAGAAAGAGTGTGCAGTTCGAATTCACCAACAGTTGGTGGTCACGTTTCGGAACCAGCACCGAAACTGCCATGTGCACAATATACCCGCACATCGCCGTTATGTGGACAAACAAAACAATGGATTACTCTCTCCATTGGATGTTATAGCTTCCAAGGCTTTTAGTGTAGTATTCTGAAACAAAAGATAGTAGGAAAAAATAAGTCAGGAGACCCAGAAACCTCGTCAAAGCCAACAGTTAGCTATATATATACCCACGATGCCCAAACAACTTACGCCTCTCTTCCTCCCATGACACTCCCCAGTGCCAGAATTATCAGACACAATTCACTTGGCCCAAATCATCCTCCAGCCCACAGTAACTCTAACTAAAAGCACTACAGAAACGAAAATGCACAAAAAGGGGGGCAGAAAATAACAAGACGCTGCTGATGCGTGTACACTCGACCAGAACCAGCTGCCGGCACTTGCACAATCACTCGCTCTCTCTTCTGGCCTTCCCCCCCTAAATCACTCTCTGCCACACTGCCAGAAAATTCTCCCCCCTCCTTGGAAACTCCATCCTCTTCACCTTCCTTCTTTCGAGAGACTGTTTTCCCCCCTTCAACCACCATCACGCACTCTCTCATCTGATATCATTTGAAGGATTCTTCATCAAACAATCATCATTAATCCATCAATCATCTTCCAGAAAAGCATCTGCATCAAGGTATGTTGGAGTTTCATCCTCGCTTTCCTCCTCTTCCTGCCCTTCCTTACTTCTCTCCATCATCATCATCATCGCCATCTTCTTCATCTTCTTCCCCAGTCTCCCCAAACTAAATCATCTCTCAACAAGCATCCTCATCTCCATCATGAGTGAAATCAATCCAAACAATAAGAAGTTCTACATTGCCATCGCTTTTGGCATCTTTGCACTCTTTCTCCTCCTCGTTGTTCCCTGCATCGTGGCAATGCTCGTCGCTCGCTATCGCGAGAAACGCCAGGAACGTCGTGATGCCCTCGCCCGCGAGCTGGAGGAAGGCCAAGGCGATGACGCCGCCCTTCCTGTCCCTGAGGATCCCATCCTCGGCTATCGCGTCGACGAGGTTGGCGAAGCCTCTGGCTAGAAGCAAGGCACCGAACCCGACAACGCACCTCTCTACCAAGAAGCAACTCTCCTTCACCACGCCGACGGCCATGTCGAAGTTCGCAAGCCCGAGTCCATCAAGGGCAAAGGCATCGCTTCTCCTCAAGCTAGACCCATCGGTCGCTTCCAGGAGGACCTCCCCGAGGCCTCTGAACAGCTCCAGAGCAAGCAAGACGACGCCGTCGCAGAGGCTCAGGGCTCTCAAGAGTCCGTCGACTCCAAGAAGAAAAGATTCGACCTCGACGAATGAGAGTAACCCAGCTTGTGTCTAGCAAAGCTGCGGCGACAATCACCTCGACGGAATCTGATGAATGATGTATCACGATGAATGAATTTGGCTTTTTAACAGGGTTTACGGAAATGGAATGGATGGAATACTGATTTTAGCAAAGGGAATCATGTCATGAAAAGGGACTATTTCTTCTTCTTTGTCTTCTTTTAATTCATAGGGTGTCAGATTCATCGTCGTCGTCGGGATTGTTCTTTGAACAAGATAAATACACCCTTAGCTCACTGCATGCTTGATTCCATCCTTTGATGTGATTGTTTGTCGCCATCTGATTGTAAACAATGCAGCGCCATGAATCTTTTGTTTTGATTACCTTATGGCATTTCCCCTTTGTTTCTTCTCTCGCAAAGCCAACATCCCGGCATCAGTGTTTCAAAAAGCTCGGGACAAGCTCTATTTCCAAAAATAAATCATCAACATTTCGTTTGTTATCTTCTTTTCATCTGGACCAACACTATTCCGGCACCAGATATCTCATCCCGTCCCATGAATCCCCCTGCCTCCACCACTCCACCCCAAACCTCTCAAATTCACAACCTCTCAAACCGAAGCCAAAACATCACCAATTCAAAATCAAAACCAAATCTCCCCGTCCAAAATGCTTGTCGGCGGCTTCTTCATACGCTCAACAACCCCTCTCTCTAATCCCTTCACCATCCCCTCCATCTTCTCTCGCTCTCCTCCTCCCTCGTTTCCCTTCATCCGCTCCTCTCTCGCAGCAGCAGCCGACTGCTTCCACGACGCGATCGCCATCTTTCAGCTCTTCTGGCCTCTTTTCCTCACCATGTTCTGCATCAGCCTCTTCACCTGCTTCGTTCAGCAACACATCATCTCTATGCTCGCCACTGTATTCCGCACACTTGCCAATGGCATGCGGAGAATTTATTTGCCTATCCTCAACTTGGCCACGCCAGCCATTGATCGAGTTCTCCAGCTACTGCCAACCAACTTGACGCCACTCAAAAAGAGCAAGAAAAAGACTGGCGGTAGACCGCGATCTGTTGCCGATAACAGTAGTGCTCGCTAGCCCTACCATCTGTACGTGGTAATAAATGCAGTCCCTCTCCTGTTTCTCCGACGACCTTCTGCTAATCACTTCACTTTGACAGAATATTCAGCTACTAGGCATTACGACACCAGATAGATACGCCTGCATAATGCACAGCGTTACACGGACCAGGGACCGTTAACCTTCAGCTGCTTGAGCCTCATTTGGCATTCACAAGTTCTGGCTACATAATATCGCACAAGTACATTAAAGAAACAACCCTCAGCCTTAACAAGCTAGATGAGGTAGATTAGAGCATAGAGATATCTCAACTATGTACTGAAAAGAGTTTTATATACACTTATGCGAGTCCCCTCCATGTTGTACATGATTACACCTTGTGATGGGCGTTATCCAATGGCATACTTGACAAGTCCGAAACTTGTCCTCGCATGCATTGTGCCGTTGAGCTGCAGAGATGTGTCCAAAGATATAAGAACAGAAGTAGAATAAATAAACAAAGCGTGGGAGTGGTTCCATTTCAATCGTACAAGTAATCGTGTCGACATTCACCTATACTCGACACGAGAAAAGAAGCATGATTAATTTTGTGGCAATTCGTGCCCGTTGCAGAGAGGAGACCAACTCTATGTCGACCCAAAAACGCCCCTGGTAAAAGCATATAGAGGAGAAGGAAGTAATGAAAAATCGAGAGGGAAGCAAGAAGAAGAAAAAAGAAGAAGAGGGAAAAGCCTTTCCGATGTCGAGGTCCGCCGACTCTGGTCCATCCAAATTTGCTCCCTTCAGTCACCCATACACCATGCATTCCGGCTAATACTCAGCTCTCATCCGCACAAACATTTCCTTTTCTTCATCTGTTCTCGCCTGTACCTTTTCCACGATCCTCTTCAGTGGCTGGGTTCCAGTATGTATCTCTTCCGGAGCAACGAGCTTCTAACCCATATTGCCCATGTTGAGATTGCCCATGGTATATCCATCAAACATGGAGGCTGAGAGCTGTTCTCCGCTACTCGGCAAGAATTCTCCAAACATTTCCCAATTAACTGTAGAGACATCGAGATATCCTCCGAGGAATTGGTTGAATCCTGTCAACGGCTGCTGCTGGGGTGTCACCGTTGTCGCGGGAGATGTTACGGATCCCTGGCCGGATGACTTGGAATCGCTCGATGGCACCAAGTCCCTGAGTCGATTGATAAAGGATGGGGTTTCGATTCGCTGGCCAGTCTGGCCATAGGCAAGCTCCCGCGCCCGCCAAGCTTTGAGCACAAATTGGGCTTGGGCGACATGGGGTTTGATCGTCATGTCGGAGAATTCGTGGTGGTCACTATAAATCCTGCGCATGACCTCCCAGGCGCGGTCCGACAGACTTCCCACCGGGCGGTCGTGGAGCAAGCCCGTGAAGACTGCAAATGCATCGAGCTGGAAGTGAAAGCGCATGAACCACTGAAAGCCAGCGGCGACCATTTGCTCGTGTGCCTCTGTCTTGTGTTCCATCATCATCAGAAGAACCTTGAAGAAATTATCCTTGGGACCGAAGATCTCGGTCCCCCACTCTGGTTGTTCTTGTATTGGGACGAGCATCTCCTTCAACCTACGAGTGAGCATTGGTCGAATAGCAAGGGCTGCGACGTGAACATTGCCCGCCCTTACGTCGATCATATTCTTTTCAATTTCTGTCAGTCTTTCTTCCAGTGCCTCTGCCTTTTGTCGAAACTTCTCAAAAATGGCTTTTGTGTTGTTTTCCGATTCCGCGCCGTCATCCAGCGTCTGGCCCATCATGGCAGCCTCAAAGGCACGGGATTCGTTGGATCCATCGGTTTCGATTTTGAATCGGAATATTTCTCCAATGACAATGCTGAAAGCCATTTCTGTAGGGCCGTCGCGCTCCACGACAGGCTCCGTCGAGCCGGGGAAAAGATCGGCATCGTTCAAATTCAGAGGCTTCTTGGTGTCCCAACTAAAATTCGACCACGACTGGCTTAAACCGGACATCATGGCACATTTGGTATCGAGCATCATGATTTGCCACCAAATGCGTCTGCGCATCTCCGTTTCGAAGGGGGTCAAGTTGAGCTGTGAGCCATCTCGATGGTAACCCATTTTCTGTGCTATCCGCAGAATGACTCCACTGATGACCCATTGAGCATGTCTATCGTAGCGTCCTTCTAGAGAAAGCTGACGGTTTGTTAATAACAGCATATTGAGATGAGAAGCTCAAGTGAGGGGTGGGCGATGGGCGATGGGACGTCTGCTGTTCAAGGTCAGACTTACCAGATAGAGAACAACGGCCTGTAGTGTAGTCATGTTATAATTTTTAAGAAAGCTATATTTGATTAAAGACGCTTTGGTGCCGGTATTGAACTTCTGGATGGCAACATCGCGAGACATGCCAATTGTCTGTATGCACTCGGCAGCCGACATGGAAACACTTGCCATGGCGAAGATGGAGAAAAGAAGAGCTTGATTGTGTAGCGGTATGGCGGCCATGTTACTTGCCGCTTCCATGATCAAGGACTGCAGGCTCGGTATGTGGAGAATTTTGAAAATGGGATTGACACGATCAACATAGAGCTGCCAGAGACGGAAAACATGGATCGGGTCGGGTTGCAGGTCTTCAACGTTGGTATTGAACAAGTCGGCGGAAAGAACGAGGTCTGCGTTATTGTCTGGAGTGAGCTCATCTGAGCCGAGGAGGCTGGATTCTTCGGGGTCATCCGTCTCTACGATATCCCGCATTTTCTGTAGCTGTTGTTATGCTTCATGTCAGCATCCGTCGCAGAGTTGGATTAATAAATGCAATTGAAAGAAAAGCGTCCCCATGATGCAATTCTCGGTCTCAGATCGTGGTCCAGATCGACCATTGCCCATCCCATGGCTTCCACTAACCTCATCGTAGACACTAGCCCAAATGTAGCTATCCATAAATCGAACGTTGCCATCTTCCTTGACCATGAGGGAGCCTGGATTCCGAGACTGGGTAGAATCGACGCTGGCCGGCGTGGCAACGAGGGCGTCGGAGGTAGGGAGGTTTGAATTGGACGGTGTGGCTGGCAGCGGTGGCAGCGGGCGTTGAGCAGGAGGTGCAAGAGGTGCAGCAGCAGAGCCGGGAATTGGCACAGATCCGCTTGCATACTGCTTCAGCAGCTCCTCGCATCGAGCAAGGCGTTCCTGGAGATCTTGATTCGGGCGCCGGCGTTTGCGGGCTGGCGCCGGCGTACTAGGCGTGCAGGTGACATTGGCCTGAGGCAATGTAAGTTTCTTGCAAACAAATGATCAGGCGGCGAGCTGGAAGGTTTCGTTTCCCTTTCCTTTCCGTCGCGAACATGCTCCCGGCGACTAGGAGCCTTTTGAGTTCGAGAGGTGAGAAGCAGAACGGGAGACGGCACATTTTCATGAGACCTGGAAGCTACCGGACCTGGTCAGGGAGAAATGGATCGCGCACCTTGATGCAGTTGGAGCATGGTGAATTCCTGTCGCATTTGATTTTGCGATGTTGGCACAAGACACAAGCCAGTATCCTGGGATGCTTGTGAGGTCCGGGTGAAGCGTTTGACGACATGTCCAAGGTTGCGCCGGTGATTTCACATGTCACCAGCGGGGAGAACGTGGGGTGTATTGTCGGGTCAAAGCCAAACCCCGAAATCTGGTGATGAGAGCGGTAAGAGAAACAAACCCCACGAGAGAAGCGAAGCAATAGAAAAAAAATCAAATACGGCTAGAGAATGCAAAAGTGCAAGGTAAGAATCAAGTGCGCCAGGCACAAAAAAAAGCGAAGAGAAAAAAGAAGTGCGAGATTCTAATAGCGCGTAAACAAAATCTTAAAGAGTCGGCCAAATAGAAGAAATGATATTGCCTGACACAGCTACGTCTGGCGACAGGGGCAAGAGGCTGTGTGCAGTAGGTCGGACACGGAGTGGCAGTAATTGACGAAGAATGAAAGTAGACGGCGGGCAGTCCTCTATGAGAATCAGAGGTTATGGGGGGCGGGAGAACACCTAGGCCCTGGTGCTTAACAAAGTACCGGAGAGTTCTGAGGTGTCCGGACAAGCCAGGGAGCCGGACAACGGACCAAATGGCTATTCTAGATACGCGTATTGAGAAAGGTAGCGGTGGAGATGACGTTGGGACCGAGAAATGAAGTGCCAGGCTGTGACCCCGTGCGCTGCCGGATGCAAGGCAAAATGCCGTGGGTTAGAAGTGGTGTTCAATAGCACAAACAAGCAGACGTCAGTGTATGTCCGGCCAGGAATACGGACGGCGGAGACGGCGGCGGCGACGGGAAGATGCTCAGCTTCTTATTGAATGTCTTCCGCAGCCGTGGGCCCTGTCCGCAGCCCTTACTAACCAGACCCTCTCCCGTTGGCCTCTTTCCGCTACTGCTAAGATATTCCGCAGCGCTGGAACGACGTCAATTGCGGAGGGAAAGGTTGTTTGCTTGGATATAAGATGGTGAAGCAGCGCAGGGCTGGACGAAAGCGCCAAAAGGCCGTGGAAATGTCGTCCGTATGTCCGTTATTCCGTTTGTTGTGTTGCGCCCGACGTCAGGGCCTAGCGGTTTCTCGCGCCAGGTACCAGTCAATTTATAATACAGCGGTAGATTATACCGAGCTGAAGGGGAGGAAGCGGCAGTGTGCGTGTGATCGCGTGCGCGAGTTGGTTCACCTTGCGCCTTGTGTAGGTATTCGCAGCTGCAGGGCAGGGCAGGGCGTGGTGTAAGCTTCCAGTGGCTCGTCGGCCTGCTGCAGCAGTCAGGATCAATGATGGGAATCCTTTCAGCTCCAGAAACAAGAATCAAGGTTCGCGTACTCGGCTATCGCTGCCGCGGTCCCCTAGAACGGAGGCAGCGGAGAGAAAATTCCAAACAAACTGGAAGCTCGAGGCTAGTTGGTCAGCGGCGAACTTGGCAGCGGGGACGTCAGAACCAGAGCGATGGCAGAAGAATCGAAGCCTTGCGGCCTGGGCAAAAAGAATGGAAGAATAAATAATAAGGGACAAGAAGAGAGGATGAGAGTCGAGATGAAAAGAAAAGAAAAGAAGGACGAAAATATCAAACACAGTGAAGTACTATGGTAAGGTAATTGGTAGGGAAGGAAGCGGAATTGAGTTTTTTTCTCTTTCTTCCTCCTTCCTTCTCAGCGCCTTTGCTCGCTTTCGTTCCGATGGACAACAGGTACGAGGCCACCAGGTATATACATATACTCTCGTCTACTTGAAGCTTCCAACGGCGAATTGGCTCCTCCTGCGCTCTACCACGGGTACCCAGTAACTACCTCCTGATCGCGTACCTTTGGTCGCTTCTCCGTTACGACCAGGCGTCTAATTTTCAGTACTACCAACTATGTACCTAGCAACACCAGGTGGAGCTACCTATTTTTGTGGTGCAAGGGTGACTCGACCAAACCTCTTCCAGGTCTTGCTTCTCCTGGCGAGCGCAACTCCAAGAGCGGCAAAGAGTCAGCATCAAAGTCTAAATCCTGTCTTCGTCATGCTCATTTCTCCTGGCGACGCTTTCTGACGTATCGCCCTCACTTGACCCGAGAAATTATCAGCGAGCTTCGAAAAGTCCCGAGCCCAGCAGGGGGACACAGGATTTGGCGAAACCCAAGACGTGGCAGTGCGCAGCGGCTGAAGGCTAGGCTACAACACTGATGACTCAGGCGTAATGAGAACGGCATCCATCCCAGGAGCCTTACGGTTTACAGCACAGTTGAAGCGGCCGTGCTAGTGTTAGACGGGCAACAGCGTTTGATATGGGCCAAGGCCGCGTGTGGGATGGAGCTCTGCGTCTTGTGTCGATTCGACGGCATTACGCGGAATACGTGGCTTTGTTATTTCCATGGCCAGAGAATGGCCTCCAAAGGGGAAGGCTTTCATTTCCAACAAGGCCTCCAATGCCCTATTGCGGGAATGCTTGGCCGCCGTCCTTGTTTGTGCCCGCGCTCATTTCGTTTACGGGCATGATGATTGCAAAACCCATCGTCGGAATCTTCAGGAGCCGGATCGGATCCGAACCACCCCAAAAGAACTGCGATTAAGCCCGGTGCAAGGTCGCAGCCTTGCCCTCCGGCCACCGTGGGCCTGGCGTGTGACCAAGTAGGTGACTCTTGTCCCAGCGCTCGTTTTCTTCGTTTGCAGAATTTGCACACAATTGGGGAACATGGGCCGAGATCAGCACGGGATGACTCTGTGCTGCTTGGGCGCCAGTCGGATGGAGGCGATTCCGATTGGCCTCTTTCGTCCTCGTCTTCGTTCTGCTCGGCTTGACTTTGCATTGGCAGCAAATCGGCCGAGCCCTCTGCTGCGACCCCCCCCTTCCATGGACGCCTCTCAGAAAACGGCGTCGCGCCGGCGCTCCTCCAGGAAGCCACGCCAATGACAACGATACTGTAACTTGTACAGTACCAATACACAGACTCATGAGGTTAGAGCTGCCTGTGGGCGCGCGGCTGCGTGTCCTGCATCGTCTCGTCCCGGGGTTCGGGTCCTTGCCGTCGTCCGAAAGGTCGGATAAACCCACACGAATCCGCTTCGCAAGTCCGCACCCCGGCTCCCAAGGGCCTGCGGAGGGCTGGATCAATCACCAGACGTGGCTTACTACTCGACTTGGCTAAGAATGCGTTAGTTTTTGCACAACCTCCAGCTCATCCGGACCAAAACATGGCGCACGGAGTTGGCGTCCGTTCGGCGTGGTGCTGTTACTACAAGCACCTCTGGCACCACCAATACATCATGTGCAGCCCTATATACATGATATGCCGCGATGGGTTGCTCCATTTGGACTTTTGTCGGCGCACAAACGCCCGGAACCAATAGCTTCCGCATCACAGGCTAGAATGGTGGCCGAGCACATGCCAATATTCACGGCAGTACCTAGTATTACAGTACTGGCTTGGCTTGGCTGAATACTGTATATCTGACAGCAATACGAGTACCTCGATGACGTCTGTGACAGCCCGAGAGAGATTGCGGCAGCGGCCCCGATAGGAACACTGCAGCCGAAATTAGATGGCCCTTTTTTTAGTTCTGCAAGTGCCAGGCATGATGCAAACAATACGGCTCGAGTCTTCTGGAACATTCAGACGGCACTCTGAATCCGTTTCGGAATCTCGATATTGATTCGACCACATCGCTTACCTGTTTTTCCCTACTTGGGCATCGCGGCGGAGTTTCAAAATATGCGTCTACACTTCAACGCAAGCGCACTTCAACCACTCAGGCGATGCGTATATCGGATCTGGACTTACGATGCAATCTTGGTGCCTGTTACGTACAACCGAGTCCATCACGGTAGTTTGAATACCTGATAGGCAACACTATTCATTACGTCTAGTGAAGTTTCAGATCCCGCTTCGACTCTCCTCTCTAAATTTGACAAACGGTATATCAGGCTTCAATTTTGTAGCCTATCTGTTTCCTAGGCACCCTGGATATCGAAACGGATGACCCACAGAAAATCAATCTCTGGCGCAAGTACCTTAACCAGGATCCAGAAAACCATACCAGGCAACTTCTGCTCTTACCAGGCCTCGATGTCCTCAGTTTAAGCTTAACAAGCCATTACGATTCATCCCCTATTACTGTGCCCAAGCCCCCAGTGGCTTCAGTGGCAAGTAACCTAGCGACATGCTACCTGTACTTACTTGACAACCGACGTTGATTTGACTAACCGCTGCACACGGGTGGCTTGTACCGCCCATTTACACCAACCCGCCAAGCCAAATCCAAGACTTCCAAAGCCACCTCGTGCCTTTCTCGTCCCAGCCCTTTTGGCTGCAGCTGAAGCTGAAAAGGATGGAGACGAAAGAAGAAGAAGAAGAAGAGGTGGCATGTCGGGTTCTGTGACACCCCTCTCCCAGTGAACCAGTCGTTGCATCCTCGCAAATAAGCTTCATTCAGCCTCAGCCTCAGCCGTAGCCAACAACAAGCTAACAACGCAATGAGAACCAGACAGCTCGCTCGCTCTCTATTTCTCGCTCGCTCTCTATTTCTCGCTCGCTCTCTATTTCTCGCTCGCTCTCTATTTCTCGCTCTCTCTGCATCTTCCCGCTATAATCATGATTGACCTGACCAGAGACAAAGAATTCAAAGTGAACTCCTGGTGACTTCTATATACCCCCGAGCCCGTATATCGAGCGTATATGCTATACACCATGGCGACCACAACATCGCGAGCCTGGACATTCTCCCGGAGCGGCTCTCCTTCAGATGTCCTTTCTCTCACGGAATCCCGACCCATACCAAGTTTTCCTCCCGAACCTGCTCTCCCCGAGGAATGGGTTCTTGTCAAGGTGGCCTTTGCAGGTCTTAACGTCGGCGCCATCTTCCAGATGACTCTTATCCCTGCTTTTCTGCGCAACGAGACATGCATCCCAGAAATGGACCTATCCGGAGTCGTCCAGGACGTCTGGCATCCTCACGCAAAGGGAAACAATGGTGATGAGTCGAATAGTGCTACCGAAGGTGCTGGCCCTGTGAGTCCTAGCAGCGCTGAGAGCAACACTCAGACTCGCTTCCGCAAAGGTGACAAAGTCATGGCCATGCTGCCGGCCAGCCACGCCCTCCCAACGGGCACCGGTGCCCTGGCCGAATATGTCGCCATCCCGGCCCGCTTTGCCGTCCACAAGCCGACCTCGGCCCCCTTCGCCGACGCGGCTGGCTGCCTCCTCACCGGCATGACGGCTCACCAGCAGGTTGTCGAGTCCGGCATCAAGCTCGGTGACCGAGTCCTCGTTAACGCTGCCAGCGGCGGCATCGGCACTCTGGTCATCCAGATGGCTCGCCAGGTCGTCGGTCCCGAGGGCTTCGTCGTCGGCATCTGCAGCGGCCGAAACACTCGGCTAGTCGAAAGCCTCGGGGCCGACGAGAGCATCGACTACACCCAGTACAACGACCTCCCGGCCTACCTCGCAGCTCGCTTCCGCTCCCATCCCTTCAACGCCGTCATTGACACGCTGGGCCACCAATCTCTCTACGTGCACTCCCCTGCCTACCTCGTTGCCACGGGCACGTACTCCTCCGTCGGGATCAAGCCCCCTGACTTCTCCGTCCCAAACTTCCTGCGTGCCGTCGTGCAGATGAAGCTCAACGAGTGGTGGCCCGTCAGCCGCTGGCTCGGCGGCGTAGGCCGTCTCTGGCGGGTCGTCTCGATGATGGAGCCTACGCTCGAGGACCGCCAGCGCATCGCCGACATGCTGGGCGGGAGCCAGATCCGCGTCGTCAGAGACAGCGTCTGGAGCTTCGAGGATGTCAAGGAGGCATACGCTAAGCTAGGAGGCCTGCATGCGAGCGGCAAGGTTCTGGTGCGAGTGGATGAGACGGTGGGAGACAATGAGTGCTAACCTAAGACATTGTCTTGTGTGCTTCGTGTTCGTGTTCGTGTGTGAGTTTGATAGGCTCTTGGGGGTTTCACTCCAATGCGAGAGTTCTAGATCTCGCTGTTTCGCAAAGACTCTTCACCGCTCCTGTTTTTATACGCTAAATTTGGAATCTGATAATCAGTTTCCATCGTAATCATAAACGTAAATCAATGTTCTACTAGAGCTAGCTACCAATTTAACCATGTTGTCATATCTCATGTCGTATCAACCACCCTCACAGATGGAAACCTGAAACCGCTATGCCAAGAGTGCCAAACTTCCTCTATACCAACGTCATTCAACGGCAAAAAGAAGGAAACCTGTCCTCTTTTTTTCTTCCGTTTCTCCCTGGAGTGTATCATCCCCTCTCTCTCCTCGTGTCAACCTCTTCAAGCGCATTCTCCCCCTCTTCCACCAGCGGAGTAAAGCCCGGCGGCCGATAATCGTCATGGCTCACCCTGAGTGACCTCCTCTGTCCCAGTTCGTGAAAGCTCCTCCTCGAAACCGCGCTCACTGGCTGAGGACTCTGGCTTCTTTCGGGTTCTCCGTCGTGATCTGCCAACAGTGTGACGCCTTCCTCCCTCTGGTCACTTGGCAACCCCATCTCCTCCAGCTCAATGCCTTGCGTGTTTCCAGCTTCTACATCACCACCTCCATCCATGGCGTATTTCTTCAGGATTTCCTTCGAGTTGGCGTCCTTTTCTATCCGCTGCATCAAGTCTTGGTCCGTTGGGAAGTATACTCGACGGACTGCTTGTACGGCCAACTCCATGATGATAGGAGTGACTAAGCCAAGGAGAAGTGATGTCCACCAGGACAGGCGAGGCCCGAAGTTATGTATGAACTCGTCTCTCACTATTATTGGGCCGACGGTTCGTTGGTATATGGCGGATAGAATCAGGTTCCATAGGAACCATCCTATGATTTCTATGGCAAGGCCAATCAGTGGGATCAGAGTCTTGCTGTGAAACTCCAAAAGCCTAGATGAAAATTGTAAATTAGTATCCAGCATTTTTGAAAAAATTCACGTGTAATACTTACAGCAGCTTAACATTGATGAAAATGACGCCAACGCTGAAGCATATCGTCCCCATCGCATAGAGTCCGTTATCTTCCGTAAACAGAATGCTCTCAAACGCCTCCAACATAAAGTAGAACGTAACGACGCTCTCAGCAACAGCCATGGCCATCCAGCCCAGATACTGCAGCAAGTTGAATCCTTTTCTCTGCTGCCCAAAGGTATACAGCTCCGGCACGGACAGCAGCGTCGCCGGCTGCAAGTCCCTGTCGAAAATTCCCAACAGAATCACCGGCAGCGAGGTGAACGCGCCGTTAAACAGCGTGAGGCTCCACGACTCGTATAGCGAGGTGCCCGTGTAACCGTTGAGACGTTGAAACTGCGCCTGTATAAGGAAAAAGAAAGTCTCCTTCCAAAACGTGGCCAAGACATACTTGCCCGTCCGGATGTAGTTCCATCGCCCGTGGACAAACAGCAACTTCTGAAGGAACCGAAACTGGGCAATCGAATAATCTGCTATCCTCGCTGCTTGCAGGCCTTCGCGGCCGGATATGCCAATGCCCACGTGCGAGGCTTGAATCATGCCAATGTCGTTGGCACCGTCGCCAATGGCCAGAGTCATGCTCTTGGGGACAAACTTCCTTATGGATTTGACCAGGTTGGCTTTCTGCGAGGGCGATGCTCGACAGCAGATGACCGAGTCGATTCGCACAACCAAGTCGTAAAACAAGGCGGCAAGCTCGTCATCGGCATCAATCACGGCCAAGGTCTGCCCATCCACAACCACGACCGAGTGAGGCACCATCCCTCGCGCAACCTCGGTGAGCGTTGTCATCAGGGCATCCTGCAGTTTGCCCTTGGAGGAATCCAAAATGTAAACCTCGGAAAACGGCTTGCACACGCGCGCCGAATGCCCGATGTTGATAGCAGTTTCTCTCTTGTCGCCCGTGAGCATCCACACTTTGATGTTTGCGCGCCTAAGCTTGTCAATTGTTTCCGGGACTCCCTCTTGGAGCTTGTCTTCTATGGCTGTGGCGCCAGCAAGCTCAAACCCTTCTTCGATTGTCTCTCCAGCTATTTCGATGCGCTCCTGACGATCCACCAGGCTCGTTTCCGCTTCCCTGTATGAAGCCTTCCATTGCGTATAAGTATCCTCGTCGATGTGTCGATATGCGTACAACAGCGTCCGCAGTCCCTCAACAGCAAAGTCATCCACATGCTGGAAGCACTTTTCAAAAATGGTTGCCTCATCCGCAGCCAGCAATTCGTCTATCCTCTCGTCGTCATCGCCCGCATAGTCTCTATAGTCCCACGACGGCATACGACCCAAGCTTTGCCTAGGACTCCGCAGCACGTCAGTCGAAGGCCGAGGAGTCACAATCTCCTCTGTATTCCGCCTATGAAGCCACGAAGCCATTTCCTCAGCTTGTGAGAGCCGGTTGAGATCTGTGGAGCGCCTCGCGATGTTGCTTCTCAACCCTTCAAGTCCAGCGGTTGTAGCGGTTGATTTGCTTCGTGCCACGCCAAAGCTATTGCGCGTCGAATTCTTCCTGCTGATCTGACTGCTCATACGCTTGATTGCCTTGTCCTGCTCGAATGTTTTTCTGACGCTCGCTCTTCGATCAACGTCTTTGGCCTTCTGAGCAGCCACTTGATTAAGCCTGAGACGCGCCATGATGACGTTGTCTGCGCCTTTGCAAAAGACGCAGATCCGATTGTCAGGCATCCTAACGATGATAGACATCCGCTTCCTTTTGCTGCTAAACTCAATCACGTCAAGTACTTGGTAGGTTTCTGTTTGCAGTGCGCCGTCTGCGCCTTGCATCTGCAGTTTGATGGACTGAGCCGGTCGGTCAATGAGAATATAGCCCAGATCCCGCGCCGCCTCAACTAGTGCCAGCTCATCGGGAGATGCGGCCTGATACTCGATTTCTCCGCCTTCGTTGGTTTCGGGCAAGCAGGTGTGACAAAGGGCTATGCATAGCAAGAACTGTTTAGCCTTCTGAGAAAAGGGGGTGTTTGGTCGACGACGAATGTAGTCAAGTAATTCTTCGGTTTTCATGTCCACAGCAGCATTGGCCGACATGGGTTGCTTCCCCTTTGCTCTGGCACTCTCCCCTTGGGTATCCATGTCATGAAGACAGACAACGCCCGCAACGCTCAGCTTCCGAAAACGCATCAGGTTTTCCGTCAACGTCCCCGTTTTATCCGAAAACACGTAGCTAACCTGACCAAGGTTCTCCAAAATGGTCGTTGTATTGGCCACCATAGGAGTGTCCGTGGCTGGGTCGTACATGTCCACGTCCTGCAACAAGAAGAGCTGTCCAATCTTGACAATCTCCAAACTGATATATAGAGACAGAGGAATTAACGTGTTGAACATGATGAGGAATCCGAAGAAGATCTGCTTAAATGGCACACTTGCATCATAGACACCACTTTGCACAAGATAGAAAGACTTGTCCTCTGTTCCATTTTCCCAAATGTTATATCCAATGGTAAACCCGATGGCCAGGGAGAGAACAATTGTGATTTGGAAAAGGACCATCTTGTTAATTGTAGACTGCATGGCTGGCTTCTTGGCGTGGACGTTCTTATTCGCATTCATCCGAATCTTGCATTCCTCACCTGAATTGACCACAAGCCCAATTGCCATTGTGGTGTTTCGCAACGTCGATCCTCGGTAGACGACATTGTTCATCGATAGAGGTACAGTTTCACCGCCATCAACAGTAACTCTTCCAACATAGCTGTATAGGTCGAGATTGGGATCCTCAGACACAACGGTTGCCTGAGTCGACCGAAGCCCTTCAACGGTGCCGCATCTCTCTGCAAGGAGAGGGCAAGCTTGCTTGGCCTTGAGGTTGGTTTCGCCGTCTAGTGCCATTGTCTCGATGTATGCAACACCATTCGGTCCCGTGGCGTGAAGCATGACTATGTCTGCAGGCACCGACTCGTCACGGCGGAGACGCACTACATCCCCAACTTGGACATGCTGCCATTGAATATTCATCCAGTCGTTTGTCTCGTCCAGCCTAGCGAGAGCCCCCTCTTCAATGTCTTGCAGAATAACATCTTCATCGTCTGCGCCGAGTCTTTTCTTGTTCCCCCTCCGTCTTCTCCTCATCGCATTTCGCCATCCCGACATTCTCGGCCTCTCTCTCCCCTCCCTCACACCGTGTGTCAAAACCCAGGTCATGCTGCGATTTTCCGCCTTGTCGAGCTGGTACCGTCTGTAGTCATCGTACCCTTCCTTGGCCATACTAAAGGCGACGAAGCCAATGAGCGGAGCAATAGTTGTATATCTCCCAACGGTGCTGAGACCAGGTATCACCTGAAGAATACCCATAATGAGGAGGTAAAAGTTTCCGAGCTTGCTAAACTGAAAAACGAGCTGCTTCGGAACAAAGTCGTAGACCGTGTAGCGACTGGAGCGAATGAAATTGCTTGTATAGGGTTTGTTGCTGCGTTCGTCTATCAGGCCGCCGGGATCAACACCCGTAGGGTTGAGGGGGATATGGCGTCCATCTTTGGAGGGTAACAGCGGTTTGCGACGAAGAAGAGTCTCCCAGAAAAACCTTTCGACGATAGCTGCAGTGTGGTCTTTCCATTCAGAGCTAAGCATCCAATGCCTCTTCTTCGCCTTGGTGGCCTTGTTTCGCCCGAACTCCTTGATACCGCTGGACGGGGATGGTTTGACGGACGTCACTTCGGTGGACAAAAGCCCATCTCTCGGGGAAGTTTCCTGGGCCATCTTCGCCTCAGATAGGCCGCGGCTAGAGTGAAAATGCTCGCTGAATTGTGGTTTCGGCGTCGGCTCCGCCAATGTTCTCCTCGACGTCTGCGACTGTGTGCTTAGTTCTATAGGGTCCGTTTGGGAGCGCCTGGGACCAGCCACCCTCGGCGCAGTGCTCTCAGGAGTCAGTAAATCATCAGAGACAGTAGCCTCTTGAGCTGTCTCCTGGACTAGAGCCTCCTGCTCGGCGTCGTCTGCGTGGCTGGGCTCGTCCGGCAGAAGCGGCTGGTGCCGAGGAAGAGACATCGCGATGACGTCTAGTGCTGACCGACGGCTGTCCAAGCATTGGCATTGACACAGAACTTCAGCATGGAAATAAGAAGCGCGCCATGTGAAAAAGAAATATCAAAAATCAAACACTATATTTATGAATGCGGCCGTAACAAAACTACCGCGAACGATGAAGGATGCTGAAATTGGAGATGCAGATGGGCTCACACTCACACCCGACAGACGACTCAAAACTGGGCAGGACGTCACGTTTGATGCCCAGAGGCTTGTCCTCCATCCATTACTAGACTCATACGAGTACACGTACATGCACGGCCGAGCGGCGCTTCATCATCTGCAGGTATCCCCTGCCCTCTGATTCGGCCTCTGAAACGAGCCATGGTTTATATGACGCACCAGGATTACGAGGCCCAACGAGGCTTTGCTTCACCACAGCCTCTGAGCTTCTTCCTTAGCCTGATCTGCCATCTCCAACGCCCCCCACCTCACAACTGCCCGAGGGAACTAGATGTTGCGCCATCTCGTCTGTTTAAACCAGATGCCCTGTGCTAATCAAACTTTAAAAAGTTCGATAACACCTGTATTTAATGTCCCCTCTAGCGATTGGATATCGGTAGAACATCTCCGGTTAAGCTAACCTCAAGTCAAGTATCGACGGGTACGTTAACCACTTGCCACTTGAGTTCCAGGAAGTAGACACGGAATTGTTCAATTACATCTCTCTCATTTAACCCGTAGAACAGCCACGCCAGAGTGCAATAAGACGACATAAATGGTCTTCACCGGTACCATCTGCCAATGCTGTGCACACGCATTGATCCTCAGCCACTGATCCCCAACGACATCCATCCATCAGGCAGTGTTTACGCTCGATGGAGACGGAGTACGAGGCTTTGTGAGCTTGAGTAACACACGAGACCCAGCGATAGTACAAAGTCCAAGAGTTCAAGGCTGTGCATATTTACACGCCACTTGCAACAGATAATAATAGCACTTTCGTGAAGCTGGTTGAGGCTGTGAGTGGCTGTATACCTAGCGCGCATTATTCTACAATCTATAAGACAAAAATCAAAATAGCAACTTCACCAACAGCATATACTCAACGTCTAAACACACACAAAGGCCAGCACGGAATGTTGAACGTCAAAAAAGTACTATTGCAAGGCTCACGGTTGGCAGACATGAGATGCCATATCCCTAGTAACTCTACAAGTTACTCAATAGTTGAAAGCGCGATGCTTGCTCCATCTCCATCGCCATCCACACATCGAAGAGCTGTTCACCTCCTCGCTTCCCGCACACTCCCACACACCGCTATACTTTTAAACAAGTCTCCCACCTCTTACACCATGTATCCCTTTGACCTCTCGGCTTTTCCATTAAAAAATCCAAGATAAACAAAACAAAAAAAAAATTTGGACTGGGTCACCGCCTCCGGGGCTGCAAACCAATTGAAGGCATGAAAACGCAAAAGCAAGATAACTCCCCTAACTAGTGATATGCGCCAAAAGAAAATTAAGCTCCTTAGGATGCGAGAAAGCTGTGCATTCGCCCGGGCAATTACGCTCCGGGTGGCCAAAAGAGGAAGCGGAGGACAGTAAATAGAGAAGAAAAGAAGAAAGAAGAAGATAATGGAAGTGGATGGATGAGATACATCCACCAACTAGGGTCACCAAGCAAAGATATGAATGCGCGGGCGGTAGATAAAAAAAAGAATATGGCTGAGCAAAATCACCACGCGCAGAAATAACTCGTACGATCGCTGTACCGGACATGCATGACCGATGTAAAGAATGATACCGTCATGCAGATTCGTCATGGCCGCATTGTGTGATGGCAGGTGGGTAGGTCAAGCCAAACGTATTATACCGCCGGTGGCAGCTAACAAAAAAAAGATGGGCAAACAGAATTTGTGTGGCGAGATGAGCTCCAAGATGTCTTAGAGAAAAGATATCATGTAGCTTCCCATGGTATAGATTACCGAATAACGCCCTTCCGCAATAATGATGATTCCAAACAAGACCAAAGGGCAATGAAGGGCTAAAAGCAGCGCGCAGCTAGATTAGAAATGTCACCAAATCACTCTCCCAGTTACCGATGCATCGTCTCAGGCGATAGACTAGTTGGATCAACGGCGTCAAAGTGAACTAGTTGGTCCATGTCAATATCTCCCTGTGAGTGCTGAACATAGCTCCCGGGCGAGTGCTCGTGCATTGGCATATTAATGGAATGTTTGGAATACATTTCGTTCAAGCTAACGCCATCATCCGAAACGGCGCACGAGCCGTCCTGGCCCATGTACATTTCGGAAGAGCCAGGGCGGCCCATCATGGACATGGGAGGGGATTGCTCGACAATTGAAGGCTCAGTAGGGCCATTGAAAGGAAGGGGAGAGATGGCTGTGGGCATGTTGGCTTCAGCAGTGACCATGGGCGACAAAAACGCGGTACCATAGGGGGTGCTGTAATTTGATGGAGCCAATGGGCCATTCTCTTGGCCAGGAGGGAAAAAGCCAGGGCTCGGCGGGAACTCGGATGGCGAAGCAGTCGTGGCTGACATTGGGTATTGCCGCATGTCCAAACCAAAGCCTGCTTGCGTGTCAATCCTCAAATTGTGCGCCACATTGGGTTGCTGTGGCACTGGAGCATAAATGTTTGGATTGTGTTGAGCAGCCATATCACCGGGAGGCTGGATATAGAAGGACGGCATGGGCTGGTTCTGGAACATGGCAAAATCAATTGGTCCAGGAACAGAGCGACTACGCTGCCGCTTGTGGCCCTGAGGCCGCATGTTGGCAGCAGAGTGCATGTTGGCCATACCCCATTGTTGCTGGGCCATGGCCATCGGCGGTGCGCCAAAGCTTGGCTGCGAGGAGGGTCGAGCTGTGGGAGACACCGGAGCCGAGGCCGAGATTGCATGAGGGTCTGCATATGCGTGAACCTGTCGAATGCTGTGGGGGTTGTGGCGGTTCATGAAAGATTCCAAAGAAACAAGCTTGGCCAACTGGTTGGCCAGTACCTTGGGGTTGCCCCCCAAATGATGAAGCAAGCACTGAGAGGCCTGTTGATCCTCGGTGAAGTCACTAACGTAGTCAAAGCCCGTAGTCGACGAGGTTGCATCCATCATGAAGTAAGGTGGCTGGTTGAGCTCAATAAAGATGCCCGCCAGTTTGTTCATGTCGTTGTCTGCATTCTCCAACCAAATGTTCTTGATATGGGAGAAAGGATATTCGATCTTGTACCCAGCTTGCTCGTTGTTAATGTAGTAGGTCATGGTGCACTTGTCCGGCGAGTAGAAGATGATGAGATCCATGGTGTTTTGTCCAACTCGCGTCCATTTGCCAATGCTCAGGGAGCGACAAGTGAGATGATGAATCACTGGGAAACAGTCAGTAGGCTGAGCGCCAACCAAAGAAAGGAAACCCCATGGCAGACGTACAAACTTTGCCCTGCGCGCTCTGGTCACCACCAAAGAGCATGTTGCCGCCGCCAAAAGGAAGCAGGCCAGTGCGGCCCATATAGCTGCCGGCAAACCCTTTGCCGGATTCCATGGCCTGCATAGCGAGATATTGCCTCATCGACTCGGGAATCGAATCAATGTCTTCGCCGGTTTCGAGGCTCTTCTTGGCCAGCATCTTGATCTTGGCTCGCCTATACACATGTCAGCCCCTGAATCCCAACCCGACGCCACGCAGTCATAAATACCTGTTCTGGAACCAAATCTGAACAGAGCGCTCCGTCATGTTAATCTCCTCGGCTATTCTGTCGCGAACACTAGCCGTGGGAGTCGGGTTTTTGTTGAATTCCATCTCGAGAGTCGTCAATTGGTCCTGTGTGGCCCTTTGTCTCTTTTGGTTCTTCTGCTGCTGCGTGAGGGTGCTTTTGCGCGGCGGGCGGCGGGAGGCATTGGCCTGGCCATTGGCGCTGGTAGGGGAGGGAAGAGGCCTGGAGGCAGATCCAGGAGTGCCATCCGAGGAACCTGTCGCGGAGTGATGAATGGCAGATCCGGTCGGGCTAGGCGCAGTTGGTGTGACCACCGTAGCCGTCAAAGCCAGCGGCTGCTCAATCTCCGTAGCCATGGCGATGAGTACGCGTCAAGGTCGTCTATCGCTCGTGGCCGATGGGTCGATGGCGTGTTGGAGCTGTTTGCTTTGAGCAGATGATTGCACGAGACGCAGCAACGCGGTTGCCAAACCCTCTCGATGCAATCGGGGCTGAGGAGCGCTGGGGGTTTCAAAAGGAATGAGGTGAGAAAAGCGGCGACGATGGGCGCTCGAGGGGATCGAATACAAGTATGGTTGGTGTTGATGCTACAGGTAGGCAAGGACAGGGAGTATAACCAAAAAGAAAACGGCGTCGAGTTCCAGAAAGAAAGAATGTGGTCTGGGACCCTTGCAAGGAACAAAGGCGATGGTTGAATGGAAATAGAATAGCGGAGTCTACCCAGCAACGATTGACAGGCCTTGGATATGAAGCCGAAAGAATGGAATGGTCCCGGAAAGAGTGACGGGAACCGAAATGGCCGAAGATTAAGAGAGTGACGTGAAGAAAGAAAACACACGAGAGAAAGGGAAAAAAAAAAGGAGGAGACAATGGCCGCGAGGATGGTGATGGGGAAGACGGAGGAGAGAAACGGGGGACAGGAGGCAGAGGGAAGAAAAAGGCGAGCGGCGGTGGGTTGGGGAGGGGGGGTCCCCTGGCGGCCTGGGGGCACAACTGGGCGCTGCCAGTGGCTAACGCTGCTGCCAGTGGGTGGGCGGAGGGATCGCAGCCGCATTGCTAGTGCCTGTAGCCTCTGCGTCCAGGGCCCTCTGCCCACGAGTTCCACGGCCGGCAAACAGACCACTGCACAGCACAGGGCTCGACCACCCCCAACTCGTCCAGGCGCAGATGCAGCTGCTGCGGGTACTCGTATGGACGCAGGTACGGTACAGACAGTGGACGTGTCGGATACACATCAATGGATTGCCTTTTGCGCGGCCAGGAGAGCGGTTTCGCGTTGGGGGGGGACCGGCGACGACGTGCGACGCCAGGTACCGCAGAGGTACCGCACGGGTAGGCTCCATGGCCTGGAGCCGGACCAGGCTCAGGCGCAGGCTCAGGAACAGGAACAGGCACTGGCTGGCTCAGGCACAAGAGCGCTAGCCACAGTCCCCTCCACACTGTCCCGAACCCTGGCGGCCCTGCATCCGCCGGTCAAGGCCAGCTGGTCAGAGCTTTTGCCTGCTCTAGACAGCCGTTGGCGCCAGGGCCGCGAGGAGGGTGGAAGGTGGAGGGGTACCGGCTGGGGACAACAGCTTCGGAGCCGGCCAACGGCGTCATCGACGTAGCGCCCAAGTACTCACTGTCCCGTTGCTCTCATGGATCCATTCAGGCCAATCCAACCCTGTCAACCTGCCTGTCAACCCTGGCCAGCCCGCTAGCTGCAGCACTCGCACAATCCGGCCGCAGAACCGGTGCTCAAAGAAGGACTCTGGGCCAGCGCTACTCTGCAAGCGCCTGGGGGCACAGTGCGAGGATATTCCGGCCAGATGTCCATATCCATTGATCCAATGGTTGATGGTCGCGGGCTCGCGCTCGAAAGGGACTCGGAGGCGAGAGCTGCAGGTACCAGACGCTCGCCTGCTTCGGCACTCCGTGTCAAGGTACGAAAGCGCACGATTTAGGTACTCGTAGCGCATGCTGCAAGGTACCAGACCGTATTGATGGACTGATGCTTGGCCTCGCCCAGAGCCTGCAACCACTTGAGCAGCGCCTCAATTCAGAGTCTGGTACGTGCTACAGTGCTTACATACCTATGTACTTTATCCGCACATCAATGTCCAAGGTGCAGTGCTAGGTATCTCCGTACTACGATTGAGCATGTGTCGTGTCGGGTCAAACGTTTAGGCTGGAGTTGAGCACTAACCCAAAGCGAGAGAGCTCAACGATACGCCGTCTGGTACCTTTGGTGTTCGTGCTATCTAACAGGTACGTACGAGTGAGTACACGTGCTTCTGAACAGGTACCTAGGCACTTAGTGCCCTTCACCCACGAGGATGAAACTGCTCCGCTCGCCGTCATCAGCCTAGACTGGTCTCCATCTGAGCGACAGATCATCACGTTGTGCCGTCTTGTCGGCTGTTGAATATAGGCAAGTCTCGTTGTTTCCTCTTTTCCACTTCAGCTCGCGGGCGACTGTGCCCACTGTTCGATGCATGCATGGTTTGGCTGAGCGGGCGTCGGTCGAATGCTCATGATTCGCGAAGCAGCTCCAAAAGGCCCCCATCATTCACTACCTTGGCTACCTATTCTCGGTATGGACTAACCAACGGAGTGCATGCGAGTGAGTGCTCGTATGCATACAGACAGATAGGGACCATACGAGCGCTCATACAGTTGGTTCGACACAACAGCAGCCGAGAGGATCCCTAGCCGGCTCCTCCATTCGGTCGAGCCATGGCGAATACAGATACGAACAGAGGCAATTGAGTATTCGTAGCTCCAAAACGGCCCTTGGAAGCTCGGCACAGCTCGACGCCACCAACTGGCCGCTGTCTGGCGCCCATCAGTCGATATGGGGAGCATCCAGTGGCCGAGTATGCGCGACTTACTCGCACGTTGTGCCCCAAGTCGATCTGGCGTTCCACCGGCCGGCCTCCATGTCATGTCCCCTTTCCCTCTCTTCCCCTTTTGTCGCCGGCAACGCCAAACTCTCACGCAACTGGCGCGTTGTTCCAAGGGCGAGCATGCGTGCCTTCGGCGAGACAATGGGCCGTCGTTGTTGATTACAACGCCGGGGTGGCTTACTCTGCAGTCATTTCTCTAAACAGCGTCTGTGGCCGCGATTTCTCCCGGACTTGTGTCCATTTTATAAGCTGAACAAAGAGAAGAAAAAACAAAAGAACGAGCATCAAGGTCAACCAGCACTACTGCTTCTGCTCAACCAAGTGCAGCTCTAGGCGGTCTAGCCCCCGGAGATCGTCACCTTTGAGCCTCGCTTGACCCAAGGCCCCCACAGCTTGGATACCGACCGACTCGGAGCTCAACATCAGAGCATCCTCCAGCCGGGATAACCCAAGGCCACGATGCTGCACCTGTAGAAGCGGTCCCGTGTCTTGCCGTGGTACGGAGTAGCATTAGGCTCGCACCACCAGCAAAGTGGCACAGGCTCATCCAAGCCAACAAGTGCGTGGTACAAGACACAAGCCCGCACAGACTTGGCTTCCGCGGCACTCGTCCAAGTAACTGACAGGAATTTGGTGTCGCTCTTCCAGGACAAGCCCCAATATGACATGACAGCTCTCATCCTATGATTCGTTCTTGGACTTACAAAGCAGGACTCCCGGCCCTTGGCAGACCTGCCATCTATTCAATTTATGCAACGCCCTTCTTATGGCGTACGGCTACTACTACGAGTACCACTACTATCAGCCTCGGCAGCTCAAACTGGACACGATTCGCAACGGAGGAGACATGGATCTCAGCTTCTGCCCGGTTTATACTGCACTACCCGTAATGCTATTCGCAAGTGCAAACGCCTACGAGTAGCGGCACTGCTAGTTGCTCCGTACGAGGAGAAGCCTTTCGTACTTATCCCGACGTACGCAGATGCAGTCTTCGAATTAGCCCCAACCCCATACTAGTACCGCACTTGGCGACCCTAAAGCATGCATTGCATGGCGCTACTCGAACGTCTGCGTGAGAGTTTGTCGCTCTCGCGCCCGCCATGGCTCGATTCGACGCACCCAATGGATGACTTTCGACCGACAGTGGGGGTGACATCATGGAGGCTAATGGTGAACGGCGAAAGGCCCTTTCCGTCTTTCTTTGTTTTGTTGCTACAGTATGTTGTACATGCAGTACTAGTTTGGACGGACAACTACCACTGCTAGTGCTACAACGGCATGCCAACTCGATGCCAGCCATCCACGGTACAGTTACAGATCCGGCGATTCAAACCACAATGGTGTTAGTGTGGCTGCAAGTCCAGCATGGTAAAAGATCAACTGGAGGCCAATTGAGAAGAGCCGATACCACGACGAACTACTGCCACCACCACCGAAGAAGAGAACAGCCAAAATGGGAGACCAGCCCGTGTTCCTGCAGAAGGGTGTGATGCGGTTTTGGAGCGGGTCGCGTCTGGACAAGCCTGTACAGTGCGCCCCTTAACAGCATGCGTCTAGAACGGTACCAACCGGCTCTGACGACATCAGGCGAGGGACCGGCAATTGGGGAAAATCCTCAAACACAAAGTCCCCTTTTCGATTTCACGTCCGCCTCGCTTCCCTTCCGCCGCCGATGATCGCGGCAGGTCGGTTTCTACGAGTGGCAGTCAGAATGCCTACCAAGCCTAGAGTACGAGTACCTAGGTAGTATCAGGGCGGAGTACCGAGTTCATCATATTCTTACTGCCAGTCTGCTGGTCTGAGTGCAAGAAGATCGTCAGAGTGGCATTCTACAAGGTCAATACCCTACAAGTACGAGTACTCCTTGGGAGCAATCTGTATGCACGGAGCAGTGTTACTTGTCAGTGGTTGTCATCAGTGGCACCATTTCTCCGAGCAAGTGTGAGAGATGACAGAACTGACGGCATCGCCGCAGAGAAGGGTCACCATGTCTCTAAGAAACCCAATTGCAGAGATACCCAGGGTATGCAGTTGATGATACGTGATCGATACGATACTCGTACACGTGGTGGCGACTTCTATGGACATGCTCCCCATGGAGTAAAACATGCATACATTTCGCACACTTCGGGAGAGCACAAAAAAAAGGTACCATCGCCTTCGAACACGATAGACTTGTCTTGGGCGCACAGTACGGGACACACGATATGCAAACACAGTGTAACATGCCCCAACCGTCTCGGAGAAGCTCAAAGAAGCTCCACAGCCTCCTTACCCCTGACTAGGACAGACCAGGATTCTGGGACCCTGCTGCTTGGCGTCACGGCCAACCAGCAGTCGGGAGGCGCTCCGCCCAACCGCTACAGGCTACCCGCTTGGACTTGTGCTAAACCCAAAGAATGATAGGGAGAGATCGTAGCATCGAGCAGACCGGACATGCTCATGCACATGCACATGCAAGCGGAAGCGCAGGTGCTTCTTAACAAGAGGAGCTCCATACTTGTCCTCCCGGTTTCGATCCTATCCCATTTTGAGGACCTTTTACCTCCGATCGATCATTCACAAGCACGGCTTTTTCATCTTCTCCGCACAGCCCCAGCGGCATCCCTTCTTGTGTATACATACAATCGTCTTGTAGCATTTCAGGCTCCAAGAGTGAAACCTTGCCGACGGCTCGATTTGCCACATGTCTCTAGCTGTGTGCTGGGATGAGACCGGTAAACAGACGCCACCTTGACCCCGACTTCTTCGTTTTTTCGCCTCGTGCCAGAATTTCAATGCTCTCAGTTTGTCTAGTCCCATCCGACAAAATCGAGGATCCAAGTGGATAGGGCCATCTCAGCTTTCTTACGAGTATGCGGTAGCTCTGACCAACCTCACGACCACTGTGGGGGTACGGACAGTTTGAGATAAGTCCATACGGATAGCTGCTTGCTGGCTCTCGAAAAGCTTCTAGTCAGCTATGTCTTTGTGTCAGAAGCCGGCGGAGATGCTCCGATTCCCCTGCGCAAACCTCACAACTCGTTTAGCCGACGGCCAAGACACTCTGAGAGTATGCCTGCTAGATGCAGTGGTGATGAGACTAGTCGTGTCGCAGGATGCTTGACTGTTTTCTTGCCACCTCTGGGGTCTCCATGGCGTAGGCGAGGGCAAAGATTCAAGATATTCTCCCGACGCGCCCGCGATTGAAGTTCAAGACTAACTACTAGGAGCAGCACTGCCTGGCCATTGTGTACTGCAAAAAAGACGTCAAAAGGCCCTTTGCAGTGGATTGCTTACTACCACTACCACCAGACTGAGCATCTATTAATATCATTTTGCCGGCTTGACTCGAGCTCTTAACAGACTGGATCCCGCCAATAGGAGTTACTTGATCGAGCTTGAGAGCATTCGGATTAGATCATCAGCACTTGGTGGTGGAGTTCGACTGGACTCTCCCCGCCAAAGAAAGAACTTTATAGTAGTGATGGCGGTGGTTTACACTGACTCAAGTGTACGAAACACTTTCATGCTCCATATGGAGTGTCGGATCGGGCCTGACCTCAACAGGTGTCGAGCCGCATATTGCAGAACAACATGATGTACTCGTACGCTGCTTTTACAGAACTCAGTCGTGTGATGTTTCATGATGCCCTGATTCTCGCCTAGTTTCCTCTTTCTATCTATTCTCTCCCTTTTCGTCGCCCCTGTCCGCGAATATCACTATCTTTGTGTGCAGCATCGCCCATGAGCATGTTGCATGTCTCACTTCAAGAAAGGCCATGACAACTGGACTGGGGAAGCGGGTCTGCTCGGAAAGCATGCTTGCACTACCTCCCTCCACGTATCTGCAGGGAAATCTATCTACCTAGTAGTCATGGTGTTACGGGCATTCAAAACGCAAAACTCGACCTCAAGCCCATGCCTAGCCCTCGTCTTCCTTCATCTGCCCAGATCATGGAGCCTCGACTCGTGAGCATGAAAGGCATCATCAGGCGCACACCGAACAATAAAGTTGTCTTTACACTTAGCTTCCCGGGTTCCGATTTGTGTCCCCGGCCTCCCTTGAACCGACCACTGTTTTGGAACACCGACCAAGGCATGTCTATGGGCACGGAGCAAACCGCAGTGGATGCAGGACGGGGAGTGCAGTTGGGCTAACTACATACGACTATAACAAACTTCCTACCGTACCCTATATATGCACGGCGTCGGCATGTCTCACATTGTCATGCTTTGGCATGATGCATGACGGCTGTCCCTTGCAGCTAGCCACGGATACCATGCTGATTACTACTGCTAGTAGTAGTTGTATTGCATATTATCACTATTTTGTGCAACAAGTCGTTTTGTTAGAGAATCATCTCAGAGCGAGATCCGATATCAGGGCAGGGCGAGACATGGAAAGCGGTCGCCTCGTGAAACCCCGATGTACATGCATATCCATGTAGGAATGCCACGAAGCGCCACCGTCAGTTCAAGAAAGAAAAAAACTAGGATGAGACTTTGGTTCTGGCTTGCATGCAAAAGACAAAAAGAGAACGTCGACTTTCAAAGCTCCCGCATTACCTCCTCCACGGCTCTGGCTGCCAGCCGCTTTCTCTGCGCCTCGCTCATGCCCTCTCCCATTTCTCTAGTCGCTTGAAGCTTCCTCATCATCTTTTCCACCTTGGCCACATCCTCGTCGTCAAGGTCGCGGTCCGACGCCACGACATCGTTGGTATCAGGGGCGGGACCTGCTTTGACGTCCGCCGCCTTGGGCACATTCGCCTCGGTTTGTTTTGAAAGAGCATTGTCGACATCCCCAGTTTCGAGTCGGCTTGTTTCCCAAATTGCCATGCGCAGCCCTTCAAAATCAGAACGGTCAACGCCAAAGTCTAAGCTCTCTGGATCAAAGTCCTCTGCGTCTTCAGATTTATCAGAGCGCGTCTCGTCCAAATCAGAGAGCGGGTCATCATTTAACTGCTCCCAGTCATTTGATTCAAGGGCTTCCTTGACCCGAGAAATCCCCGTCTTTTCTGTAAATGCATCTACAGTCAGCAAGATAGCCACACCATTGGTGATACTGTATCAGGCAGGCCGGTAACGGCAAGGGTTATGTGGGAATGTTGTTGAGTCACCATACCTCCAAACTCATTTTTATCCTTTTGCCCGCTTTTCAGCTGTACAAACTCCAGGCCGGCTTCCGCGCATAGCTCGTCCCATTCATCGGCGTCATCGCCCTCGCCGATACCAACGGCTAGCCTGACTCCATCCCATTCCCAGCCGCCAAGGCCTTTCTGGACGACACTGCCAACGTGTCGAATAAGACTGGGGGTGTCGTTGTCCCCAGATAAAGATGCGGGCTTGGCATTAGGTATTGCAAAGACGAGAACGAGGCCGCCCAGGACGGCGAGGACCTCGCGGGCTTCTTCGGATAGGAAAGACGAAGCCCATTCTGCCGGAGAAGCGATGAGATCTATCCATATCGGGACAGAGGCTGTGTAGTATGACGTTTTGAGCTCAAGGTCATGCGTGGTGCCCGCCAGTGACGTTGATGCCGCTTCTGGTGATGATCCGGTAAGATCTGGCGAGGTACAGTTAGTTTAAAGAAGCAGTGCAGCATGTTGGATATGAGATTTGATGAGATTGTAAGCCCAGTGGATAAATGCCCAAACGATTTACTATAAAGTGATGGTAGAGGACGAATGTGAAAATTCATCTCAGTCCTCACTTGCATTTCACAGATATCCAAGTTGATGATGTATCACACGTACCACAAAAGACGCATCTCATGCAGGTATGCTGACGACGACGATGAAAAGAGAACATTACCTTTGATGACACGACTCAGATGCTGCTCCTCGCCCTCTAGGCTGACGGCCAGAATCCTCCTCGGGTTGGAAATGTCCATGTTGATGCGTGCGATGCTCGGCCAATCCTTCCCACGTCCTCGCAAAATCTGCAAGAGAATGACGTGCTCTCACACTCACTCCAGCTCTGTTATAGGGCGATGTAACGAATGAGTATCGTGAGAGTATCAATGAAAAGAAGAATAGGTGCTGGAACTGCGTTCTTAGAGACTGTGTAGAGTAAAGGAAGAAGAAATATATAAAGTTGAGTTGCAGAAAGTTGGTGCTGCCTTGTTGCACGACTAGACGCTTAGTGATGGCTTGTCAGCCACGTTTAAGCAAGAATTACAGCGGGGGCGAGTCGTTGGTTGGAGGGGCAAAAGCGCTGTGGGGTCTGAATCCATGGCTAATTCCACGTGAAATTGAATATCAGAGAAAGCCGTCAGGGCACATCAATGGGAGATGGTTGAAATTGCAACTACCTAGTTGAAGAAAACAAATGAAACAAAATAAACAAACCCATATCGTGCCCAATATATGCAATATATGCAATGACCTGTAAGGAATAGACAAACTAAAGATTGTGCATAGGAATAGTTCAACATCCGCTGTACCTAGAAAACATCATCCATGCTACCCTGTAACTCCAAAAACTCCACCAAAACAAGTCGTTTTAAAAGTGCTGAGGGAAGAAGGGGGCACATATATCCAATAGAAATATGCATCTCCAGCCCATCTAGAGTCTCGCCATCACCCTCGTCTCGTTCTTCGCCACGGTGCTCAACACGCAAAGCCATTTACCGTCTTCCAAACTTGAAGCGCCGGGGCGCGCTGCCGCTGTCACCACCCCATCCAAACGACCTGTTGACGACGCCCATGGCTTCCACACCAGCCTGCACCATGCCGGCAAAGCCGCCAGCTTGGTCAGCCGGCTGGTCGGCTCTCTCCACGTCTCCCTGGTCGAGGTGGCCCTGTCTACGTTCCAAGACGGCCTTCTGGATGGCTCTCGCCCACATCTGGTACCACTGAGCCTCGCTCATGGAAGCAAAGCGACGTTCCACGCAGCCAGTGCCATCCGGCTCATCGCGGCTCAAGGACCATTCGGCGTATACCGTCTCCCAACGTTTGGTGCGGAAGAATAGGTACGGCCAGGCGAAGAGGAACATGAGGGTGAGCATAAACATGACCTCGATCCATTTGGTGAGACGCATCTGGTTCACACGACAAGCATTGTAAATCTCCACGCGCGAGTTCCGCACTGGGAAAGTAATGCTGGTGTGGCCACGATAGTTGGTGTCGTGAACCAGGCGCTCCAGCTGCTTCTTCAGATAATCCCAGTCCCAGCCGGTGACACGACGTTCAAAGGCCATGTTCTTGAGACCGGCACGGCTGGCACAGAAGCGGTGGCACCATTCCTCGACAGAAGGCTCGCCGCTTTCGATGATGCCGCCGCTGCCGCCGAAGCCAGCTGCGCGAGTTGGGAAGACGGTGCCACGGCGAACCTTTTCCAGGTTGCCAACGCTGTGGAGCTTTCGCCAGGCCCCGTTTGTAGGGTCCTGGATATTGTGGTAGAGCAGGTGCGTGAGCTCAATCTCAATGTCAAAATCAACCACGGTGACCTGCTCCGTCTTGTCATCCGACTTGCGGCGAGTCTCGGTGTGTGTGCCGCGGATCTGGGCAAACGGCCGAGGAGGCAGCTGGGACAGGTGGACGAGAGCATCGTTGAGATACTTGGGATCCGAGTCGAGGCGGGGATCCAGGTAATAGACGGTGTCTGAGCGAGGGTCCCGCTTGAAGGGCTCGAGGTTCAGGATGTTGGCTGCAGGGCCAGCAGGGGCCAGAGGGTCGATGAAGGGGACGGCATCGTTCTCGTGCTCGTCATACAGGGGCGGCAGATCGTCGTTGCCGAGCTCGGTAGGGTCATCGTCAAAGTACGTCTGGCGATGGTTGCCGAGATTCGCAGCGGAAAAGGTGGTGGCCGTTGGGTTGAGCGAGATGGAGCCGGCGGACTCGGCCAAGGGCGTTGAAGGCCCGGCAGCCGGCGACGGAGGCGGGAGGAAGTCTGGCTTGCCCATGATTGATTGGCGGCGGGTGTCTGAGCGTAGGATGTAGGAGTAGAATGAGAAAATAGAAAGAAATGATAATTGGAACAAGACGACGGGCGTCCAAGAGGAAGAGGGTGGGAATCGATAAGGAAAAAAAAGAAGCTCAACACCGGTGAGAGAGAGGCGGGCAGGTACGTAAGCTTTGGGTAGCGGTCCCGGGGCTGCTGCTTCTGTTTCCCACTTGTTGGTTGTACTTGTATGCTCTGCTTCTCTCCAACTCGCTTCAACTGTCTCCAAACACGATCGTCAATTGATGAAATCCACCGGATTCAACCCGTCTGTTCAACGGCGTATTTCGAATATCGGGCAAAACAAAAAAAACAAATAAAAGAGCACGACAACGACAAAAGGCGAAACGGCGGCTTTATCTCTCTCTCCAGGCTGCAACTGCAACTCCAGTCACCAGGCCCAAAGGCGGACCAAGCGTCGGTGCCCTGTGAAGATGCAGGAGTGCGTCCACTTGCTGAAACAAACCCGCTAGACGGGCAACAATGCGGCTGAATGGCACCAGACTAGAGCTTTCACGAGCTTACGTCTCCAGTTGATTCTTGATTCTTCAGCACCGCCTCCACTTGTTCGTGGCATGATTCCGGAAACGGAAATGGCCGGGTTTTGGCCATCGTGGCTCTCACCATCTGCGAGTACGACAATGCAAGCAAATGCTCCGTGCGCCAAAACATATGCGCCTACTGCAAACCACTACAGAGTATGTTTGTAGCTGGTTCACACCAACGACTGGACTGGACTGCAACATGGCTTTGGTGGATAAATATCGACTCTTTTGCTTTGGGCTCTGACTGGGCTGCTCTCGATAACCCCGTCTCAACTTGCCCCGCCACAATCACCACGTCGTTACTCCAACACAGCCCGCCACGACGCATCAGTATATGGGACTCAATCTCGATGATTTTGGCGCGCGGCTACCGTTCTATCCAAGAGCCAAGGCTGAGTGAGTAGAAGAGAAATATGAGCAATATAACACTTGATGACATTAATTTATATAAATACTATTGACCTGATTGAGATCCTTTTAGTTTTAGTTTCCCTTCTTTTATATTCAGTTGTGACCCTCTTCCCACTTCTTCTTTGCGGCTTTCACTAATATGTCCATATCGCCACTGGTCTCGCACATGCTCCTAAATGTTCCGTCTTTTTTGTTAATCAGCTCCCATGGGTGATCAAATTCCACCACTTCGCCCTTGTCTAGCACCAATACTTTATCGTAATCCACAATAGTCTGGAGGCGATGCGCAATTGTAATGACAGTCCCGGTAAGTTCTCGGATGGTTTCTTGAATCTTTGAGTCTGTGTTGTAATCGATAGATGCTGTAGCCTCATCCATGACCATGACGGTCGGCTTCTTCAGCATTGCTCGCGCCAAACACAGAAGCTGTCGTTGGCCTTGAGAGAGATTGGAACCGGACTCGGAGACGGGGGAAGACAAATCAAGGAAGATGTTCTTGTTCGTAGCAATCGACGGTGTCCGGGTACCAGATGAGGCCCCTGCGCTCTCTCCTTCAACAGATGTCGGAATAGTAGGGGTTGCAGGGGTAGTCGTCTCGTCATGGCCAATCAACTGGACACGTCTCAATGCCTCAAACACCTCTTCGTCCGTGTACTGATCAAAGGGATCAAGATTCGTTCGAATAGTACCCATGAAGAGTGTGGGATCTTGAGGCACAATGGTAATGTTCTCTCGGAGATCCTGGAGTCCAATCTTGCTAATATCGATGCCATCGATCGTAATAGATCCCGAGTCGGCTTCAAGGGCACGGAAAATGGCCAGCGTCAACGAGCTCTTGCCTGCGCCAGTTCGGCCCACGATGCCAACCTTTTCCTTGGGGTTAATCTTGAGCGAGATGCCTCTGAGAACCGGATCCAAGTCGGCGCGGTATCGAGTAGAGTAGTCGACAAACTCGACACCGCCCTCCGCAGGCCAGTTCTTCGGCGGCCGGTTATCCTCGATAATCGGTTCCGCTTCTTGTTCAACGTCTAGGTATTCCTTGACACGTTCCATAGAGTTCATGTTTTGCTCGTTCATGCCATACTGACGGACAAGCCACAAAACGTTTTCGGTAAAGTTCATCGCATAGCTCAATGAGATACCAGCCGCACCGGCATCAATCTTGCCCAGGTTGACAATAATGAAGACACCTGCGAAGAAGGATACAAAGTTACCGAGCAAATCAGCTCGGAATGCGAGCCATCTGTTGCAAGCCCACAGGTAGATGAACGGTCGGCTTTGAGTGTTGATTTTGGCCAAGTTGTCGCGGATAAAACGCCGTTCGTCGCCGTAAGCTCTGATAGTTGTCATACCGCTAAGAGTCTCGCCAAATTGCTGGAAGAGTGGACTACGCTGGACAGACTCCAGGCGCTTAAGATCGCGAGACGCGCGTAGATAGAAAGCGGCGACAACATAGAATAGGACGGCAATGAAGAGGGCGGCAATGAGGAAACCAGGAGTGATGAATGAAATCAACACAACGGTCACGACGAGAGAGAGGGCGCAGACCATTACGCCAATCGCTGTGGGTGCAATCTCTTGGTCCACAGCCTCGAGATCCTTACTAAAGCGGTTCATCAGCTGGCCCAGAGGGGTTACATCGAAGAACTTGAATTTGGCCCTGGTCACAGAGAGAATGAGACGGTCGTGAATTCGCCTGGATGCAGTCAAAGAGCCGACAAAGATCCATACGTCTCGGATCAGAGCGGTCAGGGCACCGAACACGCCAATAAGGGCAAGTCCAGTGAGGTAATAGGGGACGTTGACTTGTGGTACCGCAGTCGGGCCAAGAGTGATCTGATCATCCAGCACGCGCATACCCGGCTCTGTCGAGGAATGCAGGCTACCCAAACTGGCAATAGAAGCCCAGGAGCCCTTGGATAGGCCTTCAGCACCGTAGGCATGCGGCATGGCGCTTAGCGAAACGTTGATATTCTCCTCCTCGATGTACTGGTTAGCCCACTCCCTAACCCAGATGTTCGTTGCGACGGTCGAGAGCTGTTGCATGCCAAAGACCATGAATGCGACAAGCCAGAACCACCAAGGTCCCATTGAAGAGAGATAAATGCGTAAAACAGACCATTTGACGGATCCAGTTGCCTTGGTCTCTTCAGGAGGCCCCTTGGGCGGTTCCTTCTTGTCCTTCTTGGAGTCGTCTGTGGAGCCCGCGGCGTCACCGTTACTGTTAACCATGGTCTCCTCATCGCCGACGCTTGATGGTACGCGAGATGGGATACGAGATGCAGTATGAGAGGCAGGTCGAGAGCGCTGAATTTCCTCGCCGAGCTTGCCGGAGGCGATGACCTCTTGTGAGGGCCCCTGGGCTACGACCCGTCCGTTCTCTAGCAAGACGACGAAGTCGGATGACGGAACACAAAGCTGTATGTTGTGGGTAACGAGAACACAGGTGCGGCCCTTCATCAACGGGCCGTTGATGCAGTTTGTAAAGATCCATTGAGCCGTGTGCGAATCCACAGCACTGAGACAGTCGTCCAAGAGGATATGCGCCGAGTTGGAATAGAGAGCACGAGCCAAGGAGATTCGCTGCTTCTGACCACCGGAGAGAGTGATGCCTTTCTCACCAACCAACGTTTGGTCTCCATGGTCGAGAATTTCGAGGTCGCGTTCGAGAGCACAGGCGACAATGACATCCTTGTATCTTTGCTCATCATATGGCGCCGCAAAAATGATGTTATCCTTGATGTTGGCGTTGACCAACCAGGCAGCCTGGGCGACATAAGCGATTGTATCAGCAAGACCAGTCTCGGGGTTGGGGCGAACGTCCTCTCGGCTGCGACCGCCAGGGCAGAATACCCTGCCTTCTACAAGCGTCATCTCACCAAGAAGCCCCATGAGCATAGAAGTCTTGCCGGATCCAGTTGGGCCGGCGATGATGTTGAGCTTGCCAATCTGAAAGTCAATGTCCAGGTCGAGCAGTCGGAATGCCCTGGAACCATCTTCGGCCACGCTGTTTTTGGCACCCCAGATCAAAGTAGCATCCCTGAAGCCAATGCGTTTCTTGCCGTCTTCGTCCACATTGTCCAATCCAAGTTGTTCATATTTTTCGGTCTCTTCTTCCAAAAGGTACTCCTCAACTCGATCGATGGACACCTTTGCTTCCTGGACGTGAGCGAACATGTCGCCAAGGAGATCGAGGGGAACGCGAAGGAGCATGAAGAGGGAAATGGCTGTGAAGGCAACAGAGGGATACAGGGGCTTCTTCTCAATCAGGGTGTACACCAGGAAAGAGAAGAAGGTGATCAGGATGGGAACTGAGTTCCAGATGGCAACCGCGACAGCCCATAGCATGAATCGGGAGCGAAGGGCCTTGAGCTCGGCTTGGCGCTTCTCATCCACAATCTTGCCGAATCGCCGCTCCCAGGCAAAGTACTTGATGATGCGGATGTTTTGGAGAATCTCGTTGGTCACATTGATGCGCTTGTCAGTAGCAGCCATGATGTTCTTGGAAGTGATGTTGAAACCACGGGCCAGCGTGTAGTTTACGGGCAGGAGGATGAACATGACAATGAGACCGGGAATGGCGCTGAGACCCATAACCTGCCAAAGCAAATAAATGGATACGATCAGCTGGGTGGGGGCCGAAGCGCACAAGAAATGCAGGTAGGCGGTGATTTCGGCAATCTTGAAGCTGTCAACCGACATGAGGTTGATAATGGTTCCCAGGTTGGCCTGTTCATCATCTCCTCCCTTCTCTACGATGGCCTTGGCGGAATCGGAGGCATTGGCAGCTTCGGTGTCGTCTGAGCTGGAAGCGTTCTTCTGCTTTTTGCCACCAAAACCAAGAGCGCGCTTGACTTTACTGACGACGCCTTTGCTTCCCTCGTCGTCGCCACCCTCGTCGGGTTTAGCATTGTCACCGAGCAGAATCTTGTCTTTGCCGGCGGCAGCTTTTCGGCGCAGCGCCTTTGCGTAAATATCACCAACGATAATAGCGCGGACGCGAATG